GATACGTTTAATTGAGACATGATTGCCTCTTGAAACAAATCGCTGGTTCATCTAAATATGAAGGTTGTTCGGGTGTATATACATCTATGAATACTATGTCTGGGATGGAGAGCTATGCGGCATTGGCATCTAACATGTGACGTTGTTGTTCTTTGGTTCCGAATGGATGATAATGGGGCGAAGTGGGCCAGGTCACGACGCGCATATCTGATCCTAAACATACTCTTTTGCAGCCACAATACAATTTAGAAAGATCTCTTCTTATCCGGCATCTTCGTGTAGCTTATCGGCCAGCTTGTATGGTTACGTGTACTTATCAGGCGTGTGTAGCTTAGGGAAGGAATGGGGCTTACTCAAGTGAGATTTCGGGTCGAACCATAGAGCGAGTTGCCAGATTGTAGTCTTACCCCTGCTTGTTAAGTTTCGAAGCGTCATCAGAGGGACTGAAGATTGCGGGATTTATTCTCTTTTCTAGATATTGTCCGCATGGCAGGTGAATGGGGTGCTGCGGGTACGACCTTTCAAGCGTGGCCTAGGTAGTAAAGCTTTAATGAAGGGACACACTGTTCAGATTTCTAAATGGTTACAGTCACATATTGCACGGATAATAGAACTCGCCGTGTAGTTCTATTTTTATTCTGCGCACTAAGTTAGCATTTCAATTAGTAGAAAATGAATATTACCAAGAACGGATCGCCCAATACCGGTTAACCAACACTTGACAATACTTAATACAGGGCTAATGATTTCAACAGACCCTGTCGAGCGTTGGTTTGCCAGTATGAATCACGTTACATAGCATGAGTATATCCTATATAAGAGATATAATCACCTAGGCGAATATGCCCTTCGGCGATTCGTTCTACTTATCATTACTTTCTAATATAGTAACCTTACGTTATCGACAATATATATCGTACTCCTAAACTCGTTAGCAATGTTAATAATTACACTTCTATGTAATCCAAGCGCGGCCACTTCTACACTTCAGAGTTTCCAGTTTAAATTAGATCTTCCGGTGCCGTTTTAAAGTAAATAAGCGCAAAGTTCTAGTAGAGAATACGCGGTATTTCTAATAACCGAATTGCGAAGAAATACAGAGACCACAGTTAGTTATAATATAAGAAAGATATTAACCGATAAGAATTAAGAGAGGGGCGTCTACATTCGATGAAATATTATACTTTCAAGGGCATCATACAGATTTTACGGGAATAATATAGCTTCTTTATATAGCGAAGTACATATAGTAATGCTTATAGAGCAGACTCTAGTGCGTATATACTATTATGGCATAGCATTGCGGGAGGAGAGCTTATCTTATATTATAATTCTAGACGGGAATAACAATAAAATCAAAACTAAATGTAATTGAAGATAGCCTATAATAAATACACGTACCCTGAATGATCATTTATAACATAGGTTCAAGAGCAAGATTACTATTAGCCCCTCTGTCCGTATACTTCTACTTCTACATAATAGGTAAAAAGAGTCGGGATATACTCCCGTTTTAAGATCTTATCTGGACTGGTAGATGGTATTGATCTGTACGGGAGCTAAGGGACAAGTTATACATGTTGTGATTTCGCGTAATAGATTCCATAAAACGACTTCCTATCATTTAGAAAAATAAAATAAAGATCGAGATTGCGATTTCTATATCTTGATTCAAATGAGCTAATAGGTAAATTTCATCAATGATGGCATCTTTGCTTGTTCCGAAGATAAGGAAATATTGCTCTCACCCATATTTTATGTATTTGTTATCATGCATGCTTTTAAAAACGATACAAATTCTGGCAATGTTCCTACTTTTACCGGGTGTTTAAAAGGGCCGTTGATATCGCCATGATAGCCACACAAAGGGACAAGAGAAATGACGCCGATTACATTTGAGAAGAGTCCTGCCGCTCCACTGATTGATGACAGACTTCACTCTGTGAAGAACAGCGCTAGAAAGTAAGCATCAGTCAGGCTGACGGTCCTTCAGCTGTGGAGATCCGAGGAACCCCAAGGGATGAGCAATTGTAAGCAACCAAGAAAGAGACGCAATGACGAAGGGCAGACAAGGACAGCAAATGAAGTAAGCTGGAGAGCTGAGGGGTAGGTTTCCACCAATCTCGGTCGGTACGTTCGCACGGAAAACCGTTATGAGTAATGCTTAGACCCAAAGCTACCCGACTGCCAGCTCACCTCCGCGTTTGGTGCCAACGCATGCATACGTGGAGATACAGTAGCGTATAGGTGATGTAGCCTTTTTATCGCGGACCAACACTTTACGAACGGATTTCGCATTGACGTCAGACATGGGATGATGAAACTTTGAACGAACCAGATTTACCCTGAAACACTCGCAAGCAGAGTCATCGAGCAGACATTCCAACAGATCCCTGAATGGTCTTAGGAATGGAGACCTGCAGTTCAATAGCTTCAAAGCAGGTAATTGGCGATTCTCTGATGTTGCATGGTTTATGTTTGGAGCCACTGCGGAATGACGACGCGCAGGTAGTTGTATGAGGAATGGCGCCCAGGCATTACAATTGACCCCCGAAAGCGATAGGAGGGAGAAGATGAATCATTCCAAATACTCTAAATCCTGAAAAATAAGACGCTTGGATGGCTTGAGCTTCGTGGAATGGCGGTTGATTAAAAGACCGGTCTTGGCGTGACGTGTAAAAACGGGGCCGTTGTTGACAATACAGGGGATGTTTGCCGGATCTCCTGGAGCGGCTCGTTTCTCGACGAGGCAGATCGGCCTACGCCCCAACCAGCGGATTCTCGTAGGCGAATTGGTTTGTGCTCTGCCTGCAGAACATGAAAGCTGAGCCAAGTCGGAATTGTAGCAGTATATGATGAGGTTATGACTGCAATAGACCGTACTTGACGGCATGCCGCCGACTCAAGACAACTTCGAACGAATGTTCCGCTCCCGTTGCAACTAAGAAGCGCGTTGTGTAGACCTGTCGTGACCGTTCGACTCCCCACCTGAGGAGGACGTACCCCTTCGTCTCAAGTGTTTGGCCCATGAAATTGATGCACGAAACGTCATTCTCGGACTGCTCAATTTCAACACCCAAACGCTTCGCCGTCGTTGCAGAAACAATATCTTTATCCCAGTTGTCCTCCGGGGTCCATAGCATGGCTATCTTTGATGATGCATTGCCATATATGGATATGGTTGTGGTGGGCTCCTCATGCGGGTTAAGCTGGAACGCCGTTAGTAAATATCCCATCGTTATTGCGACTCAAGTGAGGACAGACCTTTCGCTGTCTTCGCCGATGGAAGCGTTTGGGGGGAAGACAGAAGAACATGGCATAGACTCGCAGCAGGGAAATGGAATCACGCCAATTTTGTTGCGGAAAGTGCGAGAGAAAGTGAGCAGCTGGAGTGCGACCCAAGGGTTACTTATCAGCTGGTGCAAGGAAGGACAAGGCTGGGCGCACAGCCTTCCCTGTGCGCGGGGTTTGTAAGCCACGCACTCCTGCGGGACGCGAGCCAGTGCTCCGCGTCACCCCGCATTGCAACGACTGAGACGTAGGCTCCAACCTATGCTGCATCGCTTTGTTACCACTATCCCCGCTCAGCAGCGGTCATAAATGAATATTCCTCCCCGCAAATACACCTCCGCCGAAATGTCGGTTGGCAAGCACGCATGAGCCCGTCAACGCGAGGTAGGTCATTTGCCTGCGTGGTTTATCCATCCTACCGATGCCACCTAACCCCACCATGACTTGGGCACGGCTGCATGCTGTCCAACACAATCTGACCTTCACATCGGAGCAGCGGCACACACGCCCTCCATTGCCATGTCCTTCTACTTGTCTGCTACGTGCCCCATGAGGATAAGACTTTGCAATAACGCCGCAATGAAGCACATGCATCACCAACGAACCTTTACTTTCCTACGTGGTGTTATAGTCTTTTAGATTGTCTCTTAAGTCTCACTGTCAGCATGGAATATGAATTTGATGAAACTTTACGACCGATATTTGTACTGGAAGGTCTGAAGTACGCAATGTGCTGAGTGTACAACGCGCACATGCGTGGAACGCCCCGTTGCTCAATTTTTGCCCCACCGTCAGAGTGACCCGTGAGGAGGGGCAGAGTCCCGTCTCTCGTAGCATCCTTACCGACCTAAGGAACACTAACTTCAGCCCATAGGCCTCACCCAACCACTCTCGAAAAAAGAAATGTGACAGCGTACTCCCATTTGTAGCGCAAGGCAGCTCTCGGCTCCATGATTATTCACGGGTTTCTTTTCTAAGAAACTCAATTTCCGCGATCTGCGCTTAACACGCGATGGACCACTGAAACAATACCCGGCGCTGAGGAAGCCCAGGTGCCACGCTGCCACGCTGCCACGCTGCCATTGCTCGCCTTGATGCAGCCACCAGTCAGAATATACCTAACACTTTGCCAACAATCACATGCTGTAGCATTCAAAATGGAGTCATGTTGGTCATTTAGCAGAAGTAAGGCGCTCTTGCACAGCCTTGTAACAGGGTAATATATCTACCCTATTGAAGACGGGCCAATAGATGCTCTTATGTCAGCTTACCCCGCGTGCTATGGATCCTAGCTTCTGCACCGTATCCCACCTACGATTTCTATCGTGCCGTGGGTTGATTGCCATATGAATACTGAACTGATTCCTAACCAAATTTACAAAGGTTTCTGTTCTAAGAAATGCCCACCGCGTTTTCTGTGGTATTCGTTGAGCCTGTGCTGCTCAACAGCAAATAATCAGGCGTGCATTACAGATCCCGGTCAGAGAAAGCCACGCTTTCATGCATGCTGTCAGGCATGAGTGCTGGCTTCTGTCCCCGCTTTCTACTGAAGAGGATATATGTGCAGGTCCATATCCTTGAGCCTTAGTAGCCCTGTTGCCTTATTTCCCTCCTTATTAAAGGCGTCTGTGCTTACCCTTTACCTGCGGCTATTACCTGACCTTCAGGCTTCAGTTTGCCAGGTTTCAGGTGCTTTCATTTGTCTTATCATGACCAAAACGCCTGGAATCCCACTGCAAGATGTCACAAGCACCGCCCGGACTTCTCCAACCGCAGCCCCAATCGCAAGTGCCCCCGCCGGACCAACCAATCAGCAACTCAGAGACGGTGAGGCACAACAGGATGACGACCTTCCACCCGGTTATCCGAAACTAGCCGAACGGATGGGCGTTGCTCCAGAGACTGCCGCTTTTCGGCGATTTGGCTTCTTGAACAAACTGAACCTGTTGTATCTTCAAGCTGAGCTGATGGATATCGAAGACCAACTCAAAGACTTGCAGAAAGAAGATCATGGCAAATCCGGCTGTGAGCAATATTATGCTACAGACTGGTTCTATTTCAAAGATGGGGATCATCCTCAAGCAAAACTCGTTCACGATGCCCGGGAGAAGCTCGACAAATATAGTAAGTCCCATGTTGCTTTCAGTTGTCTTTTTTTTTTTTTTTTGCACGAATGCAGTGGAAGAACTGACTTGATATAGATAGAGCACTCATCCAACAATCTCATATTCTGCCCATGAAGCCGCCTGGAAGATCTGATTTGGGTCACATCCAAAAATACCTTGCGTCAAGACACATGGGGCCTTTCGCTCTCGATGGTATTGATGCTGAGGTGTGGGGGACTATCAAAAAGCCCGATGGCTACGAACCCGATATAGTCGCACTCCTACCACGGCCGAAAGAAGACATGTTCTCCAACCTCATTATGGGCAAGTGCATGGAGAAGTGGTTCAAATGGGGGTTCGATCGATTTCGAAAACCATCTATTAATGGTCTTGTCCAGTATGAGGAAAGTACGCTTCTCCGCCTTACCTCTTTGATATCAACTACCCTAGCCTCTCTGCTTCCAATCGCCTCTATTGTGGTTCTGTATTCCGTCCAGTCCATGAAGGCACGTCTAGGGATCATCGCGGCCTTCAACGTGTTGATTTCTCTTTGCCTGGCCATCTTTACTACGGCCAAGCGGACTGATATCTTTGCCGTGGTAGCAGCATTTTCTGCTGTTCAGGTGGTCTTCGTCCAAGCCGGAGGGGATTGCTCGGGGTGGCGCGAATGAAATCAATTCATCAATTCCGAGCAAGGCGGTTTCACAACCTGACTTTTCAGATATGCATTACGCGACTCCTGAAAACTTTTTTTTTGCATATTTCTGTCATTCCTTTCAGGTTCCATTTGTACCTGCTAGTGCTCTCCTGTGTGTAACTGTTCCCTTGCAGCGGACAGCGAATTCAATACTTCTGTGATGTGAATATGATTTCATCCTTCATTAAGGAGCAAGAAAATGTTTGCAATGTGTCAACAAAGGTTTGAATAACGTCACTCCTGGGACTATGTATATGCTCTCCAATATCTCCACCAATAAAACAAAATAAAGACACCGAAACTTCACCACGTCAAGACATGGTCGCCAGAAAAGATAGTCATGCGGACAATGAATGCTCCAAACAGTCCGACGTTCAATTTGTGATGTGGGAGTCGAGTTTAGTATCGAAAGCCAGGTTGTCAGTTTTCAGTCCCGACCACAAGGTTGTAGCCAAGTTACCTTTTCGTCGACTCGTGGGGCAGCCTACCTACTTCGTGGACCACTCCTACCCGTGATAGATTTATTGGGTCTTGAAGAAGTGAAGGACGCCGATTTCTTGCTTCTTGAAATGTCCGTTTCATTTCCTGTACTGCGCGATAAAAACCCAGTAATAATAGATGATGGAATATTAACACGGAAGTGCTGGCGTTCTCTCAACTAAGGAAGTCTGCTCATTCGCTCTTCTTCTTCCTGCGCCTGATCCTCGTCTGGGTGCGTGCCCATACGTCCTGAAAGGCGGGTTAGCTTCTAGCTGATCTAAAGAATGGGATTTACCCACTGATCCTTCCACTCAAGTCGACCAATGCAAACAGCTCAATGGCTCTGAATACGTGGCTTGAAATAGTTTTGACTTCAGTCACTAGTTTCCTATGTGCTTCAGCAGCTGTAGGATTTCCAGAAACGTCCAGCTCCAGTAGCTTTTGCAATATCTCATCGTGAAGGCAGCTCAAAAGCTGGGAGCCCGTGTTCTCTTCCCGTGTTGGATCATTCACAAACTCCTCACTATGAGCCCGCAGCTCACACTGGAAGATTTTGTCTAATCTTGCGAGTTCAGAACTCACGATATGATTCCGTGTCCATGGACAAAGCATCAAGAGACCCGACATGCGTGTCATCATTCCCGTATTTCTGATTAGTGGTCCTACGTCTCGTGGTAAGGGTGAGGAGCCATCGGTAATCGTGAAGGCCATATTTTGTGTGTTTGATATGGTTGCCAGTTCCCCATTTTGACCAAAGCGTTGTCTAAGGTCTTCAATGACGTGGTAAGCGGGGACCACATACGCAAACCCGTGTTCCGGGTCGCCGCAGATTATATGACCATAGACTTCTGATGTCCCCTGGTCAATGACAATAGAACCGCAGTCGCCTTTTTTCAAACGACCACCGTTGCGAAACCTCACAGTCCAGAGTTCTTGACAAGTTGGTTGCCTTGTGCTAGTCAAGTAGGACGAGGCCTCGTTGATGGTGCCGACAAGAAGCTCCCCAGAGCTAGTGACGGAAAGAACAGAAGAACTGCGGAATCCTGGGCCCACAATAGTTTCTGGAAACCGGTTGTAGTAGCCACTTCGAGTGGGTATTCGAACGCAGGTGAAATAGTTTTGCCCTGGTTGCCCACACTCAAGCAGAGCATAGTCCAATCCTGGTTGAGTATCATCGTGTGAGAGGACTGGGCCTGCTAAGCGGGATGCAACCAACGGTGATGTGTTGGTGTCCAATATGTCTAGACTTGCGGAGATGATGTCATCAACGACTTGCCTTTCGCCCTGGTAGTAGGAATCTTCATCTTCGTCTTCGTCTTCAGAATTTGGGGCTGTCGTCCTGGCATTCCCATCTCCCACATCAAATGCATCCTCGCCAATGTCCAACTCGTCATCATCGCTCAGTTCGAACTGATCAAAGTCAGATGACTCAAGGAAAGCATGGCCCGCGGTAAGAATGTATGTTTCATGGTTGAAACGAAGTATAGACCCTGCTGTTGCCTCTCGTACATTGTGACTGTGATTTGTTCCATCTCGCGTGTTTGAAAGGCGGATATCGAGGCGCCCTCCAGTCGGTCCAGCTGGATTACTGGAAGTGATGCATGTAGACACTTGCAAGTGAGTGCCACAGCGTTCTCCCTTGCTAAGAGGGACAAGCCTTCTGGTTCCTGGGGGCGATTTGCAGTCTCCTGTGGTAAACCCAGGATACCGAGACAGAATGGAGCTGTCTTCAACTTCTTTCCTGATTCTTTTCCGATATATCTTCCACGGACAGCAAAAATGATAGTCGGAACAGCGGTGCGTACGGTCCGACCAACTATATACAGAGACCAGATGACCGGCCTCGGGATTGGCTCACTATGGGTCTCGAGGTAATCTTTGATCTCTCGTGAGACTAGGCTGAAAGTTTCTGTAACCTCGCCCTTCGCTTCCCAGCACTTGTATTGTCCGACGCGGCAAATGAATGGTCCGATGAAGTTCGAGTTCTTGACTTCGTCGTTCCTAACAGGATCAGATTCGTCAATGACACCAGTGGGTATCACCGATGAAATTGTGCTTGCAATCTTCGATACCAGGCCAGAAAGGACTCCAGGTTTGTTGACTTCTGGAGTCCCATGACGGGTCTCTGCTAGCTGAAGGGTCCGCATCGGTGAGTAGAGCACATGGAAAGACGAAATTTGGTTTAGAATGCCATAGAAGGTGGAAGGAATCTATGAAATGAGAGGTTGTCGGAACGGTTTATTGCTCGGGACGTTGATCAGCGGAGCTGGAATTGAACGTAGATCTGGACACTGCCCTACACGGAAAAGGCGGGGGAAACGCCATGAACGATGTTAGGCAGACACCACAAGTGTATATCATTCCACATTAACGAGGCGCAGCAGCGGGGCTGTGTTGTCAGGCTGAATGCCTTGCTTTCAACCTTGTGCAACAGGACAAAAACTTGTTTTTGTTGCAGCCTAAAGCTTACAGCATATGCATATCAACACAGCCCCATGCAGCTAGCTTGAGACGGGTGCAGCCTCGTGCAAAAACCTTACCTCTGATTCTAGAGCATATCCATAATGCTAAATACTTCCAAAGTCAGCATGCGGCCAGCAGAAGCTACAATGCAATCTTTTGAAGTCCTAGAAACCTCACTGACTGTGCCGTTCCATTCGCCAGCGGCACATGATTGCTTCCTTCAAGAGCTCTGGGGTATTTCCCTAAACTCCGATCGAACACGAATGAAAAGTCTAGACCGTGGTCCAATCTTAACGCACTACAACGAGACCTGCAGCCTCGCATTGATCAACGGCGGTAGAAATGTGTGCGTCAGAACCCATCGTGAAATCCTCGACATTGCGAAGAAAGTGCGCAATCCTCTCATGACACGAGAAAAAATAAAAGAGCATTTGCACTCAAAACTCCCGGCGACAGTCACCGAAGCTATGATTGAAACTTCAATCGACCTCATCGCTCAACTTCTTGTCATGTCGCAGTTCGGCTACGCATCGAACGTTTTTTCTGGTCGAGGAAAGCTTGACTGGAAGACTGGAAGCCTAAGCGATTGTGTACAAGCCCATTTCACGATATCACCCACCTTGGAAAATGAAATCGTCAAGCTGGAGAAGGCTTTCACTGCTCGTAACTTGGACCGTATTGCTGGAATTCGGATAGTCTGGACCAATAATCTAGTCGATCATCTCCGTCTGATGGATAACGACAAAGCGGTCGCATTCTTCCATCATGCCACCTTTCTTCGACTTGCGTCAAAGTAAGTGGCATCAATTCTTAACTTATGCAGACTGTTAGCTGACTGAAGTAAAGGGGCCTCTTCACTGATAGCTTCGTTGAAGAAACACTGCGTACAATGGCACTGTTATTACCTCCTGCAAACAGGAATGTCTGTGCTTGGTTCTGGAGGCAAAGGCTACTGCATGGGCTAGACCACCAAGCCATCAAATGCCGTCCACTGAAAACAGATGACCGACGGGTCGAGAACTTCCTATGTTGGAGAGACCGGCTTGTTATGTTGAAGCATGTCTTTGATGACGCTGAGCCGAACACTATGTCACAATGGTGGTATGACCGGCGCAAAGGGCCACAGTGGTATACCTTCTGGATTGCAGTCGTAGTTCTCATTCTGACCATATTTTTCGGTGTTATACAATCTGTGGAGGGAGCTTTACAAGTATATTTGGCGTACAATACAGGGAGCTCTTAGTGGTCTATTACGGACATAGGAAATACGACTAGCGGAAAATCTTGCTCTGGCACAATCAGCTGTAATCCGATCTTTCAGAATCATTTTTCAGGATCCTTTTCTCCTTTCTTTCGTTTTTCGAGGCCCAAACGATTACGCAGACTTCGCGGATTAGCGGTGTCATAGCTTGTTGCAAACTGGCCCTCACTGCCATTTCCATCGTCCCTCTCATGCTGCTCGTGATCCCGTCCCTTTCTAAATGCTCTCAATCGTTCACGTGCCTCCAGGATTTGTCGGTTCAAATCCCCGAAGTATAGCACGAAGAACGTCACAAAAACAGAGACCGCAGCCAAGATAGCCCATCCAGTCAGTTCAGATTGCCCAGGTAGACCATTCATGCTGAAAATAGCGGTTGCGAATCCCAGCGGAAGGAAGACAGAGGTGACAAGTGTGAAAAACCGGACATTCTCAGCACTTTGGAGGCTCAATTCGTTGCGTGTACACTCGATGCGGCCTGTAAGATAGGTGCTAAGAGATTGGATATCGGCCAAATGTTGCTCAATATCTCGCACCTTTTGGTTGTTCGAAAGCAGTAACGTCGTGATTGCGGGTCGGTATTTGCGCTCGTCGTTGATGGTCCACCGAGGTCTTTCCGGTTCGCGATCTCTTTCACGAACACTCCATAAAGAGACCTTTTCAAGAATCACCTTCAAATCATTCTCTAAGATCTGCAAGATGCAGTGTATAGGTGGCCAGTGCTTGCTAAAAGCCGTGTAGGTCTTGGTGTTGATCTGTGAGGAGAAAAACGCGTTCCACATGTCTGGGGTACCTCCTCTTTTGGGAAACTTCGACTTTGGAAAAAGCTTGGTCAAATGTTTGATGACTTCTTGTAGCATCTCACTGTGGTGCTTCGAAGCTTTATCCAGCATGAAGTCAACTAGAAGAAGTTCCAGTACCCTGCGTTGCCGCCAAGGATGTTCCACACCTGGAGGTGAAGAAAGCTCGACTGGATCGGGACCCTCGTTGCAACGTAGTTTGAGCGCATCCCTGAGCTTTTCTTCTTGTTTCGCTGTGCGTTTTGATTTCTCTGTGGGTCCTAGTTCTTTCTCGGTATTCGGTTCATACTCTAACACCCTGCAGGTCCAGTAGCGGTCAAAGAAGTCACCGGTGAATAAGAATCCAACTGCGGCTCTTCCAATCTCCCACCTAGTGCTAAGGAAGTCAATCCTTTGGCATCCTGAATCTGATGACTGGCACTTTTCATGTAGTTGGTACCAAGACAAATGGAATTCTGTCGTCCATGTATTTGATGCTGCTGCCACATGTTCGGATATGAAGTCCTCTCTCCGGTCGTGTCGCTCAAAGAACGATGACACCGTTATCTTTTCTGACTCTGGTGAGGCTAAGAAGCAAATGAGGGCTGCGTCCTCATCTGACTTTGGTATCCAGATCAGTCTTTTCTTTGCTTTCTTCGCAACTCGTGGACCATCTAGTTTTCGAAAGAGCTGGTCATTGTTGCAGACTTGAATGTCGTCAGGGGTACCGCGGTCTTGAGCAGGAGTCGAAATCTTTCTGCTCGTTCGGCGTTGATTTTTCCTCATTGTCTTGCCAACGTCGACAATAATGCCTTTGAGGTAATTATTTGCAAAGACGGGAGAGTATCCATCTCCCTGACGCTCTTTGAACTGGCGAATGGCTTTTGACAGAAGATCCCCCGTTGCAACCCCACACTGGCCCAGGGATCCAAAATCCTCAAATCGATGGCGAATGCCAGGGTCAAAATCCAAAAAGTCTGGATAGCTGTAGAGCCATTCGTCTGCTAACTCAACAATTTCTTTCCGATCATTGAGGGTACAGGAAGGGAAGAATCGTTCGATCTTGGAGATATCATTAGCCTGATATGGGTCCTCAATTTGTAAATTGATGTTTTGCAGATCGGTGGGTAGGACAGCTGAATCCCACTGCGCTGGCATCTCTGCTTGTGAGCCATTGTTTCCCACACCTTGTGCAATCCGGACTCCATATTCCCAAAGGATACCAGGGATCTCGAAGCTGACATTCCAGTAGAAATCCCTTTCCGCTTTATCCTGGAAGATCTGGGGCTCTTTTGTGATAGGGTCAATCTGACCAGCGAAGAGACCGTTGGGCGGGCTGATTCTGAGCAATATCCTCCTCGACTCGTCAAACATCTTTCTGCTCGATTTTCCGGTAATCTGGCAGCCGTTCAAGCTCATAATTAGAGCTGCAGCATAGCGCAGTGGGCTGTCCCAGGTCGACTCGTCATTCTCCTGATAAAACTTCTGGGACTCCATGGTCGCTTTCCACAGCGGTCTAGCCTTGTCGAAGAATGGAGCATTGGAGTTGTACAACAAGACAGAGTCTGTGGAGTGGAACATAAATCTTGTCTCTGTTGGTGTCCGCGAAACAGCGATCATTCGTTGCCCCGATGCCGTGTTTTCGGTTGTAAACCGCTTCAGAACTTTGCGCTGGATTTGGTCTGCACGATAATCTCCAGACAATGGCGCCATGGGTGTAGGGAACTTCGTAAAACTCTCTTCAGCAAAGTTCATCGGGCCCCTTCTCATTCGCTGCTCCTCGTTAGATCCATCAGCCCTCAAGTATGTGCCGAGATCTAGGTTTTCGATCGAATTCAGCGCTTTCCAGATCCAAACATGGTCTTCGAGACGATATTGTTGAGTTCCCGGTTTTGGAAAGGCCGAAAACCCCCGCTTATCCGTTTCATCCAGTGTCTGAAGCCAATACGGAATGACATACTCTAGCCGACTCTTCGCAGATTTTTTCAGGTTGTGCTCAGATGTCTCGTCCATCGCGGTTACAAACTCCGAATGTTTGAGGATCTGAAGAGCCGTATCTGCCAAAGACTCATCGCTGAGAGCTCTACCAGATCGTGGATCTTTCATTGGTTTCCCGGTTGCCCAGTAGCTTTTCGCAAATTCGTACCCCGGGTTCTCAGCTTTTCCGAACAGCCAATTCAAATGGCTTTGGCATGTCTTCTGGATTCTCCTGCGCAGAAAGTCTTTGTACGAAAAGTCTACCTCGGACGATCTTAAGTCTGTGCCATCGAGCTCAGACTTGCCGAGGTACTTGAAGACCGAAATCAAGAATTGAAACGCGAAACTTTCTATCGTGAGACTATTGAAACATCTTTGTAGGAATACTAGACTGGACTTACAAGCTAGCTTTAGCTGTGAACCGGTGGCCGGACATATCGCCACATGTCAGAGCGACCATTGGCCTGTAGTCTCCCTTCAACTTCACGTGAACACAGCAGACTGAAAGGATGTGCTCCAGGTTTCTGCGAACAATGAAATCCACGTAGTTGTCCGAGGAAAATGTCAGTCGTGCATAGGGAGACTTCCCCAGTATTTTGTCAAATGTGTGATACGTCGGAGGAGGTACTGACATAAGGTCCTTTTCGGAATCCCCTCGTAGTTTTTGAAGCTTGTAAGCGGTCGTTATCTCAAGTGGATGGGAGTATTGAACCTCACGTTATTTCTGTCCAAGCCTGATCTGGTACAGATCCTGCCCATCCCATATAGAGCGTTCTGCCTTTTCAATCTTTTGACGTATCCCATTCACATAGAAAGCTATGACCACGCCAACACCGCAAGAGATTTTTTCGTTCTCATTTGGAGAGGCAGAATGAGCTATGAGAATGCCTTCTTCATCATGTACAAGACAAACTTGGTACGCTGTCTTGGTACGTCTTGATGCCTCGTTGAAACTGTGTTGAGGATTGAGGAATTCGAGCTCCCGGATTAATTGAGTCGCTCTGAAAGATATTGATTCTGCCATTGGAAGAGAACCGGTCCTAGGCTGGCAGGTCCACGTGCCGAAAACGGTGCTGTCGTGGATGAAGAACTGCATTGTGGTGGTGGCATCGGGAGTGTCAATCGTGAATCTGGGCCACCGATCTCGAACAAATTCCAATATCGGCTTCTGCCGGAAGAGCTGGTGGATCCACTTTGGGGGGGATCGACCAAAAGTGAAATCAATCCCGTCGAGACTGCCGCTGAGCTCCATGAGTTTTCGCGCTCGATCCTCCACGTACCATGGCTCTGGTACGTCAGCTTGGTCCACAGAAAAGAAACCAGAGGTCCCAATTCCCAGGAATCGAGTTATTTGCGTGATCTGGCCGAAGGCAGTCACACTTGCTGTTGTGTCCCCATCCCCGAAAGAGGCATATGCAACCGCATCTGGGATAGTGGCATTTGGGCCCCGGGGAGGAAATTTGCATTCGAATTCTGAGTTCGTACTGGGTCGACGAGCTAGGTAAATATTCATCAGTATCAGATAGCAAACAAAGCTCGGAATACTAACATGTCCAAAATTTAGAAGGCCGCTCGCTTGTGTCTGGTATGTTATTGGAAATTTCGTCGATGGTGACTCCTAGCTGCCCTTCTAAGTTCCCAGATGATCCCATCAGGCTTTCCGACTCCCCAGCCGAATGCTGTGGGAGCTTTGACATTGGGGGTGCAAACTCTGGAGCGTCTGAGGGTAGCTTGATGTATTGGCACTCGTTCATTCGCCATATAAATAGGCTTTACGGACCAAGAGCGATAGTGATTATGTAACAAAATCGAACCCACTTGAGCACAGCGCGAACGTGTGCATAGACCTGAATCCTCCCATTTTCGTCTTCCCATTCCTGGTATGAGGCATCTCAGCGGGGATGAGCACAACCATCATGCAAGACGCCACACGCGCAGATCAAGACCTTGCCTGGCAAGCTTTTAACCCGTATTATCGCCAAGCTGCCAAAGAGGGCAATCTCACGAAGGTTTTGCGCCAGTTCCATGTTTTCTTGTGGAGCTACATTCACAAAGTGGTGAGACAGGAAAAGAAAAACGTAAGGTGCAAGGATTATGATCAGGATCAATATCCAGAGTTATTTTTTCAATTTTGTGGCTATATTGAAAGTCCGCCAGCATCGTATAGTTGATTTGGGTGAGCCTTCCAGAGATGCACCTGAATCTGATTCATTCTAGGTGGGGTTGGGTAACTCGGTTTCCTTCACCAGGTTCAGGATTTGAAATTGGCCGAAAGGCTTGCATGCTACAATTCTTTAACAACATTCGCATAAGTGCATCCTTCTTCATTTTGAAGAAACTGAAACTTGCAGAAGGACGGGTTCAGACGCCGAAATCGTATGTGCTAGCCGAAACAGCTGAAGAAAAGCAACCCTGGTGTAACCGCCACATATCGGGAGCAGGCGCCAAATCCCGCATCGGGATGTCTTATTACAGTTAGGCTGGCGCAGGTTTCGGCGCGTGGATCGGGACCCCACGGCGGACGCGCCCGACGCACGCCTTCGGCTGATGATCGAATCTTCAACTTGGCGCCATCCATGCTATGCCAAGTATCTGTTCGGCGTGCGGGCGCCAGGTAAGCCTTAGTGTGACAAGCCCATCGCAGTAGGTATGCTCATTTGCTTGGTGAAGCATACAGTCGCCGTTGTGGCGAGTTCCCAGCGAGATTGTCTGCTCTGTAAGCTCGGGAATCAAGAGCCGACCAATTTCGTATCCTGTTTGCGCATTGTGACAAACACGATGAAGCAACCCTTCGCGGAAAATACATCTTAGATTTTCGAACCGCGAGTAGACTTCAGAGTACATCTTTCTGGATCCCACAATGCCCTTTCTATCCTGCATTGAATTATCTTGCCATATGCCGTAAGCAACAACAGTGCTCAGAGAGACTCCGTAAGAGCAATGAACATCATGTCACACTTTTTAGCAGAGCGCTGAACGAAACGTTTCGATATCTCACCCGTTCCAATCGCCCACCCGAAGCCGGTCAGTTGGATGTGCCTCGCCTCTGACTTTTTCTGCTTTAGTCCTTAGTTAAGACCGCAGTCCCTGTACGACTATTTCTGTATTGATCACTATCATCTACAACGGCTTGGTTGATGAATCACTGATTTCGGTATTGCGAAATGATTCATGTTTAGTGCGGAAACCTACACAATAATAACCGAGATGATCTCTCCAGTATAAGTAATATATAAAGCAGCAACAGCACTCACCGTGACGTTATAGGCACTGGTTAAATGTGAAAATAGTATAAGGAGTCTAATGCGCTAGTACTAACTCAAAGTCCGGTTGCCTGATTGGTTACCTGATCACTTGTGCCCGGCATTAAAAACAAAGATAATGGTAGCATGGTGACACACCACCCTTATTTTGGAGCGCCCAATTAAATTGGAAGGAGTCCGAAGCTTTAAGTGAAAGATATTGATCCATAGTCATGGTATGATATTCTGACTGAGAGTTATTAGAAGTTGACCAAGCTGCGATGGGAAATGAGCAAGCTTTTCTTGGAATCCTCGAAAATGAGTTCCTACTCAAATAGTTCCTTACTTCAGAAAGGTAGAAGAATTATAGAGAAATGTCTAAACATCGGGTCAAGTCTGAAAGGCTTTCTCTACTCAAACTCAGCAGGCACGAGACCTATGTCTATTACGAAAGAGGCTCCACACGTTCAAACTCTCGCAAAGCAATGTCTGGGCTGAGTAGCGCAGCAATGGAGATCGTTGAGCAGCTTTAATTAGAGAGAACTGCTTTACTCCGCCTCTGCAGACTGGATGATCAAGGGCCATCCTCAATCGGGACTGTTTTGAACGAACTGATTGAGCAGCTGGTTTACCTCCGACCCTAGTTGCCTGGGAATGGTGCTCTCAAAAGAACTTCCCAACTCAAATTTTAAAAAAAGCACTGGGAAACAAAAAGAACTCGTAATCTTCTCGTTAATGTGTTTAAAAGGCCTGGTCTTTTTTTTTTTTTTCATAGGTTATAGTTGGAAAAGTGCATTGAATGAATAGGGGGCTGTTATTTCTCTTCGAAAAAGCGACGGAGGTAGTTTGTGTCTCAAAAAGGTCGATCGTATTCGACGTAGACACCACAAACTATTGCCAGGATTATCAGCTGAAGGAGACTGAGGGCTTCCTTTGTAAGGATTAATAGACCCAATGAACTCAACTCATACTATTTAATGTACTACATAAAGGGGTACTCATCTGGTAATTCCATTTTAGCTGTCTGAAGGGCCGCTCGTCGGGAATGTTCTTGATCGAGAAGAATAGTATAGGGTCACAAATTTCGTACTTTATGTGATATACGATAATAGCATTGTTGGAAGACACAAGCTTGACAGAAGGCTCGTCTACAAGCTGTAATATTTAAAAGGAGTCTTGTAGTGGTGTTGAAGACATGAGCTCGGAACTTGGCGGCAGAAGGAGGCTTAAAAATAGCGTGCGTCGTCCGACGACACCATGATTCCCTCGTATTTCGAGCAATGACGTCGAAGTTCTCGTATTACTAGGTTTCTCCACAGTGACGCTAGTACATTAGCAGCTACAGGTACAGCACATTGCAATTTAGCGCGGAGATCATTGCCACCGCACGTTTTCATACATAAAGGTAGCGCATCTCATCCGGTCGTTTGTTCTTTATTCGCCTTCTAACACCAGTCAATCAGCCACCATGCAGTTCAAGAGCCTCATCATCACCTCCGCGCTCCTCGGAGCTTCGGCCGTGACGGCACAGACCAAGCCGGACCCCAACGTCGACGTATCCGTATTCGAGTTGCGCGCCTTCTCGAACGAAACGGCGATCGACGGCAAACCCATCGTCGCAAAGAACGGCTTCCTCGCCATCAACACCACCTCCGAAGCCAACTGCACCGGCGACCACGCAGGCTACGACTCGACGACCTACACGCAATTCCTCATCGGCCTGACCACCTACAACCCAGACGGCGACTCGCAGACCAGTACGTACCTTTCCCTTCCCCCTCCCCCCACAACATGTTCCATCCGCACATCCCTGCAACACACAATCAAAACCAAACCACTAACCCGAACCTTGCAGTCTACGTCGGCACGAACGGCCAGAACCTGCAGGTCGCCGAGCCCGGCAAGGCGCCGGCGGACGATCAGGTGCCGACGGGCTTCCGGCAGATCGTGCACTGGGACGACAAGCTGCTGCAGTTCCGCGGCGCCGGCTTCCAGGCGTGTCCGCGGTCCAACTTTGATGAGTGGATCGTTTCGGTGCAGCCGGGCGCGCTGCCGACGGCGCCGGAGTGCAACATCTTTGATGTGATTATCGTGCCGAAGAATGCGTCGACGGCGCCGAGCTGTACTTATGCGTAAAGGGGGGAGTTTGGGGAGATGATGCGTTAATTTGCGGTGCTGTGCGGTTGGAGCAACGATGTAATGATGCGAGGATGATCCCGGTAATTTACGAGGTTGAGGACAGAAGAGTCAGTCACCATTAATACAGAGTCAATCATCCTTAATACAAAAAGCTTTTCCATTTTGGTTTATTTGTTGCCAAGACGTTCAGAGACAGGTCAAGGAGCGATGTCAAATGCAGGAAGAAGGAGACCACGATCTCTCAAACGTACGTCCAGATCCCCATACTCAAAGCCGTGACTCCCGTGGCTCCCGTGGGTGCATGACAGGGAAGCAACGATCATTCACCGCCATAGCCAGAGCCGCGAAATCCCTTCCCTCCAGGAAATCCACGAACAAAATGTTCGGCACATTCCTCCCATAACAGTGCGGCAGGCACTTCAGGAAGAGCTCCTTGTTCGCCGAATACGCCATGTTCCTGACGCACCTCTTGGACTCCGGACCATGCCACTGCGCATCCCAGCCGCCCGAGAACGAAAAGTTCTGCACCTGCGGCGTCAGCGTCCACGACAGCATGAACAGCCGCGGGTCAGCCGCCGAGTCCATCATGTCTAGCTTGCGGAGCTGATCGCGTGTCATCTCGTGGCAGTCGTCGCGGCTCGGGTTGTCGTTGTGCACGTTCACCTCCTCGTGAGTAAAGAAGCCCTGGTGCTCATACTTGCCCAAGTTCACATTCGGCGCCTCAACCACGATAATAACTGCAGCCCGGTCGTCTCCAATGAAGTTCCGCAGCGGCTGGCGCGTGAGGTTCATAGCGTCCTGGTCGGAGCAGACGATGAACCGGTCGTTGAGGCGCGCGAACTCGTCGAACACCCGATCCCACTCGTTCTGCGACAAATCGCAATAGTTCGTCGCGCCGACATCCGTATTGATTGCGTGCGACAGGTTGACGATGACGAGCTCTTTATGCCGGGCTGTGAAGCGGTTAATACCATCCACAACATCGCGCAGCCGCTGCCCACGGTCTCCCATCCAGAAGTAATTCAGCGTCCGGCCATAGTACCCCGTCCACAGCTCTCCGGCGCCGATGACCGGCCGAATATCCAGATACCGCGCGCCATCCAGCAACTGCCCATAGACATCGCGCGACTGGCACAGCAGCCACGGCGCCAGCACGTCATTCGCGTGCTGCGCCAGCGTCGACATGCCCGAGTTGCGCGTGCCGGGCAGGCAGAGCTGGTACAGCGGCCGGTGACCCAGCTTGCGCAGGTTCTCCTGCATCCACGCGACGGGGCCATGGTTGGACGAGAAGCAGCCCTCGCTGCCCGACAGGATGAAGTGCACGCTCCCGTCGTGCACCCAGCCGAGGTCGAACTCGGAGCCGCTCGGGTGGCCGGGCGTGGAGAAGCCGTCGAAGGTGACGCGGATGGAGGAGGGGTCGTCGGTGACGAGGAGTTGGAAGGAGCAGTTGGTTCTTGTGCCTTCGAGTTTGTAGACGCGGCGGACTTGGGTGTCGCTGCGGGTGGTGAAGAGGCCTTGCTGGAAGTCGAGGAGGATTTCGGCGGTTTGACCTTGTTTCTTGTTAGGGGTCGTTCTTGGAAGAGTAATGATGAGTCTCACCTGGCGCGATCGTGTGGGGGATGATGTTCGTTGAGACCTGGTGAGTGGCGTCGATATGTGGATCCAGCCTCCACGCGTAGTATGTTCCATTGACCAATGTAATGCGTCCAAACTGGCCCATCTTGACAGTCTGCGATCTCGGGATTGAAGAGGAAGTTTGTGGTAATAGTACTGAATGGCAGCCTTTGCTCAAAGCCGTAGAGATTGGTGCAGGTTGGCTCGGGCCGCTCTTATATCTCGCACATCCCATGTTCTTGGACCGCCTATAGGCAGCTCCTGATGTTCAACACGGCAACGAGGGATGCGCTATGATGCCGCAGTAACCATGGACTTTTGAGCCAATTTTTACATCATACACATAGGTGGAATTGGCATATTTTAGAGGCGTTCATAAAAGTATTCAGCTACGATCGTAGCTGGAAGTAAGTTTAGCTGACTACTTCTTCACATGACTTCAACTTTCGGGGTTTTCGTTGCCAGATAGAGTATTTATTTGAACAGACGAGACTTTGTTGATTCTTGAACCTGCGCCTATACCAATCGGATTATATCCGCTGCGGATGTACTATTTGTTAGCGCCCGTAGTTGCAGAATGTGTATCCCTGCGGTGTAGGGCGGGGTACCACTACTAACACTAGCCATTCAACAACATTGTTGTTGCCACGCACGGCACAGGAATCATATTAGTATGTGTAGCAAATACTGAAATCAGATATGGAAATAGAGTGCATAGGCAGTGATACGGGTCGGGACAAAGTCGAAACAATTAAAATTCAAGTCTTACTTGTTGAGGCGCACGGCGGCTGGAATGTGTTGGACTACGTATTGGACCGTGCTCAGAAATACGTACGGCAGCTCTGCCGCGTAGTCACAAAGCTGAGGAGAATGTAAAGAGAACGGACATCGCTGCCCAATCGGTATGTGTAGTGTGCGATCGAGCCCCGGACGACGGACTTTACGGCAGACAACATACGTCCCGTCTCAACCAGAAATTGGAGCGGGAGGAAATCACCGATTAAGAGCTAGTTAATAAGTACTCGTGGGGCTTTACCGAGCTTGTCGAGCTCATCAATCTGTCCTAATGTGTATGGTTTGAATATCGCATGTCTCTTGACTTTGTGTTGTTTCCATTTCCATAGCAACGACCACACTTTTGAAAGTATCAATCTCACTCGCAAAAGAATGTAAAAGAAGTCTCTACTAGCACTTCTTTAGTGTGCCACATACATTAGGTGTCGAGGCTGTGAATAGTCTAATTGCATGAGTATGGACCTGTTCTCAAACCGACGACATGGAGTGTGGATATCAAGAGCCAAATGTGGGGGACAACATGTTGAAGCAAAGTTGTCGACTGAAGTCTTACATAAGAATCCACTTGATACTGGAATGCGTGGTTACTCTCCTTGACTTTGTGCTCATATCTTTTGCGAGTAAACACATATGTTGAGTCACGTGCAACGCTACCCATATCGTTGGAAATGTTCCGAAACAGCTGAAAGTCAGCTTATCGCGGAGTTTTCCCAAAACGGTTTTACCGATAGATAATTGTTCTTGGCGTTGCGTGCGCCCAATCGGTTCTCTGACTTGATCAGGCTTGCAATCTTTTCTGCGCGTACTATTGAATAGAATAAGTGCCATCAAAGCCATCCTTTAGCCTCGCGCGGGAACGTGGCAACAGTGCTGACTGTGCATGGACAGCATGGCGCATTGCGCACGATACCAAGGAAGATCCGTTCCCGATAAAGTTCATTGGTCGCTTGAATTTTCCGGCGTTTTCCGAGTCGTCTTATCATCGAGAGATAAGACTTTGGGAAGGTCGAAACTCCTTTCTCGCACTCTTCCAACAGCAATAGTAAGTCTAATGGACGTTCGTGCCTTAAAGGCTAGCCTCGAATTACTACTAATCGATTACACGGTGCTGGATCATCTCTGAGTCGAGGATCCAGTACTGTGTTTCTTTTTTTGGGGTTGTTGTCTGGTGCGATTCGGGAGTCATTTCAGTTTCACGAGCTCAGGAGACTTTTCTCGGTAGTGATGTGGTCAGCGCTGAAAAACTAGGGGCAAGGGTTGGATAGGCTATAATGTAGCATTGGTGCGTCAGCGCAGATTGGTACCGGCATTAGACTTGGCCCGTAAGCGTTATTTAAAAGCAAGCTCTCGCTCACTTCTTTCCATCGTCGATCGGACTCCGCACTTTCAAATCGCCTTTTATTCAAATTGCAAGAGGAAGACATTCCGTTTCTTCCTACAACTTTGCATCACCCCACTTATATGGTCTCATGCGTTCGCAGCCACGACGGGCCTCGCGCTGAAACGGACAATATCGCTGTCAGCAGTGATGAAGTTGTGCTATGGGAAAATCACATAATGACTCGATGGCGGAGCTCGCGATAGAAGTGGATGAGGAGATTCCCGGTACTGCAACACCAAAGGGCAGCTTGATTCTCATCGGAACCCCGAATCGCGACACAACTTCTGTTGCGTCCCAATCCTCTTCTACCAATGTTATCACTCTCACTCCATGGCTTCCGACTTTATCCACCGGTTATTCTGATGACCTTCCGGTGCTCAGTGCCGAGGGTCTCAGGCGAGTCAGTCAAGATCTCGAAGATGGAGGAAAAATTGCGTGGAGCAAGATGCCTAGAATTTACAGCATTTGCTATGCACTAGGAAAGCCAGACCTGACGGAAGTGTTCGATGCTGAGGAGTTCAGCGATGCCGGTGTTCCATTTTCGACCGACGACCTTCGCAAAGTTATACCGGATCTACGACTCCGAACTCTCTTTTACGAAAGCCAAAGAATGGTCCTTAGCAACCCGCATCGTCCGGAACATTGCTGGGATAGTCATCAACACTTTCACACCGCAGAAGTTCCGTTTGTCCATATCCGAACCCTTGGTCGATCAAGGTCTACGCGAGTAGACGTAGTTGAAAGCGTTTTGACTCAGCATCGATACGTCAGCAAATGCATCATTCGTCGTGGACAGAAATCTGGGGTCCGCACTGGGCTCTTCAGTTACGTCAACAATATTGAAGTATTCAAGGAGCTGTCCCATCGCCACATTTCTACGTTCATGTGCAGCTATTCCGACGAGTACAAAATTGCAATCCTGACGCAACCGGTCGCGGACTGCAGCCTAGAATCATTTCTAGCACAAGTACCGCGCCCAGAGGGAGCGCAAGAATTTTTGCAGTCGTCTTTCGGATGCCTTGCAGGGGCATTGCATTATTTGCGCGGAAAGGGAATGCCACTTAAGCCAATCAGGCCGTCAAATATACTCATCGAGGGCCGAAGCATGTTCTTTACAGACTTCATGGGGCCAAATGACTCGAAACGCCTCCAATTCAGCGGCAGAAATGATTTCTCGACCATTGCGTACTGCAAGTATTGTGCCCCAGAAGAAGAAGAAGAAGTAGAAGAAGCGGGACATCCACCTTACGACCTATGCGATATCTGGTCACTGGGTTGTGTCTTTCTGGAAATGTGGACAGTAATACAAGGGAGGAGTATGGAACAGCTGTCCGCGTTTTTCCTGGAGAATGGTTCAAGAGATTTCCAGTACCACAAGAACATTGAAGCTGTAGAGAAGTGGCTAAAAGAACTTCAGGCATCCTCATCGCCGACGGAACTCGAAGAGACGGAAGGCACATATGACGGTCCATACAATTGGATCAAAGGTATGCTGATGAGAGATCGCATCCTTCGCACAAGCAACACGGAGTTCCTCCTTAGAGCCATCTGCAAAGCCGGCGCTACGTTTACATCACAATGCTGTTTCACCCAGAACTCGGCCTTATTTTCAAAAGCGGCTTCATCGGAACATTGTACTTAGAACGCATCTAGATAGATCCAAGTCCTACCACCACCACCCCATCCCCCTCACCCAGCACAATACGTACTCCTCCCCCTCAACCACTCTCCGCGCTTCCACAACCCCCACGGCGCCACCACCCCGAGCACCGCACTCACCCCCGCGAGCACCGTATTCCCCCACCCCAGCCCCAGCACCTCATACATCCTCGGCGCAAACAGCGGGAAACTGAACCCCGCCATCGTGCGCAGGAACGCGGCGGCGCCCGTCGCGCTGGCCGCGTAGCGCGTGTACGCGTCGACGACGTACGCCTGCGCGCACTGGAAGCCGATGATGAGCCCGCACGCGAAGACGCAGGCGCCGATGTTGGGCACGATCCAGTGCGTGTGGTAGTGGGCGGACCAGCCGTAGGTGGCGAGGCCGAGGGGGACGAGAAGACCGCCCGGAAGCATCAATGGGACGCGGAATTCGGGGCGGCCGGGGGAGGAGTAGTGGTTTTTTAGGTAGATGTAGATCTGTGGGGGAGGGGGGTTAGCCGGGCTAGGGGAGAGGGTGGGGAGGACGGGGGAGGAGGGACTCACGCGGTCGTTGATCGGGGCGCAGATCTGTAGGCCGAGCACGAAGCCGAGGCCGAGCGAGAGGTAGTTGAGGGAGGAGATGGTGAGGGACATTTCGTATTCGTCTTCGAAGACGAGGGCGAAGGTGGAGAGGCTGGCAAAGTTGGTGGTTAGTGTGGCGGTAGACGCGGGGGGGTGGGGGGAGGGGGTGGTGGCTTACACCAGGTACATGACGCCGTAGAGGTAGGCGCGGTAGAGGGCCATGACCTGGATGGCGGGCTGGGTGCCGAGCATGATGAAGGGGCGGACGAGGTTCTTGCGGAGGATCTTGCCGAAGCTGTGGTCGGGGTTCTGCCATTTCGTCCGCAGGTTTTGGTTTCCTGTCTCGTTGCGAAGCTTTTTTGCTTTCTTTGCGAGGATGGCGGGGGCGTACGTCTCGGGTAGCCATATGGTGGCGAGGATCTGGACGATGACATCGGCAATGGACACAGACCAGAAGACCCATCTCTACGGTTTCATTAGCCAGACAGATCTGCATCGAAGTTGATGATCACTCACCCAAGTAGTATGCTCAGTCACCAGACCACCGACTAACGACCACAGGTCAGCGTTAAGAGTAAACTTCAACTACAGGATTACCACTCACCAATGGGACCTATTGCCGGTCCAATGAATGGCGCAAGGCTGTAAACGGCAAGAGCCTTGCCTCGCTCTTCAGCTCTGAAGCAGTCGCTGAGTACGCCGCCACCCAACTGTGATGGATTACTATGGATACTGAGTGACGAATATTTGTGGCGTAATCTTACCGCTTGAGGAGCGCTACCCCCGAGTCCACTAAGGAATCTGAACGCCAGCATCTGTTGCTTTGTCTGTGCGAATCCGCAGACAGTATTAAAGACTAGGTAGAGCAGGTTGGACGCTTGCAAAATGACAACTCGTCCGAAAATCTCAGAGAGCGGGCCGAGGACAAAAGGCCCTATGGCATACGCTAGGAGGAAAATGGACATAACGAAGGCCTTTTCGATCTCGGACTCTATGTTGAATTCGTCTCCGATGACGTCTAACGAAGGGGCAATCATGGTGGAAGAGACTGGGGAGATGAAGGTAAATGAAGAAACGAGAAGTATTGCCGTCCACTTTTTTCCTTTGCTCCAGTTGAGTGGGTTCATGGGATCTTCGTCGTCTTCCCACGTGACCTGTTGCACCCAATCAGAAATTCTGGCCCTGAGAGTCATGGTTCAGTGGCTTACGATGTTGGGGTCATCCTCCTCTTCGTGATCTACTGTGGGATGAAGAGCGTCGGAAGAATTATTTCTTCCTTCCTCAATGCTATGGTGGACTTGATCCGGCAAGTGAAGCTCTGATGGAGGACTTGCAGGATCTTTGTCGGCGAATGATCGATATGTTGACACATCCTCCCACCAACGTTGGTCACGTTGGGTCATCATGGGAGAGAAGTGCAGACTTGGGAGCTGGTATAACGAAGGAGACTCCTCTTTGTCGGTGGAGCGAGATCTGCCAAAAGAAGACCTGATCTTTTCGAAATAGTACGACATGGTGTTGTGCGCGCAACAGCGAATGATGGGTAACGAGAGACTGTGATCTTGGCCAGCAGGGAGACGCCCCTGTCGTGATGCGCAAAGCTTTTATGTCTTCTCAATCACCAGGCTTCTGCCGAATTCCGACCTGTGTCGTGTGCGACTCGGGAGATACGGCAATAGCTGGCAGTGACATGGCAAAAATAGCAGCCGTGTACAGCCTCACGGAGCTGCGGCTTGGATTTCGGTCTTGGAGGCACGGCATGCATGGGACGATGCTAACGAAAAGATTGGCTTCGATGCTTGGCGGAGAGCGTGGCCGTGAGGTGACACAGTTTCGGCCTATCACAAGCGCGCCAATGGCCAAGATCAAGCTTGGTATTTCTTTGCCCGATGATCTGTTTCACAGCCTATCTGTGCTCCGCCTTGTGGCCGCAAGGCGGATCTCTTTCTCCATGGCTGGCAGGAGGATAAGCGGTACGCGACGCATTTACGAGCGGATGACGACGCTGGGCGCAGGTATGCAAGGATGTCCGGGGTCCGGCACGTGATCGGCAGCCTTATGGCCCGAAATGTCGGTGGTGTTGATGCAGGTCTACACAATCATGACGCACTTATCAAGGGAGATCAATATCCGAGTGAGCGCGATTGGCTTTTTACGAGCCATGGAATACCCGGCAAAAATGATCATAGAGAGTGGCGTGGAAATAAGGGTCGATTGTAGTCGGTGTGCGGGTGCGCTAAAGTGGTCGCCCAAAGGGGCGGAAAAAGGGAAACGAGCCTTGCGCTGTAACTTGAAATGCTGTGCATGCATCTCCTAGGGCTTTGTTACGCGTCAGTCGACTGCGGATATCTATCTGTCCTGCCGTGTCATGAGTGGTTTCCCGACGTGTGATTGGACGATGGCTGTGCAGGGTGTGGCTGTGTAAACACACTACTGCAACCCGCTCGCGTGCCGTTTTGCCAAATTGTCTGCGGGGCCCCAGGAACTAGCTGCAACAAGGCGACGGGTGCCTGCTTCTGGAAAATTTAGGTACCGACGTGTTTCATGTCCCTTTCTAAAGATATCACGCCGGGACCTCAGCCCCCCGCTAGCCTGCATGCTATCCAGGCACACAACTGCGTCAGTGGCCCCATGCCATCTCGACTTGCGATATCACGGAACTTGCGAGTCATAGTCGAGCCTCAAGAACGCGTAAGACTCTTGGACATGGTTCTCGCCTGAACTGGACCCTGTGATACCACGGACAGCTTGTTCTCGGGGCGAAAAGTTTATCGATTGACATAGGCCAAGTCGATCAGTGCCTAGTAGATCCCATGTTTAGCAACAGATCATGAGGTTTCTCAGGCACAGCCTCCGGCTTCCAGACCTCTCTCCGAATTCGGTGCCGGTGAGGATGATGGAAAGCGCGGCATCAGGATTTGCTGCCACAGGTTACCGTACTGCCACCTTGAAGGCCTGGTCGAAGATTCAGAGATTGAGAAGGTGATCTATGTGTAGCTTCAAGTTACGAGGGCGATATAAAAGACGGCCGAGGGACGCTATCCCCACCAACACCATCCCTTCGTTTACCAAAGATTCCGGATACTCAACAAACACTATACTCACTCCACCCAATCATCACTTCCGTTCAATCGTCCCTCGTTACCTTCTGCTCAACCCGTGACAATGCAACCCCTCCTCCGAACAAACCTAGCCCCTCGCTCCAACCACAGGCGTCCCACGCCAGTCAACCAACCCCCTTCCACCCCCTTGAAAATCCTCATCGCCCCCTCCGGCTTCAAAGGGAGCCTGAGCCCCCACGAAGTCGCCGACTGCATCGAGACCGGCATCCGGCGCGTCATCCCCTCTTCTTCCGCCGCCGTAGTGCGCAAAGTGCCCCTCGCCGACGGCGGCGAAGGCTTCGCGCAGGCGCTCGTCGCCGCCACGAAGGGCGAACTGCGGCCCCTCACCGTGACCGGGCCCGCCGGCGAGCCTGTCCGGTCGCACTATGGCGTCTTGGGTAGCAGCGGCGGCGGCGGCGGCGGCAGGAAGGACAGCGCCGCCGCCCTCCTCCCCGTCGTCGACACCGATGCTGGGACGGTTTCCAGCTCTGTTGGCACCCCCAGCACCGTCGCCAGCCCAAGCGGCAACAGCACTACTACTGGCAAAACCGCCGTCATCGAAATGGCCACCGCCGCCGGCCTGTCGCTCGTCCCGCCCTCCGCGCGTGACCCGACGCTGACGACCACCTACGGCGTCGGCCAGCTGCTCGCCGCGGCGCTCGACGACAGCGCCGTATCGCGCATCCTCGTCGGCTGCGGCGACTCGGGGACCAGCGACGGCGGCGCGGGCATGCTGCAGGCCTTGGGCGTGAAACTTCTCGATGCCGCCGGACGAGAGCTGCCGCACGCTTCAGGCGGCGCGGCGCTCGTGCGGCTGGCGCGGATCGACTTGAGCGGGCTGCATCCGCGGTTGAGGGACGGAGGGGCAGGAGGGGCAGGAGGACGGGTCGAGATCGAGGTGGCGTGTAACTGGCGGAACGTGCTGTGCGGCGGTGCCGGTGTAGCCCGGGTGTACGGCCCGCAGAAGGGCGCGACGGCGCAGCAGGTCGAGCTTCTCTCCGCCGCGCTGGACAACTTCGCCAGCGTCGTCGAGCGTCAGCTGGGATACGCTGTCGCTCACACGCCAGGCGGCGGGGCGTCGGGCGGGCTGGGCGCCGGGCTGCTCGTGCTGGGCGCGCGGCTGCGGCCGCGGTACGAGGCGGTGATGGAGTGGTTCGCGATCGGCGACCTGTTTGCGGACTGCACGCTCGTCTTCACGGCTGAAGGTGGGATAGATGGGCAGACGCCGCAGGGGAAGATCCCGGCTGAGGTGGCGGGAAGGGCCAAGAAGTATGGTATCCCGGTCATTGCGCTGGCGGGCACGGTGGGCCGTGGCGCGGATGTGAATTATGGAGCGGGCATTGATGCGTATACGTCGATTTTGCAAAGGCCGGGGTCGCTGGATGAGGCGGTGGCGCAGGCGGAGGAGTTGCTTGTTGATGCGGCAGAGGGCGCCATGAGGACGGTGTTGGTGGGGTTGGCGATGAGGGTTTGATGATGGGAGGGGTTTGGCTGGATGGTGATGTCTTTCTTTTGTTAAGCGTGATATCCATACGTTCCTTAGCCAGTCAGTTTAATGGGAATTGATTTTGAATAAAGCCGCAACTGCATAATTTAGTGAAAAATTACTGCTCGTCCCTTTTTTATCAATATTAAACTTTAGGGCTAAGTCCTACAATCCGCCGTTGTAGGCATCCCTGTGGTTTGGTAAAAGCGTAACTTGAGCATCAGTGAGTTCCCGGGCAATCTAACATCGTAGTCAGTTCAGGGGTAATTGGATTTGAGCGCAAGGCTCCCATCGAATTTCGTTCAAACCTGAAAGTTCTGGCCGAGCCCCAAGATTCTTGGTATTCAAGAAAAAACTTTGAAGATTGGTGGGGGGAGTCTGGGCAACGTTGAAAATAGCTGCGGCACGTGCTTGCGGAGGATCGGAAGCGAAACCCACTTCGGTGACGCCATGAACATCTTCAGCTACGCCAGACTCACCGCCACGCGAGAAGGACACTTATCTCTCCCCAAGAGCTGAGGTGGTTCGATTCGGCTGGGCGGACATCTGGGCAGGCCAGGCACTGCCACTTCACAGCCGCTTCCTCCCGCTATCAGCTCCAAGACCCGACAAGCCCTGCTTTGTTTCTCGGCAGCTGTGCACGACTCAGGAACGATCGTATGTTCCTCTCTACTGGAACAATCCCAGCGACCAGGTAACTCTAGGTGAAACAAAGCCGAGCCCTTCCGCATGATGAACCAATCGCTCAACAGAACGTGGCCGTGAATTAGGCTGCAACTAAATATATCACTTGCGTGATTCTCCAGGGCTTTTCAGGTTCAATTCATGAAAATTCGCGATGAAACGCGTGTGCACGTGCATTCCGGCAGGGAGTAGTCGAGGAAAAATCGACACAGTCCCGCACGTATAACATCAACACACAATTATGAACTGACATGAAATCAGAGATCGAATACGATGGAGGACATCCCTACACTTTATTTTTATTTCTTCTTTCAGTACGACTGTTCTATAGAAGATATTTGTCGCTAATTGATGTACGTCCATACAAGCAGTTTCACCTCGGGCGCTCCCGCATACACCAAAACGACATCACAAAGTCCCATACGAGTATTTCACGAATTCATAAAATTTCCGTTGCTTTCTATCAAATGTACCAACCCACCCAACCTACCCAAGAAAAACCCATAACTCCAACCAATCCCTCCCCCCTCCCCCTCCCCTACCGCTTCGCCGGCCTCGCACTCTCCCCCGCCAACTCCACATACGTATCCCCCGCATGCAACTCATGTATCTGATTCGGCTCCGCCTCCATCTCATGCCTCGACCGCGCCGGGCTCCCGTCCCTGCCCCCCTCCTTCCCTGCCCCGCCGCCCGGCCTCGCCCCCAACCCATTCGCCGGCAAATGCGCCACGCTCTCATACACCGGCGGCGTATCAGCCTTATCCCGCTTATCGCCCCCATTCTCTGCACTTGCAGCAGCAGCGGCTGCCGCAGCGCGCCGCTCCTCCTGCCGCCGCCGGTCCCGCGCGCGCCAGAAGTAGAACCCGGCCGCGGCGGTGGCGAGGAGGGCGGCGATGGCGACGCCGACGCCGATGCCGGCTTTGGCGCCGGTGGAGAGGGAGGAGGAAGAGGAGGAGGAGCTGGAGGAGGGGGAAGAGGAGGAGGTGGTGTTGCCGGTGTCGCAGGTGAGGGATTTGATGACGTTTTGGGATTTGTATTGCTCGAGGGGCGCGCAGTCGAAGTCGGTCGCCGAGGTGTGGAGGGAGAATTGTTGGACGTCTTGGAGGTCGGGGAAGGATACGCTGGCGTGGGTTAGCCGGGGGTGGGGGGACGGATGGGGGATGTGGGGGACGGACCTGGTAAACGAGCCTTCCAACACGATGGCCTCGTTCGTCTGCTGCAGCTTGTCCATGGTCAGCGTGTCGACGCGGCTGTTGTTCTGCAGCGTCAGGCCGCCCGTGCGGACGAGCGCCGGGAACTCGACGTCGACGAGCCCTTGGTTGTCCTGCAGGAAGACGCCGTAGGTGGTGCTGTTGCCGACGTCGGTCAGCTTCGGCGCGCTGAACTTCTGGAACGTGTTCGCGCGCAGGACCAGCTCGTAGCATTCGGTCAGCTCTGGCAGCTCAACGGCCGAGAGGTTGGACAGGTCGATGTGCTGCGCGGTCTCCAGGTTCGGGAACGCGGCGGAGAGACCGGGCGCGTTGAACTCGATTGTGATTTTGCCCTGCGTGCTTGCGCGGGTGGAGGTCATGGAGAAGTTGAGGCTCCCGGCGAGGTTCTTGTTGTATGTGATGTTCAGGCCGTCTGTCGTGCCGGTTGGATCAACGCCTTCGAGCGTCTGGAGGCCGGTGCCGCTGACGGTGACTCGTGGGCATTTCCCGAGCGTTGCCGGGAAGGACAGCTGGGAGAGTCCTGGCAGATCTACCAACCGGATCTGGTCGCTGATTGATGTTAAGTTGGGGAAGTCCAATGTGTCCAGGCTTTCCAGGTCTATCAGGTATATGTAGCCGTTGACTTCCTCAAGGTTGGGTGCCGAGAGCTCGCTCAGTTCTGATGCACCCTCGGCCACCAGACTACCGTCGAGAGATTGGAGTCCATCAAGAGAGATCGTGCCAGTCGCAGACGGAGATACTGTAATGTCACCTGTGAAAGTTGCGCAGGATGCTATCCCGGTTGCATCGGCAGAATTGGTGATGGTTGTGGCCGAGGCTGAGCATGATGCGCTTTCTGTATTTCACAATGGTGATCAGTGGACGAAAGTTTGGTGGGAGATCGCTACTTATCATGACCTACGTGCAGATACTAGAGCCTGGAAGAAGATGGGTATGCAAGCAGCAACTAATGCTGCACCTGAAACTCGATATTGCAACATGATGTTGCCTCGATGAGCTGAAACAGTCACAGATGCTTGAGGGAGTGGAAAGGCTGCCAGGCAATTAGAATTTAGCAAGGCTAGAATTACGAGGCCGCGTCAGATCATGTCAGCAAGGCGCGGGCCAGATTCCGCTCAGCCGCATTAGAAGAGGAGTAAGGAGTATCACTGCATGATGGTGGTGTGCGGCTTGCACTTTGGGCGACGGGAAGCTATGTGAAAGGCGGAAATGGGTAATCGCCGCTGCGCCCGGCTGACTAGAGGAAGAAGCTCCAACGGAGTTGTGACCAATTGGTGGCAGCATGCAGAACCGAAGGATCCCAAAATGGCCCCCAACATGCTCGCCTCTTGCGCCCTAATTCGACAATTGCAGCTGCACCGCAGCAGCCGAGCCTCGCAACCCTTGGCACCCGGCAAAAGAACGTGCAGCAAAAGGCACTAAGGCAGAAGCCACGCTTCCGGCCACCCTTCACATGGCTTCGCCAGCCGTGTTGGCACTGGACTGGCCTCCGCGCTTCTTGTTATCTTTCCCGTTGCATGCTGCCTCCACGATACTTTCCTTCGAATCGCATTCGCAATGTCTAATTACAGCTGTCCAAATGCGAATCCAAATGCTCGGCAAGCCTGCGCTGGCGGCTCAAAGTTCGTCGGGTGCTGCATGCGCGACGCTTGCAACTTGGGATGCGACGCCGACAACCTCATTCCTGCGTCCTTCAACACCGACGTCGCCGGCTCAGTACCACCGCTAGATTGCGAAGATGCAGGCGCGAAATTCTACAGCTGCGACAACACAAGTCCGCCATTTCTGGGATGCTGCAAATCGGACGCATGCAGCCAACAGTCGGGATGTCCGAGCGATCAGTTGAGCGGCGCGAAGCTGGGTAGTGATGATGCGGCGGCCACGGCATTTTACTCTCCCACTGGAGTTGCTTCTGCAACCGCATCTGCAACCTCGAGTCCGAAAAAGTCGAGTTCAAATGGTGCAATTATCGGTGGTGCAGTGGGAGGGGTTGTCGCGGTTGCGCTTGTGATTGCGCTGGCCTTCTTCATCTGGCGCAGGAGGAGGCGAAGTCGCGAAAAGGCTGAGGAGATCGCATTAAAGAATACTCCTCGCCCTACCAACCAGAATGTTTACGATAAGCCCACGGGACCAACGGAGCTTTCAGCGTCGAAATCAGTGAGCATAAGAGGTAGAGTAATGTCCCCAATCTTAAAAGTGATCCGTACTGAACAATTCAGGATCCACTGCTTCTCCGCCGCCGCAATACTCAGCATTTGAGCAACGAGGACCCATCTTTGAGCTTGATAGCCAGCAAGAAAATGTCGCCAGGCCAGTAGAGCTCGACGGAAGTAGCACAACATCGTCGCCTAAATCGTCGCCCGGCACCAAGAGCACTAGAAGGTTCGCGAGTCACAGGTTATCGCCTCTCCGCAATAGACGCCCCGAGTCTCTAAACTCGACTTCGGGATCCCCAAGGATCTCCCCGCAGTCTTCAACATTTCCGACCTTCGACAATGACGAAGATCGTTACTCGCGCGTGTCTTCTCTTTCTCCTCGATCACCGCGGTTCCCGAATTCGCCCGATCCAGACGTGGGAAGACCGTCTCCCACCTTTCCGGATCCCATTATTGAAGAAGAACCACGGCGCTCGCAAAACTATTGAATGTAATGTAGATCTCAATGCGATAAATCCATGTTTGAAACACGTGCAACCTAGATTGAATTACAATAGCTTTATTGGGAGGCCAGATGTGGCCTTGCATCAATAATATGTATCCGTGCCCATGGCTCTCGTTTGCGAATGCAGAATGTGGTACGACAAATGTCTTAATTGATACTAAGCAACAAGTAGGATAAGCTAGACCAGCCCTAGACCCAACTCCGGGAACAACAAAGTAATTGGTATCACTCAAAGGCCAAGGACCATCCCCAGCACGGAAAAGAAGGCAATCATAAACCCGGACGGCGGCATATCGAGCTGCTCAGCTGCAGACGCCGAAGTAGCAGCGGCGGCGGCCGAAGATGACGCTGCAGCCGGACCGTAGCCCTCATCGCAGCCACTCTGACAGCCTTGTTGGCAGTGGTCCGAGGTGCTTCCACAAAATCTGCAAGCCAAGCGTCAGCAATTCAGGATCCCGATCCCACGCCAAAAAGACAATAAAGGTTACTTACCCCCCACTGCTGCAACAGCCCCCGTAGTTGTACACACCATAAATGGCAAATGCGTCAGCTTTGGCGCTGGTATCGCAGATGGCGTTGTTGAAGGCCGAGCCGCACTTGCCGTCGCAGCGCGGACTGGTCCCGCTGTCGGCCCAGCTGCAGTGCGGGAATCCGAGCGTCCCGTCGTTCGATTGGCACTTGCCGTAGTCTTCTTGGCAGTCCGGCTTGCTGCAGTAATCGTCGCCCGTGCCACAGTAGCCGTCTTTGCTGTTTCGCGGAGAAAAAAAACATGGCTTGATTAGGACCGCTCTGGATTGAAGGATGCATCGCACAAGGCGGGAACTTACCTGCAGCATGGAGAGGTGCCGTTTGTGAGACACATCCGTCCGTTTTCGCTGCCGCACGAACCGTCGGTGGTGAATGGGTATTCGTTTTCGGGGCTCGTTGAATTTGTCGAATTGGTTGTGCTTGTGGGAATGGTTCCGGTGGAAGTCCTTGTGGAATTGACTGCCAATGTTGCGCTCGCAGAATCCGATGCTGAAGCTGTGCTTGCAGAGTCGGATGCCGAAGCTGTCCCTTCAGAACTGATTATGAAGGTCAATGTTGTGCTCGAAGTTGCAGTGCTGTCGGCTGCACTGCTTTCGGCTGCACTGCTTGCGGCTGCACTGCTTGCGGCTGCAGTGGCTTCGCTTGTGGTGGTTTGAGCTGCGACGCCGAGCGCCAGCAGCAGCGTTTGGAAAAACACAAAAGCGAGCATTTTCGTTCGTTCCGAAAATGAAAAAAGTCGTGATTTACCGGCAGGGCCGAAATGAAAACATTTCGCGATCGAATGCACCAACACTTATATAACGTGAGGCTGCTGCCTCGACCAACATAGGCGTTGGATGCTAGCCCAATATTGGCCCCACGCCCCGAACGCCAATACGGAATGTGTTGGAAGATCAGCTGCAGCTCCGTCGCTGACACTGCATGCCCGACGATCCTGCACGCTCTCAGCCTTGTCAAAAGCAACGTCACCACGAGCCTTTTCAGCCCCTCACTTGCTGATCCAACGGAAATGCCCCGCCGTCCGGCCTGAAGATCGAGGAACACGAGGGCAAAAGTCCGGATCACCGTTGATCCGCAGTCTTAGCCCCAACCCTGCATCCGAGCTGATCTGTCTTAATATTCAGCTATTAATCTCTTGCTTTCTTTTTGTTCTCTATATTGAATTGCAAGAATTGTTTGTGGCAATACGAGTCCCTTATTGTGGCTGGCTCCCGTCTAGATTTTCAGATCCTCGTAAACCTATTTATTGCTCACTTCTAAACAAGAAATGTTGTCTCAGTAGTAAAAGAGCTGAAAGCCATCTTTTCAGCAGGTAAGTACAGAGCACCCCATGTTCGCCCAAGACGTGGCGCATCCATCATTGGTCACAATACACGCGCAGTTACAGTCGTCCTCCACCAGATCCTCCTTCTTCCTCTTCCTCTTCATCATCTTCAGCAAGAAGTTCAAACCCCTCATTAGTCCGACAGTTTGAGACGCGAAATTTTACATACAGACGGAAAGCTACTATACAACAGCAGACAACTGAAATAGCGAAAGCACTATAGATCCAGAACATTGTACTGTACTGACTCAAAACTGCGATGGCGGCCGGAGGATCGTGATCTGCCGACGGGTCTTGTGTGGGCTCTGAACCGACACTTGAACTTGGCGATGGGACCACAGTGTCGTTTTCTTCGCCAGTATCGTCGGCACCAGGTAAAGGGAAGGAATATTTCTGCGAAGGGTCAATGGACTCGCCCCAGAGGTGTAACTTCCAATCGGTAAACACGCCCTCGTGCTCGTTTAGGTTTCCATCTTTAACAGAGATGGTCCAACTGCCAATGCCATTCTCTCCCCAATGCGCAACTGACATAAACATCCACTCACTGTAACCCTCATGGGCATTGTCTTTGGGACGAGACGTCGAAAGCTGGCTGATAATGCCGGAGGGACTGCGTAACACAACGCTCAGGTCTCCGCGGCGGCTGTGGTTGACGTTAATAGTAATGGTGACGTGCTCAATCCGCTCAAGGTTCGCCCCATTCAGATCGACTTCGGTGACTTCGATGCTGCTGTTCAACCCGTCTTCACCCTGTGGGATGGGTTGGTTGACCTGTATACAAGGGGCGAAATACCAAGCTTGTGGTTTCACGACCTGCCAAGTTTTCGCGGCCTGAACGAATGCATACGCATCAAGTTTTCCATAGCCGAATTGATGGCTAAATCTCTTCCCATACGGAGTGTCCTGCCAGCCTTCGCTGCTATCAATCAAATCAGGCTGCTGCAGAGGCTTTTGCTCAAAAGGGATTGCCGTGAGGACGGTAAGCCATTGCATATCGCGCCAAGTCAGCTCGGGACGAACTTGGAGCGCAAGAGCATATATAGCTGCTGCGAGAGGTGCAGCGGCAGAGGTGCCTCCGTGCGAGTTGGTGCACTTTGAGCTACCCACGTCTGTCGTGAAGATTGCATCATATGGGCCGTCACTGCTGTAGGTGACTGCAAGCTGCGCAGAACACCTCTCAGAGTAGGATGGATGGAGGCCAGTCCTGCTAATCGCGCCAATCGTGATGCTGTAAATGGTGTTTGCGTAACCATCAAAATTACAGTTATCGCCCTTGGCAGCGCCATTCCCAGTAGCGAAGACGTATATGGCGCCTCTTCCCTGCCGACCTTTCTGCACGCCATTGATCAAGGCTCTTTGTACGAGAGTGCTGGGAGCTCCCATAGAAGCACCATTGTCGAGGGGCCCCCAAGAGCAAGAGTATATCTGATTCTGGTCCATGGCGTAGTTCATCGCAAGAGCAGCATCCGCATCAGATATGTCTCCGGAAAGGATTCGTATGCCAGATATTCGCGCGTCATAAGCAACGCCAACCCCGCATGCGCTGTTCCTGGCTGCCGCGACTTCTCCAGCACAACGGGTACCGTGCGTATCATCCAAAAGCCTAGGCTTCGGATCCTGAACATGATCATTGAAATCATATGACCCAGCTCGGAAATAGTTGTCCTTCAGATCATCACTGTCCAGATCTAACCCATCGTCGACAATGCACACTGTCGAGCCTTTTCCTGTGATGCCTTCCTTCCAGAGGCCAGTGACATTAATGTCATTCCCATCCTCCCGAGTATTCAGCAGGTGCCACTGCGCGGTGAACAGAGGGTCGTGGATATCAAGTGTTTCGATAATTTCGTCCTGCCGCTTGCGAGCGGCAGATTTTGCTTCGGTCGGATCGTCTGCAAGTACTACGGGATTTCTCTTAAAGAGATGCTGACGGGCGACTTGCTTTTGGCTGAACTTTACACCGTCCAAGCTACCGAGCGCGTGAGCTTCCCTTTTAAATTTTCTTGCTTTCATGATATCTTCCACGACATCGGTCTCCTGCTTCCTTGAGCGGAAGAGATGGTAGCCTTCCATGGAAGGGAAGGGACCTTCGTAATCGAAACCAAGCTCCGTAGCAACATCTAGTGGCCTGACATTTGTGTCGATTTGGAGGGCGTAGTAGTCGTACAAATCGTAGTATCGCGGGCCAAGAACCTGAGAGACACTGAGCGCAGCAAGGAATAGTAACGTGAAAATAAAACAGGCTCGCATGATCGCGAGTTGAATGGTCCACCCGGTAAAACCGACAGTGTAGAGAAGGAGTGGATTGGTTGACGTGGAAGAGATTAGGCCGGGGCCACGATCGTGAACGAGAATAGAGCTCAAGACGCAGGGGCTAAATCGCACGGACTTGGATGACACGGGCCTTACTTTTGGCTCTGATTGGGTGCTTCGTAACAAATTTCCACGGAGTCCGCGGAGCCGACTAGATTAGGATACCACGGAAGGTTGGTCCTACATATCGCAGCATATGGAAAACCTGCCCGGTCCAGCGCACAACAGATAATTAGCCAACTCCGCTCGCAATCTCCGACCCACATCAAAGAACTTTGCAATGACTCACGCTAGTTTATTGCTTTAGCGTTTTAGACCGAGCGATGTTTTCTGCCTAGAAGGGTCATTAGAGCCTGGCTCGTGCGAGACTACATATGTATAGGCGCATGTATAAAAGTTTCGATATGCTCCCTACAATAGTCATCTCAGAGCATTCTATTTGTTGATCACCGGCTATAGCGTTATTTTCCCGCGCTAGACCACTCTTAGCAAGCATGCCTTAAACCAATCCCGATCATCCCTCCCGCTTCTCTAACTTCTCTTATTTTTAGCACTACCAACAAGATGGTGTCAGATCACCTGATTGAAACCAGTAATTATCTATTGGAGCCCTCCAGTCCCTCGTTGGACGTCCAGCAGCCTCGTCCGATCCTACTTCGCTTTCATGGCGGTGGCTTCATACCTGGGTCAAGCCCGTTTCCAGACTTCTTCTCACCATAGCTACCTTGAGCTAGCGGAGCCCCATTGCGCTATCATCGTGATGTTTAACTATCACCGCTCCCCAAGGCCAGCATAGACGGCATTCTCACTGGTATCGAGGACCAGTACATTTTGCTCTTCCATCACAGGCCCCACCCTTGAAGAATGCATGCGCCCTTCCTGTGGACCGACATGAACAATAGCTGGACCTGGATCCAGACCACCCCCTCCAGACCGTTCTCTCAACCCAGACCTCTGCCATTGTCCTTGCCGACACCAACCGCATCCTCGCCACTGTCGACATTGCCGGTGGCTACATCTCGTTGATGCTCGGTCTCGCCCACCCAACCGCCATTTGCGCCCCGACGGCCGAGTACCCATTGACCGATGCAGCCGACCCCTAGTTCTAGCAGCCCATTTTCAGACTACCGTACCAGCCCGCCACGGTCACCGCAGAGCACCGTGAGCAGGTTACAAAGGGCGAGTTACCGCTTGTTGTATCAGCCGACCCGCGACGAGACAAGCCGAAACAGATGCTGGCATGCGCGCAAAACGGGATGAAGAGGGAGTTATTCCTGGTCGGTGTGGAGGGGAAAAGGCGCTTGTTCCCAAGGGAACTAGGGAGCAGTTTTCGCGTGGTGGTGTTTTTGTGTGTCATAGATAGCTCGGTCATGCCAGTGCAGGCTAGTATAGAATTTAAAGAGTTAGTCGGGAAGGTGAATCCTGAGCTAAAGTATGATCTGGCCATTAAAAGGGAGATCATGGGTTTGTGGGGAGTGCGAAGCTGGATTAAAAATGGTTGGCGGACGGATTGAGTGGAGTTGTAGAGGCGTGATTGGCCTGGCCAGCGAGAGGGGACCGTAGATCGGCATAGTAGTCTTCTTATTGGGGCTCTTCCAAACTCTAGACCAAGCTCTTGAACCCTTGCTCCAGCTTATCGGGAGAGGAGGAATGAGATGTGTCGTCAACGTGAAAAGAAATCTTGATCTACCTCTGTCTAACGAATTCGGTTCGATCTTGCGTCGATTAAACTTGGGTTTAGTAAGAGATTCATCCTGCTCCATGGTTGCCTCCAGGACCTCGAGGATATTATCAAGACTAGTTTCTTTGTTTGGCCTCCGTGGTTTAGCCGGGCGCAATAATACTACAATTTAAGGCCTTCTCCAAGCCTCGATGATCGGTTTGGTCGATCTGGCGGGGCCCAGCGCGATCCGGCGCATCCGGAACCCGCCCTCCACCCGCGCCTTCACCAGTCTATTCCTCCGGTATCGCAACCAGCTCTATTCATCTCGAGGTCTAAAAGCCAACATTGTAAAGATTCAATAAAGGCTCTTCCACATCAGTAGAAGAGTCCATCGTGTCTCAAGTCTGTTTGGTGTTGAGCCCAAGTTGTCTCAAAATGAATGAATAATAAATAAGCTAATAAACTTCTCCAATAACAACTAACGGAGGTAATAAATCGATGAAGAAGGTGTATCGTTACTTTCAGGCAGCACATCAGTGCTGTTGGCGCTAAACCTTAAATAGGTAACAGCCGAGGCAAACCTTTTTTGATTACTCGACGCTCTGCAATAAGACTTCTCCGCATCAGCATCCGGCAACTTCTGCTGAAAATTTTTCACGACGTAATATCGTAAGAATAACGCCCCGTGTCTTAACCGCTTTAGAAAGAAAAAAAACCACTACACCGATTGGGCACGCTCCGGTGGGCCATCATGATGCTCCACACTACAGCCCGCCCTTTTGCCGAAGGAGAGCCGACGTCCATGGTCAAGAAACGGAAGGGAAGACCGCGAAAAGAAGATCAATGTGCGACAGATATCGAGGTTAGTCATTTGTACTCCATCGATCTGGCCGGGATTCCGGGTAGTGAGGCCAAGACCGCTCGGTATGCATGTGATTACGCAGCGTTCCGCATACCTATCAGTCTTGTGGCTTAACTTGTCATCTCAAACCGCTACAATCGGCTCGCTTGCGTCAAGAAGAGCTCTGGCTGACTGTTTGCTCAACAGCGCCGTCGCACGCAGATTCGACACGCTCAACGAACATATCGACAGAAAAAGGATGACACAATTACCACGTTGCAGAAGAAGGTGGAGAAACTACAAATCATCATCGATGCCATGAGCGACTCTCTCACACGCTTCAACAGCCATGTAGCTGCCTCACACACCCTTGGTCTCTCGCCCCAGATGGAATCAGGACTCAAGCAGATGACTTTCAAGATTGCAGAACTACAACAGACAGCAGAGGTTGCAAGGAGGGAATCCTCAGACGACAGCAGCTCTCATACCCCCACAACTTCTCGGCTTTCCTCTGAAGGCGTCGAACTTCTAAGCATAAGGCCAAGACAAAGCCAAGAAGTCCTCATCGGCCCAACACCATCGACCCACCAAACAACAGCGGCCCAAACGGACGACGACAGCGTCATCCAACAAGACCTTCCATTCGGCTACCGCATATCCTACGATCCCACCACCACCACAAGCCACGACAACGACATCACCACCACCACCACCACCGCAGCCGAGCCCACCCTCCTCCACCAACCGCTCCTCCCATCACCAACAACCCTCTCCCCACAGCTCCCCTACACCTACTCCTTCCGCGAAATCACCTTCGCCCACCAACTCGAGCGCGCCTGCCTCGAACGCGGCATCTACGTCCTCGCCAACGTGCACCTCGAGCCCGCCGCGTACCGGCGCGCCTTCCGCATTAGCCGGCACTTCGCCAGCCGCGAGCTCATGCTGCACCGGCTCAAGAAGTGGGTGCAGCAGCCGGTGATCAGGCCGTACGGCGACCTCCGTCTGAACCTGGGTGGAGCTGGACTGCATTACGCGTCGCCAAGCAGCGGTAGCAGCAGCAGCAGCAGCAGCAGCAATGGCGGCGGGGAAGGTGAGCAGCGGAGCCGGCATTTGACGACGCTGCATGTGGAGGAGTATCGGTATAGCGCGCGGGCGAGGTTGGTCGCCATGGGGCTGCCGATTACGGCGGAGGTGGAGGCGGATCTGAGGTTCTATGAGGGCGTGTGGTTTGATATGCGGGATGTGGAGGCGTATCTGGCCGAGTTGGGGATTCGGGTCGAGCCGTATGCCACGCTGGTGCAGGCCAAGGCCGAGACCCTGCAGGGGCTTTGGCAGGATGTCGGGGGTTGGGGGCAAGGTCTGCGTGGGAATGTGGGTAAGATGCTTGATCGGTTTCCGGGCGGGTCGAACGCTTCGCAACCTGAGCGGAGATTGGGCGCGTCGGATGGCTCTGTAGGGTTCTTGGGAGCCACCACGGATGCCAACGTCCCTATGACGGATGAGCTGAGCACTGAGGAATGGGAGCGGTTCCTCAACTCCACTGTCCCGTGGCTGAGCGATGTGGTGTTGGGAGATGCTCCAGCCAACAGCGCCGGAGATGGCAGGGATATTTCGAAGATGTTGGGTGAGCGGGTTGAGATTGATGTACAAAGACTGGCTAATGGTATGGCTACCTCCCCTCCCTCTACGATATGGGTATGACTATGATACTAACCTCTATATGTACCAGAACTAATTAAGCGCACCGTGTGCATTGGAAGAGGCCCCGGGATCCGTCGGGAAGACGTTAACAAAGCGGTCTGCGCTGCTGCAATTGTGGATGTGTAATCGGCTGAAATTCTATATTCAAATAATTCATGCTTAGAGAATGATGTTCCTTAATGACAGACTCCGGGCCTTACTTTACTCCCTTCTATACAAGTCGTGTTGTCTCAGGAGTAAATGAACTCAGCCAATCGGCCTGTCCCGGTATGCTTCGTGCCTCGAAAACCCCAACCCGACAGTACTCTCCGTCGCCCACATTTCTTAAGATTAACCCCTCAGAGCTGTGCAACTGTAAAAGCCGCGCTGGGACTTCTTCCCTGATCTTCAATGCCGTGTACGTTTGCCTCCGCCCGTCGGGGAGAAAAGGCTCTCTTTCTTCCGTTTCGTCTAGAATAGTAGTATCTAGGTCTCTAATGAAACCTAAGTGGTGTGGAACAAGACCGAAATCTGCTCCATTTATACGCCGTCCCGTCACACCTCTTGCAGGGCCTTTCAACAGGATAGTTGCCTTGTTGATGAACCCGAACATCTGATGAGGCTTTCGCAGGTCGAACTGCGCATCCAACACCTGTACGCACGGTGTTGGGCATTCAAAATGCTTGAACTTGTACTGCATCTCCCAAATGACAGGTACCTCAACTGAAGACCACGTAAATAAAGGGCGGCGTATGGCCTCATCCTCGGTTTCGATGACAAGCTTTTTTCCGCCTGAGATCCTCCATATCAGCTCCTACGCCGCTTCTATCTCGGGATGCTCTGCGGAGAGCCATATTCCAGCAAGACACGTCATCTCGGGTGCTGCAACCTTCATCCTGGCTGCAATACCAGATATGGCGCGTAGCTTGTCAGCCGAGTGGGTGAGAGTCCGGGCGGTGTAATCTTCCACAACAATTCGCCAGACGCGAAGCATGCCGGCTATGTCATCTGCCTTCCGCTGTTGGACGCTTTCTCTCCTGGCTCCGGCGGTAAAGACATTGTCTGGGAGACGTCCGAAGCCTGTCACGGACGGTATATTATCTGACCACGCCACAATGAACCCTAACAATTGGGTTCATTCCAGTACTCTTTTGCCCTGAAGAGGCCTGTGCTAACCGGCGTGGCGCAGTGGGTAAGGCCAGAAGCCTTACAAAGCCCCTCTCAATGAAGCCAGAAGTGTTCACTTCTGGTGTTCTAACGCCGGTTTGGCACATCCACATGAGTTGGGTGGATGTGTACACCAACATGCGTGGGCTCAAAAGGCGCTCTTCTAGTGTCTTGTAAAAGTTAGTAAGAAACTTCATATTTCATGCCTTCCATCCCGGCTTACCCATGCTCTGCTGTTGACAGCCTCGGCCATGAAATCATACTCCTTCCAGGGCTGCAGCAAAAGACTCCCCATGCGACCATCTCTGCATACCCAAGGCAACTTGAATGCGGGGGGTGCCCTCTCCGGTGTCATCCTGATCTCGAACTGAGCTCGTGTGGATCCTCTTGGCTGAAGGAAGCCTGAGTTGCAACTTGGCGCAGTCCCTCATCCACACCCCTACCTGCAACATCGCCTCTTCCGACATCACATCTGCTATCGGCGGCCGTGACGGGATATCTTCCGCCGCCGGATCGCCCGACTCCGCCGCGACGGCGAATCTCTCGAGCCGCGTGGGCTCCCATGACACCAAGTCCGCACTCCACGCACTCCGCCGCTCCACCGGCTGCTGCAGCAAGGAGACCTCGAGCACGTTGAACGCGCGCCTATCTGTCAGCATCAAGGCGGTCAATGAACTGCCAAAGATCCGGCTTCATTGGGTGCTGCTCGTAGACGTCATTTGTCCTGTAAAGCCGTTCTCCTGGAAACGTATGGAATATGCCGTGGAAGTCGCGGTTTTCTCGTCTCGGAATGGTCAGCTCATGCCCACCACCCTCAACGGGTCGCATCTCGATACCGTAACCGTATGCTGAGGTCCACTCAAAATACTCCCAGTCTTCCGGATTCTCTTGGATAAGGCTTACGAGTAGCCCTGTTTCCGTGCTTCCCATGATGTTTTGTAGATTCATGTGCTGGCTAAGTAGGTTCCCAGCGTCCCTCGGGAGAGGTGCCCCACCAATGAAGACAGTATGAAATCTCTTTAGCACATCGATGCCTTTCTCAGTAGAGCTTAGCTCTTCTAAAATTGAAGCAGCGATGATAGCAGTAGGCTTCACAACGTTCGTGGTATCCAAAATACTTTCCAACAGACTCGTGGTTATCGGCATGTCCGGGCCCTGAATGAAAGGATTATCGTGGAATATTGACTCGATAATGGCCATGATACCCATCATATGGAAGTATGGACTCGTCGCCAGGAGGAAATGGCCTTTGACCGCGCCACTTGGGAATGCTACAGCTCTTCCCGGCGGAATAGGCAAGTGATTAGCTATGCATACATCTTTCCAGCAGTGGGACTGTCCACCTCGTCGTTCGAAAATGAGCAGTGGCCAATAATTTTCCCATCACCAAACAGGCCCTCCGAAACAACTCCCCACTTCACAGGCAGAAGCTCAGATGTGCCTTCGGGCACATGACAGGCTGCTGCAATAGCCATGCTGCAACTTCCAGCCATCGGGATACCTGGTGCTAATTGGCGAAGCCCAAGCGCGATAGCAAAGCCCATTAGAGCAACTAGGATTACAAGAGTAATAACCATGCCGAGCGGAGAATAGCCGCAGGTAATAACGTCTGGGTCATTAGACGTGTTGTCCAATTTTACTGACTTTCCAACGGCGTCTTTCCCTTTGATTTGCACAAAGAAGATGGTTTGAGAAACCATCCAGTGGAGTAAGACTGAGAGACATAGAAGTGGGATGCTCAGTCTGTAAGGAAGTTGTAGGAAGTAGGTGGACCTCTGATCCTGGCTGCGTCGTTGCGAAACGCGCAAACCTCGTCTGTGTTGTCCGTAATGACTCCACTCGGTAGCCAATGACATACTCGTGAACAGACTGTTTAAGACGAAGTATAAGAAAGTGAGAAGCAGTTGTGGTAAGTTAGCAATGAGAACTGTCTCAACAATAGCCGCATTGCGACTTGTCGCAACGCTCCATCCGCTGATCAGCGTTTCTGGCAGTACGGTGCCAATCCACATCTTCCAGATTGACTGAACATTACCTCGTCTTCCTAAAACAGACATGGTGTAGGAAAATAGGACTATGATGACCAAGAAAGCGGTAATCATTCTGTTCATGGTAAGTGACTATTCCAGTTTGATCGTATAATTTGCTTACAGAAAACTGGCAAGCACCCAACGACGGGTGCCGACTGCTTTGTACCGTCTTTGCCTCACATTTGAGAAAGATGATGGGAATTTAACAGGAGTATACCGGATCAAGTCGGAGTTTCCGTCTCCAATGGTCAATAGTTCCATGACGGTGGTGGAATTGTCAGCATGACGGGAGTCGCTGCTGGCTCCATGGCTTGGCGGATTTCGTCGGCGAACAACCTCTTTCCAAGACCACAGACAAATCCCACCAGTAGTCACGTCGCGGCGCCCAATGAAAGATGACACCGCGTCTCCAACCGTAATCAGAGGGTTCTCCTTGATGGTCCATATCGTGGCTATGATGGCAAGCAGTTTGACAACATTGAAAACGACAACTGTAAGCAAGAGTGGCAGCCCGACGTTCAAAGCGCACTCTCCTTCCATTTTCTCGCTCAGGCAATGGTCAATGTCGAAGCCTGCAACGATCCACTGCTGCGCCCCATGATATTTGTCCCAAGCCGCCTCGGCAGTGCAGTTCGACAACCCTCCACATGACACGCTAGTCTCCAAAGCAAGTGCGGAACCGTTCTGAGAGCAGATCCATTGGAAATAATCGGCGTCCCAATTGCCGGCGTAAGGCCGCTTCCATGACCTGACTGCGTACAACGAAGAGTTACTGCAAGTGACTAAATCCAGTGATCCAGTCATGATGGCTTGCGAATCTTGCGGGCCACACACCACCGGCCGGGGAGGATTTGCAGGGCATAGAAGGTCGTCATAGGAGTTATCTACATCTGAGAGATCTCCAATGAATGTGAGGTTGTCGAGCGGCGAGTTCGAGGCCACGAGAATAAGGTTTCGGCGATCCGTCAATAAAGGGTTGGCATATTTTCGTATGCACTCATCTTTGTCCAGTCGTTCGAATGGGCCATTCTCTCCCTCGATGACGAGATCGCGGATTTCGTGGACATTGGTGCTGTAGCGTCCGGAGTTCTCCGTTTCACTGATGGTCCCGTTAGGCAGGCGGACGGTAACATTCCTGTGTGAAAGTGAAAAAAGGTCCTCGTCGACGTACGCGCCGGTCGCGAAATCTTCGTCTGCAAAGTATATGTCATACGAGTATGTCGTTGTTGATGTGTAGAAAGTGGAGTTGTATCTGATATATTGATCAGTAAGGAATACCTTATCTTCACCTTGACAACTCACAGTAAATGAAACGGAATTGAAGAAAGGCTCAGAATAACCCAGACCCAAAACTTGCGGTGTCCACTCGTCCGGAAGTTTCGAAAGTTTGGAACCCCAATGTGGAGCCAAAAGCCCTCCGAGTGGGCTTTGTCCACTTCTGTGCGTGTTGGGGCACTGAGACATTGCAAACAATAATTACTCCCGCCCAGAACGAGAGAACTCAGGACGTTGATTCCCAAGTGGATCCAAGTCCCGATGCGTTTGATTCTCTCGCAATCTCCGATTACGAGTGGACCGAAAGATTCGCCACTCTGCTGCCGGACAGGGTGGGTGTAAGCGACAACTATGACGGAAATATTGAGCAAAAGCACAAAAGCTGACAAGGCTGCAGCGCATCTTACGCCAGCTCGCCAGCCTTGTCGGGAAAGGTCAGTTAAGCCAACTCGTTGTGCACCACGTCGCCATAACGTGAGCAGCGTTTTGGATCTCGGTCCGTTCTGAGTTCCATTGGTATCGTGAAACTCAAGCTGGTCGGTATCTGATATGCGGGAATAAGAGCCTGTATCTCTGGAACACGTCCAATGATTTCCCAAATTAGCAGGCGATGAACATGCGAATTGTTTGCAACTACACTCACCCTGAGCCAAGACGACTTGCCATGATCGCTAAAAGTAGAACAAGAATGTCAGTACGCGAAAGAGAAGATAGATCCACTAAAAGAAACGAAGACTACTGAGGTATTTGAACAAATTTTTCCCCGTTGTACGCAGGGGTTGCAGATCAATCAATCCGCCAAGACTCCGCTTGGATTGATTGATCGCTTGATAAGCGCTTGCAAGCCAGTTTTCTACTAGAATAGGTTTAGTGTTTGTCTAATCCGGAAGGTATGGTACGTGCATATTAAGACGGTTTCAAGGCTCTTCTCCTCTCCACCCGCTAAGATATATAAAATTAGTAACACTAAGCCTATTATAGTAGGTAACTACCTATAAAAACCGCTTACCAAGCGCTTGCAATCAATCAGGGTAATTGGGCCCGCTTGCAAGCTAAGCGCTTGATCTTGAAAATCCGATCAAGCGGGTCCAAAATGGCCGCTTGCAAGCGGATTGATTGAACGCTTGCAAGCGCGCGCTTGCGCTTGTTGCGACCCCTGGTTGTACGGCTTTGGGGGCCGCGATGCTGTCTCGTAAATTGACGTCATAGAGAAGTTCAATTACTGAAAGTGATTCGCCAAGGTTCGTAATAGGTGACCTGCATATCGTCTCCTACCGGTCGGAAGCATCCTTCATTTCCCGAACACACATAAGTGTAGCGATTTATCATTGAGCTTGGGCGACACTCTGGAATGTCAGAAACATTGATTGGGCTTCTAAGAATATAAGAAGAGCCCCGGGAGCTAACAGGCAAGCGTCAATTTCGCGTGATATACATGTGTTCCGGACCCTGTCAGTACGCCAGGGTCGCCTAGCTTATGCAGGCATCGCCCCCACTTTGAAAAGGCAGCCCCCACACTCTGCGATTTCTTGGCTAGGGCTTGTGGAACGGAATGCCAGTCTTGGTTCCAGAAATACCGTGGAGCAACGATTTGGAATTTTTGACATGATTTACTTTGCTGCAAACCATGTTCAAAAAATATCTCATGGGTATTATTCTGCGGGTCGCAACATTCACGTGAAGTCATGATATCATAGTCATCGTTGTATCATCACCTGAGTCCTCCATCGCGAAACTTTATCTTCACCAAAATTATGACGCAAGGTTGGCGCAATGATACTTCACGGCGAGCCGAAGTCTGCGGGGATGCCAGGAACGGACATCAGTGTGACTACCATGGATGCTGGAATCGCATGCGCAACTGCTGTGTAAACCGAGATATGCGGGTGTTGGCTAGACCCATCAAGTTAGTGGCCGCTAGACAAACCATAAATCTTAGAGCAAAGACCCGGTGGGCATCCATGATCAAGCTGCAGAGAATCGAGCTACTGTGAGTCTTCGACGTCATTGTGATAATCTCTGGATCGAAAGAACATTGCAAATGGAGATGCCGTGATGGATACGCAATGTGGATTCTGCACTACATGGAATTCTATTTAAACGATGCCTGAGATCTGATACCATTCTGCTACGATAAAAGTCACTTGCGCTCTTAGCACACACTTAAGACACTTTGCCAGACACAATTCCAAACAACGCGTCTCAGCCAAAATGACCGACAACACCAACCCCGGCAACTTCGCCAACCGCTCCAAGGACGAAGTCCGCGACATTGCTTCGAAAGGGGGCCAGGCGAGTCACCAGGGTGGCTTTGCATCCATGGATCCAGATAAACAAGTCTGTACCAGTTTTAATATCATGAAAGGTACAGTACTGACATAGTCGTAGCATGATATTGCTTCCAAGGGTGGTCAAATGTCGGGAGGGTCTTTCGAGGTGGGTAGTGAGAAGGCGAAGGAGGCGGGACGCAAGGGCGGTCAGAAGTAAATGTATCGTAGAGGCTGACGCAAATTCGTGACGCATATATATAAAAACGTCTTGTCTGTCATTTGTATAAAAGTGCTGGCAAATACAAATTTCTTTAATGAAGATGGAGCATCATGGCCTTTCAGAGGCATCATCGACAATCTCTATGCCCCATCTCTCCTTGCCGTCCGAGTCCTGAAACCAAGCCAGCTTCGTCATCACCTGCCCGTCATCTTCACCACCCTGGCCCTCCAAATCCTTGCTCCGCACAAACTGCAGTAGTCGCTCGCTTCTCGAAATCAAAATGAGGACGTCTGCGGGACACTCGAAATCTCTAATCAACCTCTTCAAGTGCCTTCCCTCCATCACCGCCACGACAATGACAGTGAGGATGAACCAGGCCAAGATGGCCACACTAAGCCACGCGGCAACCGCGTTGACCTCCAGAAGCTCGACCCGTGTGTGGATGTCTACGTGCGCTGTGAGGCTCACGTTCTCGGGGGTTTGAGGGGTGGAGCCGTTGCCTGGAGGAAGCGACTGACCGGGCACCGGGTCAAACGGGCGACTGCTGTTGATCTGCTGGTACGCCCAGCCGCCAGTTTCGATTGAGAAGTTGCTACTGACGAAGTGCTGAAAAAATGTGGCAAAGGTCTTATTGGCAAGGCGCTCAAGAGTTGATGCATCGAGCAGAGCCTCTGGGTCTTTGTTGGCCAAAATGTACATCGAGTATGTCATGAAATCCACGTTGAGGCCATTATTGGGGTCGCGGAAGTTGAAGGTCATATCTTCAAGGATCTCGGAATTTGTACGTGCGCCCGATAATAGGAGAATATTACTCGCATATAGCATTGCGTCTTGAAATAAAGCACCGTAACTATTGCAATTGGGGTCAGTCAGAAGCCTCTACTTGCATGAAAAATATCGGTTCATCTTTTTACCTGACAGAAACGTCTTGAGTGTAGTCGGTCCATAGCGGCCCCGACTTTCCATGTTCTTGGCCGATATAAAGGTCTTTCCATGCCTCTAGGGCAGACTTTGGCTCGTCTATTATCTTGAACGACTGAACCCGGCCGGTTCTTTGATCAACGGTTACGTCTGCTGTTGCTTTCTCAATCGCTGGCGTGCAATGCAGGGCCTGTGCAGCAGGAACCTCCGTAAACAGTGTTACGTTGTCGGTAGAGTTAACGTATCGAAGCCCGGACAGCAGATCTCCATAGATCCATTTGACTGTTATCTTATTTTGCCATTGTACTTCGTACCCAACGGCAAAAGGGTCGGTTTTTGACCAATATCCGACGGCGGAACGACCTTGAGTAGGTTGAGTTGTTCCATTAGCACAACAAGCTAAATAGGTCGCAGTGCCGAGAACGTTTGTGTCGACAAAGAATCCAGTGCCGTACTGGCCGCCCGTACCTAGCTGATATCCGGTCATTACATCCTGTGGGCGGGTACTCGCATTCCAGATGGAGTGATTGCTCAGATCGAGAGTTGTCAACCAGTCACTGGTGTTGGCCAAGTCAGGGTAAGCAGTACATTCCAGACGAGCTCGTATGGCAGGCGTCGATACGGAGACATTTTTGCTAGGGTTGAAAGACGCACTTCCGACTTTCTGGATTGGACTCCCGCTCTCCGTAATTGACAAATCGATTGGGACAAAGCTCCAGCCATCGCGGCTCCAGCTTGGCTCAGTACCATTAAGTGCCAACTGAATAGTAGCAGTGTACATCCAATTAGTAGATAGGCCGGTGTAGAGACTGGAAGTGATGTAGTTGAAATAATCTCTGCCAGTGCCAGGTGTGGTTGTAGGTGAAAGGTAGATTTTTGAGGAAGTGAAGAAAACGAGGCTCGGGTCATCTTAAATGGTGCTCTTGAAAGGGATGCGAGGCACTGCCATGCTGAACTATTGTGTGTTACAAGGCTCTATGCAATGTTGCGCAGCGACGTATGGTATCCTCCCTTGCACTACCAGCATTCAGCTCACAATGACCTGCCTTGTGTCCGAAAGTCCATTGGCCCCCACGTAATGTGGAATCATTGCACAGCTAAGTTCCACACTAGTCATTCCTGCTTACCTTGATTACACAGTGACATACAGGTGCGAGGCTGGAACAGCCGGAATGACGTCGTCTTTCTTAAAGGCGGGAGGATGTGCAACGACCGGTTACGATAGCTGAGCTGTAATATAGTGATATCAGCCTCTCTACTTTGATTTTAGTAGTGAAATAAGCATGGCAATTTCTCGCGTACAAGCATAATGAGGTCAATTATGTCTAATATCCGAGAATGAAATTAGGTTGGGCTAAAAATCAGGGCCAAGCAAGAAACTTCAGTGTGCTTGTCATGGCCTGGCAAGGCTGGTGCCACACTGTGCTGAGGGCGCATGAAAAAATGTTTTGGAAGGGGTTCCTTGTGTAGCTCTATCCTTACCACACCTATTTCACACGAAGGACAGCGCCGTAGAATATCCGATTCAGATTAGGTTGTTTTTCCTTTAGCTTATTACGATTATTTGGTTCATTCCTACACACTACATACAGAGACCCCCAGCATCATTCGGTCCAGGGATTATAGAAGGATGAGCCCGAATTCAAGATTGAGGAGAGCCTCAGTGGGTCCAATTGTTGAACTCGCCTAAGAAATGACACAAATATCCCATTTATGTGAATGGGCGTGGTCTGTAGAACTGCCACTTCAGTTACTGGTGGCTTAAACTGAGTTTCCGTTTGGGCATCTCGAAACCAGTGTGTTGAAAATATCTCACAGTCTTAGTCTGTGATTGGTCGTTGATCTCGGCTTCGGGGCTAAGTAGATTACCCGGTCGCAGCCTGGTCTACCGCACCACACTCTCGTGCTCGCTTCTATTATTTCCGGGTCCCGATAAGCCCACTGTTCCCTTTCCGTTCTATTGCATCGGACCCTCGTCTGAAATCTGAAATGATTGGCTTCGCAGGGTGAAAATAATGTGTGGATGTTAAAATTTGCAAAGGAAGCTCCGAGGCTCGCTGCAGGAAAATGACTCAAGGTGGTCATGCGGCAGCGATTTTGGCTACTGAGGCTGAGATCAACATTTGTGTTGTGGCTTGTGGGAATGCATTCTAGCCAAGTCGATTAGGCGTGTGTCGGCGATCTATCTCAAAAGAAGGGTTGGCTGACATGTCTCCACCCCTGCAGCAACAATATTTGGGGTCCAGCCCGTGATGCTAATCCTTGCAACCGCTAATGGGGGCCGTCAGCAATCAATATAATTCACGCCACCATACCATAGAAAATTAGTAATACATGCACATAACATCACTTGAATGTCTCAGCCTCATCAGAAAGCCCGGGACTTTTTTTCTGAGCACTGCATCCGCCTGAGCAGGACGCTGTCTCTTCGAGCTGCCACATCCGCGTGCATGGCCATGTTCACTGAGTAACGGTCTGAGTCGATCAGACTTGATTTACCAACAATAGAATCATGGCTGCTGCTGAAGAAGCCGTTCCTTTGGGCGATGATGTTGAAGACCAATTCTTTTGTACACCAGAATCCCCCAAAGAAGATGACGAGTTGCAAGCCTTCTTCTCCTGTATGTCAATATCTGGAGCATCATGTGAACTCATGGCTGACTGATATAATTCCTCAGACAATGGTCCCAGAGATGAACAGAATGGCCTAAACCCTTCATCAGTTTCAGACCCAGGCCCACAACAGATGCCAGCGGATGATGTGAAGGCCCTCGAACCGCCTGAAGACTCCACCTCACGTACGTTTACATCCTTCGGCGAAAGTGGCACAACAGCAAGTGTCAGTGCGTATGGAGACATCATGCAGATTACGAAGTACTTCGGAGTCGGCAAGTCCGGGTTCTTCTGCGTAGATCTACCAGATCAATCGGAGCCGTGGTTTGTTACTGGGCGCGCCTGGAATCTCTTGGACTATTCCACAGACGACCAGCAAGGAATCGGGGTTCTTCTACCGGAGTATTGGAAGGAGAAACCTCGTCTTGATTTCGTTCACGATCGCTGGCCACGCTACCGAGGAGAAACGGAGCACTTGTCCATTTCCATTCAGTACACCGTCCGCGACGGTGTGGTTATCCAGAAGTACAATATCCAAAAGATGTCTAAGAGCTCTGTCACATTTGCGGTCCATAATAAGGGTGTGGCAATTCGGCAAATGGAGTGGTTGGATGCTGCAAACCAATTCAACATGCAAGACCCTTCGGACACCTCTACAGAATATCAGGACGGCGAGCAGCCAAGCACTTACAGGCCACCTTACCAAGTTCTCTGTGGATTGGATAAGCGTAGCTTAAATGTGATTCATCATTTTGATGGCTTGGTCAAAGAAATAGAAGAACAAGAAGAGAAGGCACCTCACTGGCCGAGTGAAGAATCGCAGGCTCAACCATCTAACCATAGTGAGATTTCGGCACGTCATTCAGATGCTACTGGACAGAAAGATGATGAAGGCTCGGACAGTGTCAGTCATAGAAAGGAAGGAACCTCCATCTCCAATGGGTCAAGAGAGCCGGAAGCTGTTGGCCTGGTAATAGCAGTCTTCGTAAACGGCAAGGCGCAGCAATTTGAAGACAACGGCAGCATGTCTCTTCATATGCCTGAAGACTCAGAGTCTCTGGATATTACGATTGCATATCGATTACAGCTATTGAGCTCCCACAGGAATGGGTGGAAATCGTCACTCATATCCGCTTCTGAGATATGCAGACCTCCGCTGTATCGGACACGAAACCACAGTCCAGTTTCTTTATCTCAGAACCGTCACCTTGATTTTATCATAAGGCGCAACCTAGAGCATATCCTCGGTGTTTGCGCAATCAACACCGCGACGAAGTTCTTATGGGACCCTGAATCACAACTCTTTGTGGAGTCCGTCTCAGAGGTTCCAGCCTTCGCGCTGACCTGTGGTGATTTTGCGGGGCATTACATTGCATCATCTGCGAGTTTGTAAGACTACGACATTTCGCATAAATTTGCTATAGGGCTGACGTTTTTTAGTTTTGCTTTTCGATTCTTACTCGAAATCTTCAAATTTTTGAAAAGCCGTACATTTGCAGAGCAATCACATCCAAGGTCGGCAAGCCAGAGACGAGACACTTCAAGAACAAGAAAAGAGCCCACACCACAGACGAAGCCGACTGATCAACCAGAGGCCCAAAGGAAGCCGGCCATGGGAAACACGTCAAGGAAAGAGTCGATGCTGTATTTGAAGGAGCAGCGTGACCGCATTTTCAACGTCTGCAAAGGCCACCTGACCTGGGTATTCGAACATGCCTGGAAAGACGGTAAAGTACACTTTGAAGGAAATCATTGGGCGTCTGGCAGCCCAATCGTCTTTCCTTCCCATTGGTCCAGCGGACGCAGGTCACCTCCATCCTTGGCCGATACTCCCTTTCAGATCATCAAGGCCTTCGAGTTCGCAAAGTGTTGGTCTGATGATGAAAACCCCAAGCAGCCATTAAATATGCATGACGAAGCTCATGGTCGAGAGGCCAGTCGGCAAATCCCAGCCAATCCGGTAACCATTGAACAGAGCACAAAGCCGGATCATGGAAGTGAGGACCACGCTGGCGACAAAGCACCGGATCTCCCGGGGCCTACTTCTGCACAAGGTCAAGAAATTGGCAAAATCCTACAACCCGAACCAGATCAGTCAGCGACTGAACTAAGCAATAGTGAGAACAAGACTGCAGCTGAGTTCAATGCGTTGGAATTTGCCAAGTCTTTGGTAAAGAGCAAGGTGCAGCCTTGGATCAATGATCTGGCCTTGAAGAACAAACGCATGCGGTTTGCTTTTAGCCGCTCTACGGAGAACGGTGTCAGTAACTTTCGTTTGGAAGACCACGTATGGATTTGGATGGCGTTGAGGTGCCTCGAAGAGTTTGAATTCGACGCAGAATTGAAACCTGCTTCATCGCCACTTCTGGGCCACGAACAGAGCAGGAAGATTACCTCGAAGGATGCTCAAAGGAATATGTTAAGACGGTTTACTCTTGAGGAAACTTTCTTGAAGCAACGACTGCTGGCAACCTCCCGGACGGTCAGGGAAAGTAGATTCCTGTTTCGATCCCGAGACACAGCCTTGTTCTACGCAATGAAGCAGGGTTTCTTTGGTTCTGACCAATCCAAGATGGCGCCACCATGGATTAACTCAATCGAGACACAGAAGCTTCACGAGCATAACGACGATGCCCAGTGGGAGAATCCACTGAGATATGGGTTAGCAATGGTTATGAGTTCCAATCGACGGTGGCAAATGAACCACAAGCCAGCGAACCGAATGTTTTCCGAGGCTGCCATGGTTTTGCTATATAGCGCGCGGTCGAATGGCCTATTTCTTGGAGAATTCGACCAAGAGACCAAAGAGCCGGCGATGTTCTCCGAGCAGTATTATCGAAACTCTTACTGGAACACATGTTTTGAGCTTCCATATATTCTCTGGGTGTATGGGAAACCGTCTTTGGACAAGACCCCTGGAATAAAGCCAAGGCTGCCCGTTGAGAAGAAGGGCAGAAAATCAGGCGATCGTCTTCAAGCGGCTCAATCGACAGCAACGTACGTACACGAAGGCGTCCCTGCAAGCCCAGTACAGCCCCTCGATGGTACGACCGAAGGTGTTTCCCATATCAGAGGCGAGTCGGAGATTCAGAGCAAGCCGGAGTCGAGCGCCCAGAAGAGAGCTCGAGACACACAGGCCGCCATAGACGCATTGACAGTCAAGAAAACCATGCCATTCAATGACTTCATTGATCAGAAAAGTGTCGTAGAACCGTCAGATGATTGGTTGTACAGCTTTCCTGATTTCCTGGACTTTGACCCCGAAGTCGCAACCTGGGACAACATCAAGCCCAAAGTTACAGGGCTTTTGGATCTTGAGAGACTAGATCGGCATTTCAGCACTGACAACCTCATTGCCGATAGTGCGAGAATATTTCATCAGACCTTCGAGAAGAGCGACAATGCACAGATGTCCCTGGATGATGAATTTCCGGACAAATCAGACGACAAATTCAGGGGTGCGATCATCGATATCCCAAAATCCAAACAGAGGAGGAAGGGGAGTCCCGGTAAATCCGATGACGCAGACATGTTCTGGTACCTCGGGACTAATCGGGACATGTGGGCTATCCTGAGAGGAATGCGGACAGAACAGATGGCAAAGAAGAGGATCGTTTGGCTTCCATATCCCAACAAAGAAACAGCTCTGCTCTGCTATCTCGGAAGTCCAGAATCTCAACACGATGCCATGATGGACTTCTTTGATAGGCATTACAGCTACGAGCACTACTTCTTCGATGACACCATCGCTGTTCAAAACATCTGGGAGACTGAGCTTCACCTACCTTTCTACCAGCTTCTCGGAAACGAAAGCAATTCTGGAAGAGAAACAGGCTTCCTACCACAGCAGCAAGAGATCACTTCTCCGGCGCTTTCAGGGAAAAGGATCGTCCGCGCAACCATCGGATTCCGGTTCCTTGGTGACTTTCTGGACCGCTACTGGACATGTCACGTTGTCGAGTGCATTCCTGGTCAACGCTACGACGGCCAAAATTTGGGGGAAAGAACAGCTCGACTGACAAGCGGAGTGGGAACGTGGAAGCAGCGAAAGGCTCTCGAACTGGTGCTTTTCGACATAATCATATCGGAGATACTGAATGGCGTCACCGATATATTGCAAGCGCTGTTTGTTCGTGAGACGCGCCAGGTTTCTCTTTCCGGGTTTTCCCGTAATGATTATCTCATCTTGCAGGACCGTTCCCAATCCCAACGGTATATTCTGCAAGTCCTGGAGGAGGACCTCAAAGAGACCCTTGAGCAGATCGAGAGCTGGAAAAATAGAGAGGCCGACCGAAGCCAAGAAAGACCCCGTTGGACCAAGAATGACGAACGGAAGTACCGCGGACCCATCAATAAACTGCTGCGCTCCAACGAGAGGAAAATCAGAAAGTTGAAGAACCATCAAACACACATTCAATCGCTCCGAACGGAACTCTTGAATACTCAACAACAGTTTCGGGATGATCTCAATTTCCTTGGAGCAGAAGACATCAAATACTTCACCTACGTCACCGTTGTGTTCCTTCCGCTAGGGTTTGCCGCGAGTATATTCAGCATGAGTGAAGCTCCGCCTGGTATTGTGCTCATCAGCATGGTGGTGACTGCGGTGGCCGCGCTTGCCCTGACAATCTTGGCACTAGTCAGTGCGAAGGGTATTGCCGGCTTCGTTTCTGCCATCTCTCACGGATTCCGTGAATTGATTAGGAGCATCACTGCCAATAGTGTCTTGTACCAACATTACCACCATCAAAATGGACAATCTTCAACTACTACCAACTTTGTAGTAGACCAAGGTGGAGCAGTTGACACGAACCAGATTCTTTCAAAGATTGCACATGGTCTGTGGTTGTGCTGGTTTTGGGTTGCGTACATCACCCAGGAACTCCCAGGTCGTCAGTTTGAGATGATGTATAGGTCATGGAAGTTGAAAATACCAAGTATGGGAGAGAGCTCGGACCACTCAACCTTTACGCGATGGGTAATATCCGCTTTGAATACAGCAGTATGGTTACTTCAGGTCCCGCTGAAACTTGGAATTCTCTTTGCCGTCACGCTGACTGGCTCGATATGTTGGCTGGCCATTGGGTTGAAACGGCTCTACTCAATCCTCAAGTACCCGTTGGCATTCACGATAGCTGTGGTCTTTGCGCCTGTATTTGCCATTTCTTATGTCGTCAACCTGATCTGGCTCAACATTTATGACACAGCTTTATGGAGTGGTAAGCGATACCAAATTCCACGCATGTAAAAGAGACTAACTTGGAACTCAGCGAGGAAACAATCCACAGAAAGCAAGGAAGATGCTTCAGAGCAATCTTTGCCGAAAGAGCAAGCTGAGGAAGCCCCAGCGAGAGTCTCCACACAACGGAGTTCCCGCTCAGAATCAGAGAAGACTATACATCATGAAGAACCTCTCGAACGGTTCCTCATCTACTCCAAGGCTGCACGTCCATTCCAGAAGTATGTACCAAAGGAAAGGCCAGAGGCAGAAGATTCAGGCGATGGAGACAACGCTACGGACATACGAAAGGCCATGCGGAATGTATTTGGCAAACCACCTGCCTGGCCAGAGAGGAAGACGGCATTCGGTCCATTCAGTGTTTAGTGGTAGAATTCTATTATGGATGGTTATTCTCCAGTTTTCCTGAATAAACGGTGTGCTCTAGTGAAACCGCAAAATAACATAAAGAAATCCCTGCCTAAGCTCGTCGGAGATGAAGGGTTGGTCAACGTAATGCGAAGGAAAGTGCCGCATTAGGAGGGCTGAGCAGCAAAGGCAGAAGCGATGATTAGCTGGAGGGTAGAACGCTTGAAAGCCTTTATTACGTCCATCTATTAGTCAAAGACGCCTGAAACGACCGAGACACACAACAGCAGGTTGCCGCGCCACGACACCAGCAGCACCCCGGTCATCCCAACCCTCCCCCTCAAACCCCCCTCTCCACAAAACACAACCTCAACGGCGCCACCGTCAACGTAAACGTATCCAACGTCTCCTCCTCAAACTTCCCCCAATCCTGCGCTCCCTCCTCCCCCTCCCCCGGCCTCTTCAAATCAAACCCCAACGCCATCCTCGCAACCACACTCCGCATCTCGAGGTACGCCATCTGCTTCCCGGGACACGCATACATCCCGCTATAAAACGGCCACCACGCACTGCGCTCCTTGACCCACCCCTCCTTCCCACTCCCCTCCATCCACCGCTCCGGCACGAACGCATCGGGTTCGACAAAGTGCCGCGCGTCCCGCTGCATCACGTACTGCGGCATCCACACGTCGACGCTGCCCGGCAGCCGCGTGCCGTCGGGCAGGACGACGCCCTGGGGCGGCGTGGTGCGCCCGTTGCCGGAGGGGATGGCGGGCTTGAGGCGGAGGGTTTCGGCGATGATGGCGTCGAGGAGGGCGAGGGCGGGTTTGCCGCGGGCGCTGCGGGCGAGGGTCGCGTAGGAGAAGGTGGGGGCGCCGCCGGGGAAGAGGGTGGCGAGGCGCGTTTGGAGGGCGGTGTAGGTGTGTGGGTGGAGGGTGAGGTAGTAGATGATGTTGGCAAGGGTGCCGGCGGTTGTGTCGCTGGGGTGAGGTTAGTTTGGGTGGAGAGGGGAAAGGGGGGAGGGGAGGGGGGAAACGTACGAGCCGGCGAGGATGGTGACGCGCGTGTCTTCGTCGAGGGCTTGCAGGGTGGGGGGTGCGTAGGATGCCTTCGTCTCGTAGGCGTGCAGGAGCCAGGAGATGATGTCCTGTGTGGCGGACGACTTGTCGTCGGGGTTCCAGGTCTGTGGGATTCTTGTGCGTCAGAACGGGTGGGCATGGGGATTGAGGCGGAGGGGGAGGAAACAACTGGACCTTTTGCTTCTCTTCGGCGAGCTGCCGGCACTTCCTGAGGAAGCCGCTCATGCCAGTAACTCCGGGTATGTTCAAAATGACGTTGATTAGCCACGGGATGTGCTTCATGAAACCCAGGATCTTCATCTGCTCCCGCATGGCGGCCATTGACTTGTCGCCTCCGCGTGTCCGGACCTGGCCGAAGTCACGGCTGAAGCCGACGATGCCCATGACGTCGTATGCAAGCCATAGCATACCTTGCGTGACGTCAAAAGGCTTACCCCCGGTGGACGAGAAGATTTCGAGGAGGTCAGAGATGGCGTTCTGGATTGCAGCTTCATATTTCTCAATTGCTAGGTAATATGTCAGTCTTCCAGGCCCAATTTTGCCGCATCATCCATGTGGGCTCACATTTAAGGTTGAGAGCTCTGTCCCACCCCCGCTTTCTCCGCTGATGGTCCTCGATATCCCGGGTCTCGGCCAAGCCAACGTGGTCGGATCTCCAGTCGGTATGCTGGTAGAAATAATTCTTCGGGCACTCAATAATGGCGGGGATGGCAGAGGGTCGAATTATAGATAGCTCTCGGGGGCCTTTGTAGAGTCAATTTGTGGACGTGGGATCAACATGAGGAGCATCTACCTGTCCGCACGACGTCGCCATACTTTTGGTGAAGCTTCTGTAACTCAATATTGTAGCGTAAACCAGTGGAAAGGGACACTGCGTAGAGCTTGGACAATCTGGCGGCGAACGGTCCGGGAAAACGCTTGAGCCGGTGGAAAAAGGCGCGGTAAACGAGGATGGATGACGTGAGCCCGAATGCAAAGCAGGCGAGTTTCAGGGTCGAGAATTGTAATGTTGAGTCGTAGACGTTGATATCGATGTAGATCAGAGCTGGCAGCAGGAAGCTTGCAGCCACAAGCGCGTGGAGCAGGATAAGGTCCAGCTCGATGTACTGCACGACACCATGGAAGGCTACTCCTGCCGCGGCTGACGCCAGGCATGCCGTAGGGACGCTCTGCAGGTTGATGCCCGTCATGGCGCTGTGTGGTGAGAAAATTGAGTGCAAAGATAAGCGGGGGACCAACCGAATACTTATCACCTGGTACGATGGCTGAGAGGGGTCGTAACAAGGTACTAAGCAGCCCCCGCCCCCACCTGGGGTCCGTTGGCCGATAAACCAACCACAGCTCCGCGAAATCACGCGTGTGCCCACCAGACCCTGCAGAGTGATGGCTGTGCAACCTCATGAGGTGTTCTTCATTATTCATGTGGTGGGGCTGCCGGGCGGCCCGCGCCGCATAACCGACCAGGACGTGGGCATCCTCACTGTTGGAACCCCAAGAAAAATGCAAATTTAGATCAACACAGCCTGTCGGGATTTGCACATCGAGACGCTAATATTTCTTGGTAGTTATCGCGAAATGCGTATGCTTTGGCATCGGTTGCCGAGAGAGAGATCGGCTGGGGGCGAGTCCTTATGTACACGTGACATGCAACATTATCTTTAGGAAGTGAGCGCATTGGCTAGCGAGACTAAGGAAACTATATATACTTTGCTGCAGCCATCGGTCGGTTCTCAGCAAGAGGCATCCCCCAACTTTTGGAGATTTTATTTTGACAATATGTACGTATAGGCAGGTCTGTAATCGTGGAAGAATAGTTTGATATGTCGCACCGCAATTCAAGCATGAAATTAAATGTTTAGCTCCGTATCTTTCGTCTAAATGCATCCTGTTTTATTGCAACCGAGCTGCGATACACTGAATACGCAATTGTTTGCATTTGCAGAATTGAGCATATTCGATATCCCAGAGCTCTCAAGGCAAGTTCACTAATGGTTACAATCTCAAGTATTCCTCGGATGAATAACGGTCCACATCGGTTCAAAAGTGCGGAGTGTCAAGTGATCTGCCCGCCCAAAGGAAGAACTACTGCTCCATCTGACCACGGAAATTCAACGGCTGGAAAATGAGATCACTGCTACATTCCTCCCATGTCTTGCTCAGGAATTTCTCGTTTACCCTCCTTTTAACCCTTTGATTGTTGAGCATTTTTACTACACATCTATTTAGCTGATTGTACATTTTTTTTTTGAGGAGTGGGTTTGGCTTAGTGGTATCATCTCGCGAAGGACAGAAAAATAAGTAGCATCATGATGCTCTCTAGGCTCTACACGGCAATCACACCCGATAGTTAACGCTAGCCTAAGTACTATTGAAATGCGTAACCCTGCACAAGGTGCATCTTCATATATATAATACGGCGGAGGAGTTGGGCCCGAGTAAAGCCCCGAGTAACAACACCCCGGGCTGTTCCGGTAGCCAAACAAAGCCTCTGAATAATGGCGCAGAAATCAAGAAATGGCAAAAGTATAATGGATAAAGGTATACCTACCGGATGGGACAAGCTGTTCTGCCTATTTAGTCCCGTCGTACGCGTAGCGTGTCGTTAGCTTGTTAGTTGACCGACGGAGCGGCACGCTCCCGTTCGGGGCTTCGGAAGCCGAGTCGGAATCCACCACCGCCGGTGCATACCAGCATGGCCTGGTATCGGGCCGCTGGAGGACATATACATATACTCTGCGTGGTTCCTCAGGGGGACCGTCGTATCCTCAGCCAAGAAATCTTCGAAAAGCTTGGAAAACTTACATTGAGCTGCTGCTTCCGAGCTGCCCTCGTAATCAGAATGGAGAGCCACGAAGATCAGATTTCACAGCTACGCCAGCTGAGCAAGCTGTTTACTGGGAATATTGAAGTCGTCATCGACGAATGGAAGAAGGGGACGGCGCCGAATGGAGTTCCAAGCAAAGAGGCATACGAAGCCCAAAGAATTCTCACAGCAGCTATGGGAAAGTTCAGAGAGCTCGTGGTTGATCCGAGATACCTGATAATGGAAATTTCCCAACGGTATACGGACTCCAGAGCTCTATTCATAGCAGTGGAGCGCAGGGTCGCAGACTTGCTGGAAGATGGTGAGGGCGACGGCAGGCATGGATGCTCGCTAGAATTCCTGGCCGACAAGACAGGCGTGGAGAAGTGCAAGCTCGGTAAGTGCTCGTCTCAAGTCTCCAGAGATTTCAGCTGAACCTTGACAGCGCGAATTCTGCGTTATCTGTGCTCGATGCACGTCTTCCAGGAAGTTGCACCGGGACGATTCGCAAACAACCGCGTGTCGCAAGTACTGGCACACGACGAGGCCTTTCGGGCAATTACTATGCTTCCGTACGCACAATACATACAAGATTCAATGCATCCCGTGACTGATAGGTTTTCAGCCAACTGGATGCCTTTGCTGCATCCACCTACCTTCCTCTCACCCTACTCGATGAGAAGAAGGGCCCTTCATACGACATCTGCGACGCCGCTTGGGGCGTTGCTATTCGCACGGACAAACCCCGCTGGGATTGGCTTGAAGAAAAGCATCCCGCGAGAGAGCTTGCCAAACCATCTGGTGCCAGTCCATCTCTACCCGAGGCCGCTTACGCGGACCTATCCGGTGAGAAAGGTGACGAGCTCCAAGCTCGCCCCGAGCTGAAGATCTTCGGGTTGGCAATGCAGGGGGTTGGAAAGGTCAATGTGAACAGCCACATATATGGTACGTCATTATTACGAGTTTTCAGCTCTGCCTGTTGACGATTTATGTATAGATTATCCTTGGAACGAGGTCAGCAACGGGTTGCTCGTTGACGTTGGGGGCGGTGTTGGTAAGCACAGCCACACACCCACAGTCAAGCCCGTCAGCATTCTAACCTTACTCGGCAGGACAATTTGATCTTCAGCTACTCGAAGTTTATCCAGAGCTGAAAGTTGTGATCCAGGATCGGGCTCCAGTACTCGAACAGGCCCAGAACGATATTTGGCCGAAACAGAACCCACAGGCTGTCGCTTCGGGTCAGGTCAAGTTCATGCCACATGACTTCTTCACGGAGAACCCAGTCAAGGGTGCCGACATTTACTGGTTGCGGTCCATCATGTGAGTTTGATTCTCAATCCTGCTGCTGCCTCATGCTAACGAGCTTCTCTGCAGCCACGACTGGTCAGACGAGTACTGCGTCAAGATTCTCACTGGGGTGCGGAAGGCCATGTCCAGAAATTCCAGGGTTTTGGTTTGCGATCAGGTAATGAACACCACGACCGGCCATCCAGAGCTCACACCCGCACCGGCACCCCTACCGGCCAACTACGGCGAGTACATGCGCCCTCTCTACCAGCTGGACATGATCATGTTGGCAGCGCATAACGGTATCGAGCGTACCCCTGCCGAGGTCCAAGTCCTCCTCGGAGCTGCTGGACTAAGGCTGAAGAAAATCTGGGAATGTCGCAGTCAACTTTGGATTATTGAGGCCCGTCTTCCATAAGATGCTTCGTATAGCCACGTGAGGAGGTAGAATTTCTACGTTTCTGTGAATGATCTTTTCTCTTCTATCTGGCAAGGACGCACATGAGTATCACAGCTCGGAGAAGAGGGGTATAAGGAGTGGACATATCTCAGAGTTCAACACGTCTGTGACTCCAGAGCGGACACCGGGAAATAAATTACGACATTCCAAACACTCTTCCAAAATCGACTTGCAATTTCCAACAGTTATTCTACCACCCCACACAACCTCCGCAACATGAGCAAACTCGCATCCTCACTCCATGCACCTCACCGCCTCCTCCACAACACCCCTGACGGGCTCCGGCACCGCCCCCCTCACCTCCAAGAACCCCCTCAACCTCTCCCTCCAAAATCCCCACCGCTCCTCCGAAAACCCTTCCGCACCTTTCCACAACCCATTCACCTCCAACAAACCCCCACTCTCCCCCTCCTGCTGCCCTTTCTGCCCCTCCCCACCCCTCACCTCCTCCCCCGCAAAAACCACCCATTGCACCCCCGCCCAAACATCCAACCAAAACAACACCAACTTTTCAATCTCAAACCGCCCCTCCCTCACAATCCCGCCATCATACCCCTCCACCTCCCTCTCCAGCACCCCCGCCAACGCCTTCCACGCCGCATCGCGCAGCATGCCCCTGGCGTCCGGCGCGAACCCCGCTCCCAGCAACCGCGCCGAAAAAGCGTGGAAATTGACGTACATGTCGCCTTCACGCGGCAGCTTCTTTCCATCCGCGTCGAACCGCGCTGCTCGATCGAACCCGTCTTCGCGGGCGGCCCGCAGCGCGTCAAGGCGGGCGCGCCAGGTGGGGCCGAAGAGGGTGAGCCAGGATGCGAGGGCGGGGGCGGGGGAGGGTTGGGTTTGTTGGTTGCGGGATTGCAGTGCCAGCAGGAGATTGACGAGGGCGGCGTGGTGTTCGGGTAGCTCGGCGGCGGCGGCGTAAATCAGGTGCCAGAGGAGCTCGGCGCGGTCGTCGAGGTTGCTGGCGATGAGGGTGTCGGCGGTGGTGGCGGCGGAGGCGGTGCCGGTGAAGAGGCGTTGGAGGGGAGGGGTGTAGATGCGGAGCGCGCTGACGGCGTTGTCGTCCTCGGCGGCAGCGGCGGCGGTGGTGAGTTTGGTTTGGAACCAGGCGTCTGACATTTTCTTGGCCTTTTGGGGCGATGGATGGCAGGGGTTACGATATGGGTCGCAGTAGATCATAGAACTTATGTACTACTTGAATTGTTGTGCTCACTCCAGTGTGAAGACTGATGGGTGGGCAGTGCAGAATCGAGCCTTGCTCAGCCACAATGACAGATACAGGACATCAGCACGTGGCTAAGTTCACAGCAGGACTTCCTAACTGACTGCTTACGAGAAAGGGGAAAAAAGAAGGAACAGCGGACTCTGAAACAATGATATGTGGCATGTTGTAATGGAATTCGGAAGCATGAAAGCAGTGCGCATACATTTCCTGGTAAGAAATGCCATGCGGCAGTGGCCCCCACCCTGGCTGACTATACTAACCCCACAATGACAAGTTCACACTAGAAGTCATCCTATATGGCTGCCTAGAGACCCACCTCGCCTCTCCAGACTAATTCCCACCGACGTTGGGGGGTGAACCAAATAACGCTCATGGGTCGCTTTTGCCCTCCTTCCCTCCCCTTTCCTCACTTCCGCCAAATCTGTTGGCTCTAGCAGATTCGTTACTTGGAAGCCCACTGGGGACGTCTATAGTCGCTCTATCTCTATGCTGCCTTACAACCTCCTCCAGTGCCAGCCGCAACACCCTATCTTGCTCGCTCACCCCAAACTTCAATCTTTCATGCCCATCCTCTCTCGCCGGCTCGTGGTCCCGATAATCCACACATGCTCTCACTGTCTCCGAGTACCATGTCTCTACGGGATTTCCTTGGGGCTGCGTCTCGGTTCGTAGCTTTTGCTGCACCATTGGCGTCGACCAGGGTGGCTGCACTTGTTCTGCCGCTTCCTGGGGCAACGGCTGCTGGCGTGTCTCTGTGTCTTTCTGCATTGACTGCTGTGCTGGTTCTGCTGTCTTGTGGGAGCCGCAGTGGCCAGACGGATCTTTGATGCAACTTTGGCACGGTTCATCCTTCATCGTGAGCTCAGAACACTGAACTGATCGTCTGTCTTTGGTTGCCTTGGTTTGGAATGGTTTCAGAGAGCCGTTTGTGGAGAAAGGAAACTGAAGAATGCGCAGAATGATGCATAGAATATCTGCTGACAGTGGGGAATTTATGCGCTGCTGGTAGCCAACAAACAGTAAACAGCAAATGCATAGAGGCGAATATCGTAGAATCCCCCAGATAATCCATCGGAAACGGGACAACTCACAAACGATTGCACAACCAAACATCCCATCAATACAACCTTCCGTCGCACCGAATCGACTCTAGGCATCACATCTGGACGATGGTTTCGCCTGCCTATATATTTTTTTTCTATACAGAAAAAAGGGGAACGAGGCATACTTATGCTATGTTCTATGGACCTGCTATTCGTCGCGCTAGCTATTAGCTGCAGTATCTCTGTAAGTGACCATATTGAAGCTGCATGAAGCGTTGGTCGCACATATTTGTTAACAAAAAAACAAATTCTCTAGTGAATTTTTGCTGGCAACACTGCGGTAACTTAGGATTTTTCTCTTCTTTTGACGCAATTCTGTTTGCTTGGCCTGATGATGGCTTTTACTTCTACAATGTCTCTTCGGAAAGTCGACTGTGTAGTGAAAAATGCCAAGACTTCAGATGAAGCTGAAAATAATTTATATTAGTACATCAAGCTCTCAAACGTGCGCATCAAGCGTCGAGATCCTAGGGGAAGTTTGTTTCATATGCGACAGCCGCCTAGTGTTACTTTTGTTGGACGGGGCAATTTAGCACGACTTCAATTTCGTTAGGCGTACAGCCCCCTCTCGCAGCCGATGGCTAGCGCGAAGAATAGCAGGCCTCTAGAACATAGTATAACTATGCCCCAGCTCTGCCTTAGAAAAATAACATATACGGGTAGTTAAAGCCATTGTACGGGCAAGAATGTAGAGTTAAAAACTCTACATACATGCCCGGACGATAGCTGAAGCTACCCATGACAGGAGCAAAAAAGCAAATCCACGCTAGCCATCGGCTGCAAGAGGGGACTGTAAGGGGGGATGACGTAGCGAATTTCCAGGGCGGCCATTCAGCATTACATCCTACAGCCTGCAGCGTTTCACGCCAATGGGCAAATCATCTTGATCCCCAAGCTCGCTGGTTGCATGCTGCCCCGCAGCCACGGGAACTGCCACTTTCAACTGTCAAATCAGGGCTTGACATATCCATGTGGCACCATTTTAAATTGGATATGCGCGCGTGAGCTTTGCGCACCGGCGCATTCCAAACTCGGCCTTTCGTCAATACGTTACTCAGAATTTTTACCCCACCCGACTCGAACCATACAGTCTCACCCGAGTGCCTATATCTATGTCTTGAATTCTCATCAGGCTAGTGTGTAGCAACCGCCCGACGCTTCCACATTCACTGCTTTTCCAGGCTGTCAATAAATCCCTTTCTTCCAAGACAGGCTCAGCGCATTACCCAAGCATTTGGCACTGAAAGCTTTCTTTGCAGCTTGATACGCATCTGACTTACGACCACCTGCTCCGATCGAAACCATGGCTATAACGAGCTACTGCGAACATTCATTTAAGATGGCAAAATCAGACAACTCTCTCATCCATTGGATATGCAACATGTGTCACTCTGGCCCGCATTGGTTCATCTTCGAGTGTCAGAGGTGCGAGCTGAGAACATGTCGTCCATGCTCATCAAAAGCGCTTGGCCGTAGGAGTGATGACCGTCAGGATAATGAATACACGTCTGAGCAGTCGCGCCAGGATCCACGATCTCCAGACCATGGAGCTCACCAAGCTTGCAGTGAGGCCAGTCAAGAACAAAGCCGGGCTGCGGAGAACCACACGAAACAGCACCTGACGGTGCCAATCCGTACTACACGTGATGAGGCGGATGCACGCAGTGCCACAGCTTCCGGAGACGATGAAGAAACAAATTGTGGAGAGTTTCTCCCGTCCGTGCTCATCGATGCAAAAGAGTCATTGGTGGATGGGCTTATGGAACAATTCCACGACCTGTTACAGGAGCTCATTTATCCACCTCCAGTGGGGTGTGTTCCCCGTGACATCATGGAGGAATCACTAGCTGCAAGAGCATGTGCCGTGAGCTCCAGCTCATCGACATCATCGGGGTCATTGCAAGACTCAAAGTCAAGTCCCCAAGCGTCTACTTCACACCTCGGCGTAAATGCAAAGAAGCGAAGGAAGGAAAAATCCTCTACCAATGGTGGTGGGAAGGATGACGAAGATGATGGTAAAGGGCTACGAATGACTTCCTCCAAGGCCTCTGAAGTCAAAAATAGGACGAGGAAACTCGCCTGCCCCTTTGCAAAAAGGCATCCCGGTCAGACTCCGAACCTGGCCATCTGTGCGTACCCAGGATGGACTACTACTCATCGAGTCAAGGAGCACCTGTACCGAAGACATGTCCGGCCTGATGTCAAACAATGTTCAAGATGCTATGAGGAGTTTGAAAGCGATAGTTTGTTGGAGCAGCATGTCAGAAAGGCTGAGAGATGTGCCGAGCGCGAACGGCCTCCACAAGAGGAAGGTCTTAACTACAACCAAGAGAAGTCTTTGAAGTGTAGAAAGAGGATAATCAACACATCAGAGGAAGAGAAGTGGAAACGGGTCTACCGAATATGCTTTCCCGACGTAGCAGAGGCTGACATACCCTCACCATGTATGAGTCATACCCAAGTTCCTTCCCTCTTCTACCAACATATGCTTGAGAAAGATACACTTATCACTGACCTGTTACTAAATCACCACTATAGACGTCGATTACGCGCCTGGGACTACGAAGTCATTTGACCTGATGCCGTACCAACACTTTCTAAATGAAAGGCTGCCAGAGTTGCTCAGGCAAGAAGTGAGAAAGATGGTAGAAGCACACCCCATGTGGCCACAGATTGCCGAAGATCTCAGTGGCCGTAGATTGGAGATACTGGACAGGTGCTTGGATAGGTTTGTGGAAAGCGAGCCGCTTGCGGAACACTCTGGACATGTGGAAGAGCATGACGAGCACGCTCCAACTCCTGCAAGTCCAGGGGACGTACAAGTCTCCAGCATATGCATCAACTCTACGGATGACTCTCATGAGGCTCCGCTGGTCTCACCGGAAGTAGAGTTCTCGAGAGACCTCCACACGTTTCCATCCGACACAAACAATGCCCTCACACTGGACCAAATCTGCAATCTTAACACCTCACTGAACAAGAAGTCTTCTCAACAGGACCAGGAATAGGTAATCTAAGAAGCCTATCTATCAGGCAATACTCTGCTACACAATTGGCTAATTAACGTTATCACACATTTCTACTTTTTAGGATCTCCATGAAGGTATTTGTGTGAGCATGGTTGAAGGTCATGTATACATGCCAGAATGAGTCCGAAGGGAAGAGGCTAAGAAGCGGGAGGGTTTCTTTGGAGTACTTCAGCGTCATTGGAATGTATCTTGAGCACTCTCTACGAATTACAAATAAGATCAACGTCCAAAAACGAAAGTGCAGTCCATTATTGAAAGTCGCAGTATCAGAGTGAGTCAAAAGGGATTCCGCTAAGCGCAATCAAGGCAGTGACATCACCTTTGCGGCACGGTGCATGCAGTTCGGCTTTCGGAGTTCCACAACCTCGCTCTCCCGCCCCGGTGGCTTGTATTGTGGCACACCGGAGCTATCAATAGCGATAGCGAGGGCCGAGGGGGGATCAGCTGCAAATAAGCGGGGTGTCTCATCTGACGACGCGTCGTCTAGAGTCAGGACGCAAGGCTGCGATTCTTGCGATCATGCGAAAACCAACACTCGTTTGATTCATGGAAAGACCTTTTCGCAAGTTGGAGTAAGTATGCTGTGAGCGAAGACGCGGGACACGGCGCGCTAACTGTAGAACCAGCAATGGCCGAGTTTACCGTGCCCGCACTCGATCTGGCCGCGGAGCGCCTCTCCAAACTCTTTCCTTCAAGCGACGAGACCCGAACACTGTCGGATGCGGAGATTGAGCAGGTCGCGACACTCCTCGAGGGCCAGGATGAGGTCTACAGCCAAGCGCCGCGCGCATACATCGTTCTTTGGATCATTGGGCGCTTGGACATCCTCGAAGACCTGCTCAAGTCTGGCTTCTCGGACTTTTGCTTCCCAGTGGAGTCAACCTCTCTCCCGCCGAGCCTCGACCCAGCCGTGCGACGCGCTATTGTGCAGACACAGCATGTCGTCCTGACAAAATCCGTGGATCTGGAGAAGGGTGAAAACGGGAAGCATCGACACTTCGGCAAAGAGGATCCGCTGCCTTTCAAGACGCTGCGCAGGCTCGGCGCTGGAGGTTACAGTCAGGTCGATTTGATAAAGAGCAGGATAAGCTGCAAGCAGTACGCCCTCAAACGCATTCCTCGCCGCACGGCGTTTTGGAACAATTCCAAGCAAGCGGTGAGGCAGTTCGCAGCAGAGATGCAGCTCATCAAGGCCTTGAAGCACAGGCACATCGTGCAGTTCGTTGGGAGTTTTACAGACCCCAAGTACCTGGGCATGATCATATCCCCTGTGGCCGATATGAACCTCGCGGAGTACATGGACCTCATGGCGGCCCAGAAAGCGCCCCCGAATTTGACATCCCTGCGAAGTTTCTTTGGGTGTCTGGCAACGGCTCTCCAGTATCTGCATGACCAGTCTATCAGACATCGCGACATCAAGCCCCAGAACATCCTTATCGATGGAGGGAATGTACTTTTCACTGATTTCGGTCTTTCCAAAGACTATTCCGATCATGCAGGGAGCACCACGTCGGGAGTAACGGCAATGACGCCTCGTTATTCTGCTCCAGAGGTTGCAGCGGGCGATCCTCGCAACACATCTGCAGATATCTGGTCTCTCGGCTGCGTCTTCCTCGAGATGGTCGTGGTTCTGAAGCATCACAGCACGGAGTGGATGCGCGGCTATTTTTCAGATCATGGTACGAAGGAGCCATACGCCAGCCGAAATCCTGATGCAACATCGACCCTAATTACAAGACTCCGGGAAACTGGATCACTCCAAGACAACAAGATGCTCGACCTGTCTCAGAGCATGCTGAGTTTTGACCGTGAATCCAGGCCAACAGCAGCAGAGGTGGTGATCACCATAACAACACCTTCTGGGGATGATCTTTCTGCGACAATGTTTTGCGGTATCTGCTGTCTGGCCGAGGAGGCTCTGTCAGATTCAAACGATAGCTTGGCTGATGACATTCAAACTACTCCCGGAGGCCCGAGACAACCGTTTCCTCGCCATGATTCAACGAAAAAGACAATTCAGACAGCAATAGCACCAGTCCTTGAAAGCAGTGGCCAGATACTGAGACTACGAGAGGATTCTCTAGCACAAGATCTGACCAACACTCCGGAGGCATCCAGTACGAAGGCTTCTACAACGGACAACAGTTCAAATAGCCACAACGGCTCCGCACTCTCTGAATGGGACAGCTCATTTGAGCACACCATAGAGCATACCATAGACAATGACTTCTCTCTCACACCTTTCACCGTGGACTATTGGGCACTACAGCATGATGCATCAAAATCACCTGACCCATCTTCTTCATCGGCACCTGAGGTCATGGAAGAGGATTCTGTCCCAATCGCTCCACTTGAACTACATCCGAGCCAAGGCTCCTCTCAGCTGGGATTCCAACTACAAAGCAAGTCATGCACCTCCGACGAAGCCGCCGACGATTGGCCAATGGTGTCAGAGACCAGTGATTTGACAGACAGGAACAATGACCCAGAGCAAGGCACTTCATCAGATCAGGAACAGCTACTTTCGCTTTCTGAAGCTATCACTGATCCAAGCCTATTTCCCGGGGCAGAAGAAATTCATCATACGTGGGCAAACAATCCGTGGGAGGAACAGCCGCGCGTCGTGCAGACAGAAGAGCCCGAGAGCCAGGATAGCTCCAAACCAGGAGAACCGGACTCATCTTCCATCAAGACAGCTGATCAGAAGCTTCGGTCTCGAGCACTTATGCGGAAAGCGTTCAGCGCCGTACAACTATCGTCTGAAAAGTCTAACAATCAGTCTCAAGGCGCATGGTGGCGACTTGTAAGAGGCCGAGGAGGGTCTGAAGGGAGGATTCCAAACAACATACTCGACCAATCTCTGAAGCCCAAGAAGGAAATCACGAAACTGTCTCCTTCTATCATCATTGATAGCCAAAGCCAACCGCCCTACCCTATCTTCAGAAATTACCTCCACAAATGTATCTTTACTGGCGTAAGCGTCCAATATTCATCCGGAGTCGCAAAGGAAAATAAGGTGGCCTACCTGCCAATAGTTGTCGTCGAATGCGTCAGTTTCTTGAAATCAGCAGGTAAGGCAGGTTCATACATTTGATCCGGTCAGCAGTATTGAATCTAACAACTACAGGTCATCGTCAAACCGTAAACTTCCATATTCCAAAGAACGATCTCAGCCTCGGCTTTCTTACACGGCGTTTCGAAACCGCGCCTCACTTCGGTCTGGGCCAGGAGTGGCCACCATTCAGCACTGAGCATACCGCAAGCCTGCTCCTCTACTTTCTCAGACGACTTGGCGATCCGCTGATCCCGTTCAAATATTTCGAGGCCTTCTGTATTCCGTGCGCGGCAAAGAGCGGCTTCTCTGAAGCCAAGAAACTCAACCTTTTCCGCAAGCTTATCGGCGAACTGTATCCAGTGCAGCGAGACCTCCTGCTCTACGTGTTGGACTTCTTCAGGACCTTCTCCACCACGGCTGCCGACATGGAGCTTCTCGCGCTTCGTTTCCTGAACGTCTTTTTCCGCGGACCCTCCAGCGTTACTTCGCTCTTCGACGGTAGCGATATAAGGACACTGTTGTCTACAATTGTTTTCCTCATTGACCACCATAATGGACTGGTTTCGGACGAGCACGAGAACGCGATCGAGCGGACATGGCTTGAGGAGACTGGCCCTTTTGAGCAAAGAATCCACCAACCTTCCGTCCTTGTGCCAACCACCACCGACACGAATGTAGTTCTGGCCGTGTAAGGAAAGGCATTGGAACGATCAAATAATTTTTCAGGATTAGCGTTTCTGCATACCAGAGGGATGTGCTTTCTTATTGGCGCGTCAGTCTTGTTGACTACTGTTATCGGGGATCGGCGTCCTAATACCCTGGGGATCATTGTTTGCGAGCATGACCGACTGGAGTTAAGCGTCCGTTCAGGTTTCATTTCATCATAATCATTAACTTTGATTGCATGTATCACTTTTGAGAGTGGAAATCGTCTCATGCCATCGATGTAGTTCATCCTTCAATCTCGTGCTTCGAAAGTTGTTCACGATCCGAATCTACAACTCTCGCAGCCTTACCCAACTCATTCTACATCAGCTTATAATAATTTCTAGACTAAACTGATATTAAAATAATTCATTCGAACTACAGGTCACAGGAACCCGTTCACCTAAAGGTTTGTCGCGGCGGATTTGGCCTCCTCAGCGGGTGCGCTTCGGTGTTGAATACGAACTGATCCAGGCTCACCACATCCGGCTCGGAGAACAGTAGGTAAAAGTACTTGAGCGTCTCTGCCGTCCAAAATGACGGCATGTTATCTGCTTGAGGGGGGTATTCCACTGTGCAATCCTTAAGAACCGCATGGGCGATCGGAGTCCTGGTGAACCTGATGATGTTCTTGAACATAGTCCAAGCGCGTTCGCGGAGGTCCTCATTACCCGTGATTCGATAAAGTATGAAGACGGATTCGATGGCCTCGGGGCTGGGAATGGTATATTAGTCAACAGTGGCTAAAGTGAAGAAGCACGCATACCGGAGCGAGTATTCCCCATTTGACACCTCTGCCACACCTGGCATCAATAGCGTCTCTTGTGCCTCCGCATCGATTCTTCCAACTACAGCCTGGTCCCATTTTTTCTCATCCCAAGCGCATTGATCTGCGTTTGAGCAAGGTACGGTGTACATGTCCTCGGGCATGATTCCGTTCCGGTTCACCTCATATGACCACAAGCAACCCTCGGTAAGCCTTCGTCCTACTTCCGTGTCTTCTGCATTGTTGAATATTTGCCCGGCAATACCAAACATTCCACCCGCAAAACACGTGAGGTGTTGGTTCTTCGGGTCGAGCTGTATTTTGCCTTTGTTGTCTACGGAAACATCACCAGAAACGAGGACGTTGGCTCCATCAGATGTCATGGGCCGGTAGAATAAGTGCGTTTTCATAGCAGCTGCCGACAGTTCGAAAAGTTTTCTATATTGCGCAGTTGCTCCACCAAGCATCATGTGTTGCTATCGATGTGCAAGTCAGCCATACCCGAGTATCATCCACGCTTGGATGAACTTACCTTTGGGAGGTATTCGTACAAAGAGTCAGCGCGTGCTCCGAGAGTGAAAAGGCCAAAAGAAGCAAAGCGCAGGTTCTTAGCGTCAACCATCTTGGGCCACATTCCAGGCAGCTTCGTGTAATTTTGTTGGGCGTCGAACACGTCCATGATCCTTTGCACAGCGTCATAGAAGCGAGGATCGCCTGTTAGCTGTGAAAGCCTTGTGAACTCCAAAGTGAGCGACCCAAGCTCCGCGGAAGACACCCAGTCTCCCGCTTCTTGCGGACGTCCCTTGGCAGCATCCTTGAAATTCCAGTCGGTAACGGGCATGCGGTTGGGCGTGTCGAACGCAGCGTAGAGCATGTTGCCGACTTCCCAAGCCTTCTGGAGAAGGCTGGGGTAGCGGCCTTCGGTCAGATCGTATGCGCCCAAGAATCCGCCGAGGACCCGGATGGTGGTTTCAAAGATGCTGAGGTCATCGTGCGAGTTGGTGCTGAAGTCGATCGCATCCAAAGCTTGAACAGCCTCTTCGAACTCATCTTTCAGGCCCATTATCCATAGAGTGTCTAGCGCTGAACATTAGCATCAACGGAGATCGAGAAGCCACGTTGAGTTTACCGAGAGAATCAACAATCGTCACGGCCCATCCACCAAAGGTCTCTGCCCCTTTGCCAGAAATCGACATAAGTTCATCACTAAGCCATGCCTTTGTTTTGTAGCCGGACCAGGCATGCATGAACTCGGCTTTGATCTGGTCGAGATGGGAAAGCCGGATCTTGCGGCTCCTTCTGCTTTCTGCTGGAAACACATGCTGGATCTGTGGGATCTGGATCGCATTCGAAGGCATTGGGATGAATCCTCTGACCGGGTAGCGCTGAGGGATGCGACTCCAGTCAAACCTATCGTCAGCGGGGTCGATAAACTGAGGTGCGGATCTGCCATATCGCGTTTTGATGCTCCCTGGAGAACTGTAAAGAAAGCGGTCAGCAGACCAGGATATGTGAAAGGAAGCAAAAATTATAAAGGAAAATGCAACTACGAAAAGCAAGGCGTTTCGAAGTGAAAGTAGGGCCAACATGGTGGGGAAGATGCAATGGTGATTGGAATACACCGTTGCCTTGTCTGGAGACAGGAGGAGTAGAGGAATACCCCGGGGGTCAGAAACGTTGGAGAAGCGTTAGGGCGTCGGTAGTAACGGTATGTTGTTGGGTCGGCAGACGCCACGTGGATCAAAGGGTTTGCGCTTCTAAAAAATGCAACGGAATAATGTCACAGTTCGATCTTTTCGTACCAGGGCTCTGACCTCCAACATCTATTGATGTAAAGTATTCTTTGACTGCGTGAATGATCAAATTATTGACTTTCAAAGACTGCGAAGGTGTGGATTGAACTGAGCGATGAATTGACGCATTCTGCGGGAGATGATATTGTCAATTCTTTTGTGTTCGTTGCACAAGTCTCACATTTCTTAGTCGCTGCCCCCACAGCTGCACGCGGTCCATTCTTGCCTACGGCAAGTGGTTTAAGAGAGATTGCCCAACCAGAAAAGCTTGTAAGCGGATCATAACCACTTATCGCAATTGGCTCCGTTCAGACACGGTAGGATCTAGGTTCGCTGTGGATGTTCAAAAGTCAAGGTCCTGTCCTGATGTGAAAATTTTATTTGTTGGTCGGATGTCGTCGTGCGTGTAACGGTTTTCACCAACACTCAATGCGACTCTATGATGACCTGTTGACCCCAATAAGACCCTGTTGAGGACTAGTTCACCAGCACGGGTCACGTTACATAGCATAGATTCAGATATATAAGCAATGTATCTTTAGCGATTTGTTCTGGATGTCTATGATGCTCATTATTGACCCTCCATTAATACAGTTCGCTTCATGATCATGGCAGCCAACATGCGGTAAAAGTATTATATCAATCATTTTTCATGGCAATACCAGTAATTGAATGGGGATCTCGGATCAGCAAACACAAAAATGTATTCTACCTAATCATAATCATCAATCGTCGTCCTTTTTGTCATTATCTCCTCAAACAGTCATTAAGCCTCCACAAGCAGCACAACGGTGCTAACAAGCATTACCCAAATCACCTCACTGTTAGCCCACGCAGCTTTGACTCCTGCAGCGGTCGAAGAAGCCGCCGCCGCAGCCGTCCCGCTGCTCGTAGTCTCTTCGCCATCATCCCCCGACGAAGTCCTCGTCGAGCTGACAACGCGCGTGCTCGAAGCTTTGCCGCTTGAGGTAGCTCCCAAACCGCTCAAAATGAGCCCACCAAGCCCAGAGCCACTCGGTGCGAGCGTAGCAGTAGAGCTATCAACAACCAGCTCCGTCACGCTGCCGGCGCCCGTCTGCAGGCCGACGACCTCTCCGTCGCTCAGCGTCGTCGTTTGACCAAGCGTCAAAGTCTGGCCGCCGACAACGATGGCGCCTCCAGGCGCAACACTGACCGTCTCGCCCGCAAAGGTAGTGGCAACAGCGCTCGCCGCCGTCGGCAGCGTCGCCGTGCTCCCGTCCACGACGACCTGCGTAGCTCCGCCCGCGCCCGTCTGAACCACGACGACGTAGCCGCCGCTCAGCGTGACAGTGCCATCCACCTGCACCGTCTGCCCGCCCACCACCACACCACCACTGCTCCCCTCCGACACGACCACGCCTCCCACCGTAGTAACAGCGCCGCCGCCGCCACCAGCACTCGCCGTCGGCAGCGCCACCGTACTCCCATCAACAACAACCTGCGTCGCGCCCCCGGCCGCCGTCTGCACCACGACAACATCCCCACCGCTCAGCGTCGCGCTCGCTCCCACCTCCACCGTCTGCCCGCCAACCACCACACCGCCCGCACTTCCCCCCTCAGAGACCACCACGCTCCCCACCGTCGCCACCGCTGCGCCGGTCGTCGTCCCCCCGCTACCCCCCACCGTCGCCGTCGCCCCACCCACAACCACCTCCGTCCGCCCCTGATCGTCCGTCTGCGCGCCAATCGCCACCCCTCCCACCGTCGTGCTCGGCCCACCCACCTCGAGCGTCTGCCCGCCGATCACAACAACTCCACCACCACCAGCCGTCCCCGTCGCGCCTGCTGCCAGAGCGCTGGCGACCTCGACCGTCTGCCCGCCCACGACGACGACGGCCGTCCCGCTCCCCTGTTGCTGCCCCGCGCCCGCGGCAGAAGTACCGGATGTAAACGCCCCACCAACATCCCCAACGACGGTGCTGCCGCCGACGACGAGCTGCGTAGCGCCCGATGCGTCGGTTTGGAGGACGGCGAGGGTCGTGGCGGTCTGCTGCTGGCCTCCGGCGTCGTTGCCGCTGAGCGTGACGGTTTGGCCGGCGGAGCTGAGTGTCTGCCCGCCGATGTTGACGATGACGCCTCCGCCTCCGTTTCCGCCGTTGCTGCTGCTACCGCTATTGGCGGCGGTAGTGGCCGGGCTGCCGCCGCCGTTCGAGACTTGCGAGAGGGTTGCGGAGCCGATGATGACGACGCCGGTGGGTGGGAGGGCGGTTGTCGCGTCGGTGGCGAGGGGAGAGCCGGCGGAGGCAGCGTCTGCAGCGCTGCTGGAGGGGACGACCACGACTGGGGGGACGGTGGTTGCGGAGTTGGGCGGGGCGGCAGCGGCTGTCGATTCTGCTGCCGCGGCGCTGCTGGCGATGGCGGAGATGATGACGCCGAGGGGGTTGCTGGTCGTCGTCGGCTCGTCTTCAGTAGGTGACGAGGTTACGGGCTCCGAGGCTGGGGGATTCGACGGCGAGGGAGAAGCGTCCTCCGTCTGCGACTGCGGCGGGGGCGCAACCGTCGTCGTCGGCGAGGGCTGTTCGGCCTGGCTCGTCTCCGGGGACGGCGACTCTTCCTCCGCGGTGGTCGTCGGACTTGCCTTCGCCGTCGTCGTCTCCGGCCCCGTGTCCTCATGCAGCGTCGACGTCAGCGTCAAATACTGCACACTCGACAGCACCCCCACCGGCGCCGTCATCGACGTCTGGTGGCCCTGTCCGGGCGGCAGCGGCACCAGCCCCGTCTCGCACAGCTGCGGGACGGCATCCTGATCATACGGCGCCGGCACGCCCGCCACGTACTCGCGCGGAATCTCGAGGTCGAACTCCCAGTCGATGCCGGCCGGGTCGTCTGGATCGACGGCTGCCCCCGCGTCATCACCGAACGGCTGCAGCGTGACGAACGGCACGAAAGCGCCAGACGCGGCGGTCGCGAAGTCGGTGAAGAGCCCGGCGGCGCTGGTGCTGCTGGCGGCGTTGTACGTCGTCGTGGTGTAGGTGCGCGTGCCGGAGAAGTAATACGGGGCCCAGGAGCAGATGGATGCGCCGTTGGCGGCGTCGGTCGTAGCTACTTCGCCCCACCATGTGTAGCCGGAGGTGTAGCGCGTGTAGCGCGACGGGTAGGCGATGGTGGTTACGAAAGTCGTCCAGTTGCCCGCCGCGCCGGTGGGCAGCGAGACGGTGATGTTGCGGGTGCGCGTGCCCGCGGCGTTGGTCGGTAGAGCGGTGATGCCGGCGGGTAGCGTGAAGTAAGACGTCGAGGTGCGCGTCGTGTTGGTGCGGTTGTTGACGATGAGGTACTCGATCGCGTACTCGACCGAGGTGGTGCCCGCCCAGGAAGTCCGCTTAGTCCAGCCGTATGCGCCGGCAGCTTCGGACTGGTAGGTGCAGTTGGCGGTGCATGATCCGGCGAGCGTGGTTGCGGCTGGCGGATTCGCCGACGTGACGTTGAGGTAAGGTCCAGCTGTTTTCGGTCGTTAGCATGGAGTTTGAGAGCTGCCCGCGATGGAGCTGTGTGTACTTCGGACTGGCGTCACCTGTGCTGTTGCTGCGCCCAATGTGAGCACGAAAACTAGGATCGGGGCCAGCATGGTTGCATGTGCATGACCCGGGAGATCGACTGTGTTACAGTTTGGCAAAAAGGGAGCCCAAGGACATGGGCTGCGAACAGCGGTACCGTCGACTTTTTGTGCTCGTGGTAGCACGAGGCTGCTTCTGGCCCCATATTGGAATTAGGCAGCTAGTTGTAAACATCACGGCACACCGGCTGGAAAAGGCGGAACTTTACGCATAACGTCCTGATTATGGTGATCCAACCTTGAGCGCTGACAGATGGGATTCATTGAAAGCCACTTTGGCTTTGTTAGCGGCCTGTTTAGCCCCGTTCCTGACCAATCGTGCCACACCGTTATATGGGGCCAAGCCGGGATACCTTGCCGCCACGTAAATGGGGGCCGAATTCCCGGGTCAACCCTCCCGTTCCCATAAACAGCGCACAACCAACGCCTATCTTCCCTGTTCCTGTATATCTCGTGACCCTTCAAATATTCGTCATGTGCTCCGGGTAGCTTCTCACAACAACATCAAAACCCACCAACAGCTTATCAAACTTCCGAATACAGTCTGCCCCACCATAACGCCGGCAGCGCCTGCCTCTGACACAGCTCCTCCTCCCGCCGTCGCTACACTACTACCCGCGCTATCACTACTTCCTGCCGCCAACGTTGTCGTCTTTCTACTCTTGCTCTCCGTCTGTACGCTTACAGTTTTACTCGTAGCACCTACCGACACCGTCTGCCCTCCAGAGGCACTAGAGGCAGATGTCTCCACCTCGCTAGCACCCGCACTGTTCGCAGCCTCAACTGTCTGCCTGCCGTCTGTCGTTGTGGTTCCTTGCCCCTGCCCCTGCCCCTGTCCTTGGACAGCATCAGTGGCAGATGTAACAGCAGCAGAAGTGGCAGCAATCACAACACCATCCATAGCAGCAGCTGTGTTCGCACCCGTTGCGTACGCCAGAGCTACATCGCTGACAACCGTGCTGTCACCAACGAGGAGCTGTGTGCGGCCAGCGGAATCAGTCTGGAGGACGGCGAGTGTCGGTTGTTTCTGCTGCTGCTGCTGCTGCTGCTGCTGCTGTTGTGCGCTATGAGCTGTGCCCGTTGCCTGTTCGTTGGCGCTGCTGGCGTCGTTGCTAGCGTCATTGCTACCGCTCAGAGTGGCGGTCTGGCCTGCCGAGCTAAGCGTCTGACCGCCTATAGCGACGACGACTACTCCCCCCGCGGCTGTAGTGCTGTCAGGGAGTGTCGCGGTGAGGCTGTCAATATTCGAGGCTTGGTCGGACCCCGCAGCATTCGGGCTCGAGTTGGCATCCGGGACCTGCGAAAGAGTCGCTGGGCCGACAACGACAACTGCTGCCCCGGTAGCAAGCACGGTGGTGGCGGCGCCGGTCTCCCCTTCTGCAGTCTCACCCGCTGCTGTCCCGGTCGCCTGCGGCGAACTGGTGGAGGGCGCTGCAAGTGAAGATTCTCTCGGGGCGCTGCCGATGTGTGTTTCTGTGATGGAGAGGTGGCTGTTGGCTGAGATGCCGTCGGCAGACATACCGCTGGCGAGAATGCTGGACTGTTGCACTTGCTGATGGATGCTTGTCTCCGTTCGCGAGAGAGATGGTGATTCTTGCTCTTCAGGGCTGGCGGTCAGGCTGGTGACAATGGGAGCACTGTTCATCGATGCTTTGACAGAAGGAGAAGATGACGCGGGCTCTTCGACGGCAGATGAGGCAGGATGGCTTGACTGTAGGCCGGAAGAGGAGTCCACTGTAGACGGTCCAGGAAGCGAGGGCTGCTCTGTTGCTAGGGGCCGGGTTGACTTCTCGGCTGGCTTCTCGGTATTTGTGGTGCTCAAGGGCTGTTTTTCCGTGCTCGACGGCGAGGCTGTCATGGGTAGCTGTTTGTATGTTTGTGAGGCTGTCTGCTGGCTCGATGACTGCTTGGTTGAAGATGAAACTTTCGCCAATGTTGTCAAGGAAGCCAGATTCGATGGGGGCGTATCTTCATGCAGAGTTGAAGTGAACGTCAAGTACTGCACGGACATCAAGGCTTCAGCAGGCGCATTCCCGGCCAGTGTCGTGTGAGTCTGCCCCGGTGGCAGCGGGAGGACTCCCATACTGCAATACTGTGGCACCGATTGCTCATCATAAGGCGGTGGGACGCCGGGCTTTTCCACATTACGTACACCAACATCAAACTCCCAGTCGAGGCCACCTGGATCCTTCGGATCGATCTGCTGCGTTTCTTCTCCGATAGGCCGGACCGTAAGATATGGTACGTAGGCGCCAGACGCGACTGTGGACCAGTCAGTGTATAGCCCGGTGCTGGCCTTGTCGGTAGAAGTAGTGACGTATGTTGAGTGAGCAGTGAAGTAATACGGCGCCCACAAGCAAACAGACGCTCCACTAGAGTCGGTCGTAGGCACTTGACCCCACCACGTATATCCGGAGCTGTACTCGGTCCAACGCGAAGGATAGGCGATGGTAGTTACAAATGTTGACCAGTTTCCAGCTGAACCGGCAGGTGTAGATATTGTAATGTTGTACGTACGCGTACCAGAGGGGTTAGTCGGTCGTGCTGTAATGCCTTCTGGGAGAGTAAAATACGATGTTGAAGTCGATGTAGAGTTTGTTCGGTTGTTAATGATGACAAACTTAACAGCGTGCTCAACAGTCGTCGTCCCAATCCACCATGGGACTGAAGTCCACCCATACACTAGCGCAGGCTCGGTCCAAAATGTACAGTTAGCCCAGCATGGTCCGGGAAGTGTAGTCGATACCGGCGGGCTTGCAGCTGTAATTCCGTTGTAAACAGACTCTGTGTTGGCTGTTATATTATTCCCAACGGTGGCTGCACTTGTTAGTACAGTTCTAATAGAGCTATGGCCATTTAAGAAAACCTACTTCGTGTTGGGGTGAACTGTGCGTTTGCGTAGAACGTAAGAAGGAAAAAGATGATTTGGAGCATCATTAGAGCGGATGTGTGAGTAAGAGATATTCGGCGGTTTGACAGACGGAATTCTATTTTTCTAAGGCTCTGTTGACCTTTTGTGCTATAGGGGCAGCATTGCGTTAAAAATTGTTCTATATTAAATTTAGGCTGCCAAAGGCAATTATTGAGGCTGATGTGCCTCTTATTAGTGGGGCTGGAACATACGCCTGTAAAGCGCTGGCTCTGGTAACACAATCTTAAGTAGTGACTACTGTGTGGGTGGGGTATTTGTTGAATCTTATTCGTGCATAAGCGCCCGCAAATCCGGCGCCAGTCGGGACGCAATCAGATCACATAGCCTTGCGCAAAGCTGCATATTCGAGACCAAATGCAAAAAGTATCGGCTCTTCCATGTTCTACAACGTCAGCTCTCCAGGTCCGGCCGATCGATGTGCAACAACAGCCTCATGAACAGGGCTCGTATTTCTACGGTTTCTTTTTTTTTTTAAGCCATGTTGTGTAATGCGTTCACGCCGACTGTCCAGCCTTGTGTCTCCTATTTCACCACCCACCGAATCAGCCTCTTTGACGCCTGCCCCTGGAAATCCCGCGGCCGCTCAAGTGTTAGTCATGTGCATGACATGCTCAGGGTATCTCGTTCCGACAACATCAAAACTCGCCAGTATCTTATCAAGCTCCTGCATCTCCTCCTCCGTGATCTCGACAATTTTCGAGTTTTCCTCCACACGCTCGACCGTGGTAGCACCGGGGATGGGTATGATGACGGGCATATCAGGCCTTTTGGAGAGGGTCAGCACCCAGTTGATGGCAAGCTGCGCTGGCGTGCAGTTCTTCTTCTTCGCGAACTTCTCCAGCGTGTGCACGAGTTCGAGATTCTTCTCAAAATTGCCGGGCTGGAAGCGCGGGAAATGCCTCTTGTAGTCATCGGCGGGGAGGTCGTCGAACGACTTGTACTTGCCCGCGAGCATTCCCTGACCCACGGGACCGTACCTGTGAATCAGTTAGCACTTGGAAGAAAAGGAAAAAGAGGGGTAGCACTCACGCTAGGACAGGAATATCATGCTCCTTGCAAGCTTGCAGGATACCGTTCGTCAGCGGCTCCGTCGCCCAGAGCGACAACTCAATCTCCACCGACTGAATCTTGGTAATGCGTGCGGCCTCCCGGATGCTGTTCGCGCTAACCTCACTCAGCGCCACCCCACCAATCTTCCCCTCCTTCCGCAACTCCTCGAACGCGCCCAGCGTCTCCTCTAGCGGCACCTTCGCATCCCTACGCGCGGGTTCGAAGACATCAATCTTCTTCTTGTCTCCGAGCATCTCGATGCAGTTGTTGACGCTCTTGTACACCTGGTCTTTGCTGGCATCGATGACTAGGCCCGGCAGAACGCAGCCCTTGATGTTGAGCGAGACCTTCTCTGCGTCTTCCGGGTACTTGGCGAAGTACTTGTTGAGCAGCGTCAAGGAGTTGTTGTCGGGGGTTCCGTAGAACTCGCCGCCGTTCCACGCGTTACAGCCCGTTTCGAGCGCCTTGCGCAGCGTCGCGAAGGCCCGCTCCTCCGGCACGTCACTCCTGGTCAGGCCTGGAAAAGTATTAGCTGAAATTGCAAGTAGTATGGGGCAACAATTATACCCATCAGGCCGAAGCCGATGCTGCCAACCTCTTTCCCGTTCAGCTGAGGCATGATTGAGATGGGTCAAGAAAGGAGTCAATGGCTTTTCGATACCTCGAGAAAAGCTATCTGATGAGTATACAAACGCATCCATTGCATTCCTTTATATAGACGTTGTGGAAGGATCCCCAGATCGAGCTCCACGCGGAGCTACGGGCCCCGCGGACTTATCGCGGGCCCGCCGCTGCTTAACACCGGTGTGGCACGGACGAATGATAGCGGGGGCCAAGGGTCCTATTCCTTTTAGGATCCTTCAGGTCGGTCCGGAGCGGAGCTTTAAGCCCCGTTGCATTCGGTTGCGCACGATTACTTCTTTATTGGTGCTGCATAGATCCTTCAAGTTCGAGATGACGTCCGGGGACATATTGAAGTCACGTGGTGTCGCTGCCTCACCAATTGGTTAGCTGACAAGTGGCTGGTATATTCGCAAGAATATCCAAAATTGTCCCCAGATGCGAGTGAAAAGAGCAAGGGCTACTCGATTTCTTGGTTTTCCATGCTGCATTACCGGCTGAACGCACACGTGCAGCAATGGTAAGGCATAGGTAGGCGAGCACCAATGCAACCAATAGGGACACAAAAAATAAAAAAGAAACAACTTGGAATAGGTTTCCGCACTCAAATGTGGTTGTAAATCTGTTTCTCTGTAAGACGGGTTCGTTTGCGACCAATAGCATCACCAAGACACCGCCAAGCTCACCTTTCCAGGGGTCTGGAGTCGTCGCGCTAAGCATTTAGGGCAAGAGCTGACTGTACATACGTACATCAAGCTGGCACTACTCATTCAGTCAGGGGGAACAACAAAAATTCTATGAATAATTTCGCAGATTGGTTCCAATTGAAGACCTTTTCATCACCAACCATCTACATTCAAGCGAATTCGACCATGTTGCGTCTAATGGCCTCCCTTAAAGTGGTCCACCCGGGATAGCCAAGCCTCTTCAACAAAGCTTCCGCTTTGTCAATAGGAGGAACGTCGCTTCTGTCGCATTCAACATCCGGTGCATCTGGATATTCATGGTCAGGGAACAAGTAGCGCAGTTCCTGGACGATTTCTTTTCCATTGGTATGCCTCGCCATCGCAAAAATGCGCTGACTCTCCACATCTGGCAATGTCAAAGCTGCAACATGCAAGAGAGCACAGTCTTCCACATCGATATACAGCGCTAATACTTGTTAGTATGTAGCATAAAGAGGGCCATAGAGAACTTACAAGGTCCAAGGAGGAAGTTCATTTCTGGAGAAAGCTTCCCTTTGTGCAACGCAACTGTCGTTGCTGATGTGGTTGGGTAACCCTGATGGCTTGGATCCAGCACTCTGCCGAGAACGAATCCAGGAAGAACTGCGTCATCCTGATGTTAGTACTAAAACGTAACTTTGATCGGTGGATATCCTACCTGAATTGACGCCAAAAGATGGCTGATGCTCACGGACCCAATCCCAGATCGCAAGTTCCCCTCTGGTTTTTGCAGCGCAATGGTTTATAAAATGGCGATTCTGGCCGGGAGTTGGTGGTTCTGAGGCTGCCGTGACGGCGGGATAGTTGTATGTGCTCTCATCAATGTTGAGCAGCTGGTTGGGTTTGGGAATGTATAGTGCCGCCAGTGAAGAAGTGTATACAAACCGTTTCACAGATGGTTCTTTTTCGCAGGATGAGATGGCGTTCAATGCGCCTTTGACCGTTTGCTCAATGACTTTGGGATCATCGCTCACGCTATCGACGTTTGCCACATGCGCTACTGCAGATACACCTGGGGAAAATGAAACGTTTAGCCGTTTGGTGAAACTATGTTTTGGGAAATATTCAGACACAAACCTTTCACTACTTCGTCAAAGGCGTTGGGAGCCGTGATATCCAATACAGGACACAGTTCAAATCTGCCCTTACCATAGGCAGCGTCGAATCCGTCTTGCAACCATTTCTGCTTTTCTGGAGAACGGACCGTTCCTCGGACTATATAGCCCGCCTTGAGAAGCTTGTCGATGATGTGGCTAGCAATGAAGCCGTTCGCTCCAGTAACAAGAACCACAGCCTGCGGAGGCAAGCACGAATCCGAAGTTTTGGCCATGAGAGATGATGGTAATCTGGATTTGCAAATAATCAGTGATACCAAGATGATTGACCTCAGCGGCTTAAATTACCCTCTCCGTCGTTACTGCGGGGGTAACACGATATGGGGAGCCCCGCCTCCGCTGTGCGGTAAGCTCGGAGTTAGAGCTACTCGGACATTTCGCATGTCAAATGTGAACCCGTGCCGTAGCATTCCGCGTACCTGACCCATTTCATTGGCGGAGTGCTTGTTTTTACACGGAAGCTTGGGAACCACATCGGCTCCACCCCTTGGCAAAGCTTGGTTTTGACGCGTCGAAGTGGATATTGCTGACAAAAGATACACCTCTGACCACAGTATTGGGTCGGCCGACGCAAATTCGGCCGGTTCTAAAATGTCCGATATCAGTCCTAAATCTGGAGGATCTGGTAGGCCTTGAAGAGCGTCTTTTGGATAAAGCAGGGTGGATGCTGCTTCCGACTTTCAGTTCAGAATCTCGGTTCTACCTCTGGCAGCGCGCCATTGACATCGTTCCCCCAAAGTCTCTCCGGTCATCAACCTGAAAAGTCATGGTTAACATTGCAGTAGCAGGTGGCATTGGTAGTGTGGGAAAGACGATCGTCGACGTCTTGATTCAAGACGCCAGGCACAACGTCACGATACTTTCGAGCCAGGTAAACAAGAATCCGCCGAGAGATGCCTCCTCATTTAGATTTGGGTAACAGTTGCCGCAGCCTCGGGAAAACTTCCCTGTTCCAGTCATAGCAGTCAATTATCAGGATCCTGAAGCGCTCAAGGATATCCTAGAGGCAAATGAGATCCACACGGTCATCTCCGCCCAGTCCATGAGAGTTGAGACTGCTTCCAGAGCCCAGATAAACCTCATCAGGGCTGCTGCTGCGGCGAAGCCCACCCAACGGTTCATTGCAAGCGAATGGGGTACTTTGACACCACCAGAGTAAGTCCCTCCCCTCCGTTCCAAGTACAAAATCGATCTGATGACTTGGGCAGTGCTCCGTCGTACATGCCTCACATAGCCTACCGCCTTGCCGCTTATGAAGAACTCAGCAAGACCGACTTGGAATGGACGCGCGTTTACAACGGCTTCTTCCTGGACTACTACGCGCAGCCGCACGTAAGATCTCATCAGGTCCGCCTGCCATTCGCCATCGACGTCGAAAACAAGGTCGCCGCGATTCCTGGTACCGGGGATGAGATTGCGACATTCACGTACACTTACGACATTGCTCGGTTCGTGAGCGCGCTGATGGATCTGCCGGCCGGGGGATGGCCGGAAAAGAGCATCGTGATCGGGGACAAGCTCAGCTTCAACGAGCTTCTGAAACTGGCCGAGGAGGCACGTGGTACGTATTCCCAATGGATCCTTTGACTGCTCTACAATTTGCTGACCTCTTTTTTCTATGGATCTAATAGGCTGCAAATTCGAAGTCCACTACGATTCGCTAGAGAAGCTGCAAGAGCTTCAGGTGACAGAGCTCCCCGGGCACAAGCATCTTTATCCGTATACACCCAAGGAGCAACTACAGCGGTTGTTTGCGATTTTCTTTCAGTGGGCAGTGGGGGGACACTTTGACCTGCCGTACGAGCAGTCTTTGAACGCAAGATTCCCAGAAATCAAGACTGTCAAGGCCAAGGAGATGCTTGAGGAGGCCTGGAAGGGGAAATAATCCTATGATATTAAATCAGCCACTTGATCCATGAGTGACTCAATCGCTTCATCATCGAGTCATTCATTCTGAGGCTCCTTAAGACTAAGCTCCTATCCGTCCGTCCGTCTATCCGCCTGTCTAGATGCCGAGCCCCCCATCCAACACCATCCATTCTGCCACGCCCCATCACCGCTCCTCTCTCTCCCCCTCCGCCCCCGCCCCAACCCCCTCCCCACTCCTCTCATCCGCCTCCAACACCTCCCTAATCCGCTGACTAGGCAACCACTTCTCCGCGGGCACAACCCACCAACTCACGACCCCAAAAACCGTCACAATCCCCATAATAACCGGCGCATAATTCAGCGTCGCCGCCTCCACCGGCCACACGTACGGACTAAACAGCACGGCCACCACCCACCCATTCCAGAAGACCCCCACCACCTGCATCGGCTTGCTCCACCGGCCCAGGCTCCACTTCGGCTTCGGAAACGTCGTCGGCGTCAGCACCAGCCGGCTCAGGCAGATCAGCCCGTACGCGGCGGCCGAGGGCACGCCTGCGGCGGAGACGAGCGACGTGAAGGCGACGCCCGACGGCAGGATGCTGCAGGTGACGAGCGCGGCGACGCCCCAGACGACGAGGACGGCGTTTTTGGGCTGGCCCGTGGCGGGGTCGACGCGCGAGACCCAGGGGGAGAAGGGGAGGACGCCGTCGCGGGCGACGGCGAAGACGAGGCGGGAGGCGGCGATGATGGCGATGGCGGTGTTCTGGGGAGAAGGGGGTTAGTAAGGTGGAGGGGGGGAGAAGGGGGGTTTTGGGGGAGGGGGAGGAAGAGGGAGAAGGTTACGTACAAACCAGAGGGCAACGACGCAGACGATGTTCATGACGATGTGGCCGCCCTTGCCGAGGAGGACGGCGTAGAGCGGGACGAAGGGCTGGGCGCCGCCGAAGGAGAAGAGCGTGTCGGCGTCGGGCTGTATAGGTGTGTGTTTACGTCAGTCAAAAGCTGGGGAACAAGGGCAGGCGGCGGTCCACACTTACGACGCAGAACAAAAACAGAATCACCACCACGAATCCTCCCAGCCCGCTGACTACAGTGCTCCAGAAGATGCCGCGGGCAGCGGACACGGAGGCGTTGCGCGTCTCCTCGGCCACGTGGCCGGACGCGTCGAAGCCGATCAGGATGCCGGCCGTGGCCAGGTACGACAGGCACCAGTTCCAGCCGGCGGGGGCGCCCGTGCCGTTGTACGTCGTCATGAAGGCGTCGTGCGTCGAGCGGAAGCCGTACGTGTTGGCGGTGCCGATGGGCAGCCAGATCAGGTTCATGACGAAGTCGAGGACGACGGTGAAGGAGGAGGCGTAGAAGACCCAGCGGAAGTAGCGGGCTGCGTTGCGTTAGTGAGGTGCGCGGATGGGGATTTGGGGGAGATGATGGGGGTCACTTGCGAGGGATGAGGTTGGCGATGGCGGCGATGGCCAGCATGATCTCGGTGCAGATCCATTGGACTGCTCGGAACTTGACGTCGGATGCATCCGAGGGGAAGTCGATGTTGAAGACGACGATTTCCTGGGGTGGGAATAAGCATCACAAGCAATGTGAAGGTGCATACGTAAGCTTACAGAAAGCATGTAGTTGACGGCTGCCTGGGTATTGCCTGGAGCGTGTCAGCTTAGATGCATGTTCAAGGTACAAATGGCTTACTGGCGCAGAAGGTAGTCCATGCCGTTGTACTCCACCAAGCAACAACGAAGCCAAATAGTCTACCGAAACGAGGACCGCCGGCCTCGGCAGCCCACAGGTAGATGGATCCAGCCAATGGAAGGGAAGAGCATGTCTCGGCAATAACGGCTGCTGTTATGAAGGTAAAGACACAGGTAACGATGAAGCTCGTCCTGGGAACAATGTTACCAAGCAATGCGCAGGAATGGAGATCAACGCCACTCACCAATAAGCAAGGTTTCCGCCCGCAGCAATGCCGGTACTAAACGTTACGCGCACACCACCAATGAAGTACAGCGCAGCTATAATTGATCAGCATTGATGGACATGATAATAGCATCTCACCAACTTACCAAATGTGGTGGCAAAATTGTGGAAGAGGTTGTAGGTTCGATGTAACACCTGCACGGATCAGGAAGCAGCCCTCAGAATGTTCGTATGAACGTACCGGCTTGTAGCCAAGATGGCGCTAGAAACGAGATCAGCAAACGGCAGCCAAAAAAGCTTGTGACGGCGACTTACCAGAATCTCGGCGTCCTGGGATTCGGTTTCCTCAACGAGCGGCTCTTCACCCCGCTTCGACGCCAAGTCGGGTTCGTGTTGCGACATGGTGTGGGGATCCTCCAACGTCAGCTAGTCGGTGTGTGGTTCCCTACGCCCAGGGTCCTTCCTGTCTATTATGCTGTCGCGAATAATGCCGGGCGCATGCGGGTGATAATGTTTGCTGGTCGAGTGAGCAGCACGCCATTGGAGGAGGAGCCAACGTCATTGACGAAATTTGACGCGCCCCCGGTCGCGCCTTCGGTCGCAGACGCCTCCCTCGGCAAAGCTGCGATCTCGGAGTCCAATCACAACCGCTGCAAACACCAGATAGGTGCTCACTGCTTCGATATGGCGCTCTCACCGACAGATCCCAGCCCGGACATGGCCACAAAAGAGTATAAGACAGACGATGACGGTCGCGCAGGGCGGTTGACGCCATCGCTGTTCGTCGGCTCCCTCCGCGCCTTCAACACTTATAGAAAGCTATGTAAAAAAGGCACATCTATTTGATTCATCGATCCCTATTGGACCAGTTAATCGCACGTGATTTATCTACAGCGGAGCCATGAACGCAGCCTGGACCCCTACTTGCGGCGCACTTTTGCTGCTCGTCATACTCTTGGTCGTGAAGGTTAGTCGGAAACCGCGGAAACAACGGTTCCATGCTAATACAAAGTTTATCAGGGTATCAAAAGAGCGTATCTCTCGCCGCTGCGAGCCGTACCTAATGCAAGTGTTCTCGCTCCGTTCTCCCGCCTGCTATGGGCTTTTCCCCAAGAGCATTTCGGCAACATCACGCTTGCGCTCCCCCGGCTGCACGAGAAGCTCGGTTGGTGCCCCGAACTCCACCGAGACCTGGCCGTGAATACTGATTGATAGCGCAGGTCCCTTGGTCCGCATTGGGCCGAATGAGGTGTCTTTCTATTCGCTGGACGTGTACGACCTGGTGCACAAAGTCCGCAGCGAATTCGCCAAAGACCCGCGGATCTACGGCGAGTTCGTCCAGGATGGCCACCCCGCACTTTTCTCCATCACGTAAGGCCGGCATGACACCTTGAAAGACGCCGATTGAGGCTCATGGGCTGATTTTGTCTTTTTTCTTGACGTTTTCCTGCGCATAGTGACGCCGAGGAGCATGCGAAACGTCGCAGGCTGATGGGCCAGCTCTTCAACCTGAGCAAGATGGACAACCTGCGCGAGCTGATGCTGCAGCAGGTTGACGGCTTCGTGCGTGCCTTGAAACAGGGCGGTCATCGGCCCGTTGATCTGGTCCCCGCGTGCCGAGCTCTGGAAGCGGACATCGTCTGTATGTAACTGTAGTAGCTTGGCTTGAGGTGTGATCTGCTGATAGGCGTGTAGCATCGTTTGGATTCGGCACGGCGGTGGGCGCCATATCTGCATGGTCAAGGGGGGAGGAACTCGCCATGGTAGCGAAGAACGACGAGAAGGCAACATGGATGCCACTGGTAGGCGCGCGTCGTCCCAGATATGCAATAAGCAACGCACTGATCAGACCACCACCAGATCACGAACTTCCCGCGTCTCTGCCTCGTCTGGGAAAGGCTGGAGGACCTCGTCTTCGCCGCCACGGGATGGCACACGGCGTATCACCGCGCCATGCAAGACTTCGACTCCGTACGCCCATCCTCGCCCCACGGCCCGATTTGCCCTACTGACAACCATCATCACCATGATAGTGGTCAGCAGCCGGTCTGCAATCCAACCAACAGGCCCCAAAGCAGCAGCAGCAGCAGCACCAGCAACAGCAACCCACCCCCTCCTCCCCCTTCCCGAACTTCATCCGCGTAATGCTCAAATCCGGCCTCGCGCCGCAAAGCGCGCTGTCCGAGGCAAAAGAAATGCTCGGGCCGGGCACGGACACGACGTCAGCGTCGCTCGCACACATCCTCTGGGCCCTCGCCCACAACAGCGCCTACCAAGACGAGCTTTACGGCGACCTCGCCGCGGCCGGGTTTCCAACCCACATGGGCGGGCTGGAGGCCGTGGCGAAGCTGAAGGCGTGCGTGAAGGAGGGCGTGCGCTGGGCGGGCGCGGCGGCGGCGATGCTGCCGCGCGTGGTGCCCGAGGGGGGCGTTGAGCTGGTGGGGGGAACGTGGGTGCCGGGTGGGGTACGTACCGTGGATGACCAACGATGGTTGGCAACACCTAGCGTGCCGGACGTTGACACTGACGTTGTGTGAGAGTAGACGATCTTGAGCTCGTCGCCTATCTGGTACCTGAGGGACAAGACGGCGTTTCCGAATCCGGACGAGTACGATCCGTACCGGTGGCTGAGCGCGGACGGGCAAAGGCTGAGCGACGGGCTCGCGCTGCGCGATAGGTACTACATCCCCTTCTCGAAGGGGTCGAACGTCTGCATCGGCGCGCAGTGAGTCTTCCTCCTGTCTATCCCATCTATCGAAAAGAGCCCGAGCTTCCTCGATCTTTCCCCACTAATTCTTCTCACCCCCTCCCCGACCCCTCCAAATCTCCACATGTATGTGCGCACGCGTGGGTAGAGAGAAATATACGAAAAAGGAAACAAAAAAGCTGACTAGCAGCTCTTCGATACGACCACAGCTTCTCGTATTACGAGCTCTACCTCGCCGTCTCGCACGTCGTCCGCAATTTCCGCATCCGCCTTGTCGATGCGCCGTCAGAATCGCGAGGACTGCTGTCATCCATCTCGGCCTGCGCGAACAGCAGGTTCCACCCGGTGCAGCTGCCGCCGCGGCGCGAATGGGTTGCCGCTGTGCCGACGCAGAAGATGCTGGTTGTGTTCGAGGAGAGGAGAGAGGAGAAGGAGAAAATGTGACGAAAGGGGGGATGGCGGGAATAATGGCAGGGCCGAGAAGTGATGACAGCGCATAACGCATGCGAGGCGAGAAGAGGCGTGCCGGCTGGGAGAGGACGTGCAGTGCGTGTCAATCCTACGATATTGCGTAAAGAAGACTACTGTGTGATTCCTTCCGACGACGACTGCTGATGCTACCCTGGGCGGGTACGTCGGGGCTGGTAGCTGCGGGTTGACGCGTTCCTTTTTTCAGCTTGCTGGGTTTTCCCCGAGCAGATCATCCTGGCAAGAAAGTCGAGAACAATGGGAGGCCGTATCGATCTCGGGGTCCTCCATCTCGAGAATCGTCGTCTGATCAGTCCACCCTTCTCCTTCTTGACGAAAATCTTCGATTCAATTTCCGATCTGAGGGGATGATGTGTTCGTGTTCGCTTGGGGGGTTTTGGGTGCATTAGAGTCACCGAGATCCGGGAGAGAAAGTGGCCCTGGCGGTGCGTCACGTGATGCGGTAGTCTTGAACGAGGACTCGGCTCGAAACAGATCGACGAGAAGAGCAACTGGAGGCGAGCCTGCGACACCGTCTTTCGTATAATCGGCATCCGGAATTGCCGACGTCTCTTTAGCACGATTGCTGTGCCGTACGCCGTCCGATCTGTCGGCCGGGAGGAAGTTGGCGCCCGAGGAAAAGCCTTTCAGGGTGCACTACTTGCGACATCAACCAGGGCTGACGTCAAAGCTGGGGCGGGTGGATACAGTGGCTTAAGGTTTTTTTAAGGTGTTTCCTCGACGCACTCTGCCCAGCGTTCTTAATTTGGACGCGTTTCGAACAAGTCGGGGTCCACGGCAGGCCTGAGTGCGTGTGTCACGATGCTGAAGCGGGTGATGGCGGCTCAGTGGTTGCCGCAGAAAGGTGTGCGTGCATGCTGGCGCACATGCATTTGGCAACCGTCTTCCCAAAAGCGCGCAGCCCGAGTCCCGCGGCCCTGGAAATTGGCATGGGTAGGGCTGCCTCACCATTCGCGGGGACCCGGCATTGGTGGCGCCGCTAGTAGTGGCTGAGGGCTGCAGGTGAAACGGCGAGGCGCTTGACTTTTTTCACGACTCGGCCAGCGCAGCAGCCGCCTGAGCTGCCTGGCTCCTCTTTTTTGGTTCCCCACCCTGCCTTCTACTGATCGCCTGCCGCGCGTTAACGTCGGCGGCTGCTGCACCATGGACACAAATAACGGCGGCCGCCGTTGATCGCTTGGAAGCGAGATCAGCCATGACGACAGATGGATGCGGGAATCCATTTCTTGTTGCTCGGAAGCGTTGCTGCACGCGGCATTGATCCGCGTGATTTGGGGGCCATTGGTCAACCGCGGGTCCGTTCTCCTGACGATCATCGACGGCGCAGGGCAGTCCCGGGCAGCAGCTTGGCTCTGCCAGGAACGACCGTCCATCATCCGCTGATGTTCTGTGACAAACCCGCGCGGTCTTTGCGCCGCCGCCATTGGCCGGTCCGCCTGATGGACTGTCCATCCCAAACAGCCAACAGCATGCTCGGCCCACAATGCGATACGACAGTACTTGCTGCCCATGCCGTCATGTCCCGGCCTGAAGCGGGAGCCTGCCTGGTCGATAAAGGGTCTCTTGCGCGCCCTCCTGGAGACGTAGCCCTGTACACTCTCTCTTAATTTTTCCTTGTGCTGTCTCGGGGTGTGGCTGCCAATCATTCTTTACCTTTCGCTCTTTTAGCATGACTCGCTACTACTCGCTGCTGCCGCTTGCAGCTCTCGTCGCTCTTTTCGACCTCAGATCACAGGCCAGACCCATCAACGATGACTTATTAGACCAATACGACTATATTATTGTCGGCGGAGGTGCCAGTGGCCTCACCGTTGCCAACAGGCTGACTGAGGACCCTTCGGTGACGGTTCTCGTGCTCGAGGCTGGCCCCGTCGACCAGGATGAGGAGTGGATGCGGGTTCCCTTCTTCGTCGGCAACGATCCCACGCCCCCGGCCGGCGCCCTTTCCGGTCACCTGCAGTACGACTGGAATCTGGGAACTGAGGCTCAGACCTACCTCGATGGAAAGACGAGGCACTACCCTCTCGGCCGCGGTGTCGGTGGAGGAACTTTGATCAACGGAATGCTTTGGAACAGGGGCAACATTGGTGACTACGACGACTGGGCAACCCTGATCGGCGATGACGGATGGAACTGGGAGTCGATGATGCCGTACTTCAAGAGGGTAAGCAACCACAATGAACTTTCGCACAGCAACACTTCACTGACTGTCCAATCAGAGCGAAACCTTCTCGGCCGACTACTCTCCCGAGCAAGCCTCGCAGTACCAGATCCACAGCGAGGACTCGGTACACGGCATCGCGCAGGGCGGCGTCAACGTCAGCTACCAGGGCCACTTCTACACGGGCACCGAGCACTTCTACAACGGCCTGAACGAGCTCGGCATCCCGACCGAGGGCGACCCCAACGCCGGCGACACGGCTGGCGCTTCCTTCTTGCCCATGAGCATCGACCCGGAGACGAAGCAGCGCGCCGATGCCCGCAGGGTCCACTACGATCCCCACGCCTCGCGCGACAACCTCTACATCTCCAGCGGCCAGTTCGTCACGCGCCTCCTCTGGGACGACAGCTCTGACTGCGGCAATGGCGCCGACGACGGCGACGACAGCGACGATGAGGGCGGTTTGTTCGGCGGCGACGTCCCTGGTTCTTTTGCTCCTAATGGCCCTGACTTCGGCGGCAATCCTTTCGGTGACAACCCTTTCTCCAGCAATCCCGGATCGGACGGCACTGGTGGATCGTCGTCCACTGGTGGCGACGGCCAGACCAACCCCTCGGACCCGACTAACCCCTTCAGCCCTGTCAGCTCTGGTGTTGATGGCGTCTCTTCTGGTTCCAAGTCGCACACCAACGGCTCGGCCTCGGGCGCCGGCTCTGGCTCTGCTTCCGGTTCTTCCTCCTCTGGCTCCTCCTCCGGTTCATCCTCCGGCTCGTCATCCGGCGGTCTCTTCCCCGGCTTCGGCGGTTCCAGCTCGCCGTTCTCCAACTTCACTGTCCCGACCTGGGCCAACGGCAGCACGCCGTCGAACGAGTCCAGCGTGTCCGGCTCCATCGGCACGGGCAGGCACTGGGGCTTCAAGCCCAACAGCGTCAGCAGCGTCGAAGGATCGTCCAGCAGCGGCGTGGGCATGTTCAACTTCTTCCCCGTCGGCCAACTTTTCGACCTCCTGAAGAGCTCCGCGCCCGCCAACTGGGACCCCAACTCCGGCGTCGAGGTGCACGAGATCACCACCACCACCTACACCTGCGACTGCAAGGAGTCCACCTGCTCCTCCAAGAAAACGCGCCGCAGCAGCACCAAGAAAAACAAGCGCCAACAGCCCAACCAAAAATGCCTCCAGCGCGTCCAGGGCGTCGAATACGCCGCCTCGTCCAACTCCCAACGCCGCACCATCACCGCCCGCCGCGACGTCATCCTCGCCGCGGGCGCCGTGCACACGCCGCTCATCCTCCAGCACTCGGGCATCGGCGACGCCGACTTCCTCGCCACGCAGGGCATCGCCACCCGCCTCGACCTGCCCGGCGTCGGCAACAACTACCAGGACCACTACATGCTGGCCAGCAACAACCACTTCGCCGCCAACGACGACGCCCCCGTCGCCTACGCCGTCGACACGGACGCCAACCGCGCCGCCTTCTTCGACTCCGCATCCGGCCCCTGGACCGCCGGCCCCCCCAACGGCGTGGCGTTCCCGTCGCTCAAGGACATGACGGAAAACTTCACCAGCGTCCTCGAATGGGCGCGCTCGCAAACCACCGGGCAGCACCTGCAGGACGGCCTCGACGCCACCGTCGTCGCGGGCTACGACGCGCAGCACGCGCTGCTCGTCGCCGCGCTGAACGACGCCCGCCGCGGCCAATTCGAGATCCTGAATAGCAATGCCGGGTCCTTCACGTACTCGCTGATGAAGCCGCTGTCGCGGGGCCAGATCCGCATCCGCAGCGCGGACCCCTTCGACACGCCCGTCATCGACCCGCGCTACGGCAGCAACCCCGTCGACCTGCAGTACCTGGTCGAGGCGTTCAAGTTCAACCACCGCCTGGTCCAGACGGACGCCCTTGCGCCGCTCAAGCCCGAGGAGAACTACCCCACCGCCGAGCAGGTCGCGGATGATGCGAAGCTGCTGGATTTGATCAAGGGCGGGCTGTTTACGGAGTACCATCCGACGGGCACGGCGTCGATGTTGCCGTTGGAGCAGGGGGGTGTGGTGGATGCGCGGTTGCGGGTGTATGGGACGGCGAATTTGAGGATCGTGGATAGTAGTGTTATGCCGCTTATCCCCGCCGCGCATCTGCAGGCGTGCGTGTATGGGGTTGCGGAGAAGGCGGCGGATTTGATTAAGGAGAATTAGTTGGGAGGGAAAAAGTTGGAAGCGTGTGATGGTGCATTGCAGCGTTCTTTTGGTTTGTTATATTTTCCGGCTCTAGATTGGTTTGGGAAACGGGTCATGGAAACACACGGCAATATGTTGGGCAGATACCAATGTTTAATTTGTTATGCACGTATTTGCGTCCGCTTCAACTGCCTGTGACTAACACTTTAAACCATGCTTGAAAGGATATGCATGAGATGCCTGGCATGTACCAGCGCCTTGGTGTCGGATCTACAACGTGGGTTTTGACAGGGATGCTGAACCACGTGCGCGGTATTGGTAGTTGAAGTCAAGTGTTTAGACTGTTGTCGTATTTTAATCGTCAGTTCAGATCACCCTCAAGTTATTGTCTACTTCATTGAATCTGACCTCATCTTAGCTCTCACAGGTTGATTCTACAATGGGAAAGACTGTTAAAGATAACAACGATTTGCAACTGTACCACTAGGCAAATAGCAGGCGTAGCTGGCTCTCTTATCGAATACCTTTCAAGCACACAAATACTCCAATCAACTCAACCGTATGGTCTTTCGAAACGCTCATGAAACGCCTCCACGTGACCATGCGGCACAGCAAGGTGGAGCTCTTTTATCTTTTCCCCGCACACCCGCATGTCCAAACCCGTGGATATTCACGCCAACAAATCCCAAATTCTCCGGAAAGAAAAAAGAAACTCCCAAACATTTTTACTTTCTTTGTTTCTCTCACTCTCTCCACCATGTCCTCCTCCTCACCCTCCAAACCCCCACCCCCATCCACCCCCACCGACCTCCCCCCCTCCCCCGCCCTGCCCCCAGACAGCCTCATCCTCATAACCGGCGCAAACGGCCTCCTCGCATCGCACCTCTGCTCCACCCTCCTCGCGGCTGGCTACCGCGTCCGCGGCACCGTCCGCTCCCTCCACAGATGCCGCTGGCTCGCCGACCTCTTCGCCGCCGACCGCTTCGAACTGTTCGAAGTGCCCGACATGGCCACGCCGGGCGCCTTCGCCGACGCTGTGCGTGGCTGCGCGGGCGTCGTGCATGTTGCGGCGCCGATGTTGACGGAGACGGACGTCGGGAAGATTGTGGAGGGGGCGGTGGCGGGGGTGAGGGAGGTGCTGGGGGCGGTGGAGGGAACATGGGAGGGAGTAGGAGCGGGAGCGGGAGGGGGAGAAGGGGTGAGGAGGGTGGTTGTTACGTCGTCGGCGGTGGCGGTGAGGGGGATGGGGGAGTTTGTTGTTGGTGGTGGGGGTGGGGGGAAGAAGGTGCGGGCGGATGAGTGGAATGAGGGTGCGGTGGCGGCGGTGGCGGAGGGCGGGGGGTTGGAGGGGATGGGGGTGGAGGAGAGGGTGATGCTGGCGTATGCGGCGGGGAAGACGTTGGCGGAGAGGGAGGTGTGGGAGTGGGAGGAGCGGGTGGGGAGGGGGAGGGGGGTTGTTGTGAATACGGGTATGTATTAATGTCGCTGGAATGATTTTAGGGTTTGTGTGCTGATCTGCTGGTAGTGGTGCCGTCGGGCGTGTTTGGGAGGCCGCTTAGCCACGAACATCAGGGCTACCCGTCGTCTTCACAGTGGGCACCGAAGGCGTTTAGAGGAGATCCGGATTTCAACAAGTTCCCGAGCTGTCAGTATTGAGAAATTAGCTGTGGCGTTGTGCATGCTGACCGCGTAGTAGTCTACTGGATCAGCATCAAAGACATGACGCGCCTCCACGTGGCTGCATTGCTTCATCCTGGCGTTCAAAACGAGCGCATCTTTGGATTCGCTGGGACCTACACGGTGAATGACTTTTTGGCTTTTTACAGGAAACACTATCCGGGTCGACAATTTCCGGTAGATGTTCCTGGCGTTGTTAGTAACTTTGTCGAGGTTGAGCCTGCGAAAAGGGCCGAGGAGTTGCTGAAAGACATGGGGAGACCAGGCTTTGAGGCGCTGGAGGATACTGTGCTTGACAATATCATAGACATAGCCTAGACTTATGGTATTTCAGCCCCTCTGTGTTACACTTTATGAAGGATCATTGCCATAAATTTCTAGAATATATGAGATTTGGTTTTCGGAAATGGAAAAGCCATGCAGCTGCAGATTTCGAGTCAAAGGGTTATTTAATTTCTGACTAAACCTGCAGTTGGCCTTTGTAGAATATCAAGGCTAAGCTGGCAGTAAAGCTCCAGCCTTAATATAAAACTTCCTTCCCAAAGCCCCGTCGTTGCGTTTCTACGTGAAATGAAATTCGCTTTATTTCTAGAGTCAATTTGGCCAGAGACCTCTTTTTAAAACATAAGTGTTGATTCAAGTCTTTGGATGCGCTGTCATGCAGCATATCAGCTGCCGCACCTGAATAAATTCTACCATGAAGGACTCAGCATGTATAAAGTTCAACAATATCTACTTTTCGTATAAGCCCCTCAACCCATTCAAATATACAAGCGGCCTCAGAGCAACAAATCCCGCCCCTAAACACCCCTAAGGACCATGGGGAACGGCAAATCGCGCCCACAGCTACAGACACCAACAGAACATCCAGATCGGCAACCTCCAGAGGCGCATCCAGAGTCGCAAGCTCCAGAGAAGCAGTCAGATCCAGCACGTACGATCGTAGTAACCGGAATGTCCGAGACTCTCCTCGAGGATCTGGAGATATTTTTCCGCCACTTCGCGCCGATGTGCGGCTACCTTGAGCACCATCGCGAGAGAGTTTTTGCTCAGCTCTTGGAGAACCATCGATTATGGTGGACGGCCCCTCCCGAAAGCAGCATGCACACAATATACAAGGACGTCTTTCCATTTTTTCAAGATTGGCAATGTCGCTGGTTCGACTTCAAGCTCCGCATGATGCTGCCCCAGGAAACCTCGAAATTCAAATTCGAGTATCGTGAGGGCGAATGCGAGCTTCTCTATTTGCAGGGAATTATCTTGATTGGCCAGCTGGAGGATATGTTGGAGTGTGTTGAAGAGAATCAGGAAAACCATCAAGAGATTGTGAACGGCCTCAATACCAAATTTGATGTCGAGGTGAAGGACGCGCATGATGAGTTTGTGGTATTTCTACGTGGGCTGCAAGCTTGGTGGAGCGGGCTGGAAGACAGTGGGTTTGCTCGCTGGAGTCCATTAAGGCTTTGTGCTAACCAAGCGTAGTAATCCAGCGAGCCTATAAGCCTATACGGCCCACTCCGTTGACTGGAGACCAACCCCTTGGGGTTACAAGGAGCAAGCCCGAAGCTTGACTTCTGCTCCATTTTACATTTTCCGTTTTGGAAAGTAGATGCGCTTAGGAGTATTGTGGTTTGGGATATTCTTTCTTTGTCCCTCAGTTGGGGCTTGGTTTCGATGTGCACTGTCAACGGCTCAACGCATGCTTGAAGGTCGTTGGGCAATTGCGGCGTGCGGAGGTTCAGCGCTGATGGGTTTTATGGTTCGCCGTATCACTCGCCGGGTATTTGGTGAAACTAGTCGTCTGCCACTCCTTGCTCAATGGGGGACAGCGCGGCACTTCTAATGATATTGTGTATTATTTACAATGGAGACGCTCATTAAGTGGCGTTATTCTATATCCTCTACCACAGAATACCCTTCATCATTCTTCGATGTGCCCGGGGGGTTGAGCCTTGGATGACATGTGTCTGTCAGGTCCAAAGTCGCTAACGTCTCTCTGGGAGCTGTCAAAGGAATAGCGCTATCCGCATGAGACCAAGTTCCACTTTCAAGCTCTTCGTGCGCCAAACGCTGTAGCTGAAGCGTTTCAGTGGTTATCCACTCCATTTGAGCAGAGAGAACACGGCGGTTGGTCCGTTTGGCAATCCAGAATGCGAGTGGTTCGATGCTGTAGGATACTATGATGATTATACCGCCTGACACGAATAGTATGAACAGTCCAAGGACACTGAAAGAAGTGTAGGAATCGGTGATCATTTTCTGTGGTGTGAATATGTCAGAGATATTCGCGCTTTTCTGCACCGCTTAAAGACTGACCTGGTCGTTACAACGTTCCTGCTCTGATTGAGTCATATTGGTATTCATCCACCGCAGGATGTTCTCATCCTTTGGGCCGATAACACTGTAAATCGTTGAGCTCTGTAGATTGGTGAGAGCCACGGCAAACCAGTGCTGAACTTCCAGCTGCCACTGATTATCCGGCAACGGGTTCTGGAGTCCTCGGGAGAGGCCGTCGCGAGCCCGTAAACAGCCAGGGCCCAAATTCAGCGCAGGTCCGCCGATCGTATAAAACCCGACATGGTGATAGAACCAGCTGAATAAATCTCTCTGTTCCTGCGATGACCAAACATTGGCGGCCAAAATACGAAGATCATCCCCCGCTGTCAGAGGAGTGCAGTTTTCTCCGCTGCAAACCTGATACTGGCTACTGCATGCAAGGGCGGATGCCGCTGTTTCGTCTGCCCAGTATACCTTCGCCCCATGCAGCGTTCCATCTGCCACTGTATGGGCGGCATACACGGGGTCATCGTTTTCTTCGGTAAATGCGACGCGGTTTGCAGAAAGAAAGAAAATCGCAATATCTGCATCCGTTCTCTGCAGGTCTAGAATGGGGACAAATTGACTTGTTGTGGCGTCGTAGGATCCGTTGACTAAGAGTGCTGAACGATATCTGTGGCACCAACATCAGCATCTGTAGAAACCGTAGTGCTCGTATTCTAACCCTATGGTATAGTCCGGATAAGCACTGGTGCCGCTATCGTAAAAGCTGTTGTTCATAGGCCTCTGAGGATACCGGTAGGTAAAGAGGTCTGATAGATTGCTGCCGTACGGTGCGCTATAATCGTCACGAATGTCGTGTAGCGATTTGTATAGTTCCCAATCGGTGCCGTAATAATAGTGGACCCAAGTGTCGTTCTTACCATACACTGACTCGTTTTTTGCTCTGGTGTAGCCTTCGGTTTTAAGAGGAGCGCAGCTGGCAACAGCCCTGAATTGGAAATGATCCAGAGAGTTGAATCCAAGGTGCTCCCTACTGTCGAGGAACCCTGAGTCGATCTGGACATTGCTCGAATCGAACTTACAAATGCTGCTCGCAAAGGGACAACTGGCATTCGTTGTCACCGTCATGGGCAGACGGTGCTTAACGAACGGCCTGCATGGTTCGGTGTACGAATTGCTCGAGTAACATAGCCGAGCATAAGCATCCGCGGAGATCATTGATTGTCGCTGTTGGGGACCAAGGTACTTGACGTAATCAATCGAGTTGACTATATCATCGGTAATCGTACCGCAATGCCGGCTCCGAATCAACGCTTCAGATCCGTTGGAAGACGCCACCCTGGAGGAAAAGATACCCGCGATGGCGAAGCAGGTGACCGTAAACAGGGAAAATACAATCAAAGGTAGAGTTCGAGTGTAAGGTCGATGTGCAGTGCGCCTCCATGTCCACAGAATCTGACACAGTACTTGAAAGCCGCCAAAACTAGTGGCTGTATTCCTGAGTATGGCCTGACGCTGATGGTAGAGCCCGTCGCGTGGACTGTTCGAGGAGAAGTATTGGTGGAGGCCGAAGCAGGCAAGTCTCCAGAAAGCCGCGCCCGCCACGCCCACGAAGAGAGCAATGAAAGAGGTCAAAAGTCCTGCATCCCGCTTCGTAAGAGTGATGGTGGCTCCCAAAATTCTTCCCTGAGACCAGTTGATCCATGGTCCCAAGTAGACCTCGTAATTTTCTGTCGGATGAGCCATGGAACATTGATTAAGAACGAATGGACACCGACCGTACGACTGCGCGTCTTGCTGGTACTTGATATAAACCATGCTCTGGCCCCCACAGCACCTCAGCTGGGTGGGGTTCGTCCATCTGTTCGCGGGGAAAGATCTTCGCTCTGTTTTTAGACAGAAAGCTGAGCAATATGACATGCATAAATGTGGACCCGCTGCTATGGTGTTTTCATTGGTTCGGCTCAGCAACGGAATTGGATGAGTAAGCGTCAATCGCCAAGGTCAGGGCACTCAACTCCATATTAAAGATATTACCGAGCTCGCCGTTGAACTGGCTGAACGCGTTCGTATTTCTTAGTCCAAGGTTAATTAACCTTTTATTCATCTATAGCCACATCGTCAATTTAGCGGAGTAAGTATCAATCACTGTGAAGGAAGATAATCGCATATTACAGCAACGGATAAATTAGAGGAACAGCGAGGGGTTTAAGTCAGACTTTCATATTGCGGATTACTCTTCTCACTCTGGAAAGGATGTTTGTATGTGTGTGTAAGGGTGGGAGTTCGTGGGCTGCGCAGATTGTACCTTCTTTAGTCGCAGGAAGGTGGCTGTGTTGATCCGCCAAGCCGTCAGCTGTACAGTACCTCGGGCGTCTATTCCGAACTAAGTAGCTGCTGCCTAGAATCTGCAATATATACCCCGCATCGATCTTACTTGCCACAGCTGACACCGCTCAGAATTATCTTCGGTAACTCATATTCTCCATCTCTTTGTCATCACCCCACAATGCGGAAGGACCATGCAGAAGTCTTTTTCGAGGAGCTCAGAGCTCTCGGGAGACTACCACATCCGAATGCACTTCACAGACTGTGTGTTCTGTGCGAAGGCATGACATTAGAAGCGATAAGTCGACCTTACCTCCATATCCCAAATGTCTATGATCTTCCGAAGTCAGCTGATGCGTGCGCATTGTGCGCGATGTTGATGGGTCAAATTTGGAAGTCTGCAGCGGCACAACAAGCAATCTCGTCAAATCCGTCTCAAAATTCCACAGAAGAAGTACAAAAGTTCTTAAGAATGTTATCCAAATTAGGAATTGAAAGAGAGATGGAAGTTGGTCTGCGTATATGGGCACCTTACAGGGAGGACTACGTCGCTTGGGTCAACTTGATTTCCTTCAAAACGCTTTCCGTGGCCGATGACCTTCCATGGGTGCGACCACATCTTCCGGATATACGTTTAAGGATATTCACAGAGAGATGTGAGTTCTGCCAGGATTGAGTCTCGAGCAATTTAAAGTTTAATGATAGACGAAGGTCGAAGCGACGATCCCAGTGGCTTCCGAATTCGTCCAGGGTTGCAACTTTCAAGCACGCCGGACCTTAACATGCTACCTTTGCTTGTTAATCGGTGGATAACTGATTGTCAAGCCAACCATCCAGCCTGCAACATTCCGAAAGACACAGACTTCAGCATGCGGCAACCCAAGCGCGTATTGGACATCAATGGCGTGGCCTCTACCGGCCAGGTGCAGCTACGGGCTTTAGGATCCGACCCAGTGTCGTACGTTGCTTTGAGCCACTGTTGGGGCGGCGGTATACCTGCACAAACGGTGAAAAACAACCTGGAATCCAGGTTAAGAGGGTTTTCTGTTACCGAACTCCCCCAAAACTTCCGCGACGCCATAGAAGTCACCCGGTCGCTTTGTGTTCGATTCATCTGGATCGACTCTTTATGCATTGTCCAAGACGATGCAAACGACTGGGAGCAAGAAGCGGTCAATATGGGTAGCGTCTATACACATGCGTACTTGACCATAGCAGCTACTCGTTCACCCGACAGCGGATCTGGTTTTCTCAAGCCCAGAAGCGGAGTCGAGGTGGTCCAAATGCGAGTAAAGGCAGCTCGTTGGGGTTCTAAAAACAAAGAGTACCAGTACTCTCTTGGTCTGGAGACGAACTATAGCGACATGACCGGTCCTCTCACCACTCGAGCATGGGCATTCCAAGAACGGATACTTTCCCCCAGAATACTCCATTTCACCAAAAGTGGCATCTTCTGGGAGTGCTGGATGGAGTATGATTGCGAAAACCTCTGCTCAACGCATGATGTGCTGCAGAACCCCACACGGAGTGCAGGCTATCCAGATTCCCTATCACCAGCGGCTTTGGGGGCTATACATGGCCCTTACCATGACGGAACTGTAACCTGGAACAAGATGGTACAGACGTATATGCAATCAAATCTGACGAGGGAGTCTGACAGACTGGTTGCAATCAAGAGCTTGATGGACAGGATCGCGCCCAATACGTTCTGCAAAGGGGTGAGGACCTCGCAGTTGTACCAAGACCTCTTTTGGGCGGCCCAGAATGGAGAGCTCCAAGTTGTGGCAGAGACGAGGGCCCCTTCATGGAGTTGGGCTAGCCGGAAAGGCCCAATCAAATTTGTAAGGATGGACGCAATCCATGCCATCGACTACGAGGAAGGGGAATCTTTAAACATTACCAATACTCATACATTCCATAATGAGTTACCAGAACTGAAGGCCAACATTATGTCCTTTCGACCCGGCCTCTACCTCAAGATTTCAGATCCTACCGTAGTCGATAATAGTTCTGGTCTGATGATCAGTTATGAACTCGGACTTGAAGGTGCCAAGTACCGAAGAATTCTTCAAGAAGAGATTGAACTTGGATGGGTCATTATGGATAAAGAGGATGAAAGCGAACTGGACTCTCGAAGCTTTTACTGGGTCCATATAGCCTCCGCCAAAGAAAGTGTAGGCCACGAGGCAAATTGGGTATGTTTCTGTGTTCTGTTCCTGCTGTAGAATTTTATGCTAACTAAACGTAGCGTAAACGGTATTCCTGTTTGGGTATCGACCATTACATACCCCTATATCGTGAATGCTGGCCACACTACTACCTCCTTGTGCGAGAAAGCGAACACTCTCAGTATGTCCGTATAGGCATTGGAGTTCTTTACAATGAGAACATTCTTTCTCCGTCGAAAAATGGCATCTCTATTGTTTGAAACCTGTTTACAGCAGAAATGAATGAATTAGGAACGGTTGTTTCATTTTATTTAGCAGTAGGTCCACTTAATGATATGCACCAATTATCTATATGTTCACTTGTATCTGAACAACCCTTTAGGTATGCCGGCCCTACAGCTTCGTATTGTAATTTATTGAAAGTCAATCAAGACTCTGAAACCTGAGTAAGGAAACATTACTAAATCCCGTATTTCTCTCGAACCTTATCCAGCCACTCTTTCTGTGACACTTCCTGGCCTTCCAGGAATACATTACCTTCTTTCACTTTGTTTTCCTCCATCGAGGCTCCAGTCGGCACCTCGAGGAATCTGTGGTCTTTGTCACAAACCTGCTTTTCCCTGATAATGTCACCGATTCGCTTGTAGCATGTATCGTCCAGCTGTACGTCTGCACAGTCTTTGCACATATACATCCAATCCGCAAATCCATGAGGCCACGTGGCGCCACAGCCGCCATCGCATCTCATCATCGACCACATGTACTCTTTGCTCTGAGAGAATAAGAGAGAGCAAGCTGCTAGTGCATTGACGTCATCATCCACAGCTTTTGATGCCTCAATGAGTCTCAGGCACCCCTGCCAGTCATTGCGAGGGGTAGGGTCTGAGAGCAATTGTACGCCAGAAGCAACGTAGTTTTTGAGGCATTGTTGAGCCTCAGGCACCTGGTCATGAAGATGATGCAAACGAGCCAGTGCGAGCGTCAGAAAGTGATTGTCATTTCCGAGTGAACGATCTTTCCATGCCTTGAGTCGTTTGGTTTTGTCGATATACTCCTGGATCGTCTCAGGGTCTGATCTGGCAGAGTGCTTGTTGGCCAATTTGGTGTAGCTTGAGACAAGCTCTTCGGCTATCTTGTCCAGGATCTCAGTTTTTTCGTAATCATGCTTAGGTGTGGGTTCATCCACCAAGATAGAGCGAAGACACTCTTCCCAAACGCTCAAGGCTTTGTTGGCTATCGGGATCTCTCGTCGTCGGAACTTTCGGAGGAAACTGGGTAGTCGAGAGCCCAGCTTCCTTGCTAGCTTCGAGTCTCTCTTCGACGGCTTCTGGTGGGAAAGAGCCACACCGTAGTAGTACTGCAGTGTGAGATGAGTTGATGATCCGGGCTCCGCTCTGTTGCTTGCGTCTTTGTACGCATCTTTCAAACTATCAGGCTTGTCTTCGAGGGATAGAAATAACATCCGATGAAAGTCGGCAGATCTCCATTTGTAGTGCAAAAGGCCAGCCAAAACGTTGAACTTGGCCTCATTCGGCAGAGCCTTCTTGGACAGGCCCAGCAAGAACTTCTCTCTTTTCGATGACTCATCGAACTGCTCCATGAATCTCAGTAGCGCCTCAATTGTTGGGTAGTGATCTGGAAACTTTTCCAGAAGGGTTTCGCATGCATCCTCTGCCTCTGAGTAGGATTTCCCCTCCCACTTGGAAGAATCCCATCGACTTTGAATAATGCGCTCCCAAAGATCCTTGTTATTTTTCCGAAAGTCGTCTTGAAGAACCTGATCTTCAATGGCATTCAGAGCATCAAGTGCCTCTGAATGTTTGTCTTGTTCGTCCAGTGCTTGTGCAAGGTACCAATTGACTAACCAGTTTTGTTTCTGGTTTTCTCTGATTTCCTTGCTCCTTTCTATCACTTCGGAATAATGTTCGTAGTACAAGAGGGTTTCGATCACTCTGTTGTGGGTTCGATCAACAACCTCATTGCCCTCCTCGAGTTTGAGCTCGTTTCGCGCTAGACCCTCGACCCGATAGATGAGGTCAGGCGCGATAGCCGAATCGTCTGATGTCACGCTGCTGCTGTCGTCACTGGAGCTGTCGCTATCTGAGCTTTCAACATAGGATTCGTCCCGAGCATCGCTTGGGCCTTTTGACTTTGTGAGCTTTCCGGACTAAGTAGAGTCAGTAAAGATGCAGACCCCTGACGGTTTGGATTTACCCTTACCAGTTTGTAACATGCGAGTAAGCGGTCAAAGACGAATTCAACATCCCACTCTTCCTTCTGCAGCCATTGGTTGGCCAATAGCTCGATTGGTTGTGACAACAATTCTTCTCGAGTAGGAGGCTCGGTATACTCTCCAAGACATGCGTACAAGTAACCCTTAGAGTCAAGAGTCTGGAACCATTCCGTAGTTCTCTCCATGGCAGTTTCTGCCCAATCGAAGAACTTGATATCTTCGATCATGTCTGGCTCCAGCCAAATCTTCACACATTTCTTGTTCTTGAAGAACGAAAGGAGGTTCCTGCTGACCTTTTCCACTCTCTCTTGCAGTTCTTCCATTTCGCTGATATCAAGCTCTTTGATGTGCTCAAATAAGTATGTTGAAGCATAGTTGTGGAGAGATTTGTATAACTTCTTCGCATCCGGCAGACAAATGGATTTGAGTAAGAACGAGATGATCCTCAAATGGCCGTCGTGGGTTTCGAACTGAATCTTTGAGGTTGATGGAAGTGTCTTTGGTGCAATGTTATTTTGCACATGTGCCGTTGGTTGCACGCTATCCGCCGTCTCGTTTCGTAAGTGATCAAAGAAGCTGTCGAATCCGAACCTTTTGTACAGATCCTCACCACATGTAGCAAGCAGAAGCCTTTCGACAATCGCAACTTCTTTTTCATCAACTTTCACACGATTGCTGTTTCCAACCATCTGCTGTTCCTGATTGGGCTCTTGATTGGCTCTCTGAGTAGGTCTTTCAGTGGGTTCCTGAGTAGACCTCTTGGACTCGGTATTGCCGATGACGTCTTTCTGCTGATCACGGGGCGATCTGAACAACCGTCTGAATGAGTTGTCCAGTTCGAGTGCCGAATCGAAATCTTCTGGTAGCTCCGGATTTCGCTTGGTATCGTGCTCTTGAAAGTAATGCATGGTGTCCGCTGACGACACAACGCCATCAGATACTTCCAGCAACCGTCCGTAACTTTTGATCTGGTTTTCCAACGTTTCTGTTGACTTCTTGACTTCATTCCCTGCACGAAGCTGCAGGATATCTTGAATCTGGGTCAAGGTCGGCCATTGTTCCATCAGAACTATACAAGCAATCATCTCGTTGAGGTCTTCGATTTCTGCTGGGTCGAGATTCTGGTTCAGCTTCCGTACTTGCTTTTTGATGCCGAGCTGATAGTTCCGTAGGTTCGACAGCGCTTCGCCGATGATGCGGCTGACTTTATTTGAGTCACTTTCTTCCCCAATTGCTTCGAACACAGTATTGAGTGACGCCAATTTACAATTCCGGAGGCTTCGTAGGTTCGACTCGTGCTTCTCTCGCCAGGCTTTGGCATCTGTTTCATCAAAGTGCCTGCATACGTAGTCCATCTTCTGTTCGATGAATGCAGAGACATCTTTTGAAAGATGAATGCGAAGGTCGATTTGTACGGACACTTCCTTCCAACGGTCTCCAAGGTTCCTGTGAAAACTTTCTTGACAGCTTAGGAGAAGACGGATGTTGAGACCATTATCAGCATAAGCGTTGATATTATGCAAAATGTCCTGAAGAGCCTCTCGATCTCCTCCAGTCTTCCAGGCGCTTTGGTCTATCCCATCAAGGATGATGAAAATGGACTTCGAAGAGCCGTTTTGAGGCTTGTAGTCAGCTATCCAGTTTCTCCAGAGGTCCTTCGCAGAGGTCGGATGGTTTTGCTGGTTGCGACAAAGATCTGCAAGAAATCCTTGGTACGAGACATCGTCTTGCGAAAGCTGCCAAGCAACTGCCATGAGGGCCTCATGAAGGGATATCTTCATCTCAGACTTGCTCTGAGTCGATGTCCCAGTTGGCTTGAAGTAGAAGTATGCAACGGAAACCTTTGATTTTGGAGACAGAGGTTTATCCTTGCTTGCGAGTTGCGCGATGATCTCCGAGCAAATGAAACTTTTGCCATGGCCCTCCGGAGATTCCAGGATGATGGTTGGGGTAGCGATTCGTTCTTCAAGCTTGGCCCATGTCAAAAGCTTCTCGTCGGTTTCGATCCACGCTCCTACTTGGGGTGTAAACCGCTCTCGGTGTTCATTGTGCGCTGCTGTAGTCCAGGTCTTCCAGATATCCTTATCATGGCGGCACATGACCTCGCTGATTGTGTTTCTGTTGTTGCTTTGGACTCGGCTGCTGATGTTCTCGACGTTTCCCTTCCAGACATCGTTTTCCTTCAGCCTGCCCACTCGCGTAGCCAGTCCCTCGATTGTTTTCAAGCTATCGGTAATTCCTTGGTCGTACTTGATGCCTGCTTTTGCCACCATCTTGATGGTCCCTGTGAACTTCTTTGAATCTTTCTTGACATTGGCATAGGCAGTGCAAATATCAAGAAAAGCACGAAGTATCTGAAGACATGTGTCTAAGAGATCTTGGCTGATCCCTCCCGGCGTTAACTTGTGGACGTTCATGGTATCTTCGACGTCTTTCAGGTGCACACTGAGGCCTTCTACTACATCGCGGATACTACGGACCCTGTAGAACTGGCGGAAAGTAATGGCTGTGTCTACCAAGAAGGCGAGCCCTTTAAGACAAATAGGTCCAGGAGAACAGATCTGGATACTCGTTAGTGTACTGCGAAGCTGAACAACAACGACATCGCGGCTTCAGCGTCAAGTCCTTACCGGTGCTGCGGCATCCGCCGCAATTGCAGAAAGGGCAAGAACGCAGTTGACTGTCTTTACAGCTTTGCCCTTTTCAGAGAATTTCGACGATTTGCCCAAAATCTTTCCTTTGATGTATTCGCCATTTTGGTGTTCGGGATCAACACCATCACCGATAATGTCCTCAAAGATCTTCACAGCTTCGTCCCAGGTCTCTTGAAGTTTGATGGGCTCCGACATTGTGTTCGATTGTCTTTAAAAACAGAATCTGTCATTCAATCGTTAGATAGAGTGTTGTGGTAATATGAAGCGGAATAATGCACTTGCAAGCGCTCTGCAAACATCCAAGACTAACGAAAATGTTGGCCCTCGGTCGGTCTTCAGTCAGAGCAATCTCAGGCCTGGAAAGGCACAAGGAGGTGAGTGGTGCTATGAGCGAAACTACCACGGACGCTGAATTTAACTTGGCTCCGTAGGAGATAAATGAGGCAGCTTCATGCAGATACGGGACCAGCGCACAACAGCCCTGCAGCTCAATCTCTGACGAGAATCAGTAGGTTCCAGATGTGGGCGACTTCATAGTTGGAAAGCGAATGAAAATACGCATATAAATGTGTGGGGAGCCAGCCATTTCCCAAAGCAAAAGTGATGCACATTGTCGAGTGGGGGCCACAAGAGCTGAGGTCGACTTCAGCTGCCTACGCTCATCCATATCTCCTTGGACATGCCTAAATCGTGCAGATCGGCAATTGTTCTCCGATGCGACTGAATCTCGCAAAACAAACGTTCTCAAGATTTGAAATCACTGTGGACCTTGCTCATGTGCAATAGACCCGAAGAATGTGGAGATCTTCGCATCGCTTGTTTTCATTGGAGCTTCGGAACTGGCCCCCATTTCAGCCGCATCGACGTACGCACCTGTGCGCAGGAATTTTGGCGAAAACGCCATTGGAGCAAGGGTTTTGAGGGCGGCAATGAATCCGAGTTCCGATTTGGCGTTTCAATATACAGGGGTTACACAGGGGGTACTGCAGCCCACGGCTCGCGTAAATTTATCTTTCCGTCATGCCATGGAATAATGACATTCACTTCTGGATAATCGCTTTTGAACTACCCGTACATGGTTTTTCTCATTGTGCAAAAGAAAAAGAAGAAGAAGAAGAAGCAAGGCACACGATATGTTGTAAGGCCATTCTTCGCGCTAGCCATCGGCTGCAGCACCCCTCTGCATGGCGATTCATGCTACTCCGGAGTGGGTCAAACTATCATAGGCGATTCGCTTGAGACTCGAGACCTTGTGGGCTCACCGCCATGAAAACGCTGCAGCTAGCAGGCAGCAACGTCAAACGGCCGAGCTGGAAGTTGACCACGTCACTACACTTCCTACATGGCGAGAAGGCGGGCAAATTTTGAAAGGCAGCATGAGGCTGAAGTACATGGATAGTGGTAGCTAATCCTTGTCTGACTTTGTATGGAAAGGATACAGAAAAGAGAAGCGTCATGCAGGTATGGCTTTGTTTCATCTTCTTCACACAATCCATTAATCTGAGGCTATCATAGTAAGTCGCACATATCCCATTATCCAAACCACCTGCATTACCGCATCGCCCGCATCACCCCCTCATCCAGCCAGACCAAGCATCCCTTTCCTCATCCCCTAATAATACTTCGGATTCTCCGGATCCGTCAAATCAAACACAACAGCCGAATGCGGCTTCGCGCCACCCCTCTCACCAAACTCACGCGCAAAGTCGATCGAGCGGTTGAAGCTCAGCGCGCCGTTGTCCAAAATATCGATGTACTGCGCCTTGAAGTCGGCGGGGGTATTGATAACACCGATATCGCCAGTCTGCACAAAGTAGTCCGTGACCAGCAGGTGCTTCTGGTCGGGCGTGACCTTGACGTAGTGCGGGCCGATGATGGGCTGGTCCTCATCCGGATCATCCAGGCGCTTGACGTTGCTCAGATCGCTAATGTCCAGCGCCGCGACATGGTTAGCCGTCGTCAGCGTAAAGTACGCGAACCTGCCGTCCTCAGTGAGGTCGGAGTAGATAGCAACAGTATCCCGTGCCTTCGGGCCCAGGTCGTACAGCAGCTCAGCAACGCCCTGATTGCCCTTCGCATCTTTACGGAAAGGATAAATGATCCAGACCTGCCCGAGGTGCACGGCAGTGGCGAGCGCGGCACTCTCCGGGTGGCCCGGGATGAACTTGACGTCCTGGATGCCGCCGCCGTCGGGGATGGTGATGGTGCTGAGGATGGTGCGCGTCTGCAGGTCCCACAGGCGCAGCGTGTTGGCGCGCAGGATCTCGAGCGTCGGCTTGAGGATGCTGAGCGGCACGACGAAGTCGGACGTCAGGATGATGTTGGCGTCCCAGTCGACGCTCAGGCCGTGCGGGCTGAACTGCTCGCCCAGGATGTTGAGCAGGCCCGGCACGTCTTCGGGCCACTCGTGGATGATGTTGAAGTCGGCGTCCGTCTCGACGAGGCGGCCCGGAGAGGTGCCGACCGCGGAGCCCATGTATGTGATGAAGAAGCCGCTAGATTTGTTCCGTTAGCTGCGCTGAAGTGTGTGATGATGATGGGACTTGTTGATTGCGTACCCGTCAGGCTTGGCGCGGATCTCGTCGGTGATGGAGCCGAGGATGCCGCGGTTGCTCTTCAGAAATTTAGGGTGATACGGGTCGCTCGTGTCGAAGTAGTACGCCGTGTCCTGTTATGATGTTAGCGAGGGCACGCAGGGTGAGTGAGTGATTGCCTTACCTGGGTCTTGAGAAGAGACAGAAGCCCACCGCCAATGAGCGTCTTGCCATCGAGAGAGGGTCCCAGATGGTGAGGGCTGTTTCCGCTGGTCGGGACATCGGTGATCGAAATGAGTTCGCCGAAAGTGTCGTCGTCCAAGCTGTAGGTGGCAAGAAAGTCTTCGATAGCTATCAGTATTGGGCCTATCACGTCCACTGTGTTGACTTACCGGCGTGCACGTTGTCACCAGCACCAGTCCAGAAGTATCCGATCTTCTTAGGCTTGATGTTGCTGTTGGTATCGTGCGGCGGGCTGTCAAGAGGAGGCGTCGGAAGTTGCAAGACAGGAAGCGGCGGTGCGTTGCTGGCGAGCGGCTCGGTCACTCCAGGAATGGAGGGAATGAGAGGCGGCAAAGAGAGGGCCGTGGCCGGAACGGCCAAAAGTCCCGCAAGGGAGGTGAGAGCGAGACTGTGCATGACTTGAGGCTGGATCTGAATCTCACAAGGAAATCGTGTGCAGAGGAACGCTCAATGCTTGTTGGGTGCTGTATATCATCGAGATGCCGTAGGTTTTATATTGCACCAAGTCTTAGTGTGAATACTGTTCTTCAGGTCGTGATTATATATCGAGCAATTCCTGTCAATAATGGCGAACACCTGCCCTCAACATGACCAGTGTCTTGTTTCGGTCGCGATCTTCGTGACTATGGCACATTTCATCGCACGATCTTGCTTTGTAGTAGTCCGCCATGACGAGATCCAGCCACACCCTTGTTAAGCTACTGCTATGGGGAAGTGATCGTGCCCCTATCGCCTTTTGCCAGGGGTAGGTGGAAGTAGCTGAAGATATGCCAAGAAATTAGCAACCCGGGAGTCAAGCACCCGGTGCTGGATCCTTGGCTTGAGGCCCTCGTGTCAAGCACACAATCGGGTTGTGGAAGATCTGCAAACAGAAGTGTACATTCTGATCTTTGATCCCTTCCTACGCAGTGTTGTATCGAGAAGAGCTCGCTACCATCAAAGCTATAGAAAAGACTGTGGTGAGTTCGTTCTACTAAGATAAACTTGTGGATAATGCGCGGAGTTTGACAGTGCTACATCGTACGATGAAAGTTTAGGTTCAGGTTCCAGCGCTCAGGCTCACGAAAAAATTGGAGCCTTCGCACTCTGGGTACTGGCCCCGTGAGCAAGATGGGGCCCCAGTGCTGCCCAGGAACGAGATCGTGAATAGAATGCAGGATGTCCCCGGATGACCGAAGATCAACACCCAGAGAAGGAAAGGGCCTGGACTCATCACCATTTACAGGACGCCAATGTGGCCCTTTTGGTTAGACGTGGTGACTTATGTGGCAGTCATTTCCAAGAAAGAAACAGAAAGTAGGGATTGTGTCGTCCCGATGGGGTTTGAGTTTAAGCTTAGTTCAAAGCCAAGACATAACGACATACCCGGCGTCGATTGCGACCCAAATCGGCGGTGCGCATCGCCAACGCGCCCAGAAAAGACAAGGTTTGTGTTCAATAAGCCAAGAAGACTTAAGTGAGAAGCAGGAAATGATAAGCTTCAGCTCCGCTCTTTGTGTGACTTCAACCTCTGCAGATCACATTTTGCGTTGTGGTGATGCGATTTATGTGGCCTGGTACTGGCGGAGAAAAATGCAGTAATGGAGCTCCCAATTTCGCAGACGCATCACGGCTTTGGAATGCTCTTTGACGTCATGGAGAGGCTGCAGCCTGACGATGGGGTCCTGCAGGCAATATATCACCATGTGCTGCGCTGAGTGCCCAAGAGGGTGTCTCGGTGTCGGTGTCTCGGTGTCTCCAGCCTATCATTTTCCAGAAACCCGTCGGTGTCGCGCAGCCCACGGGTAAACGCATATACGCGTAACATACCCAATGGAGCTCTGCATTTGCCTGTTACGGTTGGAGAAACGTCCATGGAAGCTGAGGAGTTGCTCGTAATGAATCAGCCCTATCGCGGTTGCTCATAATGAGTCAGCCTTGTGGTTGCCCCAGGCAGCCGTTTCGCTGACAGGCTCATTCCGAAATGACGCCTGGGCGTTCCTACGAACCGAAGAAACGGTCGGTAAGCCGGACGAAAGTGCGCACCGTGAGACGGAGGAAAGAAGCGGAGAAGACCGTGCGGTTCGGCTAAACAGAATTTTTTTTGGTTCTGATCCGCAAGAGAATAGGCGACTGGCAGCCTATAGCCGGCCAGGAATTCGACGGAGGAGGTCCGAGAGCTCGTAACGAGGCCCCGCACTTACAACAAACAAGTTAGCGACTACCAGAATAGGGAATTCTCCTGGCCGGTTGCAGCCGCAAGTAGGTAGGGGACAAAAAGCCTCTTATCTATCGAAGACCATATAGGCGCCTGGATGCTGACTGTGCTCGACGGTAGTATTATTGCGGGCTGACAGACTACGCTGCGACCCCGCCCTCGTATCGCCCTCAGTGGTGCAACCTCCCCGCGTGACGACCAAAAGGAGGAGAATAGCCGAGGAGGGGCGCGAGATTTTTCGCAGAACAGCGGCGAGCGGCGAAGCTTATCTTTTGCCGGGCCGCGTCGCACGACAGCCGACGAGCAACTCGCGCCATCCCATTTGCCTTCCCGCCCCACCAGATTCTTGTCTTACTCTTTCATCTCTCTTTTTTCTGCTTTCTCCTTTTTGCTCGAGACGTTCTGGGGGAAAAAAAGATGGCTGTAGCAAGCGAAACGACGCCGCTGCTGGCGCGCGAGCAGCCGCAGGAGCCGGCGCAGGCCAAACAGAGCAAATGGGTGGAGGCCCGGATTTTATTGATGGGGTTCATCATGAGTCTGTCGCTGTCGTTCACCCAGGTGCCGTGAGTCAAACCGAATTGGCAGCCAGCAACCAAAACACAAACTCACAGCTTCTCAGAATGCTCTACGCCTTTCGCCTCATGACGTGCGATGAGTTTTACAAAACGCATGAAGTGCCTCCGCCCGGCCATGACCGCTGCGCAGTCCACGAAATCGAGGCCGAAACCGCTCGCCAGGTCACGCTCGTCGGCACATCGACCACCATCGTTGGTGCGGGTCCCCGAAGCTCCTGAAAAGCGAATTGAACTAACAGTCGGTTGCAGGCGTCATGAACTTGTTGCTCACCGGATACATCATCAAGAAGCTCGGCCCCCGGTTCGCAATGGTGCAGCAAACGTTCTTCCCAGTCATCCGATTGATGTGCCAAAACATCGGAGGTGAGACACCCCCGCCTTCGCCGAAACCGGCAACTGATGGTGTGCAACACAGTCATGGTCGGCGCCAAGAACGGCATCATCATCATCCAGACCACTCAACTTATCTGCCTTTTCGGCGGCCCTGCTGGGTACATGTGAGTTTTTGCTCATGCGTCTAATTCTCGTACGTAGAGACTGACAAATACAGGCTCGTCCTTAACACCTTTATCTCCGAAGTCGTGACACCCTCGCAACGCACTGCCGTGTTTGGCAAACTCCAAGGCATCATCATGTTCGGCACCGCCCTGGGCTACCTCCGTAAGTGCAACCGTCCTGCCATCCCACCACCCTCACCATCTAACGCCCCTCCCCCTCCAGTCGGCGGCGTATCCGGCGACGTCTTCGGCATCCAAGCGCCGTGGGAAATCGCGCTCTGCTCCATGGCCTTCGCCACGCTCTACGCCTACCTCTTCCTCCCCTACGTGCCCCCACCCAAGGCCGACGTCGTCTCCGAGAAGCGGCAAGGCCTGTCGCGCTTCCTCGGGCCGGCCAAGATGCTCGCGCCGCAGCGCTGGCGCCTGCCCGACGGGCGCGTCACCCGTCAGTTCGGCGTGCCCCTGCTCTTCGCCGGCATCTTCACGGGCGTGCTGGCGACGGGCTACATCCCGACGCTGATCCAGATGTTCTCGACGATCAAGTTCGGCTTCGGGACGAAGGAGAACGGCGTGCTGATGTCGTATTATTGTGTGATCCGCGGCACGTTCTTGACGTTCGCGTTCCCGCACATCATCGACCATGGACGCAAGTGGTTCGCGACGTCCACCTTCTTCAACCCTGCCGCCGCCCGCTCCCCCGCCGCCGCGGAAGCCGCCGCCGTCCCGGCCGCAGCAGCAGCACTCCAGCCGCCCCCGACGTCCCGCCGCGCGCGCCGCGTCTCCGCCGCCGAGGACATGGAAGCCGCCGTCTCGCTCGGGCTGGAAGACGCGTCCGAGCCCTCCGCCGCCGCGCTCGATCCCGCCCCTATCTCTGGACCAGCGGACGGCCAGGCGTCGACGGGCCACGAGAACAGCGCGTTCGACCTGTTTTTCCTGAAATGGAGCCTCGTCGCGGACGGGCTGCTGACGGGGCTGGCGACGTTCTGCAGCGCGTCGTGGCACGTGTTTGCCGTCGCGACGCTGCTGCCGCTGGCGTCGGGCAGCGCGTCGGCGGCGAAGAGCGTGATGATTGAGATGTGTCCGGCGGGGCAGAAGGCGGATGCGTTGGGCGCGATAAGTTTGGTGGAGATGGTGGCGGCGTTGTCGACGTGTGAGTTCTTCTCTTCTCTCTTTCTTTTTTGAGATTTGGTGTTTGAGGTGGTTGGTGGGCTGACCTGATTTCGTCGTATAGTGAGTGTCTTCGGCCTCGTCTTCTCCGAGCTCGCGGAGGTCGGCAAGCCAAACTTGGTTTTCCTGTGCAATGCGGCTGTGGCTGTGTTTGCGTCCATCATGCTGATTGGCTGCCGCTTCCCTCCTGAAGGTAGCGAGAGGGTGCATGGGGATGACGATGATAACGACGATAGCGAGAGCGACTCTGGTAATTCCGAAGGAAGCTCGCAGGGTGTGGTGCGTGTGGTGGAGAGGGTGCCTGCGAACGGTAAGTAGGCTGGGGTAATTGAAAGAGGAGGATAATATTTGGCCAGGGTTGAAAAAGAGGGGCTTTGCATGGTTGCGGCGTTAAGGCATTTGCTTTCGGTTTCATTGCTTGGCGTTGTTTTACGGACGGTTGAAAAAGAATGATATCAAGAGGCAGGTCAAGAAGAAAATTGCGAACATCTGAAATATGCAATTGACTGCTGGATGGAAGCGAGAAGGGTAAGCAAAGATTGAGTTTCGCAGCAATGCTTGGGTTTTCATTTTCGGGATCTAGGACACGGGCTATACATCTCCAAAATTGCATATCTCTCCCTCTTGAGACCAACACACTTACTAATCGTGACGGCAGGGTACTATTGTTGCACAATATTTTGATCTCATGAATTGTCATTTCTGTTTATTTGCAAGTAAAAATAATTAGGACAATGAGGAACAGAGATGGCCGGAAATGAACGCCGTTGCCGCTCCCATTGCTATGTTGCATTTACATGGGAGGTTTTGGAGGACGAACGAGAAAGTCAAGGAAATAAGGGAAAGTATAGACTCTGAGAGACACGAAATGCAGCCACGTCGAACATGCACGCCTTAGTCGATTCACTTCCCTTCTGCTTCCTCCGCAGCCCTCACCAACCTCTTTCATTTACACACCAGAGTCATCAACCTCGACCGAGTTCTCCTCAGCATACGTCGACCAAGCCGAGCACGTGTCGCTCAGGGTATCGTAGTCAATGCCCGACTCCTGAACCTCCGTGTAGCGCTCCAAGATCTGCAGCGCAAAGCCCTCCGACGTGTGCCAGCCAATGTGGCAATGCATCAGCCACGCGCCCGGGTTGTCCGTCTCAAAAGCCAGAACGAGGTATCCCGACGAATCCAACATGGCGGTATCGCGGCGCGGCGGGTTGTCGAGGTTCAGCGTCGTGGTGCCGTCCTCGTAGCTGCCGGTGCCGGCGGCGAGCACGAAGAAGTCGTGGCCGTGCAGGTGGATGGGGTGGGGCACGGCGTTGTCCGTCTCGATGACGAAGAAGTACCAGGCGTCGGCCGTGTCGAGCTGGACGACGCCGGACGTGTCGGTGAAGCTGAGGTCGTCGTTGTAGACTTGGAGGAGCGTCGGGTCCGACCACTCGACCTGCATCGACGTCGAGTTCATGTACCACCGGAACAGGTTCTCCGAGTTGGTGCCGACGGTGACGGCCTCGGCGAGGGAGGTGCCCGAGGTGGCGGTTTTCGAGACGTAGGGCACCAGGTCGCTGCTGTCCTCGTCGACGCAGGCGTCGGTGTAGTCGTAGGCAGAGGTGGACGGCGTGTCGGTCGAGCTGCCGTAGTGCACGATGCCCTTGATGTCGTCGCTGTTGTCGTTGTCCGAGCACGCGCTCTGCGGGATGGCGCGCATCCAGAAGTCCGAGGCGACCGAGGCTTGGTCGGCGGTCACGACGATGTCGTAGCGCTGGCCCATGGCGATGTCGAGGACAGTGGTCTCGTAGGGCTCGATGGGCACCAGGTCCATGGCGATGACGGTCATGGTGTGGTTGTCGATCATGAACTTGAAGTGCGAGTCGACGGCCGCGTTGACCAGGCGCATGCGGTAGCTGGTGTCCTCAGTCAGGCTGACCTCGAAGCGCGAGCCAGTCACGGTGCCAGAGTCGTTGTAGATGTTGGTGCCGTTGATGAGGCCAGTGTCGAGAGTGGGCGGGCCGCTGGTCTGCGCCTCGGTGTACAGCTCGTCGACGGTCGAGTGGTCCCAGTCGTTGAGGAAGATCATGCCCAGGTCTTCGTCGTAGTTGGCGGTGGCGGGGCCGTTGATGATGATGCCGCCGAAGACACCCTCCCAGGCCTGCAGCCCGATGTGGGAGTGGTACCAGGAGGAGCCGTACTGGGTGGCCTTCCATTCGTACGTGTAGCTCTCGCCAGGGGCAATGGGGCACTGGGTGATGGAAACGACACCGTCGTCCTGGTTGGTGTAGTTCTGGCGGATGCCGTGCCAGTGGATGGACGAGCCGTTGCCGCTGGTGGTCAGGCTGTTGGTGACGTGCACGCGGACAGTGTCACCCCAGTCGGCAAAGATGGTCGGGCCAGGAATGCTCTCGTTGACGGCCATGGCCGAGCGGGAGACGCCATCAGGCGAGACGGTGACATCGCTCACGACGAACCAGTACTCGCGGACGACGCCCGTGTCAGGGCCATCGCTGTAGTAGTCGGTGCTGATGTCGTAGTCGCACCAGGTAGTGCGGTCGTCGGCAGTGTTGCCGGTGCAGGTTGATGTGGCAGCAGAAGCGGTAGAGGTGGCATTGGAAGAGGCAGAGGTAGAGACAGACGCAGCCTGCGGAGCGGCAGCCGAGAAGCCCAGCAGGGCAGTAGCCGCAAGGAGAAAGCTGCTCCTCATGGCGGAAGGGAGTGGCAAGGAACTGACTGACTCTCAACGAATGGACGCCAGCCTATGAAAGAAACGAATGGTAGTGGAGAGAGTGATGATGGCGGTGGATGATCGTTTGAGCCATGGCGAAATGGCAAATCTTTTATCGTGAAGCAGCGGTTCTGACAATGCCCGATCTGGATACAACCATCCGTATCCGCATATGCACGGGAACGCGTGGCGCTGCAGGAGGCACGAGTGTCAAGTGGGCTGAGAGAGCGGGCTAAGGGTAAGCGCCTGGTCGCTATGATCTACAACGGTATAAGCTAGGTGGTGGCTTTGCGGAGTCTGATAGATTGAGGGGCTCAATGCTTGCAGCCAGGAACCGCCGAGGAAGGGGCGGTAGGGCGGAAGCTCGCCTGCGGCTCAGGGCGGAACTTGTCCTGTCCGGTGGCTGCCATTTGCAAAGGCCCCAAACGTGCGGGTATACAAGCCCGGCAGCTGACTCGGCGCGGTGCCGATGATCTGCACAACCGGCGGCGCAAGGACTGACGCGGCCTTGGCATGCCGGCGGTGCTGGTACCTGAACGCGTCAGCCTGCGCCGTCGTGACCGCAACTGTTTCCCCCGATCCCCTTCGATGGGCCACGATAAGCTCTCGGCCAGAGCGGGCGCTAGCAGAACGCGAGGCTTGGACGCTGATGCGACACCAATACTTGCCTCTTCAGGCCTCAGTCAGCCGCTGAGGCTCCGGCTGTGGCTGCCGAGGCGTCATCCACAATGCGCCCGTCTGCGGAGAAGCCCAAGCCGCGGAGCGGGGAAACAGTTCGGCGAATTCACCTGCAGGCCCTGTCGTGTCGTGTCGCGATGAGGCTCGGTCGTTCAAGATTCAATAGCTTGTCTGAGATTGAGTGTCATCTTGTCATTCACCGCCGGCCAGTAGAACAAGCTGTTCCCCAGACTGCTCGTTAGGCCCCGCCCCTACAATACAGGGCTGAACTATACTTAGGCGAAGTGCTCCTGGTGTCGTCGTCAGCTCAAAAGCAAAGAGCCCCTGTCGGCTCGTCACGACACGCGAGCGCACAGGGAGCCGGCAATCCCTCCGAACACCGGTCCGCAGCCACCCACGCCTGAACGGCCTCGGGTCTGCGTCATCCGGGCATGAACAATGGCTTACGTCCACCAGTCGCGGGTTAATCGCCCGTTTCAATATGAACCCCAGCGTTTATTGTTTGACTCGCCATCCCGAATGCAGGGTGGGCCGCGACGCGTTGTTGTCTAGTTTGACGTGGTCCTGGCGTCCTCAGCCTCAATCCATCCCGGCAAGCCTCGCGCTTTTGCCCTTCGCGGCACGGAGCCTAGAATCATCGCTCCTATCCTGCGTGCGCACTGCCGCGTACGCCGAGTCAGCCTTAGTGGCTTGTGCTAGTCAACTGGCAGGGGACATGCGGCGCGCTGGGCTGAGCCGGCGGCCAGAGGAAAGGTCGACTTACGCACATTCTAAGCCTTCCTTCGCGTATATACCACCATCGGCCCAGATTTACGAAACGAAGGCCTCCCTCTAACTTACATTGCGATCTTCAACTTTCAGTCGCTACTCCAAACAGGAGTTAGATCCAGCCTTACGTTCTTTACTTTTTAACGATCAACTTCAACGCCCAAAATGGTTTCCATCACCAGCATCGTCTTGCTTGCCACCAGCAGCTTCGCAGCCGCCGCATCTGTGCCTCTCGAAGTCCGCGCCTCCTCAATCTCAAACAGCATGCTTTACGCCTACGGAGCCACGCCTGATGCCGGAATCGGCGGCGTCCGCTTGACTTACGGAGACGGTAAGTTAGCAGTGCTCTAGATTTCGAAGAAAGCGGCATCTAAGACGCAAAAAAATCAGGCACGGCCTACGTCGGCAACACCCCTCCTTCGAACGTTTCGGTTGCGTCCAACATTACCTTCTCGCACGACACCACCTCGGGCCCGGTCCAAATCAGCCCCAACTCGTCCGACGTCAGCTTCAACTCGACCCAGTACTTCTTCATCAACACCGACGACAGCGCCTTCGACAGCGTGCAGATCAGCAACTCGGCGCCGTCCGACGGCTACACCGACACCGGCTTCATCTTCTACGGCAACTGGCTCTTCTGGAAGTCCGACTCGGGCGATCTGCAGTCCAAGTTCTACGCTACTCCGTCGGGCGAGGACGGCATCTGGACCCTGAAGTGGAACGCCGCCGGTTCGGACGACGGCACCAGCGTGCCCATCTCGCTGAGGACTCAGGCCCCGCCTGACAACAAGAGGGCTTAAGTCGTCGTCGAATAACGGATAACGCGAACAGTGGAGATAAGAATGTATACCAGTGCTCGAGAAGAACGTTTTGGCACTCCTTCCAGGTCTCATTTATCTTCGGTTACTCTCTTCCTTGCTAGCTTATCTTCTATTGTTCAAATAGCAACATGAATGGTCTCTAATTCCTCGCTGCCTTCCACTGCCATTGCTATCAAGTGCGTGCTGCATCGAGAAATAATTCCCGCTCTCAGTGAGCAACATGCTCCGGTCACTTACTCGCCTTCGCCCCACCACACCACGGACGTCCAGCCCGCATCGACCATGTCACCATTCCGCCACACTTCGACACACTGCCAGTTCTCACCGTCTTTCCAATTGTCACTCAAGGACAACCATAAGGCCTTTCCTCAAGAAATTCAATAGTCTGTTTTTCCTTCCTCAGTGTGGCATTGATCTGCCCGAGGCACGCTCCCAAATCCGGTTTTCTGAGACAAGGTTGTGGCAGTTGCCTCTTTTCGTTCGCCGTCGACGCCGATCATGTCCCTTTTCAACAGTTGTTGGGCTGCTTCTAGATCCTCGCAGCCTTACACCGAAATTTGGGCGATCATCATACAAGATCCAGTAGGCTTCTGGAACAGCAGGCAGAGCCAAGTCTATCTTGCTAGTTTAGAAAGCAGAGGCCAACAAGCGGTGGGAATTGGCCGGGCATAAGCCCTACTACCGTCGCACAAGTCGCTCAGGCGCGTGTGCCCCCCTCCCGTCTGTCTATAGGGCTGTTGGCGAACCCGTTGCAATTTCCTTTGTGGAGCTCCTCCCGTCACTTTTCCCTGTCTGCCACCTATCCCGCGTCAGAGTACGAGACGGGGAGAACCTGGAGCGGTGTACAAAGGTCCTGAACAATATCCAGCTCGTGTTCTACGGATGAATTCTTCCGGATAGCCAAAAGGACAAGAGGGAAAGGTCAGTGTCGGGCCCAATACAGCTAGCGTACCGTTGGAAAAGGACACACGTGCACTGCTGACGCGGCCGTGCGGGTAGGCGCCGGAACGGCAGTAAGGCAAGTGGGGGGTGCAGCCACTATCATCGTTGTCTTACCGCAATGCGGCATCGATGGGAAGCATTTGCACTAGCATTTTAGCTGCATCTAACTATTGTATGTCTCTGTTCGGAAATGGGCGGATTCGGAATGGCGGAGAATCGCCGGGTAGAGCGGAGGCGGAGTTTCCTCGGCCGACCCACTCTGACCATGCGTGAACTGTTCGTCCTTGGCATTGTTGCATACTGTGTAGTTCCAGTATACAGCAATGCGCATTATTTGCGTTGTTATTGCTTCACAGTAGGCCGACTTAACTCCTTTCTTCGTGTCATGTCGGGGGGCCTGACGAAACCGCAATCGCAGGTCTAGTGTCGTTATAGAGACTCCGCACTGACGCGCAAACATGACGGAGGGGGGAATGGATCTGTCTTACTATCAGACTTAAGCCCAGACGCCTTAGCGGTAATGGGAAGGGGGCTTGTTTTGCTCTGTTTCTTGGCACGGCATATGCCTGCGTCTGTAGCTCGGCGTTTAGTCTTCGGACATGTTTGCATCTATGAGATGAATGAAGTCCCATATACACAACAATGGAGGTAGTTTTTAGGTTTGCAGGTGCCAGATGATCCTAGATTACCTACTCGCTTTGACGCTACTCCGTACAGCGCAAAACTTGCTCAGTCATCCCATCTCGGTAGGGATCCTCGGACATAAGCCTCGGACTCTGCTGATCGCCGAGCCACACCTTACTCGCACCGCCACGCAGACCACGACTCCAAACATACGTACCCGTGGCAGCATGAAACTGCAGAACCAAAACGATGGCTGCTGCCCCTGCTGCTGAATCGTCCTGGTATGGTCGGTTTTTTCCGCATGAACGTTGGGTCACAAGGACATCGGTATCACAATAGCCGCGTGCCACGACCATTGCGCAAGCTGAGTGCGTAGTCATCTCTAGGGTAGTGAGCTATATGCGGTACCTTGAAACTTAGAATGGCGCCTGCGCCTCCACAATGACGAGGTGCTCCTGAAGGGTTCACTGAACTCAATTATATGAGTCCAATGTCCATGTGCCGCAACTCTACAGAAGTCGACCTTCGGTATGGCCAGGAACCATCTGAGCATGGCCAAATTAGAATCGAGTGCAATGGTCAAGATCCTCTTCTGATGTTCGAGCTAAGGATGTGTCTACACCACAGCTGAAATGCTTATGCCACTCAGGCAAATGATCTGGATGACTCGGCTTTTGAGCATCAGTCCAAGAACCTCGAACAAGTATCTGCAAAACTAACTACAATCAGAAATGACGATTATCCAGGATCCATGTCTGCTGTGAAGTCTATTTCTGAGTTCCGGGAGCTATCACGTCTAAGCTAAGCTTCTCGTGTTCGTATAACCGCCGGCCATGACTTTCCTCGGGCCGGTGTTACGCTTCCCAATGCCTATCAGCGACCGACCCGCATCCGCTGATAAGCACCCGAAGCTTGCTCGCTCGCCTCGCAGCTCCAACCACCACCACCACACTTTCCCCACCATCACCTTCCACAATGCACTTTCACACCACCCCGCCGCGGGCACCGCCGCGCACCCACCACCACCACCACCAGTCCCCACCCTAAACCAAACCTCGCTCCCACCATAACAACAACAACAACAACAACGATGTCGAAGAAAAAAACGCCGCCACCGCTAAACATCACCCCCCCACTCCTCAACTCCGCCAACCCGTGGGCGACCGACCTCTCGCACCTCCTCCCCCTCTACGCCTGCCCCCACACCGGCGCCATCACCACGCGCACCAGCCTCCTCCACGGCTACCCGCACGACGACGCCGTCAACCAATACACCTTCTTTTCCCCCACGACGCAGTCCCCCGTCGGCATCAACCCCTCCGCCGCCGCGACGCCCGCGACGCACGCCGCCAGCCTCAACACCCTCGGCTACAGCCCGCTGCCGCTGGACGCGTATCTGGGCTTCGTGGGGGCGATATCGGCCGAAGCGGCGGCCAGCGGCGGGCGGCTGCGGACGGATAAGCTGGTGATTGTGTCGGTGACGGGCGCGCCGGAGGAGGTTGCGCAGTGCTATCGCCGCATCTGCGCGCGGGCGCGCGAGGTCTGCATGCCGTTGGCGATGGAGCTGAATCTGTCGTGTCCGAATATTCCGGGGAAGCCGCCGCCGGCGTATAGTCGCGGTGCGTTGGTCGAGTATTTGAGGGCGCTGGAGGGGGCTGTGCGGGAGGAGCGGAGCGACGAGCGGCGGGCGGAGGGGGCAAAGGTGGTCGAGGTGCCGATTGGCGTGAAGACGCCGCCGTTTACGCATGCGGGGATGTTTGAGGAGTTTGTTGGAGCACTGCGGGAGGTCCGGCCGTGTCCGGTGGCGTTTGTGACGGCGGTGAATACGTTGGCGCCGGCGTTGGTCGTGAGGGGTGAAGGGGAAGGGGCGTTGGAGCCGGCGTTGGGGAGTGCGAGTGGGTTGGGGTTGGGCGGGATGGCGGGCGCGCCGTTGCATCCGTTGGCGTTGGGGAATGTGCTGAGTTTGAAGGAGGCGCTGGGGAGGGAGGAAGAGTTGCGGGAGATTATGATTATTGGGGTTGGGGGTGTGGAAGATGCGGGTGGGTGGAGGAGGATGAGGAGGGTTGGTGCGGATGCCGTGGGTGTGGGGACGGCGTTGGGGAGGTTTGGGGTGGGTGTTTTTGAGAGGATTTGGAAGGGTTTGGAGGCTGCGAAGCTTTGAAAATGACAAGTCTAATGGTACAAACTCTACCAAAAGGAAGTGATACAATCCATCCAGACGAGGATCATCCTGGATTCAGGTTTCCCATTCGCAGGTAATTTCCCCTAATTTCAATCAGATTCGATATCTGTAAGAAAAAGCCATTCCATTTAAAAGATTGCGGTGCAATTGTATACATATTCCGAGATCAGAAACTCCAGTCAAAACCAATCTTGCAAAAAAACGGTACCGAAATGGCCTCTTTCTCAGTATGCCTCCATTTCTCTCCTCCTCTCAGAAATCTCTTCTGCTCTCGCTACTACTGCCCTGTGGCGAGTGCTCATCCCGCAACGGGGCAATCTCACGAGGATCAATTTCTTCCGAGACTTGCTTCGACGCCACCAGCAAATCGCCGACCAAATCTTGCCCGCCAATCTCCACTCCTCGTATATCGCCAAGTTTTGACTGATAAATCAGTTTTCTGTTGAGCTGATCGACCGCAAATCGAGTTGAGCTGCCATCCATGGTTTCGATATTCCATGATTCGGAGAGTTCGAGAGCGTTGTCACTTCGTGAAATGATACGGATGTGACCTTCTTTGTCGCAGCACAGAATATCGTAGTCCTTATCGTCCTTGTACCTTTCGAAGTCCTCGTTGTCCTTGAACATTTCGTTGCCCTTGCTGTTCTTGTCCCATGCCACAAGTGGAGTCAGTAATTTCAAATCCGGCTTGTACTGTGTTTTCCTCTTCGACGATCTATCCCCAAATTTTGCGGCCCATTCGATCTCAAAATACACGTTCTGGAAATACAGGAATCGTTCTTGTTTGTTGCAAAATCCTGTCATGGCTGAACCTTCAGCAGCTAGTCCGACGGCTGCAAAAGGAACTCCAGGTTTCTCCAACGAGCCGCCCGTATCGATCTCACGGATGTAGTTTTGCTCGTCTGATATTGTAAGCTAGTGAGTCGTAATGAAAAGGGGCCACTGACCCTGGTAGTATACGTAGCATTTGTCCCTCCACTTTGACGTAGCTAGGGAAGATCTTGCGTGGACTCTGATCATATTCATTTGAAAAGAGCCCTCTACCCAGTGTCCTGACTGATCGTATAGTAGATCACTGAGTATGTTGTCTTTGGAGACATAGAACAGTTGGTGCTTTATTTCTGTTAGCAGATGCACAAATTCGAAAGTCTAGGCTATACTGTACCTGCTGGCCTCTTTTGACAACAGCAAGAGGTGTATAGAGCCTTACAGGATCTGAGGGAGTCATACCCTGACCTAGTCCTTTCCGATGGCTCTCAGGCGCGATTTGCCTAATTCGGGAGTCTGTGCCTTGAAAATAGATGGATCCGGTTTGTTCGGCTATCGCAGTGCCGGGAAGTATCAATTGTTGCCCGTGGGGGAGTCCTTTGAGAAGCACTGAGGCTATAGAAAATGACTTCTGTTTGAGAGCATAACCAAGTGGATCCAAGTCATTTTTGTCCTTGACATTGAAATCTTTGCTGTGTTTCCACCCCATGAGAGCTTCTACTGCGGATTCAGACTCCGAGATAACCGCGTGGTGAAGACATGTTTTCCCACTGTTGTCCATGCCAATTATTGAACTTTGCGAGCAATTTTCCAGGAGGTAGTTGACCAAATCAGTTTTGTTAGCCTCTGCAGCAAATGAGAGCGGCGTTCTACCTTCTATCTTCCATGTGTCTGCAAGATAGCCATGTTCTCTGAGAAGTTCGAAGACTCTGATAAACTTCTGTGAACCGTCACTCTGATCTGTTGCAAACCCATCTTCACATTCCACCAATTTATTCCGGGCAGGACGAAGCTGCTTAATTGAGTCGGAGCTGACGATAGTGGCCAGTAGTCTTCGAACGACCTGAGCGCTACCACAGCACGCAGCTTGGAATAGTCTTTTGGTTTCGACATCCCAACCGTCTCCAGGAGGCGATTCTGCATCACGCTCTTGCTCAAGGACTGACAGAAGATCGAAGGTGTCTGGATGGTTTGACAGAATGGCATTATCGAGCGGTGATTTCAAAAATTTATCCCTGGTATTCACCTCGACGGAGACATTTTGGGTCAAAAGCTTGACAACATCTGTCCTGCCTGCTGCTGCTGCCAGGTGTAGTGGTGATCTTTTTAAGTTGTCCACGCTCTGGATAAGATCACTGTCTTCGTTAATGAGGTCTTTGATTATCAGTGCATCACAACTCTTTGCCGCGTAATGCAGATAATTGAGGCCATTTTGGTCAACATTTCTAGTGTCGGCCCCAAACCGTTCAAGAGTCCTCATGACCTGGTACCATCCGTGCTTGGCAGCGATTGCAAGAACGGGCCTTCTCTCAGATGACTGATGGTAATAACGATCACTGTATTCATCTAAAGCAGCATCGATGTCGAGAGTGCAGAGTACCCCCCCTAAATTGCCTTTGTGGAGCGCATCATGGAAGGATTCATCTGTGATCTCAATGTCCGGTCTCTTTGATCTCTCTCTGAGCTTTTTTATAGTTTGAACGAGACTCCCATCGTCATTTCTTTTCTTGCACAGGTTCAAAGTAACGCTCCCGTACAAAACAAGATCTTTTGGGGCTTTTCCATATTTGGTCCACAGATCGTAAAGAGAGATAAAGCCGCGAAGACCGAAAAGGTGATCCCACTTGTCCTTTCTCAGCATTGATAGCCGGTACAGCTCGCATAGACTGATCAAACAAAGGAATATTTCACCGGTCCGCTCTGTGTCTCCAGGAAGAGGGATGACGTGCTGGGATTCTGATTCTGATTCAGATTCGAATTCGAATCCCTGAAGCGCTAGCTTTAGCGCAGTAAAAAGATCCTTTTCCCCTTTGACCAAATCCCCCCTTCTGTGGATGTGTTCGATTGCCTCCCGAGCAGCCTTGAATACACTTGAATAGCTCAGCTTTTTGGCAGAGTAAAGTACCGGAACCATGCAGGCTATGGCATCATCGTGGTTACCGATGCCGGCAGAAATGAAGCACTCAATCATCTTCGAGATTGTTGAGTTAGCCACATGCAACCTACGAGGACCCTTCACGATCTCTGTATCACCCCTTATCTCATCGATTTGCGGGATGATAGTACTGAAGAAGATTGCGAAAAGTTCCTGAGCACACATCATCTCCAGAGAGCTTGTTGAAGGGAGGTGTAGTACTCCGAACGGCTTCTTTTCGGCATTGGCAAAGATATTGGTGGGGATTATGTTCGAGCCAAAGATTCTTCGACCAGTCAACTTTCGTTCCGTTTGAAAGTCTTTTTCGCTGGCTTGCTTGTACACATTCCCATCGTCCTCTTTTACCCACAAGCCGCCAGGGAAGAACGTAGTATCTTCTGGCTTCAGTTGTGCTTCCTGTAAGGGAGAGCTGTGGTTTTCAAGCCAAAGCCTTAGGCTTGCTTCGCGGTCGGAAAAGTCTGAATCTCCAAGAGCAGATATTAAACGTGAAGCCCAAATGATCGAATTGTTAGGTCCAGGCGGCTCTTTGTCCTTTGATTGCCCAATCCGCTCTGCCAAGATCATAGACCACAGCCAGAGCCCGAGTACACTCTCTAGTTCCGACCGATCAGCTCTCCATGGTCCATGTAATCCGGTGCCCTCAGTGTCTTGGATGATGGTAAGTGATACCGTGCTCTTGTAGGGGCGTCCTTTTGCTGTAGTTTTCATCAAACAACCAATATCCCAAGAAATCTGCACCTTATGCGGGGGCTGTATCACTGGACATTGGAGTTCGATAATACTCATTATTCCCTCAATCGCGCGAGCTAGCTTTGTTGCCCATACTCGGGAGGCAATCATTGAGTCGTCCCATGGGTCATCAATGGCCGAGGTTAACCTCGTTGTTTGCGCACCAGTCATCTCTGCTAACTTGACTCTCTTGGCGTGCGCTTTGGTAGCTTTGTCTTTGGAACGTTTTGGGGTGCTTTTCTGCAGCGAAACGAATCTAAATGCAATCTTTTTAGGCCCTGTAACACGCCAAGAGGGGCGGTGTAGAGCCAGGTTTGACACGCCTTGAGCAGAATAGGTGCGACTCTCTTGGGCCATTTCGATTGCAAGCCAATCAAGCTCATGGCGTAGGTAGAGAGCGCTCAAGCTTCCAAGAATGTTGTGTTCTTCCTCCAGACGTCTTGTCCTTAGCAATGCTCTAATGGTGGACATTATCAGTATGGCTCCGAACTGAGCTACTGACACGGTGGAATGCAAAGCTCTGAGACCCAAAAATTGTAGCGAGAATCCGATTGTTGTTGCAAGGGAAGCTACCCAGACCAAGAAAGATTGCTTGGCAAGAAATCGTTTCGCGTCATTATCTCTGTCGACCTCCCTCTTTGAGGTTGTGTACTCCTTGATCTGGTTCTTGGCGTCTGAGTAAGCAAAACAGTCGAATACTTGGTCTCCAACGATTTGATCGCCCGGTTGGATCCAGTAGAGTCGACTTGTGTCTTTTGTGCGTTCGAAGGTTTTCTCGTATGTGGTTCGTTCGATGATGGAAGCACATATACCAACACCGATGCACACGAGAACAGTCCCTGCACAGGCGAAGGGGAAGGCCGGGACCGCGATCTGGCTGTCGTCTCTCTGGAATCTGTTCGGATATTTGTAGGTTATCAAACCCGCATATACCAGAACACCAGCTTGTAGTACAAAGCCCAGAACAGCCGCCAGGTAGAATGATATCCGGGGAAGCTTCTTGATGCCAACATTCAGTGAGAGGTTTGGATGTGGAGCGAAATCGTTGGCAGAGTATTGTATCGGTTTGACAGGATCTTCTCCCGGGCGATTTTCTTCGTCCTCGTTTCGAATGAGACCTGCTTTCGCCTTTGTTTCCTGCCAATTCCCCCGGTTAACATACTCCCTAAAAGAGTATATTTCCGTTTCGTTGCGAGGTTTCCAACTCTCTTCGTTCGGTTGTGGCTCTGATTTTCCTTCCCAATCATGGACGAGTTCCAGAATCTTTGGCCGCCCAAAAACCCTCGCAATGCCTCCGTTGTTGTAAAGTTCGCAGACGTTTCGACTCGTGGATGAGCACAGCTCTGCTTCTGCTATCCCAGCCCCCTCCTGAGCTCGTCCAATAAAGGCGCGTAGCGATGGGCCCCCTGCGACGCGAATTGCTGACACCAGCGCGGTCAAAACCCCGATCGGGGCCATGGAGAAGATGAAAACATCGACAAATGTCAAAGTTTCGCTGAGATACTGCTTTGTCGGTGACTCTCCAAACAGGGATATTAGTGGCGCCAGATCGGTCGCAAAATTGTTGGCAAAATTTTGCCACCATTCTGCTGACATGTTTGCGGTGACTTTCTCTGTGAGAACGTTGGAAAAGATCGTATAACACTGCGGTCCTACTTATCGCTTTTACTGGGCGGGGTAGCCTTTGTCTGAGTGGGGCGACCTTCAGCTGCGAAGTGATTACCAAGCCTTTGAGGAGCTTCAGTCATGAATACGACGACCGAATCGATGATCTGCTGGCACCGAGTGCTTGGGAGAGCTGCTGACTGGTCCAGAGTATGTCCCAATTAAAGCATGCACTTCAGATCTCGACGCCCCGTAAAATCTCATCCGTTGTTCATTTCAACTTGCCAACCAGGAGGCAAAAACGAAAATGTTTCCATATTCTACCCATATCATAAGGTCGCATAAGGATTTTGAATTCGAATTTCTTGAGGTACTTAACAATTAGATGCCCCTAAGGGCATGTTTTTGCTCGTCCCACCCATATTGAATCGTTTGTCTTCCATGTTATGTTTACTTTTCGATTGTTACACCACATGTGGCTGCTTACGTTTGTGGTGTCATTGGTCGGCTCTGGTGAGGAGCTGCGAAAACCACATTTCCCAAAGAAGCGTCTAACAGGCGAATGGAAGTGTCGATCACAAGCGTCCGCCGATAGCTGGTGGCCAAGTGGCATTCTCAACGGTATGTAGCCTATCGGAACTGAAAGCGTCTTGACAAGCATATCATCCTCCAACTCCTCCAAGTTCCAGAGCTCTCAGGTGCGGGGTCGCCTACTCTGTCTAACATTTGTCAACCTTGATTTCTGTTTCCGCGTTTCATTGTTAACTCCGATAATCCACCGGTTGTCTAAATCCACACGGCCACTTTCTCTTATCTAACTTCGCTAACGTGTATGTAGTGAAGAGGACTCTTACAATGCTTGCTTAAACTCTCTATGGGGAACTGACTGGAAGAAACTTGAAACGGATCAAGACTTTGCTGGACGTAAGTAAGATCACATCGTATTCAAGATGAACATGCCAACTGTCGCGTACGTTGACACAGAGGGCAAGGGCCTTGTTGTCTACTACGATCAGGGTTGCGCAGGTGGCAAGACGTGTAACAACTATCTACTTTACTGATCACGCATACGAGCTGTGATATCCCAGCTTTTGTGGTAAACAGCTGGCCAACGTAGTTTCTTCTTAGGCGGCGGGCGTGGAGCATTGAGCACAAGGTCCTCCTCCTTGATATCGAAAGCCTGAAGTACATTTGGGCTAAGCTTTAGCATTTCTCCACGACCCCGCCACTCCGCTTGAAATTCGCCGTCTGCCTTGTCGAATTTGTATGAGAACAAAAGCTGGAAGTAAAACTCGGGGGCCATATGGAGCTCCATTAGCTGCAGCGCGGGCATGTTGCGGACAGCCTTGCCCACGGCGACAAACAGGCCGTTCGTGAGCTCTTGGTTGGGTCTATCCGGGTCCATACGCGCGAAAGATTCACCTGACCAGGTTTATTAGCGAGCCTGTAGTTGTACTTCGAAAAGTCTGCTTACCAGAGGCACTAATAGGTGGATATTGGACGTAAAAATACTCCAAGTTGGGCCAGTGGGGCGCCGTAGCACCGTCGCTTTCGCCTTGAGGCCAGAAGAGGGCGGGTGATATGGTCAGCATCTCAAGAGAAATGGTTACCAACCGCGTCGATAGGCTCTGCAGCCCAAGACAGAGGCTGTCCACAGAAGTTGGGACAAATCCAGGCCGGGATTTGGGACGTTTCATTATGAAATGCTCAAATGATGTAAAGAGTCTTTTGCACGTGTCAGGAATTCGGTAGAGGCTTTCGCCCAACGCTGTCAGAAAGTTCAACTTTTGAAACCAACCAGTGTCAAATCGATTGCCCTACGCACCTTTCCGATAGTCGATGCGAACGCTGGGATCCACTGTTTGCTCATCATGAAGGCTGACATCGCAGATCTCCAGGCCCTCCATGGCTGACAGCAGTGTTGTGACAGAGGCCCCCCACAACCTTTCATGCTGGCTTCTTTGGAGTATGAACTGTTTGACGCAGTGAACCTGAGGCAGACCCTCTCCCACGTACCGCAAGTACGCTGGGTCGTACTTGAGACGTTCCTCACCGTCATCACCACTGCCATAGTCGTCAAACTCGCTGTCGTCGTCGTCGTCGTCGTCATCACTACTGTCAAAGTCCTCAACGCCATCCTCATCACCACCTTCAGGCGGAGTTTTCTTCAATACAAATTCTAGCTCCAGAGTCAAGCGAGCATCCCCAGCCCGTTCAACAACCTGCAAGAGACGAAACAACCTCTCCGCATCGGCCGAGAACGCGGCGTCCCTCTCGGCCAGCTGCCTGGCGCTCAAGTCCCGCCTGACGCTGTCGCTGCGCTGATACCACCCAACGAAGGTGAGACGGCGCAGGGCGGAGAGGCGGCGGTCAGGGTACTTGGTCAACAGCTCCTCGGCGCGCTCGAGCCCTTCGGCCCTGAAGAGCGTGAGGGTCCGGAAAATTTCGCGCTCTACGGCCTCGTTCCACGACCTGCATATGCAGGCGTACGGCGCCAGCCGCGGCCTGATTGCCGAAGACAGGTCAAGTTGGATGAGGGCTTTCAGATGCGCTATTATGATGTGGAGGATGTCGTAGGGGAGGTCCTGCGCGCCCATGTTGTTGTGATCGGTTCGTCTTGTTTTCCTTTTTTCCGTTGGTGCGTCGTCCCTTTGGTTGGTGCGGTTGGTACATACACGTCGGGGGCGAGAGCACACTTTAATACTTGGTGAACGAAGAAGTTCTGTGCCGCAAATCAGAAGCTTGGAATCGTGGGTGCCTATGATCACTAGGCACCCACCTGCACGGACGCTGTTGGAGGCACAGCACGACGTAGGCACGTACCAGCCGCGCCGCTCGACCCAGACGACTGCCTGCCGTTCGAGATGGCCAAGGTCACAATATCTTAGAACGTATTTCTAAAACATTGATCATGGCTGTGAGCATGCACCGGCTGGCTGCAATGGATTAGCCATAGCTATGCTGACAGCACCCGCATCCCATTTTTCCAGACGCTGCCCGAGAGGCTAGCCAGCGGCCTTGAATGAGCCAATTGCGCAGCTAGGCAGTTTATGGTAGTAAACGAATGATGTGAGAGTCTGCATTGCCTTGTCGTCTTACCCGGAGGGGGGCTTATGGCAGTGGCCCTGCTGGTAGCCTATGCGGGCTAATGTATCGCATTTTATCTTGGACTGCGGTAGCAAAATAATTGTTCCGCGGGTGCTCGCTGGACCACCTACAGAGTGCAGCAATGTAGATGTATGTCACCGTATATGACAGCTGACTAAAAAAAATCAAGCGCTTGAATGATTCTATTAGATGAAATTGAGCGCGAGCGGGTATTAGGCGCGACTCGAGATTCGAGATACATCCCTCCCAGGGGTATGAATGCCATATCCGCAGCCGGTGCCTGATCCCTCCCCCGGGACACTGAATATTTAGTGCAGCACGCATTGTATGCTAGCATTGCCAAAGTTCGGCCCCCGGAAGTAAAAGAGCTCTGAATACCTCTAGAATCTCCAACGAGAAGGTAAACTAATCAGAGTATAGCCGACGGTTCAAGCAACATGTATTTCGTGGACCGCGAGACTGAGTACTTTGTAGATAGGTTTACGAAAGTCTAGAGCCCGCAACGTAACCCTTTATCACTGGTAAGTAGATATAAATAATTTGCTTATCGGCGTAGACCAATACTGTTTGACCTGTAATCCGGATTAGTATAAGCGTGTGGGTATGTGGCATTGCGCCATCGCTTTTAGTCGCTTCCATGGCGCTTCCTATCTTCGCCAGCCTACTTTTGGAAGCCTCGGTATCATTAGAGTCAGAACGGACCTCGGTAGCCCGATTGGACGTGCATGACATAGAGCACAATGCAATTCGAGGCCTGGTATATAACTATCTACATTCCCGAACCCCTACTAACATCTTGTATACTCACCACGATTTTTTCCCCGCCCTCACCGCTATTTTGACGCATAACCCAAAAAGAAACAACACGGAATTCATATCGAATATGGCTTCAACATTGCTGCAGCAAATCTCGGTGGACGACCTAGGCTCCGACGAGTTCATCAGCTGCTTCAACCCTGAGCGGATGGGAAACGCCCAGAACATTGGCTATGGAGGATGCACACTCGGCGTCGCCATCCAAGCGGCATGCCACACAGTTCCATCAAGCCACTTCCTCTATTCCGCCACCGGAAACTATCTGGGCCCATCCCTAACCGACCGCAAGCTGCGATGCTCAGTCCAGCGAGTCCGCGACACGAGGACCTTTGCGACCAGGCTAGTTCGACTCAGCCAGGAGCAAGACGATGGGAGCACGCGACTATGCATGATCATTCTCGCCGACTTCCAGACGAAAGAAGACGCATCCCTGCTGGTCTACTCGGCGCCCCCGGACAAGTCATATTCCCCGCCTGAACAGTGCCCTAGCAGGATGGAAGCGACCGAGGAGATGGTCCGAAGCGGCACCGTCTCAAGAAAGATGGCCGACATATATGAGGTTACGTTTGGCCTTCTGGAACGGTTTGTCGAGTGTCGTGGAGCCCCTGAAGGCGTCGCGTCGAATAAGCTTCTCGGCGTGGCGAAGAAGGCTGCGACACCGCAAGACGGCGACGCCCTGACGTCCAAGACATCAGGAGATTGGTTCCGTTGCCGCCACCCGCTACGAAAACAGCAGGATCACTACGCAGCACTCGGATTCATACTGGATGGTGCTTTGTCGTTCATGCCGTTGACACACAGCGACATGTTCCTTGACGATGCGGGAGCGTGTTCGAGCCTTGACTTCGCGCTTAGGTTCTTCACGAACAGCTTGAATCTGGATCAGTGGCACTTGAGGGAGATAAAGACTGTGACTGGTGGGGAAGGACGCACTTACACGGAAGCTAGGCTCTGGGACGAAGAGGGGAACATGGTTGCGAGCATGACGCAGCAGTCCATCTTACGGCCGCCGCGGCTGACAGTCAGAGCCGCCCTTTAGTCAACAACATCTGCGCAAGCCTCGGCAAGAAGTGATGGAGGCATATTATCCTAGCCTGGAACCCTCGCTGTTTATTGTGGACGAGATTGCCGAGGGCACGTTTGACAGGCGTGATTTTTCTAGGATGCATAAATGAATGGATATAGACCGTTAGAAGAGCCAATTCATGATAAAGCAGGAGCTGTATCATTAGCTAATTTATGCCTTGTTTCTGTGGATCTGTTTGGACCTTCTAAGACTTTGATGCATTCTGAGAAACAAAATTGGTGTAGGGAAAGGGAAAAAATCAGCTTCGCATCAATGGTCGTTTATCTCCGAGCCCATTCCCCGAGACTACACTTACTCTTTGATGCTATTGGGTAGCCCCTCTCGGAAACTCGCCGAACAATCCCTGTTTACACGGCCGTTGGTAACTGATTAGTTTCCGGTGCCCTTTAAATTTTTACACTAATCAGTTGTCATTATACTGATCAGTTATCAAAATCCAGCCCATTTCCGAGTGAGCACCGCGGCAGTGAACACCATCTTTGCAAGATGCGGGGCTTCGCAACGGGAGCTCTACCATCATAAGAGCCAGCTATATCTACTCATGCTCATCCGTACGTTGTCCACCATCCCATCTCCACCCACCACCACCTTCCACAACCCCATCCCCCGCTCAAAACAACAAAACCAAAAATGCCAGTCCACTTCGCCATCCACACCTGCCCCCCCATCCCCGCCGCCGTTCCCTCGCCGGACCCCTCCTCCCCCGACTCCGGCCTCTGGTCCCCGCTCTCCTGCACGCTAATCTACACCTCCACCACCGCCATCCTGGTCGACTGCCCCGCCACCGTCGCCGCCACCAACGACCTCGCAGCCTGGATCAAACGCACCCTCCCACCCACCTGCACGCTAAAACACTTCATCGCCACCCACGCCCACGGCGACCACTTCCTCGGCTTCCCCGTCCTCCAACAACACTTCCCTAGCATCGTGGCGACGGCCACCGCCGCCGTCATCCGCGGCATCGCGCAGCAGTACGCGCCGGCGACATACGAGCGGCTGTGGAAGCCCGCCTTCCCGCCCGGCGCGCCCGACGGCACGGGGCTGCCCGAAGCCGCCCCCGTCGCGTTCGCGGCGCTGCCAGAGTCCGGGGAGATCGAGCTGCAGGACGACGGAGACGCAGTGGTGGTGGTGCGCGTGCACGACGTGCCGCACGGCGACACGCACGCCAACGCGTTCGTGCACGTGCCGGCGCTGTCGCTCGTTGTGGCGGGCGACATCGTGTACAACGGCGACTGCCACCAGTGGCTAGGGGAGGCGTCGACGCAGGCGAAGCGGGACGCGTGGGTCGAGGCGTTGGGGCGGATCAGGGCGTTGAGGCCGAAGGTCGTCGTGGCGGGGCATACGTTCGCGCCGGCGACGGAGCCGGATGAGGGGGTTGCGGTGGGGATGTTGGAGGGGACGGAGGAGTATATCAGGGGTTTCGAGGAGGAGGTGGGGAGGGTGGGGAGGGTGGAGGAGTTGTTTGAGAGGATGAGGGCGAGGTACGAGAGGTGGAATTTGTATCTTTTGGATGGTGGGTGTCGGGCGGCGATGCAGGCGAAGTAGCTGTCGATGTCTTCTATGCGAGTGGAATACTATTTTATGTGCTGCGATGATCGCAAAGCTTTCCCTTCTCACCGAAGCCGAGTAAACTGCAAACGTAAGCATGTTCACTGATACCGGATTAGGTAAACAGCCGCCGAATGTCACCAACATAAATAAATAGCATCGCCGTAACACGAAGAGGTCCAACACAGAAAAAGCATCATTTCCCAAACCAATGGGTACAAAGAAGCCTCTCGATCCTGCACCATGTCTAAGCACTACAGGCTAATGACTGCACTACGAAGTGCTGAGTGTACATCTTCAAGATGGAATCCTGGGCCACTTCCAACACATCCGGCCCGCCTAATAAGCACTAGAAGCACAGTCAGAACGAGTAAAACACATGGAGAGGCCAAGCCAACTTACCTTTAATGAACCTATCCAAATCAACCGCAACCCTTTCTCCCCCTCCCACCGCCGGGTTTACCACCTCCTCCGCGCCGCCCTCGTCCACCACCATCCACGGCGTAGACACATCGCAGAAGCGATCCCACTCGTCATCGCCCAGCTCCTCTGCGAGCTGGACAGTAACGCCCTCTCCAACCCCCTCCACAGCCCCCCTGAAACTATGCACAGCAATCTCGCACTCGCCATCCAGCAGGCCTTGCATCGTCATCTCCTCCTCCTGCTGCTGCTCCTCCTCCCCCGCCGCAGGCTGCGGCTGCAGGCCTCCTCCAACCACACGCTCCAGCACACCCCTCTCTACCTTGACCACCGACTCCCGCGGTCCGACAACACCGTCGCCCCGCACGCCCAGCGCGCCCGCCAGCCACCGCTCGACGTCGTGGCTGTTCAACCACACGCCCGCGTACAGTGCAACGTCGGCCTCCAGCGCCGGCGTCGGCCGCAGGCCGAGGCCGCGCAGCGCGGCGCGGGCGGTGCGGATGTTGTCGGCCGGGGTGCGGGGGATTAGTGGTACCGACCCTCTGTCAACGTCGATGTCGACGTCGATGTCGGCGGAGGGGGCAGAAGAGGAGGAGGAGGAGGCAGCGGAGAAGGGGGAGGAGGAGGAGGAGGAGGAGGAAGCAGAGAAGTCGTGGAAGTAGTGTAGACCCGCGCCGCCCAGGTGTAGCGTTAGCGCGCTGAAGGGGCGGATGGCGGGGGAGCTTAGGGCAGTGGTGATGAGGGAGAGCAGGGATGCGTGGGTGGTGAAGTGGCGGCAGATGCGGAAGAGGCGCTGGTACTCGGCTGGCCGTATTGAGGCGGTTGAGAGAACGTGGAAGGCGCGTTCGAGGGCGGCGCGCTCGAGGCGGGCGCCGAAGGTGGGTTCGTGGAAGGAGTAGGTGAAGGGGGGTTGGATGGTGGGGAAGGCGGTGGGCGAAGGCGTATTGTAGGTGGAGATGATGGAGCGCCCCTCTTCTTCGTGCGATGAGGTGTCGTCGTCGTCGAATGTCAGTGTGTAGCCGAATGGGAGCTCGCTGGGCTGATGAGGTGGACTGGTGGGCTGGATCGTCTCCTGGTCGTTGGCTGGCGTGGTGGTGACGTCGGCTGAGCTTGTCTGTTCGGTGTCGGGCGGGTTTGGGGGTGATGGGATACTGGTATCCCCTCGCTCGCCTTCCGGATTGGGAGTAGCTGCGGTGGATTGATACAGGTTAGTGATCGTAGAGGCCGTTATTTCAAGTGCCTGTTCTAGCTCGGGCCGAGCAGCGAGCGACTGGGATGATGTGGCGCCGTCTTTGAACCGAAAGAAGGCGCAATTCATATCCGCTGCTAGAGACCGTAGCTGCTTCACGCGTATTTCGAGAGTGGCAATTCTGTTCTTCTCTCTTTTGCGGTGCTCGCGTTGTGCAAGACGCACTTGCGTACGGCGGCGCTATACTGTTGTCAATACTTCATGGTCGTTACAAAACGAATCAGGCCCGAAGAGTTAACACCAATGTGTGGCAGCCGGAAAGAAATTCAAGCCAGTATAACATAGATCAGGTAACAAACTTCCCGGAAGGAGGATTCGTACTTACGTCCTCAGGGGCCACATTTTGCATGCTTATTAAGGGTCTCCCACGTTTTCGTTTCACGATACCGCCATTTCGATCTCCCGCCTGTTCAGGGCTCGGAGTTGGACCCATCTCTGTACTCAAGGTACGAAGAGGGCACGTGGCTTGATTGGAGAAGAGAATCTCGCTGTTCGGAGATCAGAGCGACGCGATCGAGATCCCCGAACTCTCCAGGTTGAGCACACTACGATCGAGATCGGGTTCCGAGGAAGAAAGTAATATTCCGTGCGTTACTTGTTAGAGTGACATAGGAAACTAATCCTGTTGTGAGGGGTGCGAGGAGAAGTTTGTGGAACTGATGAGATACGTCGTGTGGTAAGGGCGGCTTTCGGCTTTGCGTCATCTCGGTACTAGTAAGAAACTAATCATGAAACTAATCACAATGCACCGCCACAGTCATGGCGTGACGCTTTAACCGTACAGCGGGGTATTGCATCCGAAGGCTAGCGTTGATTTGTTTTTTCTTTCTTTCGTGCATTTCATGGGTGGGTAGTTGAAGCCATCGTCCGGACGCGAAGAATGTTTCATTCGATTCCCGTCCGAACGATGGCTTCAACTTCTCATATGTTGTTGTACCCTTTTTTTTAAAAAAAAAATAAACAAATAAAAAAAACAAGCCGAGCATAGTTACTCTCGATTCGAGGATGCTGTCATTCATCACGCCAGCCTTCGGCTGTAATACTACTGTAAATTTGTACTTTGAAAAGTGTCTCAACTTTAAGTAAAGCTCTTTCGAACCAACGTCTAGGCTCGATAGATTCTAATACCGCTGCATCTTTTGTAACCTAGTATCCGCTGCCTGCCTCTAGTTCCTCATCCGGAATAGTGATGATTTAGTGAGACATACCGAACCTGTATGCCAGCAGTTGGTAACATCATTGCAACAGATCCCTATCACGTCAGCATGGCTAGAGCTACGTCAAATTCCGGTAGTCGTCATGATGATCAATAATAAATATTCGGCCCTGGGTGAGAAAGTGTCTGAGGAAACAACGGACCTCTGAAAAACTAATCAAACCTTCTGGGATTTCGGATTAGTAGATCAACTAAACAGAGAACAACCGATGCTCCAAGCAAAATGGGTTTCCTGCACCGAGAGACTAAGTGAACAAAGTCCTGCTGCCCGTTGTGTGAACCTTTTTCTACTAATCATTATTATGAATCATCGTAAGACAGCTGACACAGTGCATAGCCTTTCCAAAGACAACAGTCATCTACCCTAACCTCTCAGTATATAAGCATCACGATGGACACACCTCCATTCCGTACACCTACAGAACTACGAAAACGAGCAACACGCCTTCCTTCCTCTCCCCAAGACCCACCATGACCTCGTCCTTCATCAAAAACGTGCTGGTCATCGGCCCAACCGGCAACGTAGGCAAATCAACCGTCAAAGCCCTACTAGACGAAAACTTCCACGTCACCGGCCTAACCCGCGAGTCGTCCACCGCCACCCTCCCTCCCGGCGTGCAACACCTCAAAACCGACTTCACCCCCTCCTCTCTCGCCCGCGCCTTCGCCAACCAAGACGCCGTCGTCAGCACCATCTCAAGCATCACCCCCGCCGGCGCCCTCTCCCTCCAGCACTCCCTCATCGACGCCGCCATCGCCGCCGGCGTCAAGATCTTCGTGCCCTCCGAATACGGCATCGACACGTCCTCGCGCTCCGCCGGCGACTACGTCCCGTTCCTGGCCGACAAGATCGCGACGGTCGACCACCTCAAGTCCCAGGAAGACCACATCTCCTGGGTAGCCGTCATCACGGGGTCGATGTTCGACTGGGGCCTGAACATCCCCGGGTTCGGAGGCTGGAACGTGGCCGCGCGCACGGCGACGATCTACGACGGCGGCGACGTCCCGTACGAGGCGACGAACCTGGATCAGGTGGGGAGGGCGATTGCCAAGAGCTTGAGGAAGCACGAGATGACCAGGAATCAGTATGTGTACGTGAATAGTTTCACGGTTACGCAGAATGAGGTTCTGCGGGCGCTCGAAGGGGCGACGGGGGAGAAGTTCAGCGTGGCGCAGGGCACGGTTGAAGAGCTGTGGCAGGGTGGAGCCGCGAAGGTGAAGGAAGGGCAGCCGGTGGGCGTGTTGGATATGATAGCGGGGGCTATCTATGGTAAAGGAGGATTGGCCCACTACTCCGCCACGAAGGGTTTGTGGAATGAGAAACTGGGCCTGCAGCAGGAGAATCTGGATGAGTTTCTTGGAAACTATGTCGCGGGAATGCAGGGAAGCAAATGCTAGGATTAGCTTTGGCTTGAATCTGTAATGATGGTAGAAGTTGTCAGAGAAGGTGTTGATCGGTGGACAGATATTAACCAGTCTGGGGGTCAATGCTTCTGGTATACAATTGCACTAGCTACATGTCAATTCTCTCATTTCTGCCATTGACCCTCAACAAGCCTATAAGTTAGCTGGTTATTCTGAAGCAACTTCAGCAGGTCACGTCTGCCCGTATAACATGGAAAGAAGTAATGTTGGGTCAATCGCGCGTAACTATAAGACTGAGACGAAAACTGATTGATTTTTTGACAATGAAAATCTCCCACCTCAACGCTCTATCTCTCAACTCTATGAATCTTCCCACCATTTACTCCTTGGTAGCCGCAAGACTTCTCCATCGCCCGTAGGCGAGAGTTCAAAGAAACCGTTTCTTTACTCTCAGCCAACAACTACTCCATAACCCAATGCATCTTAGTAGATCGTAAACTCTGACAAACGGGATGTATGTCTCCAAATCTATGAGCAAGAATGAAAAGAGAAAAAATTTCGGGGGATCTCATCTTCCGGGTCGTCTAAGGGTTCGGGTTGTAGAGCTTGGCCATGGACTGCAAAGAACAATTAAAGTCAGTACCAGAATCCCACCAAGCAGCAGCACAGAAAACAAAAAGAGAAAACTCACCGCCGCCTGCCTCGGCTCAATAAACAGCGCCTCCGCCTCATCCAGCACCAACGGCTTCTCGCCCGCCTCCTCATCCACCAACGTCTCCAACCTTCCCTTCACCCACGCCTTGCGGCCCTCAACCTTCGTCGTCTCCGCCCTCAACACGATGAACTGGCCCGCCTTGCACGGCGCCTTGTAGTTAATCGTCAAGCTGGCCGTCATGCCGATCTTATTCGGCAGCGCCGGGAAGCAGCACCGCGCCAACCCCTCATCCAACAACGTCGCCAGCAACCCGCCATGCACGACGCCGGGGTGCCCACACAACGCCGGCCCCACATAATGCACGCTGATCATCCTACTGCCATCGGGCGCGCTGAACGCCAGCGCCGGCACGACCAGCTCCTCGTCGCCCAGCAAAGTCCCGGCGGTCAAATTGTTGTGCCTCAGCGCGTTCGGGATGCGCATGTGCGGGCGCGACTCGACGAGGGACTCGTCGGCGCGCAGGGCCGCGACGCCCGGGTGCGACTGCAGCTGGGCTTCGATCTCGGCGGCGCGCGTGCCAGGGGCGGGCTGCCAGAGCTGCAGCGTCTCGGCGTCCGAGGGCGGCGAGAGCAGGTCGTCGGCGACGCTGAGGGCGGGGGCGGCGGACATGGTGGCGCCTAGGGTGAAGGAGAAGGCGGCGAGGAGGACGGCGCGCAGGATGCGGATGGGCCGGGAGCGGGGGGCGCGCGGGGGTGGTGGGGTTTGGTCGTTTGGTTGTGGTGTTGGTGTTGGTTCTGTGGGTGAGGTTGGGGGTTAGTGGTGAGTTATGGGGAATTGGAGCGCTGAGGATATATATATATATATATTTTTCGGGTAAGGATGTGACATACCGGCGACGGTGGTCTGCAACCTAACGTGCTGGAGGGTGCGGAGGATGTGCGGCTGCGAGTAATTGACAGGCGCGCGGGCGAGGTTTTGTATTGGGACGGGCCGAGTAAGCGCGGTCCGAGGGAGGGCGGACCGGAGTGCGCGAGTCGCACTGGAGGCTGACGAAAGATTATTCCGAATCGGCATACGGGCGTAGTAGTGAGCGTGGCAGGGGGTTTAAAAAAGATGTCTAAAAGGCGGTGGGCGGGGGTCCGGGGAAAGCGGCCTCGTTGCGGTGCGGTCGTTGAGGTCGGAGGCGCGGCGTAGGGGCTTGGGCCTCGGCACGATTGCCGAATGCGATTGGCTGAGTGCCAACAAGGTGCTAATTTTGAGTCCGTTTGGTTTCTTCGAACTCGACTACCGGATCGCCACTATCAAATTCCGGGACTAAAAAAAGTGTTCGAGGGAAGATGGTCGTTTACCGTACAGCTGTCATCTTACTCCGACTGTCAGCTGGACCCTGCCAAGGCACGGTCCCAACCAATCGTCTTCGCATCGCACCATTTTACCCAATCGCACCGAGTTAACCATGTCCATGGGGGCCGGTGTCGGCTTTCTCATTTCTTGATAGAGTAATCACTATGTCGCGTGCCTTTCTGAGACATGCTTTTCAGCATCATACTTGGCAAGGGCTGACCCTCAAAAAAAAAAAATCCAAAAACGGTAATCTGCTAGAATGTTCTGTTCCACGATCACTTTTCACTTTCAGACCACCGCAAAACGTAACCATCAGTGAAGTTATGGTGAATCAGAACATCAATTTTAGAGTATATAGTGAAGATTGGCGCAGGCTACTTTACATTTCGAGGTCTGGCACAGTTTCATAAGTAAAACTTACATCTACCCCAAAGCTGGAAAAGGCAGAGCCATACGCCCTTCCCACATCTTCACATTTCTAGTTCGACTCCAGTGGTGGGTACCCCCACATATTAGGGGGATAGTTAGGGTGCGGCGGCCACCCGTATTGCAGCAGCCAGGCCGGCATACCCTCAGGGATTGGTGGCGGTGGAGGAAGGGACGGGAGTGGAGGCGGGAAGAATTGACGATTCTGGTAAGCCTCGTTTTGAGAGTAAGGGGGGAGGTTATGGGGGTTAGCCGCATATGGATGTTGAGGATGTTGAGACATTGTTACGGAGGGTCTAAGAACAGGAAATCTTTTTGTAGATGTTCGCGGTTATGCTTGTGTTGTTATGAAGTTGGCGTTGTGGAAGTGATTTCGAGGCTATACGCTCACTTCTTCTTATACCCGTCGTCTTGGGGGTATGTGCAAAATTACCATGTGTCCATCGCCAATCAGGTGCCCCTTGGCCGGTTGCCGGAAAAGCAACCGAGTGAGGTCAACACTAGTCCGCAGACCCTTCCTATGGGTGCTGGCAATCGAGCTGTCACTGAAGATGTCATGAATTTCTTTCAAGGACCGGATTTTTCAGCTGTGCTGGTCACTTGCTGTTTCGCCACCGCAGTGAATGTGCCCATGGACCGCAAGAGAAACTGAGAAAGCATGATGTACAACGTATTTGTCGTGCTGAATTGGGCATTGGAGAGGCGTTGCCATAAATACACGTGCAGCTTGCGTGTCCTGTGAGTGAAGAAAACCATGTCTTGGAACTGTACACCCAGGCAGACACCAAACATAGCAGGTGTCTATCCGTTGTGGTCCACGCGTCTTCAACGCATGAATAATAACTCACTGAATCTACAGACAAGAAAGTTCATAGGTATTCGAGTCAGGGAAGCGTACCAAGTAATTACAAGGACTGTGCAGATCTCCTCCTGTTCTCCACCTCATCACGGATAGCCCACAGCTCCTCTGGAACCTCCAGATGGCGATGCAGTCCAAACATAGTCGTAGGTCTGCTGTAGGGTCCCCTTGACGGGGCAATCGAGTTCGTCATGGTGCTCTCTCTGGAATACTCGTATACATTAGGTATCCGCACCGGATCGAGTAGTTGACGAGCAACCCTAGCGGCGGCTCGGTGCCGGCAAATCGGACACGTCGCAGCATGATGATCCCCGCCAGGAGTAGTTGCGGTGGTGGAAATGTGAGTATGGACTGCTGAGTGAATGTCCATCTGACGTCCTTGCAGAACATTCACGGGAAGCGACAAGTCCAAGCTGAACTTTTCTTTTTCGGCAACCAAGTCAGCTTTGATGGCAATGCGGTGGCACTTGGAGATGTTGAAGGTTTTGACGTTCGGCTGGATGCCGTCTTCCACAGTGAAGAGCCTTTTGAGGAGGGACTGCGTTCCTTCCTTCTCGAAGATCGTAGGAGCTGACATTTCGATCCGTTGTTCTTCGAGGGTGATCTGCTTTTCTGCAAGGGTAATAGAGTGACCAAACCAAGCACGAATGCGATGGAACCTGTCGTTCGATCCAAGAATTGAAGTCTCTTCCCTCAGAACCACACTGAGGTTGATGAGCTCGATTTGGGGGTTACTGGGGTCAGTGGAGCCTTTCGGCTTGGGAGTTAAGAGGATGGTGAAAGGCAGCGGCCGACCCGAAATGATGTCGTCTGGTATGAAAATTGTCGGTGAAAGACGGAGATGCGAGCAGTTCGCGCTACAAAACAGCAAGTCCTTGAGCCGATCCCAAGGAGTCTGTGCGTGAACTGGGCGATGAATACGTCTAACCACGGGCTTCAAGTCATGGCGATTCGCAGGCGGATTGTCCTGCTGCGGCTTCCGGATATCGATCCTCAGCGTTTCCCACTGTTCGTACGGTTCTAGGTTCCGGCTAGAACGGGACATATGCGCAAGGATTCCGTATTCGACCCGGGCCATGTTGCCATGCGCATCTTTGTGGAAAAAGGTGGGCGGAACTTGATGACGCTGTATGGCAAACTTCCGAGAAGTCAGGGATGAACCAAATCTTCCAACACTGTCGGTGAGCTCTGGTACAGTGAACTCAAAAGGCCAAATTCCGTGCGAGATATTCGTCGGCATTAGTGGAATCGGCTTCTTTATGTCGATCAGTCGATTGTGAGTGCGAATGGAAGTGCGATTTGGCGATCCATGAACAGGGCGCTTTTGAGGAGAAATTTCGGTCTCTGCGGTACCGATGAGGGAGACCTCGATTGCTTCGATCAACTCTCCTCTTTTTAAAGCTGCTGCCACATATCCTTTGATTGTGTCACCGGGCTTGTAAGTGAGCTGAGGGTTTATGAACGTGATGCTGAGAGGGGCGTGGTCGTGGCCGGGAGGAGTGGTTATAGGAAGCGGAGACGCTGCTGGGTTGGGTGTGGCCATGTCTGGCCTCGTGGATCAAAGAATGGCGTGACTGCGATGATGATGCAACGGAGAAGAAGATGGAGAGAGTTTGAGGTTGAGCATTCTGGAGAAGGCAGCATCAGGCCATGGGAAAAGGGAAGGCACAACACAGCCAATGACGAACATGAAAACAGAGTGCTGGGTCAGGCATAGCTGTTGCGTCAGGTGCCAGTTAGCATTAAAACTACATTGTGACAACGCGTAAAAGATTGTTCAGGCTTCGCGCGGGCGATTATTTCGTCGGATAGCTATGACGTTGTTCGCGTGCGGATAAGATGAGGCTTGATTGTAGTAGAGTGGTGAGCGCATATATTTGGTCAGCACTGTGGCAGAAAGGAGAGAGAATACAGAACCACAGCTCTTCTCAAGGCGCGCCGTAGAGAAAGGTTTCGTGTGTGACCATTGCTGGCGGGGTTGTCCAGGGCGAGCGGGGAGACGCGTCGCGCGTCAGTCGGCGTGTCGGCGTCGGCCCCCGGAGCGTCACCAGCGGCGCGCAAGCAAAGCGCATTTCTGATCTTCACCAAGCCTCGAGCTCCTCCCCACCACCACGACACCGCCCTGAGCTGCCTTTTCCCGCGCCATCCCTCCACCACCCAATACGCTCACGTCGGCCCTCGTATCTTCCACGAAAACCTTCCCGATCCCAACCAATTCGAGCACCCAACCCATAAAATAAAATGCCCGCCCGCAAGAGCAACGCCTCCGCGGCCGCCGACGAAGATACCGGCCTCAGCGTCGAGGTCCGCCTTCCCTCCGCCATCCCGCCTCTGCTCCGTCCACAGCTTCTGACGCGCCGCAGGACCTCAATCTCCCCAAGACCATGGTCAACCGCTTGGCCAAAGGCGCGCTTCCCCCGAACTTCAACGTCCAGAGTGTCGCCCAATCGGCCATCTCCAAGAGCGCTACCGTCTTCGTGAACTACCTTACCGCCCAGTACGTCCAATACATCCTCGACCTACCATATCCACAACAACACAAGCCTCAAGGACCGTTCCGCTGACCACCGTGAACCTCCACAGTGCCAGCGACATCGCCGCGCGCCAGAACAAGAAGACGATCCAGCCCAAGGACGTGCTAGACGCGCTCAAGGAGCTCGAGTTCGACATGTTCATCGACCGCACCAACAACGAGCTGAACAGTATGTCCCCCCTCCTGCTCTACACCCCATCCGCCTTGAAACTAACCACTAACCCTCCTCCCTCCTCCCTCCCAACAGAATACCAAGAAATCCAATGCACCAAACGCAACACCTACCGCCGCCGCGTCAAAGACGAAAAGCGCGCCGCCGAAGCGCAGGCCACGACCAACGGCGACGACGCCGACGTCAGCACCAGCACTCCCCTCGGCGGCGCTCCCGCCGCCGCTCTTGGTGTTGGTGCCGCCGGCGCAGCCGCTCTCACAGCCACCGCGCTCGCCACGGCCAACGGCGGCAGCGCCAGCAATGCGCACCTCGACGAGAACGGCGAGCCGGCGGCGAAGAAGGCGCGCGTGGACGAGAGCGGGGACCACGACATGATGGAGGACGACGAGGGCGAGGACGAGGAAGATGAGGAGGAAGAGGAGCAGGAGGAGGAAGAGGAAGAAGAGGAGGAGGATGAGGAGGAAGGAGACGAAGACGAGGAGGGGAAGGGGGATGAGGAGGATTTGCTGGAGGAGAAGGCGGCGAGAGAGGATGAGGACGAGGCGTTGGATGGGGAGGAGAGCGACTGAGTGGATACATTTGCAATGGAAAGCGGCAGCGGAAGGGCGGCTCCTGGAGGCATGGGTATCGGCGTTTATCAAAGGAAAGGGTGGGCATGGTTCGGCTTTGCTACTTTTATCTTTTTTTTCCTGCTGCCTGTTTTGCGGATGAATGCGGTGTTTTGGAGTCATTTACAACTTGGGCATCTTTCTCGAGGCGGGATGCTGGTTGCTTCTTGGACATAGCGGTGCTCACTCCGATCCAGCACGAATGAAGGGAAGATATAAGAGCCACGAGTGTGGTATTTGAAATCTTTAATCGAATGTCCTTTTCTTCCTATCCGAGCGTATGCTTCCGACTCTGTGTCCCGACCCTTTCCATTCGCCAGCAATATATGCAAGAGGGCCAATGAGACCCTGGGCTAAGTCTTAGCCCCAAGAAGCTCGACTTTTGCTCCCAGCTTTGATTCCAGCAACTCCTTTTTCCTCGTCGTCGTGCCACATGACAGTTCCCATCCTTAAGAAACACCCCATCAACCCAACGCCTTCGCCGGCACGCCAGCAGCACTCGCCCTCCTCTCCGCAAGCGGATCGCCATACCTCGACCTGACCATCCTCTCGCGTTCGATCAGCGACTCCTCAGCCTTCAGCCAATCCTCGGCCGCCTTCTTATTCTTCCACGCCCAGCCCGGCGCGTCCGCCTCGCGCTCCCACCGGTATCCGCTAGCCGGATGCACGCCCGGCTGCTGCAAGAGGCCGCGCTTGCTGCTTCCACCGCCGCTTGACGAACCACCAGCACCGCTGCTGCCGTCGACCAGCATTCCCTCCACCGACGCGTCGCCCGTCCTGCTACTTGCCGCTGCGGCTGCTGCAGCTGCTGCCGCCGCCGCCGCTGCTGCCACGGCACTGCTGCTGCTACTGCCATTGTTGTGGTTGTTGAAGTTCAGGCCGGTCGGCAGCACGCGCTTGCCATTCTCGTTGATGACGGCATCGGCGATGGCTGTCGACGCGGTGCGCGCGGCGGCCGTGTTGGCCGGGCCCTGCGACGAGGGCGGGGAGAGCTCTGCGTGGGCGAGGGCGGTGGTCGGCGTGGAGGGAGGGAGCGCGACGCCGCCGTCGAGGATGTTTCCCGCGGCGGCCGTGGAAGTAGGAACCGCGCCCGCGGCCTCGTCGGGGAAGAGGTCGTCGTCCGAGTCTGCGGCGGCGGAGTTGGGTGACGAGTGCATGGTGGAGTCGCCGTCGGCGTCTGTGCGGGGGTGAGCTGGTTAGCGGTGAGGTCGTGGGAAGATGGTGGGGGACGGGATGGCGGCGGTGTGGTGGAGTGAGGTGCGGATTTGCGGATTGTAGCTCTCTTGCTTGCTTCTACAAGGCGTGATGGAGGATATGTTTGTTTGCAGCGGGGTTGGCTGTTTGGCGGGCACGAGGAATGACGATAAGGCGAGGCGGACGAAACGTACCTGACATGGCGGGCGACTGAGTCGAGGACGTCTTGCTACGCTTAGCTGGGCGAGAGGCTTCTGCGTCGTCCGCCAGGGTTGCGGTGTTGTGCTTGCTGTCGTGGGTGGTTGCGTTTGCGGATGATGAGAGGGCGGGAGTGGTAGCGCCGTCGTTCATTGCTGTAGCTGCTGCTGCGGCGGCGGACTCGGCGACGGCGGCTGCGCGCGGTGACGTGCAGGACGACATGGTTTGGGAGCTCCCCAAAAGCGGCGTCGCTTCGGTTGGTCCGTCAAGCTTTCCCCGCATTAACCACAAGCTGCGTTTCGGGGTACACCGCGCTATTTAACACTTACTTAGGTACCCTGTTGCCTGCACGTGAGCCTTTTTTGTAGGGTCGCGACTGCCTAAAGGTGCTGCCTGGTGTTTCCAAAGGAAGGAGTCGAAACTCCTCACCCGGCCAGACAAGCCGATATATATATCTTACACCTCAGTCGACGCAAATCCATTGGATATCTTTTCCATTTAGAGCTAGTCTTGTGCCTCCAAGGAAGCCTCACTTGCGAAGCCTAGAATTTCTCTATGGCCAAACGCTGGTGCTTTCACCGTATTAGAGCCCTATCGATCCCGCAGCCCTGGTAGACAAACGCCTAAAATTATGCCCCCCTTTCGCCGAACGCCCCTGCATGTCCGTCGCGTGGAAGAACCCCGTAATGTACAGCCATGACTGTGTACAGCGTGTCAAACCTACTGCTTCTGCTTCTTCATAGGCAGGCTTGGCACCTTGAAGCCGTCTGCATCCTTCTTGCTACCGGTCTCACTCTTTGAGCCTGCAATCTGAGTGAAAGTGCCGCCGCTGAACCACCTATCTTCCTCTGCCTTCCTCTTGCGGTTCATCTCCTCACGCACCTTGGGGTCGACGAGCTCAAGGCCTTGCACAGGAGTGAACGCGATGGTCGACGCCGTACCAGCAGTGCCAACGCCCGACGTCCTCAAGCCATGACCCTTCAGCACGCTGGCATTGCCAGCAGTACCGGCGCCACGGATAGTAGACGCCATTCCGCTGACCGGTGTAGCTCCGCCCCAACCAGGATTTTTCTTGCTGAGCTTGGCCTTGGTGCGCTGGTCGATCTGGGTAGCGCGGATGCGTCCGTCGTTGGCTTGGCCAATCATACCCATGCCCTTGGTGCCATCGCCCGTTCCATAACCAGCCTCAGCCTCCTCCTTACCGAATGCCATGCGGTTCTGTGCCTTGCGGAGCTCCGTCATGGCGTAGGCCTCCTTGGCCTTACGGACACGACGACCACCACGCTTCCTCGAAGGCTTGTCGTCCGGCACGGGGAGAGCGCGGACACCCTTGTTGGGCGGTGGCTCGGTGAGCTTGTCCAGACGGTCCAAACACTGCTGTTTCAAGCTCTCGCCGGTGGATCCATCTGGGCTGCTGTGGATGCTGTCCACTCTTGCTGCGAGCACGATCTTCGCCGAAACGATCCTCATGGCCTGCTTCTTGAGATCGTTGGGGATGTTGCGGATGATTTCAGAGTGGAAGAGGAAACCCTGGTTTCTGATGCCAGTATTGGTAGCAAATCCAGTTCCAGACGCTTTCTTGGCTCCGAGGACTGCGATGTTGCAAGCAGGTGTTTTGGCGAGACCCTTGATACCTCCAGCATAGTTGATGAGTTGGGCCGCAGTAAGAGATCCGATCAGAGTAGTCAGGTTCGGAGCGAAAATGTTCATGCGAGACTGAACGTATTCTGTCAGGACTTTCTTGGCGTTATCGAGTTGCAGCGTCATTTCGCACGCCTTCAAAACGGTGTTGAGCTCAGTCTCGGTGAGTTCACGTCCTTGAGATGTCGTAGATTCGACGCTGACGACCATCATGGAGGGACCATCGAGAACCTTGTTAAGGGGCTGGCCAACGAGGTTATCTGAGGAAGTCGATCGCTTCTTGATCGAGTCTGCATCCATAGGACCATTTCCAATAATGGCAACCGTCTTCGCATAGTCCAGAGGGTTGGTGACGAGGGTTTCCAGCTCGGGAAACCGAATGGAGTAGTGATCGCGAATGAACTTGTGCACGAGGATGACCTCGCTGTCTATCTGGGTGGCAAGGGTGTTGGACTGAGTGAGCAGCTTGTACTCCGGGTTATCCTCGATGGAACCGATGTTCTTGGTCTGCTTCTCAGGCGGCAGTCCTTTGTAGTGTGCAATTTTCTGTGGACGGCGGTGATCGTTAGGACTGTATCTTCCGAGGATGTAAACGAATGTTCAAGGCGCGGGATTGTGGGGTAGGACTTACATCAAGAACTGGCTGCAGCGTCTTCATCAGACCTGCTACGCTGCGCACGTCGCTGACGTTTCCGAGCTGCATCTTCTCAACCCTAGCCTTTGTCTCTTCTTCGTCCTCAGGCGCATCGCGCGCCTGTTTTGTGGCCGCACCGTCCATGAGCTCTTCATCGTCCTCATCTTCCTCATCGTCGTCCAGGTCCATGCCTCCGTCTTGAACACCAGTCCTCGGCTGCGCGACTGAAGCCTCTCCCGGGAAAAGCGATGCGACACCATCGTCCTGGGGGATCTCGGTGCTCTGCTCCTCGTTCTCATCGCCGGAGTCCTCAAAGTCGTTCAAAAGTTCGTCTGCGAGAGTCGCCATGATCGCGGTATTGGAATTCTCGAAAGGTAAATGAGCGAACGTAAAGCGCTGAACGTGGCGGACCTTCAGGACAGGTCCGCAGTCCGGTGGCGATACTGGAAGGCGGCAGCGGAGGTGAGTTGCGGAAAGTTTGAAGCTGCGGAAACGCGCCCCCAGAGCTTTGACGTACGAAGTCTTGGCGCCATCGGCATTGCAAACGCCGACATGGAATCTGCGCCGCCAAAGCTCCCATCTTTCTCGCCAAAACAAGCTCCTCACCTCGCCCTCCGCGCCCCCGCCTCCGACGCGTCCTGCGTCTCTGTTATCCGCCAAACCGCTCCATCCCCTTCGATTGCCCCTTGACATCCCTATTTAGATCCCAGGTCCGCCCGAAACCGCCACGATGGAGTCCTCACGCGGCCCTCCGCGGGTCAAGAACAAGCAGGCGGCGCCCATCCAGATCAGCGCCGAGCAGCTGCTGCGCGAAGCCGTCGACCGGCAGGAACCGGGGTTGCAGGCGCCGACGCAGCGCTTCGCCGACCTGGAAGAGCTGCACGAGTTCCAGGGGCGCAAGCGCAAGGAATTCGAGGACTATGTGCGCCGCAACCGGATGAACATGAACAACTGGATGCGCTACGCGCAGTGGGAGATTGAGCAGAAGGAGTTCCGCCGCGCGCGCTCCATCTTCGAGCGTGCTCTCGACGTCGACTCGACCAGCATCGTCCTGTGGATCCGCTACGTCGACTGCGAGGTCAAGACCCGCAACATCAACCATGCGAGGAACCTGCTCGACCGCGCCGTCACCATCTTGCCGCGCGTGGATAAGCTGTGGTACAAGTATGTCTACATGGAGGAGACCCTGGGCAACATTCCCGGTACCCGTCAGGTCTTCGAGCGCTGGATGTCTTGGGAGCCGGATGAGAATGCGTGGAGTGCGTACATCAAGTTGGAGAAGCGCTACAATGAATATGAGCGGGCACGCGCCATTTTCGAGCGCTTCTGCCAGGTCCATCCGGAACCGCGCAATTGGATCAAGTGGGCCCGGTTCGAGGAGGAGTTCGGGACAAGCGACCTGGTGCGGGAGGTGTTTGGACAAGCTGTGGAGACGTTGGGCGAGGAATTCATGGATGAGAAGCTGTTCATGGCATACGCACGATTCGAGGCAAGACTCAAGGAATTTGAGCGTGCTCGTGCCATCTACAAGTATGCTCTAGATCGCATGCCGCGGTCCAAGTCCATGAATCTCCACAAAGCCTATACCCAGTTTGAGAAGCAGTTTGGCGACCGCGAAGGTGTTGAGGATGTCATTCTTTCCAAACGCAGGGTGCAATACGAGGAAGCCATCAAGGAAAACCCTAAGAACTATGACAACTGGATCGATCTAGCCCGGTTAGAGGAGACAGCAGGAGATGTCGAGCGTGTCCGAGATGCGTATGAGCGCGCGATAGCCCAAATCCCGCCCACTCAAGAGAAGCGCCATTGGCGGCGATACATTTACCTATGGATCTTCTATGCGCTCTGGGAGGAGATGGACGCCAAGGACGTTGACAGAGCACGCCAGATTTACAACGAGTGTTTGAAGCTGATCCCACACAAGAAATTCACATTCGCCAAGGTCTGGCTGCTCAAGGCGCAGTTCGAGATCAGACAAATGAACTTGGCGGCAGCACGGAAAACGCTGGGTCAAGCCGTTGGCATGTGTCCAAAGGACAAGCTATTCAAGGGCTACATTGAGCTCGAGCTCAAGCTTTTCGAGTTCACCCGTTGCCGGACTCTTTATGAGAAGCACATCGAATGGAACCCCAGCAACTCGCAAGCATGGATTAAGTTCAGCGAGCTGGAGCGTGGCCTGGATGACCTCGACCGCGCACGCGCGATATTCGAGCTCGCCGTTCAGCAGGACACGCTGGACATGCCGGAGCTGGTGTGGAAGTCGTACATCGACTTCGAGGAGGAAGAGGGTGAGTACGATCGCACCAGGGCGCTGTACGAACGTCTGCTGGCCAAAACAGATCACGTCAAGGTCTGGATCAGCTACGCGCACTTCGAGATCAACGTGCCCGACGATGGCGAGGAGGAGGAAGAGGACGAAGAGCGGCCGGTCAGCGAGGAGGCGAAGAGGCGCGCCAGGAGCATATTCGAACGCGCCTACAAGAGCATGAAGGAAAAGGAGCTTAAGGAGGAGGTGAGTACACATCCACATTCTCAGTCCGGACGAGTAGAACAAAGGCTAATGTTGTTTCAGCGCGTTGCTCTCCTCAATGCCTGGAGGTCTTTCGAGCAGACTCATGGATCTGCGGAGGACTTGGACAAGGTCGAGAAGCAAATGCCCAAGCGCGTCAAGAAGAGGAGGAGGTTGGACACCGCGGACGGCGGCATGGAGTTCGAAGAGTACATGGATTATGTCTTCCCGGCGGATACGGAGGGCGAGGCCAAGCTGTCGAAGCTGCTGGCGAAGGCGGCTGCTTGGAAAAAGAAGGCGGATGTAGACGAATAGGTATACTCATGATGAGAGATATGCTGAAGGGAGTTTCAGGCTCAACCTTGAGGCAGACGGAGAGGAAAATAATCGTTTTCAGTATGCTCACAGTCCACCTGGGCATTGATGTTTCCCAAAATAAGGCGCACAAAAGTTTACCCCGACATTATTTCCCTTTAAATAAGATTCGATAATCCCCTTTCCTTTAGGCCATTCCTTTCCAGCCTCTGCCGCATTCGCGTCATGAAATTTCTCCGGCCAATACCAGAAAGCTCCGGCGGTCAAAACAAGAAGGTTTCTAAAGTTGTGAAGAGTGTTGAGAAGATGTGGGGCGGAGACTAAAGTACACAAAGTCATCGCGGGGTTATGCTTGGCTCTCGCACGACATTGGCCCGAGATGCAGCAAGCCAGCCCACCGGAGGTACCTGCTGCATGGTTACAACACTCCACGTCAGTAGTGCGGTGGGCTGACTTGACCGCGGGGTATGTCTCTAGACAACGTACCTTGGACTGCACCTATACATTGATCCTTCATTTTATTAGAGTGGCCATTTAACCGGACCCATTGGACTATACACATCGAGCGAATTAACTGTGATTCGAGTTTTCTACCAGCATTGGCTATCCCTTTTGACAATTTGTGTTGGCTGGCCAGAATTCAGACGGGTCACAAGAGTCTCCAAGATGTTTTTCCAGGAAGGCAACAAGCTCATCTTCCGCTACGATGCCGAGACCCTCTGGATCGAACCTTGGGGACCCAACGCCCTGCGCGTCCGCGCCACCAAGAACCACCAGATGCCCGCAGAGAACTGGGCCCTGGACGTCCCGCCCCCAGCTCTCCCAGCCCATCCAACCATCTCCATCTCCAGTGACGGCAGCGGCGCGACCATCACCAACGGCAAAATCCAAGCGTCCCTCACCCCGCGCGGCAAGCTCACCATCCGCAACGCCCACACCGGCACCATCCTGCTAGAAGAGTACTCACGCAACCGCAAAGACGTCACCGACCCGAAATGCAGCGCGCTCGAGATCGAAGCGCGCGAATTCCAGCCCATCCCCGGCAGCGACGCCTTCCACCTGACCGCGCGCTTCGAGTCGCAGGACGCAAAGGAGCGCATCTACGGCATGGGCCAGTACCAGCAGGCGCTGCTCAACCTGAAGGGCGCGGACCTCGAGCTGGCGCACCGCAACTCGCAGGCCAGCGTGCCGTTCGCCCTGTCCAACCGCGGCTACGGCCTGCTGTGGAACAACCCGGGCGTCGGGCGCGCCGTGTTCGGCACCAACGTCGCGAGCTACGAGGCGCTGTCGACGAAGGCGCTGGATTATTGGGTTGTCGCGGGCGACGCGCCGCAAGAGATCGAGCGCGCGTATGCGGATGTGACGGGGAAGGTGCCGATGATGCCCGAGTACGGGTTGGGGTTCTGGCAGTGCAAGTTGAGGTACCAGACGCAGGAGGAGCTGCTCGAGGTGGCGCGCGAGTACAGGCGCAGGGAGCTGCCGATCGATTTGATTGTGGTGGACTTTTTCCACTGGCCGAAGCAGGGGGAGTGGAAGTTCGATCCGACGTACTGGCCTGATCCGGATGCGATGGTCAGGGAGCTGAAGGAGCTGAAGATCGAGCTGATGGTGTCGATTTGGCCTACGGTCGACAAGCTGTCGGAGAACTACGAGGAGATGGTGGAGCACGGCTACCTGATCCGGACGGACCGCGGTATCAGGACGGCCATGGACTTCATGGGGGATACGGTTCATGCGGACTTTACGAACCCTGGCGCTCGGGAGTACGTGTGGAAGAAGGTGAAGCAAAACTACTGGGACAAGGGCATTCGTGTTTACTGGATCGACGAGGCTGAACCTGGTAAGTCAGCTCGACGGGGGCGAAGGGCACGAAACCCCGTTCACCACCTACCTGGTGGGGGACTCGCGTCCTTTTCCACGCATGTCTTTTTCACGGGGATACACACTCTTACCACCTACCTTTTCCCATACTTCGTCAATGCCGGAAAACTAACCAAGCCACAGAATACACCGCCTACGACTTCGACAACTACCGCTACCACCTGGGCCCCAACCTCCAAATCGGCAACCTCTACCCCCTCCACTACGCCCGCGCCTTCCACGATGGCCAAACCGCCGCGGGCCAAAAATCCGTCGTTAACCTCGCCCGCTGCGCCTGGGCCTCCTCTCAAAAATACGGCGCCCTCGTCTGGAGCGGCGACATCGCGTCGTCGTGGCCCGTCTTCCGCGCGCAGCTCTCCGCCGGCCTGAACATGGGCCTCGCGGGGATCCCGTGGTGGACGACGGACATCGGCGGCTTCCACGGGGGGGACCCGAACGACGAGGCCTTCCGCGAGCTCTTCGTGCGCTGGTTCCAGTGGGGCGCGTTTTGTCCGGTTATGAGATTGCACGGCGACCGCGAGCCAAGGCAGCCGCAGCACGGGACGACGGGCGGTGCGGAGTGCAGGAGCGGCGCGGCGAACGAGGTGTGGTCGTATGGGGAGAAGGTGTATGGGATTTGTAGGAAGTGGATGGGGGTGCGGGAGGGGTTGCGGGAGTACACGCGTGAGGTTATGCGCGAGGCGCACGAGAGGGGCGATCCGGTGATGCGGGCCTGCTTTTACGAGTTTCCGGAGGATAAGAGGGCGTGGGAGGTTGAGGATCAGTATTTGTTCGGGCACAAGTACCTCGTGGCGCCGGTGCTGTATCCCGGGGCAAAGACGAGGGAGGTGTACTTTCCGAAGGGGGCGACGTGGAAGGCGTTTGAAGGCGAGGCTGCGTTTGAAGGCGGGACGACGGCGGTGGTGGAAACTCCGATCGAGTCTATGCCGGTGTTTGTGAGGCAGTAGATAGATCGTTTCCGCATCAGGGGAAAATGGCCGGCATATATGCGACTCCAAGAACTTGGCGACTATGGATGTTCATATAGCGGCAATATCGACGGGAGAACCTTATCAGGGTCCTAGAGTGATCCAGATGATTGGCGCGACATCAGCAAAGGCCCCATATTGCACAGGGGCTCTTCGATCGGAATGTGGCTCATGTATAACTTCCAATAATAAAACTTGTTTTCGCAGAAGGGAGCCTCGGTGATTTGGTGTCGAAGTTCTGCCTACGTCATGTGGTGGTCAGCCTGGCCACGAGATGCATGACCCCGTCAGCAGCCAAATCCCACTTGATCTATCCACCTTACCGCTTTTGGAAATAAGTCCAACAATCCAACCACCTTTATTTCTCTAGAATCATCAGCCTCCTCACGTGTGCTCGCATCGGATACCCAGTCATAAGGCCTTTTCTGTCCTCATGCGAAAATTCACGCAAGCCTAGACCAATTTGTCAGACGGCCCTCTCTTGCGCGTCCCCGACGTGTCCAAGTCCGCCAAGCGTCTTGTGCCACATGAATACCTGTTTTAGCACTGATTGGGTAGAATCACCAGCATGAGGCGTCGAGGATCAGAAGGCTGGAAAAAAGCCACTGACTCACTTGCGCAGGCTGCACTGAGATGATCAGCATCAAATGATCTTATATTATCAGTCTGCTCTCTGCAGAATTAAACCGTCTGGTTTCGCGCTTTACTCATTTTCATAGTGATTTTGGGCCTCCAAAATGCCGCTTTTCTCCTCTAGGAGTTCAAGGACGTCCTCGAGGTCCAAGCCATCGGGAAGTTTATCGGGGGTAAAGACACGGCCATCGACGCGATCGTCAGGAACAAGTTACGAAACGAGAACGCATCCATCAACCCATGATGAATACCGAGCGGGACAGACTTTGTCTCCACCGAGAAGGTTTCGTCCATCGGAGCACGACAACCATCCTCCAGCAAGAAGATTATATCCACCAGAACACGACAACCGTCCCCCGAGAAGATTTGCACCACCAGAGCATGACAACCGTCCTCCAAGAAGATTCCAGTCTTCAGACCATGACGATCATCGCCCACCAAGAAGATTTCAGCCAGCAGAGCATGACGATCATCGCCCTCCAAGACGATATTATGCATCAGAACACGACGACAACCGCCCCCCAAGACGAACCCGACCTGCAGAGCACGATGATCATCCTCGACGCGATTACTCTCGTCCGCCATCCGAACGTCCACCGCCACGTTTGGACAACTTCCTCAGACCCCTAGCTTCCAGCTCCTCCAGACCATCATCCCGGCCGCCACCGAGGGAGGACCATTACCCCTCAAGACCACCTTCCCGCCCTCCAGTCTCAAGAAGTCAATCGTCCGCCCCAGCATACCACCAACCTTCTTCATCCAGGTACCAGTCGCCTGCACCAGCGTACCGGCAAAGCGCCTCGGCGAACCAATCTCCAGCCCCTCTATACCGCCAACCCGTCCAAACAAGCTACCATCACCAACCTGTAGGCACGAACCACCCGCAGACATCGCCAACGATCCGTCACGCCGTCCCGACGACACACCCGTATCCGTACGGAGGGCGAGACGTAAGACCAACGATAGCAACGAGGAACAGCCAATATCGCACCGATCATAACAGCCACTACCCATACTCACCAACGCCGACGACGACGACGACGCACCCCGAGCGATCACCGGTGCGCCCGCCAATGTCGCCGACATACTCCTCCGGGGCGCCAACCTCGCGATACGCCCCAACCCCCACCACTGCCACGAGAGCGTATGGCAACGGGGGCAACCACAGCAGCAGCAGCAGCACTACCAGCCCCAACGGCGCACACGGCCGCCCGCTATCCTCCCACCCGCCCCCGCAAACATCGCCGTCGACCTCCAGACCGCCGTCGTCGTACCGCCCCGCCGAACCACCCCATCTCTCGCCACGCCCATTTGCCGGACGGCATTATTCTAGTTCGCCCACGCACTACCCCGCTGAGCATCATCATCATCCACCGCAGAGACACGACCAGAGGCACGAGGAGAGGCACGATGAGCCGACGAAGCACGAACCAGAACCACCCGCCAGCAGCTCCAGCAAACCCAAACCCACCAAATCCGAACGCTTCGCCGCCGCCGCCGTCTACGCCGACAACGCGCGCGCCATCTTCGACGGCGCGACGGCGGCCAAAAGCTTCTGGGACGCGCATATCCAAGAGCACATCAACGCGCGGAAGCAGAAGAAGAGGGAGGCGAAGGCCGCCCAGGCCGAGGAGGAGGAGGAGGCAAGAGAAGCAGAAGCAGAGAGGGCGGACAGCGTAACCAGCGCTGGGGACAGGGATAAGGAGAAGGACCACCACGACCACGACCACGACGGCGGGAAGAGCAAGAGCGGCGGCAAGAGCGGCGGCAGGAGCACCCCCTACCCCAGCGGATCGGAGCATGGTGATGATGATGACGATGAGGCGGAGTACGACTCGGACCGCTACTGCCACTATCGCGACGACGGTGATGCTAACGACGACGACGGGAGAAAAGATCACGATATCGACGGCGACAACGACACGTCCGATGGGAGTGAGAGCGACGACGACGACTCTAACGACGACGACCACGGCAACAGCGATGGCGACGACGATGATTACGATGCTGGCCCCGCGCCTTTCGAAGTGGGCGATCGAGTGCGGCTCCTGCAGGGAGGGAATAATGACGCGGTGTTCGAGGTGTGCCGCGCGGATGCCGCGGCGGATGTGTATGATGTGAGGGTGCCGGGGACGGAGCAGGTCGTGGGTAAGGGGGTGGCAGGGGATGCGTTGAAGTTTGTTGCGTTTGCTTCGTGAGGTGAGGAAGTCGTCTTTTTGCTTGTTGCTTTTTTTTTGGGGGGGTGTTGTGGGAATGCTAATGGTTGTTTGGAGCAGCAGTCTAGCGGGTTACTGTTGCATGCGGCGTTGTATTTTTATACGCTTTCTCGTTCAGCGCATATTTTACCAGAACGTTTTGATGGCTTTAATTGATCGGCATTATGGAAACCTGGGGGATGTGCGACTGGTATTTCGCTTTGGATTCCGGTCTAGATTGCGGTCAGTTCAGAGTTAAATTCATTTCGGTACCATTGGATTTTTTGAGAGCCGGTCATGGATCTCCGTCCAATCAGCTTCAAACCACCTATCTTCGGCCTTTAAGCGCTCATGTCGGGGATCAGAAAGATTCTGAGTGGTTGACCTAATGTGACGCTCTAAGTCATTCAGCATGGTATATTTCGTCGAGTTCTCGCAGTAGGGGCACGGCCCACACGTCGTGTTAGGTCGGTTGCCGCTTTACGACGGAGGGAGTACCAGGTAATTGGCTGAGAGTAGCCTAAGGCTAGGCCTCGCGTGGAGATGTAGTCGGTCGATTGTGGTGCTGTGAGAGGTTGAGATCGGCTTAAGACAGTACCTTTGGAGATGCTTCGAAAGAAAATAATGGAGGGCTTTTTACCTTGTCGACGGAACTCCAGACCTCCTATCATGCTGTTGATACTGAAAGCTTCCTTACCGAGTTGCTCTATCTGCAAAGCACATTGTAAACATGCAGCCCAGCCCCAAGAATGCCAGTTGCCCAACCAGGTAATCCGGCGGCACTCCCGCCGGGTACCTCCTCTGCGCATCCAGACCCTGCTGCATCAACGCAACTCTCGCTCTCCCAGGGCATTGAAAATGGCACAACAGCGTCATGCAAGCCTCGAAAACCTTTCAGTAGCTGGACGACGCCGTCTCAGACGCTCATCGAAGCTTTTTGGCGGGCGGTGCCAAGTGCGCCCCCCACCAGCGGCCCGCGGGGCTTGGTACGGCTTATCTGGCCTTGGAAAAGGCGGGGAAGTGGCGGGGCGGGTCCTACCGGCGCGTGGACCACGGCTTTCTCTTTAACACTTATTCCCGGCCATCTCACCGTCGCACAGATGTGAGCTTTTTACTTTCGTGGCGGCCCGCCTCCCGCTTGGCAAGGCTGGATGTGTTCCTGGGCAGGGTGAGCATGTTGAGTGATCGTTGTCAGGATGACCGACAAGCTGGCTTTCGCTCGTCTGATTTAAGTCCGAGAGAGAGAGTCGTCATCAATCCTGCAAATCGACAAAAAAGAGCTGCAAGGCCGACCCGAGCGTCCCTGCCGCTGATGGAAGCCGGCTTATCCTCCGCACGCGGCTCGTCCTCCAAAAGAAATCGATGATCCAATCATCCAGCTCCGCGAGCCAACACAGTCCTGGTTCCTTCCTGCCGTCCTACCCGTCCACGCGGCATCTATCGACGGACGACATGCAGGATAGGGCTAGACGGATGCCCAGTATTGCCATGGCGCCGCCCAGGAAACCTGGCGAATCTTAGCCCTGCAGGGAATCTCACGTTTCTTTACCCCGGATACTCTCCACACACACACAGCTTCATCAATGCCCCGTGCGTATGCGGGGAAGAAAAGAGCAAGGATTTGAGATCAAATTAACCCCGATCAATGGACCGGCCGTCTTTCGTTATCGAGAGCCGGGCCCCGGTCCATGTCGGAGACGAGGACTAATTGGGCGATGGGGGCTGACAGGTAGCTGATCGATGGTTGTGTTTTCCCGCACGCCGGTCATCGTCCAAGGTTTCGGATTGCTGCTGCTTGCATACTGATAAAGGCGGGAGGTGGGAACCCTGAACCCTCTTGACGGGTCGCTGCCTATTCCTCCGTCACTCATCACTTCACCCACAAGCGAATATACGTGCCATCATCCGAGATGGGGCCTTCCCTCGTCAACGCCTACACGCCTAGCCAGGTAACCGAAATGGTTTCCCGGGCAGGCGTGTACAAGGGGCGCATGCACCCACTCAAAGTCTTCCTCTCCTCCGTCAGCGCCGGGTGTCTCCTCTCATTCGCCGCGGCCTCGTGCCTCACGGCCAACACGAGCACTTGGGTAAGTTTGCCCATCTTGGACGCTTAGTTTCTCCAGATCCGACACTGACGCCCAGCCTCTCTCTCGCACAACAGCTCCAAGAGAACGCGCCCGGCGTGGCCAGGCTCCTAGGCGCCTTCGTCTTTCCGTACGGTTTGGTGCTGATCGTCCTGACCGGCGCCGACCTCTGCACCGGGACATTCATGGTGAGAGCGAGCAGCGCAGCCCAGCAGCGCCCCAAACCACCACCCGCCCCCGCGCCTGCCTGCCTGCCGCCACAGAGAATATCTCGTAAACTGACTGACTGACAATCTCCCCGCGCGCCAGTACACGACCGTCGCCGTCCTCCACCGCCGGCTGTCCGTCTGGCGGATGCTGCTGCACTGGTTCATCACCTTCTGGGGCAACCTGGCGGGGTCGCTCTTCATGGTAGCCATCATCTTCGGCTGTATGTACCTCGCCCTTCGCTCCAGCACCACCACCATCACCACCACCACCACCCTTTCCCTCCCCTCCCTACCACCCCCCATTGCGCGCTAACCCCACCCCTCCCAGACGGCGGCGTCTTCAGCACCGACCCCTACCGCGCCGAAGTCATCGCCTTCACCACCAAAAAACAAGCCACGCCCGATTTCCACATGATCTTCCTCCGCGGCATCGGCTGCAACTGGCTGGTGTGCCTGGGCTGTTTCTTCGGCATGCAAGGCCGCGACCTGACGTCCAAAATCGTCGGCATCTGGTGGCCCATCTTCGCCTTCGTGTCGCTCGGCTTCGACCACGTCGTCGCCAACATGTTCTTCATTCCGATGGGGATATGGGTCGGGAATCCGGAGTTAACAGTGGGGTTGTATGTGTGGAAGGGGATTATTCCCGCGCTGATAGGGAATATTCTGGGTGGGGGCCTGTTTTGCGGGGCGTATTATTGGTATATGTATTTGTATGAGCAGGAGGCGCCGTTGATTGATGGGGTGGGGTATCCGGAGAGGGGTGGGGAGGGGGAGGGGGATGATGTGGAGAAGGGGGTGGTGGGGCATCGGCATGTTGAGGATGTGAGGGGGTTGAGGAAGATGGAGAATGGGTCGTCGTCGATGGAGCAGGAGGCGAGGGGGGTGAGGGAGAGTGGGGCTTAGGTTGGGGAAGGAAAATGTAGAGTGATGATGAAAGACACCGTTAAGGATAAGGGGTGATGACTGCATAGGCATAATCATGGAGATGACGTTGGATGGAGTAAGGGAAAGGGAAAGGGAAAAGAGAGGACACTGCCCGCGTACGTTTATCAGATCCGACAGGTTTGCTCTTGAACGCCCAAACACTGTCGATTTCTTTTCTGCTTCTCATGCTTTAGCTCGCAGGGCGGCAAGTTTGACAATATTTGCAATGCAGGGAACTTCATACAAAACAGCAATTTGGTCCAGCCATCCAGACTGCTATCTTCCTCTGCAAGCGACATGAAGACATAAGTTTATACACTCCCCAAGCATGCTTGCTGTTGCACCTCTTTCAATTACCATGATGCCAAAAGTCAATTCCTCGATTGATCAAGAGTGTATCAAAACATTTGACCACGGGCCAAAAGAAAAGATTGGGCCCAGCCGCGAGTCGAACGCGGGACCTCTCACAGTCCAAGAGAAAGCTCCCGAAGTGAGAATCGTAACCACTAGACTGGATTGGGTATCAGTTATGGTCGTGGTATTGAAGAGGGAGAGAATCGATTACTTACCCACTGGGCCTCTTACTTGCTGATGAAGAGCAGGGCGGCTGGGTACAATGATATACTGACATCTATTTGTCCGGATCTTGAACTTTGAAATCTCCGGAGATTGAACATCAGGCTGAGTTTGTGGGAGAAGCGGCATTGTTTGAACAACAAAGACCTCAAGCTAGTCCTACTACTGTTTCATGCCGACCTCATGCTGTGCTGAACTCGGTGGAGTGAGCCAGAGGATCAGGGATATTGAAGATTTCATGCTTTTCATTTTTACATTGATCATGCCTTAGCCAGCATCTGGATTTGATTGTTTTGCGGGACTTTCAGTTTCTACCGCCGAATCGCATTGCTTTTGCTCAGTAAGCTCCTCTTCCTGTGCTGCACCTGGACTCCCCCCAGGAACGTCGCCAGCCATAGTCTCGTCGTTCTTCCCGTCTTGCCCCGCCAAATCGGCTGTCTCTCCAGCAACCTCATCACCCTCATCCAACGCATCCCCCTCACCCATCCCCTTAAGAATCTCATCCTCAACCGTATCCAACTCCTTCAAAATAAACGCAATCGTCGCATCCCTCGCCTTCTCCAACTTCTCCAACACCTGCACCGGCATCTTCCCATAATCCATCTGCTTCCTCTGCGCCTTCTCCCCCTCCCCCTCCCCCCTACCCGCAACCCTCTTCTTCTCCGCCAACAACCCCCTCAACACCTCAATACTCCCATCCCTCTCCCCAAGCACCCTCACCAACCCCTCCTTCTTCCTCCCCTCCTCAACCACCCTCCTCTCCACCCCCTCCGCCACCACCGCCCGCCGCCACTCCCTCACCGCCTCCCTCGCCACATTCTCTATATGCGCGAACCTTGCCGGGCCGAGCATGACGCCGCCGTACCACCGCGCCACTACCACCGCGCCGGCATCCACGCCCATCGCCTCCAGCACGCGCGCCAGCCGCTTGCCGGCGTGGGATTCGCCGTCGTCGTCGTGGCCGGATTCCACAACGTTATTGGAGGAGGGCGGCGACGTCTTGGATGCAGGCAGCAGCGATAGTTTGCGCTGCGCGCTCGGCCGGCGCCACGCGGCGATGCGGTGCGTCGCGGAGCGGAAGTCCGGGTGCGCTTGGAGGGCGCGGGCGGAGAGGGCGGTGCCGGGGGCGAAGAAGGCGAGGAAGGTGGAGCGGCGGTCGGTGAGGGGGGCGGAGCGGTAGATGGTGGGGGGTTCGTGCTGCTGTTGCTGCTGCGGTTGTTCGGTGGTGGCCGCGGCGTTGTTGTCGTGGAGCTTGGTGGTTTTGGAGGGACGCGCGTGGTCGGCGGCGGCGGCGTCGGGCGGTGGGGCGCCGCGTTTTAGGGACATGGTTTCGCGATTGGGTGCGCGGAATGCGCGTGGCGAGAGGGATGGCCGCACGCGGTTTGGTGGAGAGGTTGTGGTGGGTGTGGTGGTGGAGAGTGGGGAGCTTGGAGCGTCGGGTAGGCTTGTCGTGAAGGTCACGTGCGTGCGCGCAAGCGTGGTTGGCGGGACGCGATGCTTCTGGACACCATTGGTATAAACGTGGCTTTAATTCATCATAGATTTCAGTACATTCGCTCGTGGTGAGTCTACAGAAGTAGCCACATAGGTAGAAAGATCAATGCCAACACCAACGTCACAACCTTACAGTTTCGATTAGACACGCCGCCATCTTTATGTCTTAGCGTCCCACGCACCATCTTGTATAGACTACCTCGTCCAGTATTTCTTGAAAGTCCGAAGCAGCTGGAGAAGGGCTTCTATACGGTAGCGATTGGGCTGATATGTCTGTATGATGCATGCATATTTTGTGTGGGGGCGGCTACATCTGGCTGGTTCAGTGTAACATTACGTTCATCTAAATTTAAAGACTGGCGATGCTTGGTTTTCAAATACATAGTCCAAGCGAGAATGCGGTGGCGAGCCGGTCGGGATGGTGCTGCAGGTAGCGAGGATGGGCTACCCATGAAGGCAGCAGGAATAAGAAATGACAGCCTTGCATACAAGCCAAATAAAGAATAAGTGCAATGGAAGGCAAAGCTGGAGTTTCCATTCATAAGCACGTCTCACAAGCCTCTGAAAGGTCGCGTGGTGCGCAAGTAGGCAGCAGTCTCAGTGTCGTACGATTGCGAATTTGTGCTACCTTAACATTCTGTGTAATACTTGTAGGAAATGAGATCGTTCGCGAAGGCCCCGAACTTTGTCTTTCTTGGTACCAGTGTATTCGTTGTACAGACCCGGATGTCAGATTAGCATAACACAGGTTGATAATGGTGCCACACATCTGCATGTACACAGCCTAAAAGCTGACCTTGCGTACTCACACTGGTACAGCTCAGGCACATGTGAGACTGCGGCTGTGTTATACGTTGGTCATGGCGGCATTTAAAAATACGCCTTGGGAACGTTGCGTAGACTCTAGAGTTTTCTCAGATTCGCCCAGTTTTGTCACTTCTAAAGGATAAACAATGTCCAGAGGATACGAACCGCTTGATTGTGGTTTCGATCGTACCAGTCAAGACATCAGCCTTCGGAATATCCCATCAGCGAGTGGATACGACAGTGTCAGTCAACTCACAGAATATGAAGATGGGTTTGAAAACGACAGCACATCCAGCCTCAGCCCGAACGCCAGCGCCGTTGACCCTTTGACTACTGTCTCCGCACTTCCAAAGCATATTCCCCATAGCTCCGCTCCCAGTCTCGTGGCACAGGAAGCGCCGCGTCGATCAAAAAGCACTGGCCCCCATCCTAGCGACAGTGCTGAACAGCAGCAATTCCAAGAGATCGATCCCAGTCCTAAGCAACGCTCCACTCTGGTGTCCAAATACTACCAGAATTGGTGGTTCTGGGAACTTGCAGGCGCAATTCTGAGCGCCGTATGCATTTTAGCCGTGGTCATCTTGGCTTACAACATCAACAAGACTTTACTCTCTGCGTGGAAGCTCCCTTTGAGTCCAAGCACCATGATCTCCACCTTCATCACTATTGCCAAGACTGCAATGCTACTCCCGGTCTCCGAAGGTCTGAGCCAGCTGAAGTGGCTTTATTTCTGGATCGACCGTTCCAAATACCGACCGCTACGTGACATCGAAGCTTTTGAAGACGCTAGCCGAGGGCCATGGGGATCACTCTTGATCTTCGGTCGGATCGGTTTTCAGCGGGGATCACCGCTCACTCTAGTCGGAGCATTCATCACGATTGCTACTCTCGCAATGGGACCCTTTGCCCAGCAGGTCATTTCTTTCAAACAGGAAAATGTTCCACAACCTGGTGTCAACTCCACCATTTCTATTGCGAGGGTGTACGACACAGGTATAATACCGACTCGTTTGTCTCTCTATAACCGTGAGTCAACCTTTGAGCTTTTGCACAATGCGCTAAACTGATGATAAGGTTAAAGCCAATGTTGTCGACACGGCTATGCAGGGTGCAATCTTCAATGGCCTATTCGACCGTAGTGCTCCATTCGACTTTTTCTGTCCTTCAGGAAATTGTACGTGGCCAGACTTCTCGTCTCTTGCAATGTGTAATACTTGCAAGAATGTTTCAAATGGAACCATCAAAGCAGAGCATGGTAAGAACTTCACGTTTAAAACGCCAGGAGGCATCCAAGTGAGAATGAGTCAATATGATTCGGATTGGGCTTCGTACGATCTTGTTGGTGGCGCCTATCGGTGGAAGCGAAGTATTGCCATTGCCCAGGCTGAAGGGGAAGGAGTGGGCTTCATGTTCGAGCCTTCAGTCTTTTATTTCTCCGACCCTAATTTCAAGAAAGTTTTCTATCGGATCACCGAATGCAATATCACTTGGTGCGCAAGGCTATATAAGAATGTCAAAGTCGTATGTATACCCCACCGACAACCCCGTCCTCAGCCTCTTACAGCAGATTGAGCAGATCAACGGCAGTTTGACCAACTTCTCTACTGAAGATACTCCCCTGGATCAAATGGGAGTGATGGATGATAGTTGGACCTTAAGACTGTCTCCATTTGGCAGCAACGATACTCATCGGCCAGCCATGCCGCCATGGGGAAACGAACCTTTCGTAGTCAACGGGGGCGACAACTCGAACATCAATCAACTTATCTCAGAAATATTCGACTTCAACATTAGTTCGTGGAACAGGAAGCACAAATACGAATTCAACGCCGGACTCCCTCTTTACAAGAGAAACGTCAGCGAAATCATGTCCAACATCACCGACAGCATGACGAACACCATCCGCCACGGCAGGAACGCAACAGTGGCAAATGGCGTCGTCCTCCAGACGGACACGATCATACTGGTCCAGTGGAACTGGCTTATTCTCCCGATTGCGCTCGTGGTCCTCGACTTCGTTTTCCTTGCGTTCGTCATCTGCGTGACTAGCAGCCAAGGTGCACCGCTGTGGAAGTCGGGACTGATACCGTTATTCTTCCACGGTTTGGAGGAGGGCTGTGGTGGTCGGGATGAGCAGCAGCAGCGATCCCGGGGAGACAGAAGGCTTGAGACGCGGAGCGAGATGGAGGAGGAAGCGGTCCGCATGAGCGTGCGGTTGCAGCGGGGTCAGGATGATCGAACTCGCTTTGTGGTGCTTTAGCGGTGGTAACGAGGAAGAAATCATATGCTCAAGAAGGCTAAAATATTTCAGCCACTGTGTAGAGCTCGGCGCTGTCAGATTGTACAAGGGTTCGCCTGTGCAAGCCTAGTTTTGTAGAAGCATCCAGGTAGTAGATTTGATCGAGTTCGTCAAACATCATAGTGATACGTGCTCTGCAGTGTTTTTGAATGAGCTTTCAAAATGCAAAGATGTTCATTTGGTAGTTCCATAAAAATCAATGCTTCAAGGGTTTAAGAAGAGAATTTTGTTATCATTGATACTATTTGCTGTTCCTCTGTAAGCTCAGGTGATATTCGGTAGCGGCATCATGTGTGTACTTAGCTTTGGGGGCCAATATATGCTTGCTGACCTCAGCAATCTACGCATGCCCTATTTAACCGGCTGCCGATAAGTACATTTCGCACCCCCACTTTGATGATATTTTCGTCTCCTCCAACCAATTTGAAGTTCACTTTCCACGAACCACATGGAATCAGATGCTCACTCCACGCACGACCTTCGGCGGTGTCGCCAAACAGGCTGCGAATACTTTCCCGCTTCAAAGTCTGTCCGCCGTTTTTACAAGACGTCTCCCCTTTCCAACGAAGAACATGGATCTATTTTCATGCAAGATTGCGCAAAGTGCGATCCGGTGGAGTACGAAGGGGAGATCTGCAACCGTTGCCGGCATTTGCGGCTCCGTCACATTCTCTTATGTGTTCCTGAAATCATTGGCGGCGGTTTCGAAATCGATTACTCCTTCCCGAAAGAGCTGCTACAACGTCCGAACTGCGATCTATGTCGGATCTTTTCGCAAACCCTACACCTGAAAGTTATGGAAGACGGGATCGAGCCGGATTTTCAACCATCATACGATAATTATTTCAGCGTGAGGTTAATGTTCGGGGGATTCGCTTTCCGCAACTCATTCCAAGTCCAATGGGTAAAACCGTGGGTAAGCCGAGGCCGAGCCAGAACGATATATTTTGGTGAGAAAGGAGTGACGTCCGGATACCGAAGTATTTCTGCGCCAAATTGGACCAATTCCGGGGCAACCCGGTTGGTGCAGTGGGAGAAAATCCGTCAGTGGATCTTAGAGTGTGACGAAAGTCATAATCACGTGGAACAGAAAACTATTCTACCCCAAGGATTTAAGGTCGTTGATATCAAAGCAGCATGCGTTGTCGAAGCTCCCCAAAACTGCCGATACATTGCTTTAAGCTATGTTTGGGGACAGCCAAACCCAGGACAAGAACAGTCTCATGAGTCCGTTCTTGTCCCTGACGGGTGGAGTGGCGTCAATTCAATGCCTCTCACCAAAACCATCAAGGATGCCATGGCTGTGTGTACCAAGCTGGGCGTCGAATACCTCTGGGTTGACCGACTCTGCATCATCCAAGATGAAAATGACCCCCACAAAATGGCTCAAATCCAAGCTATGGACTCCATATACTCTTCGGCCTACCTTACAATATGCGCACTCCACGGCGATGATGCTGAAGCAGGACTTGTAGGTCTTGAAAACACCCCAAGGTCGTTCAACCAAGAATTATGCAACTTTGCTGGAATTATCCTGGCACCAGAGCTTCCAAGGCCATTGCAAGGGCCGGAGAAGTGGTGGAACCGCGGATGGACTTGTCAAGAGTATCTGCTGGCCGGACGGAAGCTACTCTTCAATCAATTCCAGGTCTCATTTCAATGTTCACAAGGACTTCTTACCGAGGGCCCCACAGATGATGTGTCGCCATACGATTTCCCTGCGTTCGATGACGAATGTGCGTTTGCCAATTACAAGGCTGTCATCAATGAATACAACACCAGAAATCTTAGCAAAGATTCAGACATCTACAACGCCTTCATGGGCATCTTCAAGAAGATCTACGGAAGACTGGATCAATTTCACTGTGGCCTCCCTCTCATCGACTTTGACGAGGCTTTACTCTCTTACACATACCTCGACCCATCTCTCGATTATCTATCAACAAAGCGTGACTTGAACGGACACATTGGCTTACCAAGCTGGTCATGGGTTCGGTCAAAGGGAGAAACGCGCTATTACCGAGCCTTTATCGGAGCACTTACACATACGAGGTACTGGCATGCAGGAGCTGCGATGCAGTCAATTTCCGCCCCAGGCTCATCTCATGGATGGATCCTTAATAATGACGCGGACCCCAATATCCGCCGCCGCTATTCCCCTCAAGTATTCCTCGCTGCAGCATGGTCTCTTGGACTTTTCGAGCGCACAATTCCAGAGGAACTCAAACAACCACAAACGTTCAAATCGTTACAACAACTCTTGAGCAAGCGGTGGCCGTCCTACTCTGATTTTTGGGCAGAAATGTACGGATGCCAATACCAAGATCATCAGTCCATTCGGCTTGAAGGAGATCCACATCTTCTCAAATATTTGAAGTCTGTTCCCAGCTCTTTAGCGGTCAGAGCTATGATTGGACGCGGCTGTTTCAAGGCATTCAATGATCGCTATGGCGCTCAGTGGAGCCGCTTTCACGTGTGTGATCCAAACACATTCATCGTCGGACAAGTCGAACTCGATGAAGAGTTTAAACCGTCATCAGCTTATACCCCGTTGGAGTTGATCGCTTTATCTGTCGGGCTTCTAAAACCTCGGGAAGCAGAAGAAATCCTAAACAAGGTGCGCAAGATGATCTATGGAATGCAGCGTAGAAAATATACGCTACCAGTGGCTAACTAACAAATAACAGACGACGAGGGGCGCATACCGTGACATCCGCCATACAATCAGTCAGATTTTCAACTATAACAAAACTTTGGCTTGCAACAATATCCCTGACTCACCCCAGACTGAAAGGTTCGCGGATGATATCTTCGCCCATGAAGAGGTGGGCTTCGACGAGAAAGAAAAACGGAAGCTTATGAGTACCGACATGACTGTACATGACTGCGACGGCAGGCCCCTCCTGCCTCCGCCAGTTGTCAACGTCTTGGCGATTCGGAGAGACGACCGTGGTATTGCAACTCGAATCGGACTCGGCTCGGTGTTGCTTACGCAATGGGCACGCTTGCAGCCTAAGTTTGAGGACCTCATCCTGGCGTAGCTTGGAAACTTGGATGCCACGAGGGGGGCTGGAATACAGGGATGCAACTGTTTGATGTGCATGCTTCACGGCGCTGGCGCAAAGCTCGAAGAAAGTAGGGATCATCGCAGGCTTATTCATTTCAGTACTTAGACATCCGCCTCCCCAGCCTCCGTCTCCTCCCAATAGAGCGATCCACGTAGCCTTGGCTGCTACCGAGCTTTCGCTGAATGGGAAGGCGTCATGAATAGAATCCTCTACGAAAAATGAGAAGGCTGCATTTATTGATAGGCATCATGTAACAACGAATTTCTGTGCTTACGAGTGAGGTTTGTATGAACAGAAGCGCCGTATGCGACCAATCGGATCGGTCAAGATATGGTCCGCGCCACTCACGATGGCAAAGCTGCCACCCTGCAGCCTCGTTGGCTTCTGGTTAGGTCTGATCCGTAACAATGCATCAAAATCTCTGCCTCATCTTCCGCTTAAGGCATCCCGTAGCCTCGCCGTTCCGAAAGATGACGATCGCTTTTCCCCCCCACTCTCGTAAAGATGCAAGCGCCCGAAAATGGCAGAACACGGCGATACTATATGCAAAGACCCCGCCTCAACACAGCTGACTGCCTTGATTAATATACGCAGGTAATCCAGTCGCATGCTTACCGACATGACGCAGAATGCATCATATACGCATCCGATACCAACGTGACTAGACGAACAGAATCCCATTGGCCGTGGGAATAGAAAGCCATTGCATGGATGAAGAGCAAAGCTGAAAAGCTGAGTTGGTATTAGTCAACTAACTCAGGAGCCCCGCTTCTCATGCAGTATGAACTGGCTCAATTCTGTGTCAGACCCAATGATTTTTGGCTTGCTGGCCATGAGCAGCCAGAAATCGGATGAAACATCTGCAGGTTCTACTTCTTCCTGTAGAATCACTAAGTAGTGTGTGTGGAGCTTACTTATATGTAGCATTAGAATACAAATATATCTACAGCTCACATCACATACTTACAAAATAGTGAGATCTTCTGATCTTCTGTCTTCCTTCCACCAAGCACTCCGAATTAATTGACATCCCATTGAGCCCTATTTCTTGATTAGTTTCCTTACTGGCGTACCTTGCGTCGCATCTTCCTCCTCGCCCTGGCTGCCAGATCATCTTTCACGCTTTCAATCACACGATAATCTATCATGTTGGCTACAATAGACCAGCCAGGACCCAGTTACTCTCCGCCGCGCCGTTCTTGGAGTAGCTTCGAGTTGAATCTAGTGCCTGAAAGTCCTCCCGTGATTCCAGAAGATAACCGGCGCCGCGAAATACGTAAAGAATTACGTGAGTATCAGGAACTTCTCACGACAAGCATTCTGCATCTTTTCAAACCGGGGAGGAAAAGGGAATATGGCAAGCAAAATGCTGTGAACGACTACGTGAAAGAACTAGCGGCATGTCATGAGAAAAAACGTTTGTTCGTCTGCTGCGATGGCACTTGGAAAAATGCGTCGGGTACTATCGCGCCTTTGACCAACGTGGCAAAGCTGGCGCGAAGTGTAGATCGGATCGGGCTTGATGAACTGGATCTCCCTACCAAAGAATCCTCTGTCGGATCAGAGCGAGGCACCAGGTTCGGTATTGTGCGTCAACTGGTATATTATTCAAGTGGCGTAGGCACTCAGTCATCCCTCGCTATGGATAGTGGGATCTCAGGCGCTACTGGGCACGGTATGTTACTTGCTCACTTTCAACCAAAGAAACATCCAACTAACTAGCAGGGCAGGTGTAACTGCAAATATCTTGAGCGCCTACTGTTTCATCTGCAACAACTACAATTTCGGTTCCACAAAGGATGACATAATCCTCGTAGGATTCTCCAGAGGCGCTTTTACCGTTCGCTGCTTGGCAGCTTTTATCAGTAAAGTTGGCTTGCTTCGTAGAAAAGGCTTGCCATTCCTCCGTCTCCTATTCGACCATTGGCGGCGACAAGAGACAGAACAGCTGAGAAAACTCACCAAAGCGCTGGATCCCCTTCGCTACGACGCGAGAATCAAAGTGCTCGCCGAATGGGATCCAGTTAGTGCGATGGGATTGCCATTTGGATTCTGGACACGAGAGCTTTCATTCGTTGACAGCGTCGTGCCACATGTTGTGGACAACGCATTTGTTGCCCTTGCTCTCAATGAGAAGAGACCGAGTTTCAAACCTCTACTATGGACGGATCATGGTCCGGACACTACAGTCAAGCAGTGTGGCTTCATAGGAAGCCACTCGGACATCGGGGGTGGAAATCCAGACTCAGGACTGTCCACGGTATCTCTCCTGTGGATGATATCGCAGATCAGTGCAGCATGCCATGCCAGGTTCGACTCTACCGCGTTGCTCCAATTCCTAACTTCCCTTCAGTCTTCGCTCCTCGGGCATGAAAGACCCGTGGGGCCTGGGAAAAACCGAAAGCTGTACCTTAAAAATCTTTCATTCACAGAAGGTACGTTCACTTATCACAAGAGCTGCTAAGGAGCCATATATTTACCACTCATGAAGGCCATGTTCACGAATCTCTCACCAACTGGTGGTTGGTACCGAAATATCTATCTCTGGGGTTATGGCGAGGCGAGCGTCACGCTATGATTGATCAGTTAGCTCAGAAAGAGGGGGAAGTTCCGTCTTGTGGCCTCACTATCCACTTCACGGCTCGCCTTATCGCCGAAGATAAAGACCGTCAGCTTCGATGTGGGTTCTTCAAAAGATACAAGCCGGACAGGATGGGGACATCCATCCGATGGGTTCCGCGAGAATTTGATTCCAGCAGCGAAACATCGCGCCCTTCTTCACATCTTCCAGAGGAGAGTGTGAGCGGCAAAGAGGTGGTCCTCTTGGAAAAATGGCTAACGCAAGCAGAAAAGTGGTGGAAATATGAATTTCTACAACGTGGTGATCACACCGGCACGCAACCAGGTGACGAAACCAATGGTTTATTTGGTGAGGGGCCAAGCGATGAGCCTGACGGTGAGCTTGGTGTACCCACTAGTGAATCCGTTGCTGAATCCAGTCGTGATTCTGCAAGTGAATCCAATATTGAATTCACTAGTGAATCCGGCGATGAGCTTGGTGGTGAACCCCATACTGAGTTTGAAATCTGGCCAAAGGTTATCGAGAATATGGGATTGGAGTACGTCTCAGGTTGCAGGAAACAGAAATCACTCATATATCTCATTCAGCCAGAGGTGGAAAGGCTCAGGCACCGCGGAAGGCTTGAAAATTAGGGACAGGAATTTCAGATCAACGATGTTGTAGATGAGGAAAGTCTGTAAGATATCTAGAGGCAGATCGAGTAGGTCAAGATAGGGCTGCATACCAAATGAAGTTCGAGCTTCTTCCCAGATTGCGAAAAATATCCCTCTCGAAATCTGTCTGATGTTGAAGGAGAGCGTAAGGTTTTCCAAAGGAACACCCTAGAATTCCATATCCCAACTCAATCACAGACAAAATGTAGATGTTAAGCTCGAACGAGATGAAGAAGTGCTGAGGAAACTTGGAACAACTGACGTCCACCTCTAAAGGCTAGATAGCATCACTTGCGAAGAATTCAGTGGCTAGCCCGCAAATAGAATTGTAAGAGAATACAAGTACGAGCAGTGTTAACAAGACATATCCGGTCAATATCAAAGGAACGGAATGGAATTAATTATCAGCAAATTGTCTGAGGTCTTAGTTTTAAGTTACTCATACCGATATTTATTGCACGAGTACCCAAATGCAGACAAGGAAACACGTCGGTACAGCAATCACGCAATCAAAAGTTATCCAAAGAAATCAAATTCAACTAAACCAAACACAAAGCGCAACTAAACTAGAGATATTCCAGAATCGAAAATTAACCACTCACCCAAATCAAAGAGAAAACAACAGTCATGACACGGACTAATACAGATAATCCTTATTACTCCCCATCCCACCCTTCACTCCTCCTCCACCCCCTACGCCGGAATCAAATTCGGCAACCGACTAATAATCGGCAACTGAATCCCCAACGCATTAATCAACCCCAACCAAGCCGGCGGATACGGCACGAGCCTATTCGCAATATGCAAACCATCAGACAGCAGCGCGACCAGCTGTCCACCCGGCAACAAGCCCTGAATCGCCCCCGTGCGCGGATCCAAAAAGCCTCCATTGACGCTAACAACGGTATTGGCGTAGAAAACGTAGTTGTACACCTGCCCGTACACGGTGCCGGCGGCGATGATGGACGGCACGGATGGCACGGCGGGAAGGGTGCGCGAGGGGACGAGCGAGGATGGCGCGGCGCTGGGTAGGCCGCCGCTGGGCGCGGTGACGCCCGGGGCGGAGGGGACGCTGATGGATGGCGCGGCGCCGCCGCTCGGGCGGCTGGCGCTGGGGACGGCGCCGGATGGGAGGGCGCCGGATGGCAAGGCTCCCGAGGGCAGAGCACCTGAGGGCAGAGCACCGGATGGTAGACCTGGAGTCGGCAGGCCAAGGCCGGGCAGACTGGCGCTCAAGCCGAGGTTGATGTTGACGCTCAGAGATGGGTTCAAAGATGGTAGACCCAGCGATGGCAAGCCCAGCGATGGCAAGCCCGGCGAGGGGAGAGCACCCGAGGGTAGAGCACCCGAGGGTAGAGCACCTGAGGGTAGAGCTCCAGACGGCAGAGCTCCAGACGGCAGAGCTCCAGAAGGCAGAGCACCAGATGGCCGAGCACCTGATGGTAGAGCACCAGATGGCACAGCACCCGAAGGTAGAGCACCCGAAGGTAGAGCACCCGAAGGTAGAGCACCTGATGGTAGAGCACCTGAAGGCAGCGCACCCGATGGTACAGCACCCGAAGGAACAGCTCCAGACGGCAGCGCACCAGAAGGAAGGGCTCCAGAAGGAACAGCTCCAGAAGGCAGAGCACCCGATGGCACAGCACCCGACAGAACACGCGTAGGCAAACCACCAGACGGTCCAGCCCCCGACGGCAACGCTCCTGAAGGAACCGCGCCAGACGGCACAGCCCCAGACGGCACACCACCCACCCCCGGCGCCGTCGGCGTCGGCACAGCCCCGCCAGGCAGCCCATTCAAGAAATTCGGCAAGCCACCCGCGAGAGGCCCAGCAAGATTGCTCAACGCCGGCGCCACCAGCTGCAGCGCGGACTGAACCGACGGCAGCGCGGCGGACGGCAGTGCTCCGAGGGCCGAGTTCAGGGCGGCCGGGTTGGTCGAGAGCTGCGGGATAGCGTTGGCGATGTTGGAGGGGAGGGCGGGGAGGACCGAGGCCAATGGAAGACCGAGGTTTGGAAGACCGCCTGGAAGACCGGGGAGACCGGCGCTGGGGCCGCCGGGAAGGCCAGGAAGACCGCCGCTTGGGAGACCAGGGAGACCCGGGGCGCCGGTGATGCCGGGGAGGCCAGGGGCACTGGGAGCGAGGCCGGAGAGGGCGTTGTCGATTTGGCTGAGCTGGGAGAGGACGGAGGGTTGGAGGCCGGAGGGCAGGGCGTCGATGGCGGAGGAGAGGGGCACGGGGTTGGAAGGGTTGGCGGCGAGGGCGCTGGCGACGTTCGATGGGAGGTCGCCGATCAGGGAGTTGACGGCGTTGCTGGGTAGAGCACCTGAGGGGAGACCTGGGGCACCGGGTGAGGGCAGACCCGGCGAGGGCAGGCCGGGGGCACCCGTCGGCGGAGCGGGAAGACCGAACGGAGGAGTATTTGTAGGCAGACCGCTGAAGATGGGAGCCAGCTCGGAGAGGACTGAAGGCAGCGCGCTGCTCGGAAGGGCGCCGAGGACCGACGAGAGAGGCGCCACGTCCGACGGCAGCTCGCCCAGCGCGCTGGCAACGTTCGAGGGGACGTTGTTGGCGATGGAGCTGAGCACGTCACTAGGAAGAGGCCCAATGGAGGGGAAACCAGCTGATGGTAGGCCAGGCGAAGGGAGGAGCCCAGGAGAGGACGGGCCGGAGGCAGAAGGTGGGCCAGCAGAGGGGAGGCCAGCAGAAGGCAGGCCAGCAGAAGGCGCGCTGGGAGCGTTAGTAGGAAGTCCGCTCAGAACGGGAGCCAAGTTGGAAAGCACCGGAGGTAGCTCTGCGCTGGGCAGGGCGGCGAGAGCCGAGGAGAGCGGCGCCGCGTTGGTCGGAAGTTCGTCCAAGGCGCTGACGATGTTGGATGGCAGGTTGTCGAGAATGCTGCTGGGCAAACCAGACGGTAGACCAGGAGCACCGCTGGGAAGACCGGTCAAGGCAGGGCCTAATTCAGAGAGTACAGATGGGATTTCGTTGCTCGGGAGAGCACCAAGAGCCGATGAGAGCGCACCAGGGTTGGTGGGAAGGTCGGACAGAGCATCGACGACATTCGAAGGAAGATTGTCGAGGACGTTGCTTGGCAGAGAAGGCAAACCAGAAGGAAGGCCAGAGGGGCCACCAGGAAGACCAGAAGGCCCGCCAGGAAGACCGGAAGGAACCCCGGTAAGGATAGGACCCAGGTCCGAGAGGATTGATGGGACCTCGTTGCTGGGGAGAGCACCTAGGACCGACGAAAGCGCGCCAGGATTGGTCGGTAGATCTGAGAGAGCATCCAAGACATTCGAAGGCAGATTGTCGAGGACATCGCTCGGCAGAGCAGGAAGACCACTGGGGAGACCAGGACCCGGAAGACCACTCGGACCACCCGGCAGACCGCTGGGAAGACCAGTCAAAACAGGGCCCAGCTCTGAGAGGATTGACGGCACTTCGTTGGTCGGAAGACCCGCGAGAGCCGAAGAAAGCGCGCCGGCATTGGTTGGTAGTTCAGACAGTGCATTCGCAACGTCCGAAGGCAGGCCTTCAAGCACGTCGCTAGGCAGAGAAGGTAGACCCGAAGGCAGACCAGGAGCCGGAAGGCCCGAGCCAAGGGCCGACGGCAGGCCAGTCAGAGCAGGCGCCAATTCCGAGAGGACTGACGGCAGTTCATTGGTTGGCAGGGCCCCGAGAGCCGAGTTGAGCGGCCCAGCATTGGTCGGCAACTCCGAAAGCGCGTCAACAATATCCGTGGGTAGACTATCGAGGATGCTGCTCGGTAGAGCAATTGGAGGCAGCCCGGAGGGGAGACCAGGACCACCAGGTCCACTAGGCAACCCAGAAGTGCCAGGAAGACCAGGGATGCCGCCTGAAGGCAGGAACGGTGCCAAATCCGAGAGCACTGATGGAACTTCGTTGGTTGGAAGAGCCGAGAGGGCTGAAGGCAGACCCGCGGGGTTGGTAAGTACATCAGCAATATCCGACGGCAAGCCACTGAGAACATCAGCTGGCACAGAGATAGGAGGCAGTATACCACTCGGACCACCGGGAAGACCGCTAGGACCGCCGGGAAGACCACTGGGGCCGCCAGGAAGACCGGGAAGGCCGGAAGGCAAAAGCGATCCCAACTCGGAAAGGACTGAAGGCACCTCGTTGGTTGGGAGGGCAGCGAGAGCTGAAGTGAGTGCTGCAGCGTTTGAGGGAAGGTCCGACAGCGCGTCGACAATGTTCGTCGGCAGATTATCAATAACGTCGCTCGGCAGAGAAATCGGAGGAATGCCGGCAGATGGCAAACCTGGAAGACCAGAAATGCCAGGAACACCGCTGGGGAAAGCTGGTGCTAGCTCAGAGAGAACTGACGGCAGTACATCAGACGGGAGAGCTTCGAGGGCTGAAGGAAGTGCGGCAACATTCGTTGGTAACTCCGATAGTGCATTGGCAATATCCGACGGGAGGTCAGGAAGAATCGAATCAAGCACGTTGCTAGGCAGAGGAAGGCCAGATGGCAGGCCGGGAGCACCAGGAGCACCCGGTCCGCCGGTTGGTAGGCCACTGAGTGGTAGGCCGCTGAGTGGTGCCAATTCAGACAGCACTGAAGGAAGTTCGTTGGTAGGAAGAGCCGCAAGAGCCGAAGGAAGAGCTCCAGGGTTGGTCGGCAACTCCGATAATGCGTTGGCAATGTTGGATGGGAGATCAGGGATGATAGACTCGAGGACATCGCTCGGCAAAGAAATTGGAGGAATGCCGTTGGTGGGAAGGCCACTGAGAACCGGTGCCAGTTCAGAGAGAACAGAGGGTAGCTCGTTGGTCGGCAGAGCCGAGAGGGCTGAGGGAAGTGCTGCAGGATTCGATAGTGCCTCGGCAATGTTCGATGGAACATTGTCAATGATGGAATTGAGGACGTTGCTGGGTAAGGCGATTGAAGGGAGACCCAAAGGTGGCACAGTAGGGCCTCCAGGTGTTGGAAGGCCGGGCGAACCACCAGACGGAGCAGCACCAGATGGACCAGCGCCAGATGGCAGGCCAGGCAAGCTGATGCCTGCACTAAGGCCACCCCCAAGCGAAAGCGTAGGCACGGCGGGATTACCAAGCTGCGATGCCAAGTTGGCGAGGCCGCTGGGAACGAGCGCCGGGGGCACATTAGTGAGCGCGGACGCGAGAGCGGCAGGGTTGGTCGAAAGCTGGCTCTGCAGGTTTGAGAGAACAGATGGTGCAACGTTGCTCGGGAGGAGAGGGCCAAGCTGCGAAAGAGCTGATGAGATTGCTCCAGCAGGCCGAGAGCTAGCAGGGGCGCTCACTCCAGGTGCCGCATTCGATGACCGGGCAGAACTCGGGAGGCCGAGACCAGGTAGTCCACCAGTGGGCGCGCCAGCAGCGGGAGTTGTGCTCGGGATCAGGGCCGGGTTGCTTGCAATGGCGCTCGACAAGGCCTGGTTCAATTGGCGTGCGATAGATTGCGCGTCCGAAGGCAGCTGCGAAATGATTTGGGGGAGGGAAGGGCAAAGCGTGCCGAGAGGATTCGCAGCACCAAGCTGACGAGGAAAGATCTCGGCAGCACGGGCTTGCGCTTCTTTAAAGACAGGATAGTCCTCGGGACATGTCGGTGCAGTTGTTGCTTGCCGGATGAGGGTGGCCAGAATGGCCAAGAGAACTTTCGTTGGGAGCTGCATGGCTGTTGTTTTGTAATGAGTGGATATGGGTACAAAGAGTGAAAATAAGAGAAAGGAAGCAGTGGCTAAGCAAAGCACTGCTCAGCTTCTGCTTTCTCCCTCTTCGACTGGCTTTTCCAGAATTCTTGTAATGAGAGACTGAAGCGTCGAGGCAGATGGACGAAATCAAACAGCTTCTCCGGGGGCACCTGCGGCAATTTAGATGCACGAGCAGGTCCACAAGGAAAGGAAGCGGAAGCTGCAGAAGCGTTACATTCTCAAGTCGATCGGCTCGGAATGTCTGCGGCTATAAGCTGTTCCAAACTGGCTTGCGATGCATTTCCCTAAGAATGCGATCTGGCGGGGGAACGGGATGCCTTCCGGGTGGGATTCGCCCTTTTAGGGATGTGCTTCGAGGGAAGCTGTTGTCTTCAGAGTCGCTCAAGCCCAGAGGCACATTCTTGGCCAGGAGTTTTCCAATGTCCTTATACAGCAATCGCCAAGGTTGGTCTTCACGACATTGCACCTTTGCTCCTCACATTGTTGGACTCCGTGCCTCTTGGAAGGATCATTGAGTTCTGTTTGTGCGGCAACTGATTGTGCGATCGGCTGCACTGACGGCTTGCCCCGATAGTGGATTTTGCAATGGCATGGCGTACATTTTTGGGGAAGTTTTGGGATCGCTCTCATCTCGCTTACCTCATCCGCGACGAATCATCAGTGTGGCGGCTCATTACTGTGGCGCTGTGTTGGTATGTCTCCTGTCCCATGAGGGTGCATGACAGAGATTGGAACCAAGGGGGATGAGACGATGTGAGATGCTACGTGAGCTGACCGTGCTCAGGCGGGCAAACCAATGCTCCAGGGCTCTGGGTCTTTGGTGTAACAGGCTGCTGTTCTGATTCTCGAGTCTTGATGAAGTATGGTGTGCACAGTCTTCGGCCGAGGAAAAAACGCAAGGGATCATTGCGAGTTTGAACAGCGCGTCTCGAGCGTCTTTCTTGAAACCAAATCCCGGCGGCGATCAGGAACGAGACTCGTAGCGGGCAATTCTCGCTTCGAAAGCTTAGCCTGTGTAGTTAGGTACCGATAGGCGGAGGAATTTACCGAGTGTTACACAAAGCGGTGGCAGAAGCGATCCTCCCGGGAGCACGTGGGTGTTGTCGTTTTCAAGGTGAACAGCGGCTCTTCGAAGCAATATCAGAGAAAACTCGTCCAGTATTGTTGTAGGTGTCTTGAATACGCTCAGCCTGAACTAGTCTGGTCTGTAACACCAGAGCTTCAGTGCCATTTTCAGACAATTCACTTTCGAATGAGCGTGGACATGGTGAATGTGAGGCGGATGGATGGTGCTTCGGGTAGCGGCAGCGGAGTTGCCGTCAAGGCCCGAGCCTTATTGTCTGAAATGGCGGGGATTCGAACTTTAAATTGACATACTAAGATAAAGGTTTAAGCTTCACGATTGATCTCCCGGAATGAGGTTGCTTGGAACCCGGCCAAGGTCTCAGACAAGGCTCAGCCGTACCACAGATAAGCCAACTTTACTTTGACGACAGACGGTGCGTTTTTTGACGACGCAGATATGGCTGATTCCGAAGCAATATGAGGTGCCGTATGCCCTGGGAACTGTGATGCTCAATAGAATAGCTGGAGAGATGGCGCGCAGGCCAGTGTCATGATACAGTCCACCGTTGTTCTGCCCGACTTTCGACTCGCTGATGGAAGCCGGACTGCGTTTTAGCGTGTCGCGTTGCAAAATGCTTGTCATGGAGGTGCTTTAGCCGGCGCTCGATCGTAGCGAAGCGTCGTGGTCATGGTGGTGGAGGTCGAAGATCATAATCGACGCCGCCAACCATTTCGGGATAACTTGGCGAGAGACAACCCAGCGTCGTACGGATGATGCGCGAGGTGGCTGAGCAGGATACTGATGGCAAGGAATGGTGTTGAGGCAAGTCCGGCCGGCTCAAGCGCGGACGCTAATGCACGTGACGTGATTTGTCAGGCGGGGCGCCTTCCTCCGCGTTCCTGACGCGCCCTCGCAGCAATTTTTCATCAACACTCCAAACAATCATTGATCGCTGCTTCGCCATCATTCTCCTTGCACTGGAATTCCTCAAACGGCAACAAGCTGCGGGCACAAGAGCAAGGGGCGCGTAGCATTCGAAATTCGAACATTCTTCGCTTACAGTCAACTCTGGCCAAGATGCGGAAAGTCAGTCAAGGGCTCGGACCTAGCATGTAGGCAAGTGCAGCCTGGTTCGAGCTCAGAAGCAATGGTATGTTGGAGGTCACCGGCCGGGGCAACCTCTGGTGGCAATTGTCCTGGTCCTTGACATCCACGACCATTATCGCCTCCTATATGCGGAACGCCGCGGCGTTTGTTACGAACAGATCAGCGTCAATAGACAGGAAGCCCAAGCCTAGCGGCGTCGTAAGCTCTTCCTGTACTTTCCCAAACAGGTAAACGGCCACTCGACCCCTCGCCGGGATCGTACCGTATACGACACCCCGGGAGCAACTTTAGCGGGATGCTTCAAAAGTGGAACCGCACTTGCTCCTGGCGCAGCCGGTTTCAATGCCCGCGGATACGACTCGTGGGTGAAGAATTTCCGGCGGAGGCACCCCTGCAGCGTGGGGACCTGAAGTGATCCTCGCCGCTTGAGTATCCCTTCTTGGTACACCTCCTCCGTTGGGGGGGAACGTCCCTTCACATGCGCCTTCGCCTTCGCATTGAGCCGAACTGCATGCATCCCTGGAGATCTGGATTCTGCTCCACCATGCCCCGCTATTATACCATCCCCGACTCCTGCAGGCGCGGGGGGGCCAACGGCCCAACTCCCATTCGACGCAATCACCAACGGGGGCCCCTTCGCCACGCGCAGCAGTTCTTCGCGGACCCCGTCTCCACTGTCTGAATAAGTTTCGCATTGGAGCTGCTTTTGGGCGCTGCGTATATTGCTATGAGGTCACCTGAGGAGCGCATGACAACCCGGCCCGCAGCACCGTTCTTCCGAGGGCCAATGCGCGTCTACTTGATTCAATATTACCAACCACTTGGTTTCAAAATCCAAACATTGGTCCACGAAGCCATTTGTGGCGTTGCGCCGAGGCCTGATGGACATATCTCGGCCTGGTTGCTGCCTGATTGTTGCCTGGCGATAGGTTGGGGTGGACTGTACGATACGGCGTCTTGGGGGCCTTAATCCCTTTTCCATGCATGCCAACGGCGACGTGTACTCCGTGATGCACATGGAAGCACCACAGCCATGCGAGTTAGTTGTCAATGTCTAAGACATCATGTGTGTGTTAGTACAGGGGCCAATGGATATCCAGTGCAATATATTGGCAATAACGCTCTCTACTGAGAATGGTAATTCGGATACAATATGTTCCTACCCCGGCTCTGACCTGACCCAAGAAATAATTACTGTTGGACGTAGCAAAACTTGAAGAAGCAATTGGATGTAGCTGTTTTACCCTGGCTGGGGAGATCTGAATCATGCGCTCACATACCCAGGCCAATCACTTCACCACCGTTTTAAGGCAAACGTGCGCAGCCCCAACAGACTGGGTAGAACATCATTGTCTGTATCCGAAAATGACTCTGACTAGCTGTCAAAGTCGTACGACATTGAACGTGCCGGACATGCCATCGGGCATGTACCCAAACATGTACGCCAGTTGTTGTTTCTGACCAACTTTGGCCCTGTAGCAAACCTTAGATGGCTGGTGCTCAATCCATGTTTGGCGTTCGCCAACCAGTCGGAGTGTTTCCCGCGCCTTGACCACCCCATCTTTTTTTTTTTCAAACAGAATCCTTGCCGCCAAAGCTCAGGGATTGTTTGACTCAGTATGGGCAAACAGACGAACGACTGCCGGTTGACAAAAAGTGATCATAAGGTAACAAATTGAAGAAAACTCCATGAATTCGGGTAATTCCGGTACCTTCTAGGCGCTGTGGCGGAGTGGTTAACGCGACAGACTAGAAATCTGTTTCCTTCGGGAGCGCAAGTTCGAATCTTGCCGGCGTCGCATCTTTTTTGCGTTTTGGTGCTCCTCCCCGTAAAATGGGATGGTTGATGTTTTGTGTAGCAAAGCTGCACGAGGAAAAGAACTCCGGTCTTCGGATGTTGAGTGGTTTTCTGTGTGCGGTTAATGACTCAGCACACCTTTTTTTTGTCATCACTTTCGTGGAAAAAATATTGTCCCTCACTTGCGGTCATCACACAAAGAACCAGTAATAAAATTGAGATACGATCCTCATTGATATTGCTTTCCCTATAGGAGACCAGTCCTTCAAAGCCACGTAGGAGAGAGATAAACCAAAAGAGCAGAAAAGAAAAAAGGGTAAAAACCAAAACAACTTTTATTAATCATCATCACGAAACCAGCACCTTGACCAACTCCTCCCACGCGTCCATGCCCACTCGTGTTGCCGCCATTTGCGTGTCTACAGACCATTTCGCCAGCGCCGACGACTTCTGCACCATGGTCCGGGTCAGCTCCGAGGACGCGGACGCGGACGAGGAAAGCATGCCGTTGAGCAGATTGGAGATGATGGCGGCAGCGCCACCAGTACCACCTGCCAGCTGATTATTGTTACCGTCAGCGTTAGGAGACAGTAGTCGAGTATTGACGAGCGAGTTCGATTGCAGCAGTTTCGCGCCAGCGAGCCAGGCGCTCGCAATGGGGTCGTCGACGACATTTGCAGGAGAAGGGGCCGTACTTGGTGTTGCCGTTGGTGATGAGGGGGCAGGGAAAGAGCTCGGGAAGAGAAGATCCAGAATACGATTGCTATGGCTCGATGACGACGACGACGACAACGAAGATCCGAGAAGGTCTTGCATAAGGGACGAAAGCGTGAACGTTGGGTTGGATATCGCGGCAAGCGACTGTAGCATCAAGAACAAGGGGGCGAGCTGAAGATAGATTTGATTCTCGAGCAACCGGATGAATCCATCGGAAGAAAGACGCTGAGTTAGGAGATCCAAAATGTTGTTGTTGGACGCGCCGGAGTCGGCCGGTTCATCCTCACGCGCGAGGATCTCTGGAACCTCAGGCAGCGTTGAGGACGTTGGGACTGCCATAGCCATTGCTACCTTCTCCACGTTTACCAGACCTATCGCGCTGTTAGTATCCTGGCTTGATACAGAAGGATACTGCTGAATGGAAGGCGTATTCTGCTGGACTGGCGGAACAAGAGATGAAAGCTGTGGAATCAAAGTTGAAGGCAGCTGAAAGAGGGGCGAAGGCAGTTGAAGAACAGACGACTGCAGGTTAATGGATGAACCTACAGTAGGGTAGACGGTTGGAAGGGGCGTGACTGAGGCCACCACAGGCTGCACGGCGGCAGCTGTGATTGTTTCTTGACCAACAGTCAAAGCACCGGTAACGAGTGCACCAGCAGTTTCTGCTGCAATAACATCGCTTTCGGTGGACGAGACCTGATAGTACGAAGCGTCAAATGTTGCTGTGACCTCAGGGAGGGCCTCAGCAATGATGCTGGCAATTGCAGTTGGGTTAGGGATCAAGGCTGCAAGAGGGTTGCCAGTGGCGGCGGTCGCATTTCCCATTTCGTCAAGGAGACTCGAAGCTGCCGAGAAGATTGGAAGAGCGGCAGTGGGAACAGCGGCAAGCTGAGACTCAACAATAGACGGGATGGCGTCGATAATAGGTTGTGCTGCAGAAACCTGGGCAGCAACAATCTGTCCAGGCGCGGCGGCCATTGATACTTGAGCCTCGGCGATGTTAGCTAGAATGGAGGGGGCCGCCTGCATCTGGTTGCCTATCTCATTCAGAATAGGTTTGGCCTGAGCAGCGATCCATTGGGCGACAAAAGCGGCCGGATCAACTGCGTCGTCAAGACCGGCCTTGAGCTCCTCGACTTGCCGGACCTTGAGACCGTTAGACTTGGCGATTTCAGCAACAGTCCGTTTCTGCACATTCTGCAAAAAATCAGCACACTACCAGCGCATCTATCTCTGGTTATACTTACAGCGGGTTCTGGGAGCGTGGAAGCGGCAGCAGCAGCACTCGGTGGGACCAAGTCGCTTGGTAGGGGCGCAAGAGGGTCGATCGAGCTGACAGCCGCAAGACTGTTAAGGTCCGGGTCCGCAAGAGCGCTAGCGAGAACCGGTGGTACATAGGCAGATGCAGGTCCGCCATTAGGAGCCAACGCGGCCAGAGAAGACGGAACAGCCGCAAGTGGGGTAGCATCAGCCAAGGGTGCAAATGATCCGATAGCAGCAACTTCGTCAGTAACACCAGAAGGAACAAGGGCCGGAGTAGGGACGGTGATCAGGGTAGTCGGGACAACCTGGCGTTTCCTGTGTCTACGGCCAGCGCGAGCAGCAGCAGGGAAGCCGAACAAATCTGTGCTTGTGGGCTGAACGAATGCATCCGTCGGCTGCTGGTCAGGTTGACCCAAGGAATCCGTAAACAGTGGAAAATCCGAAGGTATGACCCATGCATCCGTCGGTTCAGGCACAGACTGGTCAATAGGTAGGTCGGTAGTCTGATCAAAGGGTTGGATCGCAGGCTGGTCGACAGGTTGGATCTCAGGCTGGTCAATGGGCTGAATTGACGGCTGCTCCACGGACTGTTCTGTAGGTTGAACCGCTACCCAATCAAAAGACGGGGTCGCAGACTCATCGACAGACTGAGGTGGTTGAATTGCAGACCAATCGACAGACGGAACTGCCGGCTCCTCAGACTGAACCGGTTGAACTGCAGACCAATCGAAGGACTGAGCTGCCGGCTCGTCAGACTGAACGGGCTGAACTGCAGACCAATCAAAAGACGGAGCTGCAACCTGGTCGGAAGGCTGATCCACAGGCTGGTCAACGGGTTGAATGGCGGGCTGGTCTATAGGCTGAACTGCAGGTTGATCGACGGGCTGGACTGAAGTCAGATCAATGGGCTGGTCTGTAGGCACGTTGACGGGCTGATCCTGAGGAATATCGACGGGCTGGTCCTGAGGAATATTGATGGGCTGAATGGACTGATCCACGGGCACGTCACCGGGCTGGCTAACGGTCAGATCAACAGGCTGATCCGCAGGAACGGTGATAGGCTGGTCAACGTTCTGGTCCACAGGCTGCTCCGAAGGTACGGTAATAGGCTGATCGACAGGTTGGTCCGAAGGTACGGTAATGGGTTGATCGACAGGCTGATCCGAAGGCACGGCGAAAGATTGATCCGTAGGCACGCTGACGGGCTGGTCAACAGGCTGGACAGCCGGCTGATCCACCTGTTGAGTCACCGGCTGGTCGGCGAACAGATCCACCGGTTGATCGACCGGCTGCACCTGTTCGGGCATCTGGAAGAAGTCGCTCAACGGCGCCTCCTGTCTCTTCTTCATCTTCCCCAAGGTCCCGGTGAGAATCGGCCCCATAATGTTCGACAGAGAAGTCGTCAACGAATTCGAGACGCCGCTTAGCGGGGTGACCTGGCTTCCCGGGAGGAAGGACGTACGGCCACCGAGTAGAGCGTTCAGGAGGGCCGTGTACGCCAGCTGCAGCGCCTGGACAGGGTTCTGCATGAGCGAGTTGGTAACAGGCTGAACGAGCTCCTTGGGCAGCGTCACGGCGGTAGCGGCCGGACCGTTGTCCTTGCTAGCGAGAGCTCCAAGTGGGTTATTGACGTTGACCTGCGTGGGGGTGAGGGCAGGAACCGCGACACTCGGGGACTGGAGCAGGGGCCCCAGCCCAGGTATAATGGGCGCCGGCGGACCGAGATTCTGGGGCTCACGGCGCTCTAAGATAGATATTAGCGGATTTGCCCAGAGGGCAAGGTGAACGAATCTAGCGAGTGAGAGGTATTCAGAGTAGGAAGAGTGCGGTTGAAAGCAGGTGCTGGTGTTCGAGGACCTGAAGTGGAGGGCGCAGATGGGACTGGCGCGTTTGAGGAAGCTCTTGCAGGAGCTGGAGATGTTGATACAGCGCTCATGACGGCGCTTGGAACAAGAGCGTTGGGTAAAGGAGCGACCGATGGAAGAACATTGAGCGGGAGGACCGCGGAAAGGAGTGATGGGAGAGCACCCGGTTGAAGAATACCTGGTTGATTGAGCTGGAGAGCTCCTTGCGGGGCTGGGGCTGCGTTGGCGCCAGGCGCAACGGCGTTGAAAGCCGCGAGGTAGAAGATAACCCTGGCGTCCATGGTGGAGGCTGGTAAGGAAAAGATTCTGTCTCAATTCCTACCTGAGGAAGAGTGAATGAGAGGTGAGGTTGTAGCGACTGTTTGGTATCTGGCGGAGAGAAACAGTCGGCATTAAGTGCATCCTGAGACACCACCGACAGCGTGAATAGGGCATTCCAAACATTTGAAAGTAAGGAGGAGACCGTTCGCACTCTTGAAACATTCCGAGGAAGACCAGTAGTAACCGTGACAAGAAAGCACAAGAGATCAAGCTTCGACCGAGTAGATTGGCAAGCGGACATTCTTCGCAGCAAAAAGGGAGCAAAATCAATATGGAGTCGACATCTCTTTTCCATAAGTCCAACTTTTGGTGTAATATTCCATACCGATAACGGAAGGCCGGGCCGCACGGCATCATGCGGATCACGGAGTCTCCTGTTGGGGGTTGGTATACCGTGTATGTAGGATTTCTAGCTTTTGCAAGTGGAATGCAGACGTGTATGTGGAACGCGGGATGGCGGGTGCTTCCGCCTAGCGCGACTCCTTGCCGCGACCAGTTGGGATAGCTCCTAACGTGATCGCGTCAGAATGAACCTCGTGGGTTTCGCCATCGCAGGTCTGACGGTTGCGGGGATACAGCAAGCATCAGGCACGAAGACTCAGTAGGTTCATGCCGGATCGTGCTCTCTGCGCGGATTCCTCGTTCAGATGTTTCGTTCCAATCCTTACACGCATGACTTCAGGAGGAATTTGGCAGTGGACTTCTCGCACAGTACGTCGATCCCGGATGGAGGGGCTTCCGCATCTAGGGTAGTGGTCGTTAGAGGGTCAAGCGTTCATGAAGAGGACTTGCGTCCGCCTCTCGGAGCAAAGCCGAACCCTCCCCTGCCACCCCCATCCGGGCCACGCGGTGCACGAATGGGCTGATCCACCCCTGGCGTCCCGGACCGAGACCGTGACGAGCCGTCCTGCTGCCTCTGCACGTATGACGAATTCGGCTTAGCCGAGTAACCCGGCTCATATAGCTGCCGCTTGGGGGTCCCTTGGCCACGCGCAGGTGACTGATCCGCCGAGGAATTGGCATCAGAATCTCCCCGATCGCCGCCTCTGCCGCCCCTGCCCTTGCCTCTGAATTGCTTGCCGCCATTACCACGCGGTGACGCAGACCGTTCCTGCGAGCTGTCGGGCGTGGAGGAGCCGAACAGCCTCTCCCGCACTTCCGCGTACCTGCGTTGTTTTTCTTCACGCTCTTGTTGCGCCCTAGCTTGGCGTTCTGCGAATTCCCGCTCCGACTTCTTGCGCGCCTCCTCCTCGCTGTCCTCATCATTGTCGCCTCGCGATAGAATCTTGGGTGGGGGCTTTCGGCTCAGAACCTTGACGGGCGCCTTGACGTCGTTCTTGAGCGGCACATCGGTTTTGGCTTGCAGGAAGAGTGGTGTTTCTTTGGGGGTTTCTCTGCGCAGTCGCGTCAGCTCCGCATGGCGTGATGAGGGCGTAGTGAAGCGCACGCCGCCTCCCACAACTGCCTATTGAACTCAGCATGCTGTGCCCTTCGCTCAGCCTTGGTCAGCTTTTTCGGGGGCTGGGGCTCAGGCGGGGCAGCGTCTTGCTTCTGTAGTACGTATTAGCTTGCGACCGAATTCCTGAGCGCAGGAGGGGTCGTACGTCGGCGATAGCCTCCCAATCGTCGTCCCAAGCGTCGGGGACGTTTCTCGCGGATCCGCTCATTGTGTTCGGCGAAGCGTGTGATCAAAGCGCGCGGTGCGTGGGCGTGTGCTGGGTTGCAAGTGTGGCTGCAGCGGCGGTAAGGCTACGGAGTGCAAAAGTTTAGGATCGGGCAGCAAGAAGGTGGGGAGGTGAAGTGCGGGTCGCGGTCGTGTCTCAGACAGGCAGAGGTCACGATCGACAAACCAATGGCCGGCCCGGGCCTCAGCCCTACGTCAGCACTTGGCACGCCAAGCAAAGTATCGAACCGCGGCTCCAAGCCCCTTCCGTTTCGCCAGGGAAGAGGCGTGTAGACGTGCTCCGCTAAGCGAGGGCCTGCCACTTCATGCGTGCGGAGGGGATTTTCGTTGTTGCTATCTGCTCATTTTATCACGCCATTAGCGCCCGTCGCCATCAATGCCTGGACTGCTGAAACTCTCCCGCCGACGGTGGCTGTCTGGACGATCGAAGAGTTTGTAATTTTGGCCGTTGTAAAGGAATGTACGTTGAAGTGGAAAACACGCCGGCTATCCACATTCGACAATTTGTGCACGAAGACCCCACAACTCGCAACTGTTATGATTGGTGTCCTGCATGCTCATGCACACCTCTCAGTCTCAGCCACCTTTGCATCACGCTGGCCAGCGCTGATCAATGAGCACCACGTGAGAGCACATCGTCTAACCAGAATGAGAATGTCCTGCCGCCTCAAACACACTGATAAACTTCCTCTTCGAGATATGACCCACTTGTTTGAGGCCTAGCACTACCGAACGAGACATCATTGTCACTTGCCACATGGAGAATCTTTACACATCTTACTCCAAAAATTTGACCAAGTGTAGGATTATGCATTTCCCAACAGTGTGATTCTCCGCGGTGAGATTAAGTCGCCACTGCGCGCTTTTCGGATGTCGCATTTCGTACGCATTGAACCATTTCTCTGGACGCGACTCATGAAGTTTCGAGTTAACAGCGCCTCAGGATGAAGGGCCTGGCTCTACAGCCTGGTGAGAAAGGCTAGAGTTTGAGAACTGTTCTAAAATTTGTGCTGAATAATAGCAGCATCAGCATGAACATGAGCAAAGGCAGCTTATGGCGACAAGGGATTACATTTAGGAAGCCGTGCAAGTGTATCTTGAATCTCGCCTTCACCGCGATCGCTAAGTCCTGTCTCAGCACCTTTCTTCTAATGCTAATGCGAAACCAGTCGTTTTATTCTCAACTGGAAATAAAAACATTTCACGCAAAAGTGCACATGGGATGATTGTTGTTGATAATTAGCTCCTAGCTCTATCTTGCTGCTGCTGCGAACGCTGCGAATTGCAACTACTAGTACAGCTATCCAGCTCTCTCTGGCGGCTACTGCTATGCTTACTCTGCTTTACCTGCTCTTGCACCAAGTATGAAAGGAAAATTGAGGGGGCGAGGAAATACGAAACGAGGAAACGAGGAAAGGGTAAGGAAAAGTGGAATTTTTGGGGGATGCAACCGAAGGAAATGATGAAATGACCGCTCTTTTTACTCAGATAGTAACCGCCCAGTGTTCGCCAGTTTCTTGCCGAAAACAAATACAGAACTCCCTCGAAAATGACCGCAGACCTTGAGTGTTCCGCGAATACGAAACTTGCCAAGCACAGACTCCTCCAACCCCATGCCGATGATTTTCTTCTGACAAAGCAGAATGCCGAAAACTTCAGTAGTCCAACCCTGACAGAGGATGAAAAAAACCATAAAAGCCCTTGCGAACTAGAACTTCCACCTTCTCATGCGAAGTCGAAACGAAGCTGCAATTACTGGCCCAAAGACCAGGAGCGAATGGCCATGCCGGCCAGACGGAAGATCACCTGAGACATGCCACGACCCTGAGACTCGTCCTCAAGGAACTTCTTAGCCACCACCATCTTCGACCGGTCGTCCTCCTGGTCCGGCGGGTACGGCTGCTGGCTGACATTGTCAGGAAGATCCGGGAAGCGTCCACCATAGTGGCGCGCAATCATCATCGAGTAGATGACATCTCTGCATTCGATCATGCCGAGAATGTTGCGGCACGCGCTCAACGTAGCCTCGATGTTGCGGTTGGACTCGTCGTCGGCATCGCGGAAAGTAACAAAGGTGCCCAGGTGGCGCCAGAAATCCACCTCATACTGCTTCAAATGCGGAACCTGAGGGTCATAGATGAGCTCTGCAAGCGGGTTGAATGGCAGGACCTGGTAGGTCAGAAGCGCTTCAAGAACCTCGACACGCAGTGCAGCTTCCTTCTGCAGCAGATCGGTCTCGTGCTCACTGGTGCCGTTGGCGCCGTTCGCAACGCCTCCGTGTTGGCGGGGCAGGCACAAGAGCTTCCAGACGAGCTTCGCCTCGAGGCTCGTGGTTCTCCGCTGCATCTCATAGTCTTGGTTGACCCGGATCTGGGACACGAAGAAGGCGAAGAGGTCCATCGTGGCTGGATCGTTCAAAAGGCGATTCAAGCCCTTCGTCGTGTACCAGGTCGTCTCAATGCAGCGATCCATGTTGATTGCGTAGTCCCTGGAGTAGAGCATCTTGATCTCTTCGACGACATTGGGATTGATCGGGCCAGGAGTCGGCGGCTGGGCGTGCGGGGGAACGTTCTGGAGCGCAAAAAGCTCGTCGATGTAGATGCGCTTAGCTGGTGTGCCGTTAGTACGCAATTGCCGTAACGTTGCACACTAGTGTTGCCTCACCCTTCAACGGCTGACCCTCCGGCGGCGGGGGTGTCGCACCTTCTTTGTCCTCCTTCCTCACATACACACGCGTCGACGGGTCGTAGGCGACCGGTGCGATCGACATCGGGGCGGAGGTATCAGCGCCAGCGAGCGCCGGGTCAATGGCAGCACTGAGCTCGTACGATGGATCGGGAGCAGGTGCGGGCGGGCTCGTGCTGTGGCCGGGCACAGGCGCGTAGTTGGGAGCTGCAGGCGCGTAGCCCTGGGGGACGTGGGAATAGGCGACCTGAGCGGGCGGAGGAGCAGCGGTCGCGGGAGTCGAGGTGACGGGCGGAGCTGCGCTGGGTGCGGGTTGTATCTGAGCGGGGCCGGGCTGTTGCTTGAAGATCGGGTCGTAGCCCAGACACTCGCGCTTGCTCTTCTGGCAGTTCCGGCACGTGGGGTGCGCCTCGTCGCACTACGATATGTGAGCAAAGTAGGGTTCGTGGCGTTGTTTTGGAGAGCGAGGCTTTCGCGAAAGCCGCGTCGGTAGGCGAGTGAGGTCGGACGACAGGTAAAGTTCTCGCTTCCACCCATGCGGCGGGAGGTGGCAGGCTACAGAAGCGAGCGAGACGCGAAGACGCGATCGCGCTACCTCGCCGTTTCAACCTCACCTCATCCCGACCGACGCGCTATCGCGAGAAGAAAATTTGCAATTGCGATCCTCACCTTTATCCTGCGCTTGCGACACGTCAGGCAGCCCGTCTTGGTGCGACGCTTGATCTCCTTCTTGTGGCGGCCTCCCGACATGATCCTCTGGTCGGCCTGCGGCGGCAGCTGGTAGCGCATGCCCATGCCCTGCGGCGGCATGCCCATGGGCGCGGCCATGTGCATCTGGTGGTGCTGAGGCGGGGCGTGGCCGGGCGGCGGGTAGTAGGCCATGGGCGCGACGGGCGGAGGCAGCGAGCCAGCTGGCGGCTGGCCCGGCTGCTGCTGGGGCTGCTGGCCGTCAATGGGCGCGCGGATGGGCGGCAGGTTCAGCGACGGCAGCGACATGCTCGACGCGGTGGGTGAGGCGCGATAGGGCTCGGCATTGCCTGGAGCGCCCTGGGGCGGCGGGTAGGTGTAGGAGGGTTGCATGGACGGCGACGGGTAGGAGTGAGGGGAAGGGTAGGAGGTGGGAGTTTGCTGCGCCTGCTGCTGAGGCTGAGAATTCTGCTGCGGTTGCGGCTGCTGTTGAGCCGGCTGCTGTTGCTGCGGTTGCCGCGACGGCGGGTTAGGCGACTGGTCTGCCATATTTGATTAGAGACCCAGCACACGTCGATGGCGCAAGGCTGTGAGATTCGAGATTAGCCTCCTAGCTGGCCGATGCTGCGCTGTCCCTTGGGGAACTGATCCCGCGCACGACGGGCTGATTGGCACCAGGAAGGTTGCTTCGCTTAGGCAGAGTACGGCGAGACGAGGCGTCCGGGTGGTTTGATGCTGCCGGAGCGGATAGCGGAAAGACGCAAGTGCGAAAAGAAGGCAGGCCGGCCGCAGATCACACGGGCCTCTTCCAGGGAGCTGAGTCGGGTTCGGGGCACAGCTCAGATCGGCGCAACGTGAGCGCTCTCGAGCTACTGCGCGTGCGCGCCAGGGGGCGCTGGTGCTCTCTGTCCAGAAAAAAGTGGGCGCTGCCCAGATCAGCAACGTCCGCATCCCTCGGAACGGCGCGCGCGAGGCAGGGCGATGGAAGGGCGGCTGGCAGCGCGCTCTCCCGCGGCGGCAGCGGTGGCTGTGCGCTGAGCGACGGCGTGGGTGGTGCGCTTGGGCTTGGGCAGGGCATGGCAGGCCGGCGGGCACGGCACACGGCCGCTGCGGGCGGGTGCATGGTCGTGCAGGAGGCAGGTCTTTGCAGAGGCTCAGGCCGCCGGGAGGGCAGGGGCGATGACGGGCAGCTGAAGGGGCGCGCACTTACTGAGGCGGTAGAAGCTCCCTCCAAGCGAGCGGATGGAAGCGAGAAGCGAGATTCAGCGCTGGGGTTGGCTTGCACGCTTGGGTGATCCGCTGCGGCGCTTGCACGCAGGACTACGTTAGAGGCAGGCAGAGGGCAGGGCGGCGGCGGCTGCGCGCGTGCTGGGGCTGGAGAAAATATTCACAGCGTGTGCCTCACGGCTTTTCAGAGCGCCGCCAAGTGCGCGCCGCGCTATGCGCTTTTCGGGCAGCGGCCAGGGTCCGCTCTCGCGGGCATCGAGGAACCGCACCGCACCGCTCACGCACCGCGCCCCGGGACGCGGCTTCGAGAAGCAAAGCTTGAGCCGGCCAGCGCCAGTCGGCCGCGAGCCGCCGGCCCAAACGCCCGCCCGCCAAACGGCGGCGCTATCCAATCCGCAACACGCCCATGCCCACCCTCGAGCGCATCAAGGCCGTCACGTCACTGCGCGACCCGGCGATCCAGGAGGAGCAGCGCTGGCGGCACATCAGACGATTGTTACTGCGCCCCCGCCGGCTGCCGTCGCCCCAGCACGAACGCCCGTCCCACCGCACTGGAGGCGGACCTGGAGGAGGCTCACCGGCGCCATCCATTTCTAGGTAGCCCAGGACATGTTCTTCCTAGCCCAGGACATTATCTTAGCCGTGCATGCAATTCTCCGCAGTATGCTTGCTTCAGGAAGCGACGCCGGTCGTACTGCCATGTATAGCCGCGAGCGGCGATCTGACCCAGGGTGTCTTCCAGAAGACAGAAATCGCCTGCGCCCGCGACCCACCGCGCCATCCCCTCCGCTGGACGTCGCGCTTCTCCGAGCGAGGCACTGCTACTGCTGGTGGCGGAACGCCCGCTGGAGCTTGGCGACGGCGGCGGCGACGTCCAGTCAGTCTGGCGTGGTCCCTGCGGCGCCGTAAATACCTCATCCGGCGTGGTGAAGCTTACGGACGTTAATTGTTGCCTGCATGGTTGTATAGATCGCCCGCGCGCACGTTCGGGGAACATCGGCGCCCACGGCAATCCGCAAGGAACCGCCTCGTGGCTCTCCTGTTTCTCTTGACACATCTGCCGGCGCTGCACGAAGCCATGTCAACGGCGCCCGGGCACCACCCACCGGTGCAATCCACCAGGCGCTAGGGCCGCTTGCTTTAACAGACGGCTGCTATTATCCGCACGCTGCGCTCCTCCACTCCACACCGGTGTGCGCTGACTCTGGGCCATCACTGCCCTGCATGGCCGCCGCCCCGCCAGCCAGTTTCAGCAAAAGCGCACATACGCGCGTAGTGGAGTCTTGCTATCAGCTGGAATTCGTCTTGCCAACTTCCAGGAACGGACCCCAAGCGCCGCGCCGCACACCACGCCCGGGCAAACCGGTCAAGTTCGCGGCGGGATTATTACAAGGACCAGCCGGGCGATCTCGATCACCGCTTCAGGGGCAGACCTGGCAGCCTGGCCTTCGAGAAGGAGAGCACCAGTTCTAGCGAGCGTTCACTGTCTGCGCCAGCCGAGATCTTGCTGTCGGCTAAGTGGCCCAGCCTGCCAGACGGCTGACTCCACCCCTGCCCAATACGCTGACAATACCCTCTCCCTAATGCTCAGTCACCCGCATTTGGCCAACGGCTTGCGAATCCAGCCCGTGGGGATCGAGCCGTGCGACGACGCTGCCCTCCCGCCAGCCCAATGGCACCGCCAGCCTCTCCACCCACTCCGCCGGTCGTCCGCCCATCCTTCCCGCGGCCGCCATGCGTGCAGGCGCGTAGAGGCGGGATTGGCATGCCGTGGCAGCCGTGCGCGCCGATGGTAGACGTCAGCTCCGCCCGGCCGGACTCTCCGCGGGAGTTCTGCGCTGCTGCTCAATGACTTTCTGGCTGCCCGTGCCTCCCAGGGAGGGGCAGCTGGAGGGGCGAGGGGTGAGGTTGAGAACCTGATACAGCGCCCACAGACCGCGCCCCGCCGCTTGGACTGGCGATCCCTCCGTCACCACCACTCACGCATCCGGGAGCGCTGTATATGACTTGTCCCAAACCTCCATGTGGGCCTGTAGAGCCGTTCCAGCACACCGGCTGCACCGAGCCGCCGTGCCATTCGCAGAGGAGGGCGCAGCAACACCAACGCACGAACGCGCTCCCAAGCCTCCGCCCCGTTTTCCACCAACCACCGACCCAATCCCGGCGAACCCTGGATAGGTTCTACGTGGGGGTCACAGACCTCCCTGCGACTCGTCCGTCGCCTCGGCGCACCCGCCTGTGTGGAGAAGTCCAAGAGCGTGAAGATTTGCTGACTAGGGCAGGGGGTTGTTGCACGTGAAGCTGTGCAACTATTGGCGAAGAGATTGACGGATTCCACTCGCAGGGTGCGGCCTTGCGCCTGAGGGTTCGACGAGCCGGGGGGACACCATGAGGCCACGCCGTTGGCGGCCTCTGCTGCCCACCACCTGGCAAGCTCGCTCCCACGGACCGCAGGCGAAGCCGAAAACGAGCCACCTCTGACACGTGAGAAAGAATCGATACCTGGGGCCGTTCAGGCGCACCCGCGACCACGGGACGTTTATTCCTTGGCATCAAGCGAAATGTCATTTGCATCATACTCATTAGTTTTTATTGATTCAGGTCCGCTTGTCCCATCTCGTACGCGTACGCCAAATTTCACCGTCTAAATTTATCCTTCAGTTTTCAACTCCCTCCAGGCGTCTTGGATGCCACGCGACACGCGTGGGACGCTCACGTCGGCACATGCAGTAGCTCAGCACGGGTCGAAGGGGGCCGCGAATGAGACAGCCTGCAGATCATACGAAGCTTGAATCGCTGTGGTCGGCGGTAGGGCCGGTAGTCGGTCCGGATCATACTTCACGGCTGAGTCGATTCCCCAAAAGGGCAACAATCCTTGATCCTTAATACAGCTGGTGGCTTCTGTGCACAAGGAAATCGTGCCTATCGATTTGTCAAGCTGGCTGTCAGCGGCCACAGCCTGGACAAGTTCAGCCACGACTGCACCCTTTTGCCTTGACTCGAGTCCTGGCCTCTCGGGCTTCCACCACGGTCGTTAGCCTACCAAGGGGACGGAAAGCGGCTGCCGCCAGACCGGCCACCCACAGTCCACGGATATTCCCAGGAAAGCGGTCGTACACAGCCTGAGTTCACGCGCTTACAGCCTGACATGGCATGCCACTTCCTGAATAGCTCCTGCACAGCCCCCGCTATCGGTCCAAAAGCCCGGACAGCGAAAGCCCTCCGTCGATGGTATGAGCGGCGAGGAGCAACGTGTCTGGACCTCCGTCTCGCCGGACGCCGGAGAGCCCGAGGGAAGGGAACGAGCCGACGGACACCCGTTGGCGCGCCGCGCGGGGCCGGCGGGCGCGAAAGCAGGACGTCAGGGCAAAAAAAAGAACGGCTGGATTTGCCCAAGGTGGACTGGTAATCATAACCCAACCTCCTCCTCAGGCCAAAGCCATCCTTCCGATTTCCCCGAAACACGGCCGTTTCTCCGTTACATTACTGTTCGGTGCCCTTTGATTTTCACCTCTTTCTGCGGAGCGCGCTCCGTGCAATCTCAGTTCGCGCGGTGGTCTCTTCGGAGACGGCGAAGGAGTTGAGCGAGCGAGCGAGAAGACTGGGCCCTGGAGGACACAATGGGGAGCGAACAGAAGGGAAAGGAGATTGGATGAGCACATGATGTGCTCTTTCTCGTCACTACATTCATGCGGGACGACAATCAGAGCCATACAGGTGAGTTCCTTTTCTCGTTGGCTAACATACGGTCGCACCGGGGGCCACGTGCCGCCCTGACCGCTTTCTGTCTTGTATCGGAGGCATACCGCCGATACGACACACACACGCCTTGTTGTTTTGTGATGTTGGTCCTCCTTCTTGACCCTTCTTTAGAATTTCTGCCACCCTTCTTTTCTATTTTCTACCTCTCGCTTGACCAAGCCAATTCAAATTTTGTACGAGCGGCAGCTCCCGGTCGGCAATCATCGCGTGGCAAAAAGTTCGTCTTGGGCCGAAGAGGGCCATATATTGCAATATGTCGCGCAGCAAACGAGAGTGCTCGGTCACCGAACGGCGCCGGCACGCGCCGCGCCCGCCACTCACCACGGGGCACACGGGCACTTCTTTTACTTGCCGCTTCCCCAAGTCCCCAGTACCATGTCACCTTTGTGGAATTGATTTTCGACAGCCTTGTAATCTACGGCTTCCATTGGAACCTAGAACTTCGCCGGTGAGCACTGCCACCGGCGGCAACGCCTTCCGTTTTGCGACGTGCAGGCAACAACGAAAGGCACGACGACGCGCACGCGTAGGCCATTCATGTCGGTGGGTATGTAGAATAT